ATGAATTCGGGGAAGCTTCTGGCCGCGACTTTGCTCCGGGTCCCCGTGCTAGTTTGCGCGAGAAACCAGGCACCACCTTCGCCCAATTCTGGGAAGCTTCCTGCCGCGACTTTGCTCCGGGTCCCCATGCCAGTTGGCGCGAGAAACCGGGCACCACCTTCGCCCAACGAATTGACTCGGGGAAGCTTCCGGCCGCGGCTTTGCTCCGGGTCCCCATGCCAGTTCGCGCGGGGGCCCGGGCATCGCCTCCCTTCGCCCAATTCCGGAAAGCTCCTGGCCGCGCCTTTGCTCCGGGTCGCCATGCTAGTTGGCGCGAGAAACCGGGCACCACCTTCGCCCCGTGAGTTATATACTCGGGGAAGCTTCTGGCCGCGACTTTGCTCCGGGCCCCCATGCTGGGCTGCGCGAGAAAATGCGAGAAACCGGGCAACGCCTTCGCCCAATGAATTCCGGGAAGCTTCTGGCCGCGACTTTGCTCCGGGCCGCCATGCTAGTTTGCGCGAGGAACCGGGCACCGCCTTCGCCCAGTGGGCTACTCGCTCCGGGAAGCTTCTGGCCGCGAAAGAATTTGCTCCGTGCTCCCATGTCAGTTTGCGCGAGAAGCCGGGCGCCATCTTCGCCCGCCCGCCCGGTGATTGAATTTATTAACTTCGGCAAGCTTCTGGCCGCGGCAGCGGCTTCGCTTCATGTCCCCGCCCCGATTTTCTCGAGAAACCGGGCAGCGCCTTGCCTCGCCCAATTCTGGAAGGGAAGCCCCAGGCCGCGGCTTTGCTCCGTGGCAAGCCACCACGCCAATTTCCGCGAGAGGCCAGCGCGCGCGCAGGGCATTTTGCAACGCTTCTGCCCCCCTGCCTGTGCCACCACGCCGGCCCGCGCCGGGCGGAACTGGGTTTCGGCCCTCTCGCTCACAGGTGCGAAGAAAGCCGAGAACGAAACTGACGCAAGCCGCGGGCCCCGAGGTAGTAAGGGCCCCCCAGGGGCTGGCTAGGCTTCCCGCTGTTGCATAATTCACCGCGCGCGCTTGCCGCCAATATCCATCTCACGAGGCTGCTGCGCGTGGGAAATTTTCGCCGCTCTGTCTAGCATGGGAATCTGTGCCAGTCCTGTCATGCAGACAAAAGGCGCAATCTTTCCCCTTTGGTTTCAAAAAGAGAAGGCCGCTCGTCTTTGCTGTTCCTGCGTTAAAGATCCAACCCTGCCACAGCTGGGGGCGTAGCGCCCTTGACAACGCCGCGCAGAGCTTTCTGCCACCTTCGGCCACTAACATCGCTTGCTCGAGCCAACGACTACGGGGGGGGTCGGTACACGATCGCCCATTCGCCTTCGCCTTCGCCTTCCCCACCGCAGGCACCCTCTTTGCACCAACTGCGCCACCATGCTTGGCGCCGCCAGGAACTGGGCTCGATTTTCCGAACAGAGCATGAGAGCATGGAGACACGGGCTTGGGCGCCCGTTTGCATATATTACATACACGTCGACCATCATTCGACTTCATGAGCAGAGAGCGCTTTCAACATGCGTTTGCGATATCAATATTCCCAGCTTCAAGCTGCATCTCGTTGCGTCACGTTCCCGATCCCGAGAATGTAGCTCGCGCTGCTTTGCTAGAAACAATAACAGAAACCTAATGAAAGAAACGGCAAAAGCAAATGCCAGCCTTCTAATTTCAACCCCACATCGACAGAGTTTGTTGAAAGTGAAGAACTTCCATGCTGATATCAAAGCTGGGGCTGGCCAGTCAAAAAAAATAAAAATGATGTGAAACATATGCTATATCAATATGTTGAATGTATATGACATTACCTGACAGGCGAAAAAAATCCTTCTAATGCTTTTTCGTATTGGTATGGGTAGTTTCACTGTTGTGCATTTGTCGTCTTCAATGACATAGAGATATCATACACTTCAACTTGAGTAGCCGATCCATCAAACGACTGAAGACCAACACGGACGCGGAAAGGAGCGCAACAGACAGCATCTATCATATGCTCAATTACGACTCTGATTCCCTCTGCGTCTCCTGCTCAGGCGACCCGTTCCGCGGTAAGGTTCGCGAGGGGTATGATCCATGGATCATAGGCATCAGCTTCAGCATCAACCTCATCTAGCACGTCCTGCAATACACGCCCCTGATTGGGCCCCTCCACCAGATTGTCGAAGTGTCCGAGCAGGCGCTCCACCAATCTGATATTTATTGTGTTGCTGTTGCATCAATCTGCAAATAGTGTTGGTACGGGCCCAAGTGATCACTGCCCGGCCATCATGTTCATGCGGATGCATGCGTCTCAAATCATCTGCGGACAGCCACTGGTACTGCAACTGCCCCTTCGACCAACATGATGATAACAAGCAAGGGAGGGTTGGAAAAAATGCCATACAACAGAAACCAGTATAGTACTCCCGCAGGTGGCGAATTCCTATGGCCACGTCGAAGTTTAGCAAGCCCGGATGCTCGTAGAATTTCCGCAAACGGATGAGAACCACTAAACAATCGCTCGCTCTTTGCTGGACTGCATCGGCTTCGAAGTCTTCGTGGTCTGATAGTTGTATAAAAGTGACTTTGTTTAGTGCATCTTTGGTCGTGATCTGATCAGGACGTGAGTGACTTGACAAGTTGGATTCCTGATAGGCAGACAACCAAGACAAACTAGGACAAAAAACTCTGTTGTAACATGACGCTTTTGAATACTCAAGGAGAATAACTTTTAGTACGCCTGTCGAATGCGCACGAAAAAGCCTCGATGGTCCCGTGTATCTCCTGTGCGTCCTCGTCTGGAACAAATAATAAACCCAGCCCGTGCCGTTGCATGATTGTCGTGTAGAAAGTGCGGAGAAAATCCAGGTTCGAGTTGCCATAAATGACGTTTTCTGGATTCGCAGCCATGTCCGCTCCGGCAATGATGGGGCGGTTTGCTGTGTTTCATATGTAATTTGACAACTTGTTTCTTCTTGACGCCTTTCAGCCCCGCCAAGCTTGGTTACTAACTTTCAAACCTTGCTTCCAGCCATAAGTACCCAGGAGACAAAAACCACATGAATGTGCTTTTTTTTGCATTTAGTTCCCGGCAGTTGCTGTGAGAGAGTGTCGGCACATCATGGCATGATATATAAAATCTTGATCTTCATCAATCATTATCAGCTACTCTATAAATATTACCATTTGTATGCACGTTTTCGATTTCCGCGCTTAACGCCATCGCAGGGCCGCCCAGCGCCGTCAAGTCGTCCCTGATCGCTTCATCTTCCTGCTGCCTCCTTCGGGCTGCCTGCTCCGCCAGCTGCCCGCGAATGGCCGTGATTTGCATTTGCAATTCGTTCCATCTAGTCTGCATCTCGTTTTGCGTTTCTGCGACTCGCTGGTCGGTTTCTGCGACTCGCCGGTCGGTGTGCTGCATTGACACCTGTTGAATGCCCCGCATTTCTTGGCGCAGTCGCTCGTCCCGTTCGTCTAGGTGCTGCATGAGCATGAGGGTGGTGCCTTCGCTGATGTGAAACTGCGGCACCACGGCTCCCGGCGCGGCGCCTTATCCAATCCTAACCAAAACTGCGGCCATCTACTTAGCAGTCGACTGATCAATTTGAAACTGAGTTTGTCCTTCTTCAGAGTAGGGTAAATAGCTAAGCTAAATGTACATAGACAGGTAGACGCTGCCACATGTCGCCGGCGCGAAAATGTACATATTACTATACGATTGCTCTCGTCGATCAATACAAGATCTATAGCTATACATATAATTTCTTGATCTTGATGAAGAGCGACTGCATGACTTATGATTATTAGTAAATGTAAATGCATCACAGAAGAAAAAGAATTCCAATTCTCACTAAGTATTGTCTCAGTATTGAGGATATCATGTCTTGGTCTGGGAAAGTAGAGCTTGAACTTGTAAAGGGTGTCTTGCATTCCTAAAAAATCTGTGTTGCGTGAGCAGCAGAAGAGCAGCCGCCTCCGCCGTCATTCACAATGCGTGCTGCTAGAAATCAGAACGAGAAAGCGCTTCAAAAACTTGTCATGCTCGGCTGCCGTGGGGGCAAGCGTTGCAATCGGCAGCAATCAAATCAGCATCACAAGACTGGGTTTCCACACCCAGACAAATTAATTATTTGCAGTGCATAGAGGACTATAGTAAACGTGCTTACGGCGGGTTGTGGTGTCTGTGGTCACAGTTTTGCATGTAGTAATATCTGGTGCCCAAAGGACGCGGGATGCGTCCCTGGAGTCGGCGGAACAGCAGAGCTGGTTTGGGAGGACGAAGACCCCGACGAACCACACGCAACCAGAGTCCTGCTACTCGACGCGAGGTGGTCGTCCTGGTCGCTGCTGATTTGCATAGCATTCGGGTCATGAGAAGTGGCGTTGTTGAAGATGAAAGAACCTCCGGCGCCCACCGTCGCCATCGCGTTCGCCACGTTCGGGTGGAACGCCGTGTTGTTGCTGGGCTGTATCGTCGACCCAGTGTTCGTCCACACCTCCGCCACGCGCGGGTCACTAGAGAACAGAAACCCACGACCCGCAGGAGCAGCTCCGGTAAGTGTTGCCAGCTGTCGCTGTGCGTGTGTGTCTGGAATTGGAATGGTCTGCGGGTGCAAGCGAACACCTTGCATCGCTGCGATTTGCAGTTCGTGGTGGTGCGGGAAAGGATCTTGCTGATGCTGCTGTCCGTGATGGTGTGGAGGTAACTGTCCAGCGCTGTGAAACCCCGTCGGTGGATTTGTCAGCGTTGACGGGGCAGGGAAGGAGCTCATGGAAGCATTATACTGTGGTTGCTGATGCTGGAGCAGCTGCGCATCTTGCACCAGCTGGGAGCCTGCGGGGAGGTCGGAGTAGCGATCAATTGCAGTCGCCGCGGCGACGTTGTTCGATGAAGCGCTGCCTGTACTTCCGCTAGACGATGAACTCGGATCGGGGGCGGATGATCCAGGTCCCGGGAAGGTAGTGTGGTGCTGGTGCATGGTCGTGCCTGCTCTTATTGTTGTGCGAGGAGCAAACCCGTTGCTCTGCGAGAGTCGACTCGAATAAACACCGATGCCGCAACGGGTTGGGATCGATTCCAACTCGCGTGTTATCAGTTGTGGTGAGAGAGCAGAGGGCTTTATAGCTCCACACCGAGCCGTGGGTATAGTGGGTTCTCGTTCTTTGCAATGGCGGGCACCGTTTCCCTGCGCGCGCTCCTTATTTCCTCATCTTGTGGAGACAGTTTCGTGCTTTTGTGGTTCGTGTTGGAGTCGGTGATGGTGTTACTGAAAGCCAATAAATACTTCCTTCAGTTATTCACTATCTCTATCATTATTTCAGTTTACAGTTGTACAATCAACCCTTCCGCATCAGGACCAGCACGCCACGCGTTATTCTTATTGTTTCTCTTTTCCTTCATTATCATTTACTTTTAGTAGCAGCGCGACCTTTTTCGCTGCTAGTCTACACATTTACGACTCGGACTCTGTCTTTCTTCGCAACCACGGAGGAGTCAGTCCTTAATTTGCGATAGGATCAAAATAGAGACCCTAACTCCTGAAGCCTCCTCATGTTTTTGTTTGCAACCATTGCATTTGCGATAAAAAAGGTGATCACTTCTCCGATATATAGGCACCAACTCCGCAGCCAGTAGTTGCACTTTTCCCTGAGGTGCTTGTGAGCTCTTCGGCAGGTGGCAAGCTATTGAGGTGCTTATGGGCTTGTGTGTCTTTTGATGGCACGGCTTGTTTTAGTTTTGAAGGCAGTCACACAGGAAGATAGCTAGGCTCTATTTGGAAACTCGTCGCGTCTGAGTGTGCGAAGACGATACATAGGAAGCGAACACAAATGAAATACTCATTTGCTTGCGTGGAAATTACACGGCCAACATTCATGACGTCTCGTGCAGTGCCTGCGCTTCATTGATTGGCAAACAAGGCAAGAAGAGCTTTCCTTTTACTGCAGTTGCCAAAACTAACATAATATCGTTGATATCTTCCAGTTCAATGGTCATGTCAACTTTTAGAAGGTTTGCGGCTCGTGTTTGTCAGAAAAAGCTGTATGCTAATGCATCCAAAAATATATCGACTTCTCCAGTTCATTTCATTCAGGAATAAATTCGCTTTACCAGCGACAACATTAACTGTATAGATTATTACCCAATCATATTTGTCATTCCGATTCCTGCTTTTAGTAGCATTTCGCAAGTGCGTTTGGGAACAGGTGGCTTGCCATATTTTTATTCGTAACTTGCCCTTCTCCTTACTGGAGACCTCCGAAAATGAATCTCATCTTTGACTGTGACCGTCCGACTCCAACAACACTCGGCCGAAAAGTATAATGATAATGTTGAATTGAGAATGATGACAAAACATAAAAAAATAAATGAAACTCATTGACATTGACGTCTGTAAAAAGTATGAGGATGCTGGTCACTTCTTTGCAATGTGGTACGCAGCTGCTGTGCGTTTCGTCACACGAAACAGGACGCTTCTGGTAGTAAAATATTGAAAAAAAATAAAATTGAAAAAGTTGCGTTGTAAGTTTCGAATAATAAAAATCCAAATAGAGCGTAAAGCAGCTGCTAGCATTTCACTTTTCATTTGCGTTGTCACCGATTTTGATTCGATGACCAACCAGGAATGGAAATGACAATACACGCACGCGAACAAGAAGATGCCTGGCGCAGTCACTCTCACTGATAGAGAAAAACAAAAAACACTGCGGTGGAGCTTTCTTTGTCTCAACGACAACACCTTTATCATCGTCTCGCCACTAAAAAACTCCCCCGCTTTCCCCTTGCCTTTTCTTCGCCGGTGTCGTTGTGCTTCTGACTCGGAGTCGTACGCGCATATTCCAGGTGGCCGTGTGCGACAAAGAGGCTATCGCCGTCGGGGGTAAACATGTTATTGACCAAGTCGACCGTGCCGTGCCTTCCCGTACCTAGAAATAAATACAACAAAACGAAGTCGAATCCGCACAGGCATGGCTTTAGCTCTTATGCAGCCATGCGGCTTCATGCTTCATGTTCATGCTCATCAGGTGCTCTTGTCATGGTCACAAATTTCCTCTTCCTTCATGGAGGCTTCATGGCCCCAGCCATCTCGTCCTCTGTGTAGACGCTACAGCCTTCTATCTAATAAATCGGCCCACTAAGTGCCCAAGCATTTTGCACTTACCTGCTTCGCCAGTGGTCTTCCTTGTTGTAATTACTGTTTGCTCTTGCAGCTTGGAAGCAAATGATCGAGCACCATGACGAGTCCCCGTGGCTGTACTGTCAAGCTGGCTCTTGGGTCCGGGATGAGAAAACCGAACTGGTGGTGCGGTGCAGCTGCTTCCTGACGCATTTTGTGAACACGGCGCAGATGCCGATCTCGCCGGACCTCCACTCGAGGTAGGACTGCTCGGTGGCGCGGTAGAGGCGGGTAAGATGGCCACTCCGCGAGACGACGACGTAGAGGACGCTGAGGTCGACGTGGCGAAGATCGCACTGGTTTTATGCATTGCAAGTGGGTCTGGGTCTGGGAACATGCAAGGTCTGTCATGCATGGCAAGCTTGACTCTCGAGTCTGTCGTGCACATTACAAAAAAGCTCCGCCGCTGTTCTGTCATGCAGAAGCTCGCTTTGTCATGCAGAACACATCACAACACTGCAAAATCCCAAGAGGCTGTGTTGGCGCCTTTCTCAACCAGCATCACAAATTTATACTACTCATTCGTTCCGGGCCCAGGCGAATTTGCATCAGATACGCTGTAGCTCCAGGCGCTGCGTGACCGAGTTCATCAGCAGGGGGCGACGTCGCAAGAAGGGACTTACTCCCGCATCCGGCCGTCGTGGGCGTCGCGGGCGCGGAGGGGGTGGACGGCAAATCGCCGGACGACTGGGCTCCCTCGTCTGCGCACTTGGTGGCTGGTGGTGGCGGGAGGGTGCTTTTGCTGCTGGCGCCGGACGTCGCGGGCGCCGTGGTGTCGCTCTCTGCCGCCTTGCTGCCCGCCCCACTGGCACAGGGGTCGAGGCTTCGATCCCTGTCAGGGAGCGCCAGGACCGCCGTGCTCCTCAGCTTGGAACCGCCGATCCAGCTGCCGCCCAGCGCGTCGGGAATCATCTGCGTCTCGTACCACATCTGGTAAATTGCACCGAACACCGTGCGCTGCTCGGCATTCTGCTCTCTGGCTGCGGCGAAAGCAGCCAAAGAGCTCTCCTCATGCTGTTTTTGCCACTGCTCGAGCGGCATCTGCGTACCGCTGGCGTGGTCCGTAGCTGAGGAGGTCTCTGCTTCGCTTCTCGTCGCGCCGCGTGTCCTCGCACCGCTCGACGCTGCCTCTTGCTTGATCCTTGTGACTTCGTGCATCACAGCATCCAGCTTTTGGTTGACTCGATCGTGTAACCTGCGTGTTTGTGATTATGAGTATAGGCACTCAGACACAACATTCTTCAAATTCACACGCCTTTTGGTCACCTTGTCCTCGTTGTCGTTTTGTCGGAAACATTAACATATACTGTCGCGCCCCTGATGCGGGTCATAACATCACGGCATGCAGCCTAATATTAGCGAAAGCATACAATACGCGGCGAAGCGAGTTAGTAGTTGCGTATCAATCTACATGTGCGTACTGATATTCATATTCCTGAGCCAGGCGGTCACGCTAATGAAGTCAAAAGCTCTATCAACAAAAAAATACATGGCATTCTCTTTATGGAATTCGTCGAGCTTATCGAACAGGATCTCGAGCATGCTGTCTCGGAGCTGCGCGTTGTATGCAACCAAAAAGTGTGAAGAGGCTCGAGCGGTTTTTCTTTTGATGTATCTCTTATACTGCAAGTCTGTACTATAAGTACAGTGCACATGATCAAAAAAGTGACGACTATTGTGGTGCTCCTTCTCGTTGGGAAGATGATGTCAGAAGGATTCGTCAACACACTTATGCAGTGCGCCAGCTGGGCAGTTTCTGGTGCCGCGATCATGCACATCGTAGTCGTCGCTTGGGCAAGCCCGGGACGTGGTCCCTCTGACCTGGTTTTAGGTCTAGCTCAACGAATACAAAAAAGTCGATGCGCATTTTGCCCGAAGTTGCAGCTGCTGCTGTGGCTAGTAGTAGTACATCAGCATGCTCTTTACACAAGCCATGGGATTTTGTCGGGGATACATCCTGCTTCTCTGTTTTTACTTCCTGTTCCAGCAGTACGTTCGTGACACGCAGGCGCTGCACTTCCGACAACGATCGTCGAGATGTGGAAGAAGAGCTGCGTTGTGAGATTGGTCTGCCGGTGGTGGTGGTGCCGCGGCCCAAGCGATCTACAAGGGCGGTGGAGCCGTGCATCGCTACGAGACAGCTCGACGGTGGAGATATCGACAGGTTGTCGAGCTGGGTCTGACCGCGCGGCTCTCCATCTTCCAGCTCTTGGTCTTGCCCGTCCGAAGGACTGGAGCATGCTGTAATTGGATTTGGCACTGATTTATCTATACACATAAGAAACAAGCTGATCGATGTACATAATATCACAACCTGTTTCCGTTTCATCGATCTGAGTGAATTCGTATCTAAGTCAAACTGTAATGAAGTTGGCAAAAAAATCCGTCAAGAGCAGCCAACTCATGCTAGTGTGTTTTTTGCTCAAAAATGATTGTGTACGGATTTTCTTCGTGTTCCTGTCCCGGCCGCGATTCTGTCGCGTATCTTGTTCCGTATTCGCGTCCACAATTCCTGGCTCTTGAGTAGATAAATCGGATGAAACAGGAGTGGCACCATGCAGCACAGGACTATCACCCATCTCAAGTATACACTCTCGTCCGGACCGACCTGTGCAAATAAAGGTAGGATGTATGATGCAGTTTGATGCTGCGCTGTTTGCTTTTCTATCATCTTTTTCATACATAAATCTAAATGTCGACAGCACGACGTGGAGCATGCTCAGCTCGTTCTCATTCGCAAAAAAAATTCAGTGGTCAGACAGGCATATATTTCCCGAACTTCAACTTAGTGCTTGTGTCTTTCTTGTCAACACGCTCACTCAGCGATAGCGCAAGAAACTAAAAGTAAAATAAACCTATCAATCGCAAGTAAATACGTGACTCTCCTTTTTGATCCTCTTTCTTTTGCTCTGCCATCGCACTGCAGCTGGCGTCTTCTAGCTCTAGGTCCGGATCACATGGTCCTGCCTTAGCTATTTCTTTCATCCATGCTTCATCTCGCCAAGCGAGGCAGTGGCAGTGCTGCAGCCTCCATGTCTATAGCGGACGATGAAAGATCATCCAATGGGTTCTGGTTGCTGTTCAATCTCTGCTCTTCCATACAACATCTCGCCGCTTTCCCACCGTGTCGTGTGCATGTACAACTATGCTATTAGTACAGAACTAAAACTATTAATGTTGTGTTGTTGTGCTTGTATATATGAGATCAAGTTGTTTTTTGTCGTGCTGTTGTGCGTCCTTAAATCGTATCGGCGCTGTCAGCTCGATAATTGTTGTAAAGAATTAGTCTGCTGTGAAGACTTCTCTCGTGCGCTCAAGATTGCTGCCTTCAGAATCAGCTTCTTTCCCATCTTTTTGACTTGTTATCGTTATATAATATAAACCAATTACAACAACTTACAACTCATCAGTTTGATGTAGAAGCTCCACCTGACGGAGTGAAACGAAACAGCTTGTTTTCCTTTTTGAGCAATTTGATTAGATGTCGCTCCGCTCCCCCACCAACTGGAACCACATATTTTGACTGACCTTCAATGCAACGAACTGCACTATCAATAAGGTACAGCAAACCCATTATACGGACGGAGAACGCAGACGCTCGATGTACAACAGCAGACACGGCGCTCTGCTCGTCCGTAGGTACCTGTTCCAGAAGCATGAACAAACTTGATTCACTCCACAGTCCTCCCTTCATTTGCGTGTCTTATCATGGCCCTCGGAATGCATGGAAAATCATTTACATTTTCAAAAAATTCATTGGTCGGAATCAATGTGCCGACAGAAGGTCAATGAACTTGCAATAGTACGAGAAAAAAAGGCCTCGCATTTCATGCCTCGAAACAAAAATGGTCGTTAAATTATGAAACCAATGAAACAACACATCTACCGTAATTTTGTATCATCATACATGCACGTAAGGGCGCATCGAGGGTGACGAAATGACACGCCGACTGTCGTGTAGTAAAAAAAAAATGGTAGTACTATCACTAATTAGGTGTGAATCAGGCCGCGGCTAGCTGAGAAAGTATATCAATTTAGCAGACACGCGGCGATCACGGCTTTGGATTCCTATCATGCGGTTTTTGTGACGTCCACGCCGCCTCGTCTGCTGAGTCATGTTGAGTGTAACTTTAAGGGTTGTGGGTATAAAAGCCATCAAATTTTAAAAATACGAATACACATCAGCGGATGCGCAACGCCAGCTTCTTCCGAAATTTCATTTCTCCTCTGCCTTTTTCACTTTCCCTTCGCGAAATAGATTTACCTATGCAAATGGAACAAATAACTCGTCCTCGATACCATGCAAATAACATTCCGATATCCAGTACCGGAAGCAGAAGCCGTGAAGCAAAGATCTACTGTGTTCTGAAGATGACAGTGAAACTGAAACTGATAGGAACGTGGTGATGAAAACGATAAGCAAGAAAGGCGATCATCATGAAAGAGGAGACTGGGAGATGACCTAGAATCCTTCTTTCAGTTTTCGTTGTACTTCTTTCGAGAGAAGCGTCTGCTGTGAGACATCGTCATCTTATCGATGCTTTTTATTTTGCATCGAAGCAAAAACACTGTGTGAAAGAGCAGCACTTGCAACGGGTCCGAGGAAGAGCGTTCAAAATTCATCGGATAACCAAGGAAAATGCATATGTTCATCCAAAGACTTGTATTTGTCAGGCATGCTACCAGGTCTATACTTTGCTTTCCGAACAACCTCGAAAACAGACTTACACTTTTGATACATGACCGCCTTTATTGCGCCTGCGTTTTTTGTGATGTTGCTAACATCGTTGCAAGATTTTGTGGTTTCCGCGTCGTACTCGTATGTTGGTTTCAGCAGCGTTGTTGCGTGCGGATTTCCACAAACTTTGCACCACCTTGCCGTCGTGTCGTCCGCAAACGGAGTCCACCACTGACCGCCGCCAAAAAGCCCGGTCTCTTCGTCGTAGGGGGGGTTGTTGTAGTAGGTTGGCCTCTTCTGGACAACCGCACCAGCAGCTGCGATGACATCTATCTTGCCACCATGATTCGCGCCGTTGTCATTGCCGACTGTGAAACAAGTCGAAAGCAAGATGGTGATCCAATCGAGGACAATGCCACGACCAGTAAGTTGATGTCTAAAAAAGTGAAAGATCTGTACAGATGTAGAGAGACAGTGAGTTGGTCTTTCCTAATTTTCTTCAACAATCCTTCGTCATTAGCTTTAGCACGATCGATAGCAAACACAAAGTTAGTCATCATATTTATTATCGAACAATCCAAACTCCACAAAAATGATTCTCAATCTTCTCCTGACTACATCAACATGAACATCTATTATACAGACACGAAAATCAAGACATTGTCAGTAGTATGTACGTAATTTCGTTTCCGGTTTTGCTCCACTGGCTCGCTTTGCATCCTGCTGCGTTTCTGCTGGGGTAGAGAGGCGGGGCGGCGCCGGAGGTAACCCTATCGGAAGGCCCACGGCACTCTGACGCGAGGCACTCTCCTGCGCCCTTCGCTTTTCCCCTGCGTCCTCGGCGCGTCCACCTGCCTTCACCGTAACTCCAACTGGAGGAGCTGGCGGCCCTGACTCGCCTCCGGGCGCTGCAGGATCTTGTGGCACGTGCGCAAGATCTAGATCTGGACGCACTTGGTGAGCTTCTTTGTCCTTGTTGTCGTGGCCTTCTGCCTTCCCGCTAACGCTCCGCGTCGCGTCGACGTGTCCGGGCTTACTCTTGTCAAAAAGACCAAAAGGGCGCGGTGGTGGGACAAGCCGGCGGGACTTCCCCGGCGACGGCGTCTCTTCCCCGTCGCGGTCTTCGGGCGACGCGGCGGAAAAAACACGACCTAAAAAGTTTGTTTGTAAGTGTATCGGAGTACAAAGGAAACAAAGAGTAAGAGAGGCATACAAATTAGCATGACAAAGAATAAAAAACAAGTAGTGACTACCTATTTCAGAGGCGGCCAATAATTTCGGCACGACGGATTCAAGGGATGCACAGCTGGACTAGTTCTCCTGTAACTGTATCGTAGTATCAAAATAGGAAACGACACACAAAGACAAAGTCGAGAAAATGCGTGACACACCTCGGGGAGAAAGTCTCTGGACCGGAACTTCTGTCGCCTTCTTACGTCGCCTACTGTTGCTTTGTCCGTTGTCACCCACGAACGCCGATTCATTTTCGTCCCCAACCGCGTTGATCATGTGGCTCGGCGGGACGCGGACGACGCTATCTCCCGGAATCTTTACTTTGTCGTTGGAAGTGAAGGTGGCACCTCAGAAGTTTATATTACGCTTGAGCTTGTGATGCATGAGTTCAATGATTTACGCCTAGTTGCAAACAAAACTATGTCTGCGTCGGTAGAGGCGGAACTTCTGATGCTTGGCTTAAACTCCAGCAAAATCTGTTATGCATGACCAGCAAAAGCGGTGATTTTTAGGTCATGCTGAGACACAATCTGTAATGCCGCGAACTACCTACAAGAAATCTCCCTAAAAACTTGTCATGCTTGGCAGCGCTTGGTGGAAAGGGTTCATTTATCCAGGGCTCAACATCACAACTCTCCAGACCCAGACATATTTGAATGTGCTTGTGGTGCTATGAAATGTCCATAACATTCTCTTTTATATACCTATGTGTTTAAATAACAGAGAACATACGGACAACAAACGCAAAAGGACGAGCCGGGGCAGAATGCCCATAGAGTCTTGCTTCGCTTCCGTATAATCTCTATCTTACCAGCAAAGGACGCCTCAGCAGCTGCTGGCTCTCCGGGTGTGCCGCCTGGCGAAACGTGTGCATGATTTCGCATATGCAGTAGATCGCCTTGACCATCGCCGCTGCCCTCTTCTTGGTGATCGTTCTTACCCCTGCCGAACTCGGAATCGGAGTCGCTGGTTGCCGCCAGAACATGGGCTTTGTAGGTCTCTTCCAACCGCGCTCGTCGCGTTTCTGCAATTTGCTGTTGCGCTCTTTCGGTAAGCTGATGCTGATCCAGGTTCCAGTTCAAAAAGCACGAATCGCCTCGACCTGGGGGCAGTGCGACTGCAGGCGTACCTGTAATGCAATAGTAGACTTAGACACTCACGGAGACTAATAAATTTCAATATATAGATAAAATGATATATAAATCCTGGGGTTGGCTAAAATAAAAAAATTTTGTTTAGCATTAGCGCCACTCACAAAAATCTTATATCTTATTTGTTGAATCAACTTGGAACTGGATCTTTTTCTTTTTGGATCCATTTCTAGTGACGCTGACGCGATCGCAGTAGTACAATTCAAGAGTGTATTGCAGTTCCATGACAGCAGCACATCCAACCACAAGCAAAAACCTAACTCCTCTACCAGTAGCTCTACTCCGGTAATATGGTCTTTCCCTTTTGTTTTTACGTGAAAGACAAGACGAGGTGGCGCACGGCCTTCTTACGCGTGGCAAACGACGCAAATCCAAAATTACGTACTGAGTAAACGGCTGGCCTTGAATAAAACTCAAAAAAATGTACGTCGGGTGGCAGATGCAAATAGCCCTCGCCTCGGCTCCCTGCGTGCGCGATTGCCAGTGGTTGTTGTACTGGCGACCGAGGTTGTGCCAGCAGATTCTGCCACGTTCGAAGGTCCGTCGCCAGTCGTGGTCGCAGGGGCAGATGAAGATGATATGACAGTGCACAAATAATCCCCCTCATTTGTAGTGCCTGAACTACAGCACTACGAAGTGTAAGTAAAAGTGCAGCTTTTGCATATACAAAAAATCCACACGACAGGATTGCAGTGCTGCTTGGGCTGCTGGAATCTGTCATGGACACACTGCCAAAAGCAATTGTGAAGTCCAGTCTTGCCAAGGCTGGACATTGCTTGACAAATGTAAATGAACAAGGGAAAGGGGAGTAGTGGTGCACTCTCATAGATGACGCGCTCGATGCCGAAAGCGCCCCAGGCGTGGATGTGACGATCATCGACTGTCCTTGACGTGCGGAGGGTGCGAGGGCAGCAAAAATCGGTACTCCTGCTTGTTCCAGATGTGAAGACCGCGTGGAGGTTTCCAGACCCGCCGGAAAAGGCCTTGGTCTGTTATTTGCATTCGCGCTTGGTCGAGCTGACGGTGGAAGTTGTCCGCTCTGCACAACTCCGACAGCAGGGGCAGGAGCAGATGCACCAGGCAGCATGTTATCTTTCTAACTATGATCCCAGCACGTCGACCAGCAGCAGGGAGAGTCGTGGGCCCACACGCGCAAGAACTTTTAGGCAGGAGCTGGCGCAGCTCCACAAAAGACCCACGAAGTGGAAGTGCAGCTCCAAGGTGTTTTCCTACGCTACCGTTCTCGTTCGCGCAGAACTTCTACCGTGTGCGAATTATTCTGGCCGGATGCAAAGAGGGGGTAGCGCGTGACGACACTAGCTCCGATACGGGACCACGCCGCAAGAAAAGATTTTTTGCTTTTGAGTTACATCCCGTTCAAAAAAGTAAAGCAACACGACGCTAGTTACATGCTGATGCCTTTATTTGAGAAAGAAAGAAGAATGCCTCGTACGAGATAACTGCATGTAACTGTAAGTCGCATTGATGGTGGTACTAGGACTAGCCACATATGGCAGATAGTTGTCATGTTGCGAAACTCTAATTCGTCTTCCAACAGTAGACAACAAGTGGCATGTGACCACAATACTTCAACCATTCGCATTTTTCGCGTAGTTTGAATTATCTCTCATCTCTCAACAATTTCTTCAAAATGAAAATGCCTCTTTGCAGAGGGAGATGATCCACAGCAAGACACGCTCCCATATTATGACCTAAGACATGATTGTGATGATTGTGATGAAGAGAGAAGTCATGCTCGCTTTGTTAACTTCCCCTTGTGCTTTTTGTTTTTCCTTGTAATCATTCAAGTCATCTTCAACATGAGAATGAGTTTCTCTTTTGCATGAGAGGAGATGACACACATTTGAAATTTTACATTTACTGCTCTTTTGCTCCCTCTCTGGACCTGAAACAATTTTTTCTGCATCGCAAACAATGTCTCAACCACAAAAATTGCCCGCGAGTCCTGTTGTAAAGAAACTGCGTAAGTAGACGAAGGAACACGGCCAATGAGAAATCAATTACAATTAAAACAGCGTGCTTGACATAAACATTGGAAACGAATACTCGATCACCTTCTGTCGGATTGTCTCTGAATCAAGTGCGTATCTCCATCTGCAAGTAAGTTCGAAAAAAATGTTGAGCAGCAGGTCAGCGTTAGCGACCACCAAGCGCAAGCAGATTGCACGCACACAATAATCGCATGAGGCATGTTTTCGCCCTTTTCGTAGCTGTCAACATAGTCATTGTCATCTCAACCAGCTGCACAGAACTAAATCTTCTACATCATCTGTTTACATTTGCTCCGCTTCTTCCCCGGCCATCTCGTCCTCATCCTCGTCGCTTTTATCTTCATCATCGGTGGTCTCCTCGTTGATCACAATCTGCTGTTCGACGCCTTCCAGCGAGATCGTCGCGAAATCATCAACGGTGACGGGCAAAGGCTTCCAAGTAGAGCGATTATTTCCAGACCCGGGCGCTCCGTTAGCGTTATCTATTTCGGACTCTGCAATAATTTCCTGGATCGCAGCGGACACTTCCGCATCGTCCCGCAACAGCGACATAGGAACGGCGGGTATCGCGGCGGCGCGATTCTTCTGACTTCGCAACGCCGCGAGAGTAAGCTGCTTGCCGTGCTCCGTGCTACGTAGCAGCGTTGGGCAAACGTATCGCAGGGCCTTGCCCGTGTTCCCGACAGCGGCTTTTGCGATGTCAAGCTCTCCGCGCAGCTGGATTGGTAAATAGGCAAGCGCCTCCCCGCTTATTTCTCGCACCAAGCGCATCGCTTCATCCCGCTTATACAAAAACGTTCTGCAGAGCGGATCATCTCCGCTCTCGCTCACGTCCTCGCCTGTGAATAATCCTGCCATTCCACTTAGACAGCTAACATCAGCTGCCTTCGCCAGAATGAGTTCGCGCAGGAAATCTACCCGGCGTGACGCTAGCGGATGGCTCCTCGGGACACTCAGACAGAAGCCGGCTAGGTACATGACATACTCCCTGCACTTGCAGGCAGCGCTGAAAGCCTCGGGGTCGGAAACACCGAGAAACCTCTCGCCACGGGCAAAAAAGATTGCGCGCGGGTTTTGTTTTACCGCAGCCAACACGATGGAACGGCTTTGCGAACGCATTTTCATACTACAAAACTCCAACGCCAGCCCGTTTTGCGACACCGCTGCGAGACACACGTCCTCATCAGCAGATAGTTTTGGCGGTAGGTGCTGGAGTGCCAGTCCGCTTTGCTGGACAGCCAACATTGCAATGTCCTTCCGGCTTCGTAAATCCCGCGACGCAGCACGGATGGCACGAATTCCATTACGCCTCGCCGCTTCGGTAACTATGTTCGCGTCCTCGCAGACGGCTCGCGATGTGTTGCACAGTAGGCGCTCGATGTCTCGCTCCACTCGATACGACTTTTGTCTAGACTTGTCCGCGTCTTCTACTTCGCCGACGACCACGTCCAATCGGCGAATCAGGTTCATCATCATGCTTTTGCAGGCCAAGACCTCGCTGCTCGCGAGGGCCACCGCGATGCTGGGACTAATTCTTGCGACTGCGTCGACGAAATTTGGATCACGCCGCAAGCTCCAGGGGGGGCCGCAGAACTGAGCACGTTCGCTGTCCAACCATCTACCGTGTGGGCGTTCGCTGAGAAGAGTACTCGCTCCGCGAACGACAGCTAGCCAAAAACTCAACTCGAAAAGTTGTGATGGAGGAACTACTCCAAGTCCAAATCCCCCTTCTCCCAGATTCCTGCATAAAAGCATCGTGCACCAGTAAGGAGACGACAGGAGGACGTGGAGTTTGGCATCCGGTTTGAGATAATGAAAGAAGGGGAGGAGGTCATCGCCGTGTCCACTAGTATAATTACAATCCGTATGCCTATCCCAAAAGCGTGCCGCAAAAACCGACTGGAGAAACGACGCGTCCGCCCGCTGTGCCGGCGATAAGGTTTTCCAAAACCGCACCAGGCGATCCGGGCTCTCGTCTATAGTCGCCTGCAAAAACTTTTTCGCAACCGAATCCGGACAAGATCGTCGCCATGCGACGGGCAATGCAGCCCAGAGCTGGTAGGGAATTTCGGCAGCAAGTGCGACGAGAACCTCCTTGGACGCAATCGCATCCATTTGGTCTCGAAGGACGACGAGAATCTTGCTGATGTTCTGCGCAAGCCATTTCCGACTTGCGCTCTTGCATTTGTCGTAGATATTTCTCCGGTGCGGGCAATGCTTGTCGCGATCCGAAAACAGCTTGTTTGGTTTAGCAGCCGCCGCCAGCACTTCCGGCCTCCATCGCAGGTCTTGCGAGAAATACGTGAACGCGGAAAAGCCAAAGACACTAGCAGCGTCTACTGCGAATTTCAAGCAGGAGCTTCGCCATTCTGGAATAAGACATTCCGCCAGCTCACTCAATGGACAGCCTCCATAAACCAGGTCGAATAGGAAGTTATTGTCTTGTTGGAGAGTCGACAGCGCTCGCGCTGATATGGTGGCTTGGTCAGCGTGACCAACACCAGCTGCAGTGCTCGAAGTAGAAGACATGGGACAGGACGACGTTGCGAGAGATTCCTCCACGGCCGACGGTGCAATATGCTCCACCGGCCGCAAAAGGCCTGGACCGTTCCCTCTGCACCAAACCCGAAAAAGTTCGTCCATAGTGCTCTTACCGAGCGGGGATGAAGCGGTAGAGTTTTTGTGTGTGTCGGCAATATACTTCTTCAGCGAGAGAAGATGACCTGCCGTTGCACATTGCGACGCAATCTCGTCCTGTGTTACAACTTGATGTTGAACGCCGTCAACCGGAACGGAAATCTCCCCGAGAATGATCTTTCTGGCCAAGTCCCACCCACCATGTGCTAGGGCGTTCGCAAACCGCACACTGGGAGTTAATGTTGCCGACACGACATTCGCATTTGCAACTCCTGTAGTGCCGCACCCCTCCACGGCCGGTGAGCCCCCGCCAACGTCCTTCATCGACTGCGCAGCTGTAGATCCAGCTTGCGTGTCTGGTTCTACTTGCTCTTTCTGATCTACTTCCCCACTTTGAATTTCTATTTCTTCACTCATCCACTCGTTCTCCGGAGGTAGTTGCAAGGCCTTGGGGACCACGCAACAGCAGAGGTGCGTCGCGCTCGCAGAGGTAGCAGTGGAAGAAGTAGAGGAGGGAGAGCTAGCCTCCGAGCAGCTGGTTGTAGTGTACTTCCTGTACAATTCACTGACCGCTTTCATATTCCGGACGCACGCTGCGTCTTGCAGCAGTAGGTCCGTTCGCCTGTGGAAAGGACAATTGGCACAATAATGGGAAGAACTGTTCACGCAACAAAATCCGGTCAAGTAGTCTCCCAGGTCGTTACCGCTAAGCCCCGCAGCAAGCGCTATCCGAGCCACTGCCCCGAACATTCGCACAGCTCTGTCCACACGACTAGAAAGCCAAAGGTCGTGCTCGTGCCCCTTGGCCTTGCTCTTGTCGTGCTTGGACATCTTCATCGCGGGGGTGCATTCATGAAGCAGGGGAAGAAAGGGCCTCTGTGACGAAAACAAAAGCGGGCATAGGGCATAGGTTTCGTCGTACAGCACAGCAGTCCTCTTTTGTTCATCTTCGGTACTAGTACTGCTCCGCGAACAACACAGTCCAGTCTGCAACAGGCTGAGAGTCCGGGCCTCAGTCTGGACCGCTTCGGCATCTGCAGTAAACCTTCTGTTCTCTGGTCGAAGCAGTACCTTCGTGCCCGTCCGCATCTGTGATGGCTGTGCAAACAAGATGCGGCGCGGGTTCCGGCTGATAGCAAGCATCTGCGACCTCCATGCGAGCAGCCAGAGCGTCTCGTCGCGTCGCAGAACTACACTGGCGTACTGTAGGCAGTCGCCACCATGCTCGGAGTTGTTGCTCAGAAGCTCACTCATGAAATCCAGGTCCCTTCGAAATTTGGTTCCTGGGGAGGTGCGCAGAAATTCTTCTACCATCTCCGGCCTGTTGCGGCGGAACACTTCGAGCAAGTGGTCCATCACAAAATTTTTGTCAGCGATGCGCTCTTCCGACACCATTTCAAAAGCCTCTTCGAAGCTGGGGCAGCAGAGCGAGCAGATTGACAGGTAGGCAAAAACGCAATCGACGTCCACACGGCTTTCCGACTGCCAGTCGTCCTCCTCGTAACTATCGGAAGTGAAGAGAGTGTCTTTTATCTCATCCATGAGTTTCGGCGTCAGCTTGGGTTCTGACACCGGCTTCCCGCGCTTGAAGCTTTTGATCGCTTCAAGCATCAAATGCTTTCGTGGCGCTTCAGACCGCTCGTAGCAAAAGAAGTAGGGAATTGCTGTCAGCAGAAAATAAAGAGACTCAGAATCTTTCACAGCCGCCACCAGTTCCAAAATGATGTTCGGATTGCCTTCTTCTACCTCGGACAGCCTGTGAGATATCACACTGACGTATTTCGCATCGAAGTAACGCACCGCAAGAGTCGCAAGCTTCTCACTGTCACGGAATTCCGCGTTGTCTTCAAACCAGTTGCCGAACCACTGATAAAATGTTTATTTATCATTATGATGAAGATAAACCGACATTAAATTCTCCAGCTCAAATAAACATCCTAGGAATTTCTATTGTTTTTTGGCACAACTTTCACTTTGGTCGCCTTTCAGTCGAATCAAAACAAAATGTTAGCGATACAACTCAACTTACCCGTCTTTGGGGAGGGATGTAGAAATCAATACCCCTGCGTCAACACCATAGATCTGGAACTGCGAAATGTGTTCGACGAACTTGATGCTATCGCGCACTTTCGCTCCGGATTTCCAGTAGATCCACCACACAATCGCACTCAACCGCGCTTCGTCGGCTTCAGCCAGATACATCTCCGTAAAAACGCTCTCCGTAAGGGCCATCATCGTCTCTAGGTCATCTAACGGGGCAGCGTCCTCGTGCTCGGCAGCAAACTCAAGGACCGCGGCTTCCCCCCAGTCTTCGACGTCAAAGTTTGCGTCTTCCTTGGTGGTACAAACAAGATTCTTCGCTGCTTCCCATGCGTCTACTTTTGGCTGCTTGACTATCGCGTGCACCGTCCGGCTCTTTTTCTTTTCCGTCGGTGTGCTGGTTCCTGGCTCTGCGACGCTAATTTGTTGGCCCGCTGGTGGCGGGCAAGCATTCTTCTCTTGCTCTTCCTCTACTTGTTCTTCTCCTTCGTGCGGCGGGTCTGCATCTGCTTCTTTATCTTTGTTCACATCATCTGTACTGGTTTCGATTTTTTCTTCGTGTTCGTTTTCGCTCGGCTTCTCGAGGCAACGCCGCTTCGACGTCATACTGCTAGTCACCTGCTCGTCGTGGCACTCCTGGTCATCAATGGAGGAAGAGACTCCATCATTCCTGCCAACAGATTCTGACTCATCAGATCCGGGTCCGCGTCCGGCAAGAAGTTGTCCCCCGCCGTCTATAGAAGTTTTAGTTTTACCAGAGCAGGTTCCAAGCAACGGATCCGGAAGAAGAGGCTCCTTGCTTGCCACAAGAACATTGGTAGTTCTGCCGCTGCCGCCCAGTTGCGAAGGTTCTCCTTTTTCACCCGCAATGTAGACCTCTTCGTCGTCTGAGTAGGACTCGCCCGTTTCAGAGTCGACCAGACCAATGTGCTGCGGCAGCAGGTTTTTGACCGCGGCAACACGCTTGCGAATTTCGCCGACGAGAAGGGCGCATGGTCCATCACCGGGGCGGGAAACCAAACACAGCAGGTTTGCCGCAGCGTCGATCACCGTCACTGTGTTCTTCGGTGCTGGACCGCTGGTTGTGCCCTCCGATTCCTCATCTGCTTTCTCGCCATCTTCCTCTTTTTCATCGTCCATTTTTATTTCTGCGTCGTGATGGTAAAACTCGAAGTCTTCGCCATCGTTGGTTTCGTTCCTTGTCATTATGACGATCGAGATAGTGAAACGTAAACGATATTTACCTAGTTCTTGCTCTATCTTCTTCGTAGCAGTCAACAAGGAAAGTTCGACTTGTGCCAGCCGCTGGGATGCTGGTGATCAGAACTCAATTATGCAGCCGAAGGACATCAACACAAACACTCAAGGTCGAGCTACAGCTACACCTACAGCAATGAATCTCTGCAAATGGAGAGGTGTGGTGCCGTCGGGAAAAAAGTAAAAGAGTAGTCGTAAAGTCAACTGAAACGCATCAAATTATGACACTGACACTTCCGGTTCTGTACGTAGTGGTTTTTGCAACAGGAAAAAAAACGCGAGGTTCTTTATGCCGAAGGAATACTGGCGCCTTCATTCATCTCTCTCCTCGAGCAGGCCGTGAGCAATTTGCACTGCACGACTTCTTGGACTGTATCTGTATCTGATACTATCAAAATCAAACAAAAACAACAACGCATATTAGACGACAATAAAGAAGACCGTCAAAAACCTTTCGGAGGCCCCTCGCCCTACTCGAACTGGGCTGCCAGGCTTCCTGTTAGCAATGGATTGACAGCGGTCGTCCGTCTACAATACACGAATCGAGTTTTTTGTTTTTCTTTTTGATTGTTAATGCGTCCAAGAACTTAGTGGTTCTTGTTTTTCTTTTTGTTTTTACGAGAGTGAATGTCTGTACGAAAGAGAAAAAAGATTGAGATTGTGACTGTCGCCTCTCGAAATTTCAATTTGACGTTTTTTGTGGATAGAATGTCGATTTTCTTGGAAGTTCAACACGTAGTAAAATCGTACCGGATACGTGAGTCATTGACTACTCGGCGTTGTTGCTGGCATTTTTCAAACACCACAAACAGATGAGCAGGCAGCTGTTCGTCCCAAACAGGAACTACAGGAGGTACCAGTGCCTACTCATCACTTTTTCCCAAACAGATAGTACCCGCCGAAGTTGAAGATCTGCCTGACCAGCGACTTCGCAACGAACCCAGAAGCCCCCTTCGCGGACGTGACCGCCGTCCGGCGCATCGCGAGCTCCATCGCCTGTTCTGCACGGCTGCGAGCGTGGCTGCTGGTGTGCGGGAACAGAAGGAGAATGCGGTAGGAGGAGAAGATCGTTTTCCGGTGCAAGAGTTCCTCCATGTGGTAGTACCGCACGACTTGAATCCCCGCAAGCACCCCGACGGCCAACGCGAACAGAACCGCAATCTCGCCCATGTTCTTCTGCAGGCAAAGTTTGCTGAAGCTCCACAGAACCGGGATCAGGCCGGCAAAAACACCGATACGACGGATCTGGTTATATATGGAGGAGGGAAATAAACTTCGAGGCAGATGGCAAATTATCATGATCAGGATGTAGTTGCATAAAAGTAAAATCAAAATGAATATGAAAACCAAGTACTTAAGTACACTAAGTACACTATGTTTGTATGAGATAATGATCTACTGCGAAGCAAAAAAAGTTCATAAACTTTCCACCACTTTACCTCCAAGATCAGAATGCACTGGTGCGGCGTCGGGCTCACGTTAGTCAGGAAGTTCACCGTCGCCCCGAGGTTGAACATGGCGAACACGCCGCTACAAAGTGCCAGCACGCCACCGTAAATCGCAGATCTGGCACCTAAAAGACGTAGCAGCACCGTTCGTTTTGTTAGCGAATCCATCAGGTGCTCCTGCGCGGTCGCAGCGATGAGGCCGACGAAGAAATATATGGTTTGGTAGTTCATCATATCCTGTGCAAAAATATCGCACTCGTATGGAAGTCATGAATTACAAATCCTTTTCTTCAGGTAAATCAGCATTGCAAATCTGATTTCTCACGCTGAGGAAATTATTTGTAATGCATTTATACGAGTACGATACTTTTGCAATTCATACATCAACGTTGCGCCCGGTTCAGAAATTACCTTAAACCTCGCGGCCGAGAAAGAAGGAACGAGGTTGACAGCTATATCTTGTTCCGCGGTGCCAGCTGTTGCTCCATCTTGCGCTTGCAACGCAGTTGGAGTTGCAACTCCGCTGGAGAAGTACGACGTTGCACCAACAGTAGCCTGTTCTTGTGCCGCACCAGTCGCCTCTTCTTCTGGGAAAAGTAAACCCAACAACGGGAGCAGAAAAAACCTTGCCAAAATCTCCTCCCACACAAAGACGATGATCAAAAACCGGTAAAGTAGCGTTCTTATCCGGATCGCTTCGTTCTTGTATCGGCTCCATCTCGGCGGCGGAATCTCATCCAGCATGCTCGCGCGCTCAACGTCGTCGCACCACCGCGCGTACTGTGCCAGGATGCTGCAGGACCCGAGAAAGATCAGCAACTTCCCGCCAGAGGCTGGCCTATGCTCCACCAAGGGTGTCAGAATGTCCCGCGCGCCGAGGAAGCAGCCAATCCCGGGCAAAGCTGCGTGGATGCCAAAAACGACAAACGCCGGCAACGACGCCAAGGCCTGCGTCGCCCAGTCGCGCAATGCCTGTGCGTTTAACAACAGAGGAAGAGATGTCGTCCACCCAATCGCCAAAATCGCACACACTAATCCCACGGTCAGGTCTTGCTGGTACAATAATGGGATTTGGAAGATCGGCAAGATCCTCGTGTACACAAAGCGCGCGCCGGAGATGATAATTGGCAGCAGCCAGAGAAACAAGCACCCGCCCAAGTACGGGATTTGCTCCGTCTTCGGCTGCGGCTGGAACATGCTCGCAGCCAGTGCCTCGGGACTAGCACCGACGGAGTTTGCGCGTCCGGGCTTGTAACTGACCAAATCCGCGACAATGTCAATCAACCGGGAGAATTTTGTGATTCCACTCGCGAGAATGATCGCCTCCTTCACCACCGCCGTCGCTACGGCGGTCGTGATGTCGTGCACGTCGTGAATGTCCACCATCTCGGACAAATTGGTGATCGGCGTACCATCGTAATTGTACTGCGCAGAACCAGAAGATGAACTTGCAGTACTATAATTTCCTCCGCCACCACTGAGCCCGGTCTGGTAGGTCATGCCCTTATTCATCGACGCGTCAAAACCACTTTTCATCGTGTTCGGCGACGCCGCTATTCTGACACTGTCTTCCGGCTGCATCCCGTCTAAACCGCGTGGTGTCGTACTGCCAGAATCGAGCCGCGTGGTCCCAGCGAAAGTAGAAGATGAGCTGGCCCCTTGATTCGGACTCGCGTCGGAGTTGTGGTCCCCCGTGCCACCCGGCGCGTCCGACGAGGTAGTGCTTGTGTACTGCAGATTGGAAGCTGCTCCACCTCCAGTACCTTGATCCGCACTACCCGCAGATGATGAATTTTCCTGGTTTCTTCGGTGAATGTTTTCGATGTTTTGTCCGGGAATCAAGCAAGTCAAAATCATCGCTTGCGCCTCCAAGTCGTTCAGCGTATCCACACCGTACAATTCCGCGATCAATGCGCAATTCCGGACGCGGAAAAACATGTCTTTGAGAAACACTCCGGGAACACCGACCACGGGAATCAGCCCGACAAGGAAGTCGACCAATTGGGTCGTATTCGCGTACCTCGCGAACTGCTCGCCGTAGGAGGCTTCGCTGCCGTCTTCCACGTTGAAGCCCTCATTTCCATATTTCTCTGCTTGGTCGATCAAATATCGCACGGCCTCCTCGGCGCCGCCGTGCATCTGCGCCTGCGCGCGCGCTTCGACGTCCACCGGTCGGTACTCCACGGAAGCGAGGGTCACTCCTTTTAACGCGCGGGTGATGACGAAGGTGAGGATCTGATAGGTTTAAGTAAGTAGGTTTATTTGATGTGCGACTAGATTTGATCTTTTAGTTTTAGGTCCTCAATCCCAGCAGCATATCGTCAAGGTCAACTACAAAGCACAACAAGATGAGAAGCAACACCACAGCACGACCTTGTGCAACTTACAGTGATGAGAAACAAGAAAAACGTGGATCAGAATGACATTTTACCGTCTCCAGCGACGTCTGCAGCTGTCGCCCTGAATCCGCGGATAGTGTGGAGACGTCCTTCGAATGCTTTGTACTTTCCGCCACGGCTAGCAATTTGTTGTGCTGCTCGTGGCTCAACGTTTCCTCTCCACCGTCGAGTCGCACCCTGCTGTGTCCGGCCTGGTCAAACTGCAGCTCTCGTCCTGCCGTACCGGAGACAGCACTTCCCAGGAGCTGTGCGGAAGCTACTGTCCCCGACAGTCTCTCGCCTCTGGAAGATGAAGATGATGCTGACCCAACAGCAGCTACTGAACCAAAATTATCCGCCTTCCCGGAACTCAGCCCTTCTTTCAAACTGTCCCCTATCGTCGTCTCCATTACCGGGCTCTTCTCGCTCCAGCTGCTCTTGGTCAAATTGTCGGCCGTGACCCCCCGCACCTGCAACTGGTAATGGCCTCCGGGGGTCAACCCGTCCAGCTGCAGCAGGATTCGCCGCGGCGCGTGCTGCCGGATTGCGCTGTCGTACATGCGAAATTCGCCACTGGTCCACTTCTTTTCCTCCGGCGACATGTGGTGCAGCCGGCAGTCCCAGAACCGAAACTGGCCCTGCTGCTCTTGCTCCAGAACCACGACCACGGTTAGCTGCGTCGCCTGCGCGAAGATCAACGACGGCGCATTTGGTGGCGGCAGCGCGAGCGTGGTCTTACACGCCTTCTCGGTGGACCACGGCCCCGGACCGGCGGCAGTGACGGCGCGGATCCGCACGAAATGGTCGGTAGCCGACTCAAGATTGATCACCTGCAGCTTCGCGTAGAGAAAGCGCACCAAGAACGGCGGCATCTCCTGCTCGGTCTTTCTGAAATACTGCGCGAGCTGCTGCTTGTAACTAGCTGTGTACAACTTCGGGGAAGCGACTAGCGGAGAACTCGCGTTACCCAGGAAGTAGTCGCGGCCGGTGGAGGTCGACGTGGGGTTTATTTTCACTTTATGTGCTGGCGGGGACTGCAAGGTAGATGTCGCGGTGGCAAGGTTCTGAACATTCTTGTTGGAATCGTTCACTCTGCTGGTGCTGGCTTTGACGGCACTTCCACCAGCAGACGGTGTTGTACCCACGTGCTTCTTGATTTGGTCCTTTTTGGTCGCAACTGCGCCACCTGTACTGTTCGCAGTGCCACCTGTCGTGCTGTTTTTCGAGCTCTGCGCGCTCATGAACGGGCTTGTGGAAGATCTCAAGTCCTCATCTTCCAATTCTGAGCGCAGCCTTCGGACCAAAGCAACGCCGTTGTCCAACACCTTGCTCTGCAGGAAGCATTGGTCGCGCTTCACAAACACGGTGGTAACTTCGCCAGAAATCTTCCCGTTCCGCTTCGAGTAGTGCTGGATTTCGAAGCTTTGCAACTGCAATTTCGGTAGCAGTAACGGCTGGAGCTCCGTCGCGCACCAGAAGAAGGTCGCGGTGGTCGTCGTCGTTTCGGCAACTTGCACCTTGCGAATCACGGGGGCGACATCCAGTGTGCCGATCAAGGAGCTGGATTCGGAAAATTGTTTTTCGAAAACGAACGCGTTGGAAAGGGACTGAAACGAAATGTCGACCAAACTCTGGATCTTCGGGCCGCGGGGGATACTCTCCAACTGGCGCTGGGCCTCGTGGTGGAAGATCTTGCTGTTCTTTTGCCACAACTGGGCTAATTGGAAATGCGTAACAGGTCTGATTTGAAACGCATACGCCGTGTTCGGGTCTAAGTCTGGGACAAGCACGGTGGTAATTTCAGAAAACTTCGAGAGGTTCTCTTCCGACAAATCACAACTGGCGAGAACGGACCGTAAGCTGTCCTGCAGGGTTGCGTGCTGCGAAAGCTGATGGGCAAATTCGAGAACGGAAAAGCCGTCTTTCGTGAAGTTCACCTGCTTGAAGATGTTGTAGTGGTCAGACGTCCCTCGCGCTCGGAGTAGCTGCACGCGTTTTGATTGCAGAGACCCCCGCAAACGGCGTCCCCACTCTTCCTGCTGCGGCGTCCAGGTGTTCAGAATCGCGTCTGCGAGCGCGTTCGCTTGGTCCGCTAAAGGGGACACAGGAGGTGAAGAATTCTCGCTGTAGTGAAGTTGCTCAGCGCTGCAGGACCCGAACACAGCAACCAGCTCTCCTTCGCTGACGTCGGCTAAGGAATTCTCTGAAACTTTCAACTCGTGATTCGCCGTGCACCGAAAGTGCTTCCAGGGTCCGAGCTCTTTCAGCGTCTCGGGATCCACGGGGCGATAGCGAATCTCGTAGTACAGCGGGATGTTATCCACACAGTAAGGAAGCTGCTGCAAGGATGAACTAGGCGTCGTGCTGCTGTCAAGTGCCGCCGCACCGCCTACAGTCGAAGAAGTTGCCGAAGTCGCGATGCCCATCGTGCCCGGGCTACTCGCAATTTGCTCACTCACCGAATTGCCCACACCTCGCGTCCGCAGCAAGTCCGACGTCGTTAGGTTATTTCTGCTGTGATATTGGTTCATCTTCCCTCTGTAGTTGTTGTTCCGGCCCACAAACGGATCCAGTAAATCGACGCTATTTCCCTTCGCCAGCGGGCAACGCCAAGCCAAACCGATGGCGACGTCGGTGAATACCGGCACTGAGCTGCTGGTCGGCGCGAGCTGCGACATCAACAAGGGCTGCCCTTGCAACCGATGCTGCAGGTCCAGCACCGGCGAGGCCATTAGGCTGCTTGCCTCCATCAAATGAGGGCTGAAAGAGCGGCCAGCGTTATTTGCTGCGCGCGCGAAGGAAAGTTCGTGCTGCTGCTTGTTGGTCCGAATCGGCGAAAAGGCGACGGCATGATCAGCTGCCAGAGATGTAGTCGCATTCGTCGTATTAGCATAATTTCCACCCGCCTGGTGTCCCCTGTTGTTGATGTCGGGTGTTGAAATAAAGCTCTCCACAGTCGGCCGGAACTCCATGCCACCGTTGTAAACGACCGCTACTTCATTCCATCGGTGGTTCACGTCTTGGACCCATTGCGGCAACATGGGAAGATCGGCAATGGCACTCCGTGCAGAATCAAGTTCCGCTTTTCTCTCTTTTGGCAAGTTGTCCTTTTGCGCTGCTGTTGCAGTGGCGGAAGAACTACCCGATGTGTTGAAGAGCTCCGCCATCCCCTTCTCCGTGAACAGCAGTTTGCCGCTCTCCAGGCTCAGAAGCGTCGCGGAGGAGGAGGCTGAAACCAATGGAGGCAGAAACATTTCATGTTCTGCAGTCCCTAGGCTGCCTTCAACCTCTTCAGAATCGATGTAGTCGCCAACTTGTTTCATGCGGTCTTCAACACTTTTTGTCGTGGCTATAGCTTGCTCATACAGCTCCTGCAGGGTTGTCTTTGCTCCGATTCCCTGCAAAAGTTGATTGGATGCTTTTGGGTTTATCTGACTCGGATTCACCACTACCATCCCCGCAATCGCGCGGTCAGCTTGCGAGCGGTGCTCGCGGATCAGCTCGTCATGGTACAGCAGGTAGTTCGCGCGCACCCCGGCTATCGAGGTATCCATCACCTGTGGCTTCATCACGACCGGGCAAAGACGGTGCGTCGCCACGACTTCGCTGTCCACGCTCCACTTACCCAGCCCGCACCGGGTTCTTGCGCAGACTTGGAAGATGTACTTCCTGTCGGGCTGCAAATTCGTGATCTCCGCGAACACCCGCAGATTTGCGTCGGGGTCTTGCCGCAGTCGCATCAGTTGCGCGTAAAAACCAGCCTGGTCGCGGATAATTGCGGGGGAAATTGCAGTTTCTTTGCTCTCCTGAAACTCTTCCATTAGCAGATGCTCACGTAAACCCTTGTCGCCCGAAGTGTGCTGTTGCTGCACTGGCGTGGACACAGCGCTTAGTGCGGTCGTTGTAGGCTGCGATTTGGTTCCGTCTGTCAACGATAAACTTTCTGCAGCCTCGTTCTTTTCGCCCAGCATTCGCGCACAGAAATTTAGCAAAAAGGGCGACCGATTTGTTCGTCCTCTGGGTCCGAGTAGCGTCGGGCTGCTGGCGGATTCCTCTTGTTCCAAAATTTCCTGTTCACCGTCGACCAGCAAATGCCACATCAGCACCTGCCTCTCCTCCCACTTAGACAACAATCCGGTCTCGTAAAAGCGCACCTGAAAGGCTGACAAGTCGGAGAGCAAGCGCAAATTATCCGGATCGTTCGCCAGCTGCAGATCGACACTGAGCAGCACTTTATTCGGCCGCACCACCACCGCGCTGGGCTTGCCCAAGTCCGGCGCCGGCCCGAGCGTGGTGAAGCTGTATTCGTTGGAAAACGCGCCCACGCCACGGTCTGTGACCGCCGCAATTTCGAACACGTAGGTGGTCAGCGGCGCCAAGTTCTCCACCTCACTCACGATCCACGGCTGCACGTCGCTGTCGTCGATGGAATAATTGTGCCCAGAGCCATCTACTTCAAGGTGTGTAGTTTCATCTACTCGTCCAGTTCCAGAAGATGAGACATACACATCTACTTCGTTCACCCCGGCCCGGCGGCGAAACAAGACCGCGTTTGAAATGGGCTTCCCGGGAAGCTGCTGGTTCTCAGATTCCTCAGCTGTGGTCCCGGAAGGGAAAGCCGTCAGCTTCATCAACCCAGCGGCCCCTCCTCGTGCATACATCAAATCCACTGCCCCGGCCGGAGAAGACCCCTTCGGATCAAGCAGGGATTCTGTCGTGGAGGTGGACTCGGGAATTTTGTCCAGAGGATCTGAGGACGCAGAGTTAGATGAAGGCGGGAAGGAGCTCTCACTCTCGTTTGATGTTCCAAGATGTTGAAACAGGGCTCGCTTGTTCGCACTGCGCTGTTGCAGCGCAGCGGTGGTGGCAACCGCGTCATCCTGGCCGAGACTGTTTTGCAACAGCAAGTAACTTGGCTGCATGTGCTGCTGGTCATCTAATTCGTCGTTTGTTGTCGGGGTAGTGCCCGCGGCTTCGGCTGGTACAACTTGATGCTGACCTGCAATGATTCTACTCGCGGCCGACTTCGCATTCGACGACGCGAAGCTGGGGGACTTTCCCTGTCGGTACAGCCGCGCCGAGCCCGACGGGGGCGTGACGGTGATCATGGTGTTTGACCCGCCGGATTCCATATCGTGGAACGTCTCCACCTTCAAGGCCGGGTCGACCTTGCTCGCGCCGTCCACGGCTGCCTTTCGCGAGGAGGAGGCCAAATTTGACACCAGATGCAAGTTGCTGTAGCTGAAAGAGGACGCTGACCGGGAGAGCGGCGAACCTGGTCGGTTGTCCGAGCTGCTTACCGCGGACGCAGAGCTGTCGGAAGAAATCAATCTGCCGGTGGAGAGATCGATTTCTGGACGGGAAGAAGGAATGTTACCACTTTGATGATCCACTTCCGCCAGGTGGTCCAGATCCACCCCTGAGGTGAGTAGTTCTGTGGGCACGGCGATCTTGTGCAGCTCCTGCCAACTCGCGTCGCCCTTCTTCTTGTGGCGCAGGTGGTAGCCGATGATTTTGTTGAGTCCGATATTCCCTGAAAATTAAACATCCCCATCAAACTTGTCATGCAAAACATGTAGTAAAGTCTGTGTTTGTCATGCAAAAAGTGGATGGCGATGGTTAATTTTCAGGCAATATCCGAGGTGCGCCTCGACCAAATCTTCCCGGTCAAAGGTTGGGTTCTCCCATTTCAAAAGCAAACTGCTACGGTTTTTCTCGTGCACGCTCAGCCGCACCTGTTCCATGCTGGGCGCGATCTTCTTGGTTCGCACCTCAATCTGCTGGTATTTGCCGACGTGCCCGTCCTCCGTGCGCCCGGCGAGCTGAAACACGTACCTCGTCTCCGGCAGGAGCCCGGTCGCGACCTTTCCCCTGACTTTCACGAACTTGCGCATCCGGATGCGCTGGTCCCACTGCGCGCGCCGCTTCTGTCGCGGGGAAATCGACCCGTCCGGACTCTCCCCCTGCTCGTCGCTGCGAATCGGGGAGGGCGGAGATGAAGAAGAGCTGGTGCTTTGCTGCGCGCTGTTGTTGAATCGCAGCATCAAATCCGCTTCGTCGTACCGCGCAAGCTGGTGCCGTGCGGCTTTGGAGGTTGTCGGCCGTGATAGGAATTCGCCCCCCTCACCACTGTCGTTCTTCCCGAGTACTGCCGCGGGCGAATCTTCGGCGTTCTTTCTCTGGTGCTTATTGTTCTTTCTCGTGCCGCCTGGTGCAACCGCGACTTGTGACATCGCAGTTGATCCATCAGGCGTCGAATAGAACATGTTTCCGGTTTGGTACATTCGAAAATTCGATTCTACCTGCAGAATTTCGGGTTCCGACCACAACCGGTGCTTGCTGCCGAAATAACCCGTGGCCTCTAGCTCGCGCTGGATCAAAATGTCCTGCACTTGCAGCGTTCTGCAACTGTCTAGCAACTCGGTATCCTCCGCCGTCGGGTCCGGCATCCAGATGTCAAAATAAACCGTGTCGTGTGTCGTGCTGGCCACGATGTCCATGGGATCGTCCACGGTCGGGATACCGCGGAGCTGAACCTCCAGCTCAGAAACGTCCACGGCGTTTTCACCCAGCTCCGAGGCACAACTGACCGTCACGCTTGCGCTCAGAATAGCTTGCTGCTGCAGTTCTGCGGCGGTAGTTCCAGCGGGCTTGTTGCTCGCTGGTATGATCATCTCTGCTGCTGTTGCAGCTGCTGGCTTGGTCAAAGCAGACGCAGGACCTCTGGCTGATGGCGAAGAACCTTGTGGCTCTGCTTGTTCTAATGGTGCGCCCTTTGTTGGTGATGATGGTACTACTCCTGGTTTTATTGCAGCTGCGGATGCTGGCACACTGGACACTGCGTCCGAGTCCCCTGCGCTCGCCCCTAGTGCGGCCGGAACCGCGTTTTCGCCTTGCGTCCCTACATTAGTTCGTGGAGCATCAGGCGACGGCTGCGTCTGTGTCCTTCCCCCAGGAGTTGTTTTCAGCGGGATCCGCACGGCGTACTGAAACAAATCAGCGTCCAGCTGAGCGCGAAACCGCTCGTCGCTGCTCGTTGCCGCGGGGTTTGGTCGGGGGGCGTCAAGCTTGGTGGCGACCTTGCCACCCTGCGTCCAAACAAGACGCGGCGCAGACAGAATGTCCTCCCCGCTGCCAACAAAGAGGTGCGGCCGCCGGTTCCAGAACGGAAAGCCCATTAGGTGGGCCGAGATGCTCTCCTCGATTTGCTCCGCCTGGGTGTCGAATATGCTTTCCTTTATGATGTCCTCACCACCTCCAGGTGGCCCGTATCTTGTACCCTGCGTCCGGTCGGAGAATTTCTTATCTTGTCTTGTTGCCAATGATGAGGAAACTGCGTTTTTTCCGCTTTCTTGCATCAACTCTTTTCCAATTTTTCCCCCTTCTTCGTGGTCACTAGCCGTCGCGCCTTTGGTACAACCGCCGGTCTGATCCACTATGGAGGAACCCGACGCCGAAAGCGCGGTCCGTACATCGGCCGAGTGTGAGCGTAAAACTTCTCTGACTTGCTCCCCGAGCTCTCTCGCTTCCGCTTCGGTAACCATCACAATCTGCTCCACCGCCGTGTTCTTCTTTCCGGCCGCACTGATGTGGGGCTGAATCCGCAACCGAAAGGTCGACGGCGCTTCGTCTGTGCTCGTGCTCGCTAGCGAGAAACCAACCAAGGCTTCGGTGTGCGAAGCACAGATCTGCAGCACACTCGTCTGGCTCACTGCGGGCGCCACGCGCCCGGCCTGGACCGCAAGCACTTCCGAAAATTGGTGCACGTTCAGCGCTGACAGATGCGCAGGCGTGTAGTAGTACTTGTTCGTTGTTGCGCTCGTGGTTGCACTTCTTGTACCACCAGGCTCCCTTTCGCTTGCCGTGCGGCCTAGTGCTGTTTCGACATTTTTATCACCCCCGGTAGTCGCGCTTCGCAGTTGATCGTCTTCCTTGTCGGGGCTGGATGACTGTGTCTTCGTACTGAGACTGACACCAGCAGTCAGAATGCCGCCTTTTGACAAGGAGGGATCTAGCGCCGCAACCCGGACTAGGTAGTGCTTCAGAGGGGACAAATCTGTCAGCCAAAAATTCACGCTTCCCCTGACGCTAGTACTATTCTCGGCTGCTGGTATTGATGCTTCAACATTCATCTTCCCTGCATCAAGTTCATGATCATCTGCGGTTTTTGATGCACCCTCAGTTTCCGACAGATCTTCTGCGTCAACTCGCAACACGACCTGTGCCACAGAACCGTCCTCGAAGTCCTCTGCTTTCACCGCATTGCTATCGAAAAACGCCACTTTTTGATCAACACGGGCACCAGCACCGCTCTGGAGATTCACGACCGTCTGCTGCTCGCCGCGCAACCTTCTGCCTGTAATTTTACCTGTCCCTGGCGGCTCCGACGAGGAATCGTTGCAAAAAATTGCGGGCACCCGTAACTCCCTGAGCTGCTTCGAGCCTTCCGCGAAAAGCTTCGCCGGGTTGGCGCGCGAGGGGTCCGGGGTCTCGACGTACTGCACCACATAGGCGCCAATGTCGCCCGAACCGCACTCCACGGCCGGCCACTGGAGCCGGGCCCTGCTGCAGTGCGCATCGTGGACGAGTTGCAACGGACAGGGCCCGCGCAGCCGCGGCACGGTGGCAAAGTTCAGGTACTCGGAATATGTTTTCGTGTTCGCATTCGCTTCTACCACAACCGGGGACCCACTCAACAGCTCGGCCTTCGAAGGAAGAGGATCTTCGCTCGACGTCGCGGCGGAGCTGCTGGCAGAGGTTGTCGTCGTGTCTTCAATGCGTTCTACTACAAAGCGCACGTCGTACCTGTAGTGGTTGTGGTGTCTGTCCTTGATGAAGCACAAGGATCTTCTAGTGAAGGTAGATAGGACGAGGGGGCTACGACAGATGGTGACATCATGAGTCTACAACGCATCGTGCCGTAAGCCTTCCCCGTCAGCCTTCCGGTGCACATAATGCGAACGACCTAAAAAATGCAGCTTGTGTGTCTAATCTAGAGGTGACGGGAAATACATAAGATCATGCATATTTATGCCATAAAAAGCATACTACTTACTCACGCGTTTCTTGCCTTGTTTCCTTTCTATAGTCCCGCGAAGCTGCGGACCGACTTTCTTACTACAATAGAAACTTTGCTTCCTTACCCTGTTCCCGGCTCTAAGTCGGTGAGGCAAAAGCTCCCTGACTCGAATTGATGGTTGTTCGACGATGAGGTCCGGCTTGTTTTAGCACCAGTAACACTCGGAGAAGATGTTCCTCCTCCTCTTCCTGGAGGGGACTGCTGGTCCGTTTCCGCACTAGTAGTCCTTGTGTCTTCATTCTTCGCGGCGTGTACCAAAAACGCCTTGGTGGTGGTAGACCGAAATGCCCTGAGAACCGAGTAGTCATGGCTCTTGAAGTACTGCACGGTCACCTGAAACCGCGCATTTTCGAGCGAACAAGCAGGCTGGAGGTTCTCTCCTGCAAAAGTACTAGATGCTGCAGCAGGTGTTGGTGTACTACCAGAGCTACTAGTGGTGCTCCTCGTAGGTCCCTCTCCAACTAGAAGTCCTTCCAGGCCCGTGATGTACAGTCGTAGACTCCAGGGGGTCGCTTGCTTGAGTCGCAGGCACACAGGAACTACGGCAGGAACCGGTGGCGAATTTAAAACATTGCCCGAATTTATCTGTGCCTGCTCTGCACCGGAAGCTGACATGATTGCGCGCAGTCAATGTTGACTCCGCTCAGGCTCAGCTGATTCTCGTTTTTCTACTTACCCACAGGTCGCTAGCCAATTTAAGCCGTACATCGCCGTTTATTCCGGTGAGCGTAAATAGTTGGAACAACAATCCCAGTGCACCAGCCCGTCCGCGCGTGCCATTTTCTGCCCCCGAGGACCTGCTGTGTGTCTACCTCTGCCCGCCGACGGAGGTTGAGGGTGGTAGTCGCACTTCTGGTGTCCGTCGTGTTGGCCTCTGCGAATGTATAATTTTCCAAGACTCGCCTCCAGGATATTCTTGAGCAGGTGCGATTGTGATTGAGACCTGGAACAACCTCCTTCGAATGTTGTAAACCACGACGAAAACGCCGTGCTCGGCTGGGAGGAGTCATCGACTTGAAAAAGAAAGCTTTTTGATTTTGTTTTAAAAGAAAAGCTAAAGCTTTAAGTTCCTTAAAGAGGAAAAGGAACGCAAGTCTGGAGTCAAGAACATATGGGCGGTACTTAGTGTGTGGGAGCCCCCGATCTTGTATTTTCATAAATGACGTGAACATCATAGTCAGGGCGGGAGGACGATAATTGTGCTCTTTGCGAGGGTAGATGAAGGCTTCAATTTCACACACAATAAACTCACTTTACTAATAAAACACTGCTAACAGGAAGATGATCACATGCCTTGGTTAATACCAGATCACTGAGGGCCTGCAAAAACATCAAAAAAATCCAGATCCAAAATAGCTATCAGGAGTACTTTTACTTATCACGAATAGACCATCACCAGAACAGCAAGCACGAGCTCAAGCTCCGACGTGTACCTGTACTGGCAAAAAATGCAACAAACTTTTTTCCGAATGCTTGCCACAGACCACAAGCACAAACCTCGGCCGCTCTTGCTTCAAAATTAAAAAAATTATGTTTGTATTCATTGCATGCGAGGTGGATCCATGTAAAAATCGAAAGTCATCACTAAACGGCAGTTGTAATTGTATCATCCTCCTGCATACAACGAGCACGAACAATTGATAAAGATTTTTCCGATACAATTACATGATCAGACTAGCTGGTACTAGCGATGTTGAACTTCGGACGCTCGATAGTCGTCATCAAGTGGCCACGCATGCGATCATGTAGGACCTTGTCGTCCTGCTTGCGGTTGCGACTTCGACATCATGATAGTAGATACAATGAGAACCTGCGCAAACAATGAAAAAAACGGAGGACCGAGATTTCATCAATATAAAGAAGGCAATAATTTTTATGGTCTTGCCCTCATCGACGACAGGAGGGCGACTTTTGGCCGTCACCGTCAGATATAGTAGAGTGAGAAGGATATTCTCTCGAGAGTCTTTCCCTTGGTGGCATGTGCAAAGGGTTGGCAGAACACACAAAAGTCATCTTCTTGTCGTCGCCCGCGCGTAGTCGTTCATGATTTTTCAAATAAGTCTTCAACTTTCTAAGTCCGAAAAACGTCAACACGTTTAAGAAATAGTGAGTCTGTCATGCGTATTTTCCAACTCCCCCAACTTTGCCGCATCACTTCACTTCTTAATTTGTCATGCTGTTTTTTATGTTTGTCTTGCTGTTCTTCTTCTTGTTGTAGTTGTTGTTTTTGTTCCGTTTGTCTTGCAGTTTAGCTACTCTGTCAACACCCTGCGTATAAATAGATCTTGTAGTACGGTGCTGCATCTAGCTTTAGTAGTAAAATCTTACGCGTAGAGTTGTTGCATAGAGATGAGTAGGACTTTTATTGCTGGTTGTTGGTTTTTCCATGCTCTTTCTTGTAGCCGCCCGCGGGTCAGACGCTACCTATATATAAAGTGGTTTCTTAAGATGTGTCGATCTTCTATCTTTTTCGAAAACGTCTTCGTAGCAGTATTGCTTGTTTCTTTATATCAGTAGCACCCTCTCCCTCGCACTTTCCATCCTTCCGCCATAGTCCGTCTCTTCTTTCTGTTCGTCTTATACAGCTCCTCCATCTTAGGTACTTGGCAACAGGCTGAATACGTCGTCATGCCCGTGGTGCAAATACATAAGACAAAAACATCAGTTATCAAAACTTTTGTATCAAAAATACAGAAGACAGAAACATCCGTTATAGGCACTGCTATCGGTACCTAGGAACCGTAGTTCTCAAAACCTTTCCTTCAGCTTAGACGTGTTGAATGTTGTCCTTACAGCACATGCATCTTACACTCCCGGGTGCCAGCACGTGCACCTTCATCATCACCGGTGATCCAGATAATGTTAATCTTAATAGCTTTGTAGTCTTCATTTCCTAATCCTATCATTCCCCCGCCACCAGGGTTGTTGTTCCTGTATTAATCTACTTGCTCGTCGTCCCTGCGGTTCTCTCCTTCTCCTGCAAGAAACTGATTTGCAGGTCCGTCACTTTCGTCAGCTCTTCCAACTCTTGCACGGCCCGCATACGATCATCCCGCATACGATCATCCCGCCCATCCCGGTAAAATCCACCTGCGTCATCTGCGATTGAATGCAGGAGCCGCAACGGCAACGGCAACGCTCCCCGCCCGCGCCCCTCCTCGTCCATCAGCGCGAGTAGATCCTGAAGATTGCACCAGGCGCTGAAGAGTGCCTCTTTGAATTCACTTGCCAAGTGTTGCAAAACGCGGAGCTCCGCCTTGAGGGTTTGTCCAAATAGGGGCCGGCTCGGCAACTTGGTAGCCTCCTCCACGCGGAGCAGAAACAACTGGCGGATCGCCGCCTCTCTCACCTCAGCCGACACATGATTCCTCTTGTCAACATTGGCGACCGCAAGCTTCTCTAATGCGAGCACCACTTGGACAGGCGGTCGGCTCCCTATATCCCCCAGGTATATGCCAGGCCTAAATATAGCCATGCAAAGCGTCGCGTCCCAAATGCGTTTCAACACGTCGATCGTGTCTCTGCCTGGCGGGAAGTCGTCTGCCAAGGTTGCAATTGCCGAACCAACGCGCGCGATCTTGCGCCTAGCCTCGTCTTCTGTATCAACACCTTGTCCAATCCTGTCCAAAGTTCCGCTCCTCTTATGCAGCACAAATTTCCCGTAGTACATGTACAAAATCAAAACGCAGTACGAATTTCGCCAAATCTAACTGTAACGCTTGTCATGCTCACTTGAAGGCAAGTTTTGTCATGCAAAGACTGCATTTGATGTAATTGTATGTCGTGTGCGGGGATTTTACAGTGGATACCTGTATTCCTCTGCGAGGTTCTCCGCCTGAGCCACGACTTCGCGCAGTCGTTTTCCGCGGGCTTGTCGCTGTTCCCTCGCCAAAGCCTGGATGTGCTCCTTGCGCCATTTATTTTCCCGCTCCCCTTTGTTCCCGTCAGCCTCACCGGAGGTGCACGCGGGCGCTGCGCCGCTAGAATTATTATACAGCACTGGGAGGACCACGAATTCGGTCACACCATCGAGGTGTACTCGCAGGCGCTCCTGTAGCTGCGGGCCGATGCCCTCGCCGCCTGCACCAAAAACAGAGGATAGAGATAGCGATGCCTGCTGCTTGCCGAATTCTCCTAGTTTCGCTCTCTTGCGTGAACGACCCTTGGAATCTCGATCTTCGCTACAAGTGGTAGCATGCACTTCCACACTGTCTTCTCCTTCTGCTCCTCGGGTTCGAACATTATAACGCGCAGAAGCAGAGCTACTGCTGCCAGAAGTTGAACTGCCTTCGCCGTCCGTTGATTTTTCCATTTGTGGTTTCACTGCCATACCTCGGAATACCCCTCCGGCTCCAAACAAAAACCATCGAAACATCAACATGGTACGCGTTCTTGTTGTGTTCTACACTAAGCGAGCTGCGATGTTGAAGAGCCCTGACGATCGTTGTCCTCGAAAAAACAAAAATGTGCGATTCAGGTTTATTTTCTACAGGCCTACAAATACATAAAACAAATAGAAAATCAAAAAATTTATTTAAAGAGAGCCTTTTTTCCGTATGATAGTGAAATTAAACCAAATGTGATATCATGCCACGCCTGACGAAGCTAAGCATTGAAATCCGCCTGAGAAAGAGCAGCAACGAGCAGGGTGAACCAAGATGATGACATACCAGGCTACGACTTCTGAACATCTTGATCTTCAGGTCAGCACTTCCAAACATTTTTGACCGTGTGCCTATTTGTATTTTCATAGGTACATGATTATTGAAGATCTTGATCTATCTTCAGTTCGGCACTTCCAAGCATTTGTGCTTAGTTTCAGAGGTATGCATCGACACCTGCAATCAACATATACGTGAGTTATCATCAGTTCGACAGAGCAGAGAGAGAGAGAGTAGTCCTCAACGACTGGTACTGGTACTGGTGGCGAAGCGCGGACGCAACGCGGGCGGAGGGGCACCGACTTGAAGGGCACGACCACTGTTCATCGTGAAGAACGATCTTGGATGAAACACGCTCACGCTTGCCTATATCTTATGCAGTCCCCACGCAGATCGCGGGATCCCAGATTACCAGATCGCTTGGAAAGTGAGACGACGATCATCTGCATTTTCTGGACGTTACTTCTTTGCAGTGCTCGTTCGCTCCTGAACACCACTTCTTTGGTCGGGTGTTTGGCCGAATTTGTTCTTCGACAACAAGTTTTTAGAAACGCTCCCCGAAGTAGGTTAAGGTTTCCTCATTGTCATTTTTCTCCTTTGTAATAACTTTTGTGACTGTGTTTCAGCCTCGTACACAATATCCATATCCAGCATTTCGTAAAATTACAATTACCACCCGGGTGGGTGGTAGCACAGCAACAGCATCATATAATTTTACCGCAGCGATTAGTGATGATTCCTCTCATCGGATAAGACGCGATCACATCGCACATCAAGCTTCTTATTTGCACACCTCTTGGTCCTGCGATTGATAAAGCTAAAAATCATCCGTACTCGGTGACACGATAAAATCCAAATAAAGAGCTGTAGTCTAGTATTGTTCGTTGCGACTCACGTACAACTACGCGACAGCTCCAAGGATATCAAGAAATACAGTGTAACCTCGTGCTAATACCCATGTGTGGTTCATGTCTACTCTCTAGTTGTATGTACTCATGCCATGCCTAAAAAAAGTTCTGCGCTAGTACGTAGTAATACTTCTCGATAAAAAAAGCTCGTCGTAATAACTCGTGTGTTCCTGTCGCAGTGCACGTGCTTCGGTCCCGGTCGGTGGCACAACTGCACCACATACAACAGCCAGCCAAAACCAGTGCGCTATCCAACAAGATATGCAACCGCTTGTAGTTGATGATCCTCCTGGTCCTGCGTTGGTAAATCATGCTCTTCATCCACCATGGACGACCCCATGATCATGATCTTCTTCTAGATAGGCGAATATTTTTAATTTTCGTACGGGTACGCCTGTTGTTTTTATTTGTCGCTGAAGTATCAATAGAAGAGCAGTTTAGTTTTGTAGATTTTGTTTTTGATTTGTAGTGCTATTTGTTTCATCCATCATACAACAGAGATACTAGTTTCAAACTACGCCTGAAATTTTTCGGTTGAAATAGGTGGAACGAGAAATCGTCAGCTGGAGCGAATCATACGACAAGTACAGTTTGGTACTGTTGTATTTGTCTTTTCACTGCGGTCATACCTTTCTGAGCTAACCGTTGCAAATGGAAGCGAGTCGCAGCTTCCCCCCCCACCTGCCGGTCATTGCTATTGTTTAATTTAGGATAAAAAAAGTGTTCAAAAGTAAAGCTAGCTTAATCAGGTCGTAAAGTTGCGCAATGACCTGTTAGGACGACAGACAGGCAACACAACACAGATGCGAAATCATATTCTCACAACAGGTCTAAATAAATGATTCCATTTCCATCTGGTAATATGAGACCGGTCCCATGACTACAGATCTCGACCTTTTGACATTCTAGTTTCTTCACTTCGAGTGTCAGGTCGATCTTGCACACAACTGACTCCTTGATCAAAACACATCGTCGAAGGTTTAGTGCGACTTGGAGTTTCATTTTTCGGTGCTGATGCTGTAGTCAAGATTGCAAATAATACATGGGCGGCGCCATGTCTTCGGCACCTGCAGGAGAACCTTTCTTTCCGGGCCCCGAAAAATGATTCCTCCAAGCTAGCACTTATTCCTCATCTTTCACAGCACATTTCTACAACAAATTACAGATACAACAGATACAGGAGTTTGAGTACAAGTGTACGCGAGTACGAGTAGTGGAAAATATATATGCGAAACTAGTACTACGTAACCGCGATGAATTGTAACTACTACTAAAGGAATAAAGCTGATGCTTTCTAATCAGTGCTATTCCTGTTAGTTGTCTGTGCTCAAGACAAAGGAAGAATACAATGTTATCTTCCCGGGGAAACGCGTCTTGCAGAATACTTCACCGAAAAGAGCCTCCCGCCCTTGGTGAATGTGAAGTGATTCTCAACTTGTTGCCCAGGAATTAAATCAAATTCTTCCAATGATTTTTGCATATTAGCGCTGGCTCGTCGTTCCGGTTCTTGCCTTTCCTTCTCTTTTTTTCGTGCTTTTGGTCATCGTGCTTTTTTTGTCCAAATAGACAGTTAAGTTATGTCTATGTGCTAGCACAACGTCGCAGATTATTTAAGTGCAGTTTTGCTCAGTTAGAGTTGCGAAGTGGCGGATCAAAAGTCCTGTTCACCACCTGCCGTTCGGCTGTCGCTTGTTCCGCTACCGAAACGGTTGCGCGATCATCTTGTTCAGGATGCCGTATTTTTTAGTTCTATCATCAAGTTCAAGAGCAAGAAGTGCTAGTGCACGTAATCAAATAAGGTTGTTGACCGCTTTTCGTTAACTCGTCGTAGAAAACGGACCAGGAATCGAACCTAATGCAGGAATTTACTTACATCAGATATTACCACAGATCATACATTTATGTGAGTGAATGCGGTACCGAGACCGACGTATAATTTCTAGATACGTGTGCCTGCCTGAACGGCTTGCGTTCTCTTCGTTCATTTCATGTCTAACTGTAAGTCGAGTAACTACGAACTGCAACGCTGCGGACCAGTATGCGCTCTTGGTAGCGTGCGTTAGTACGAGTACGTAGTAGAAAAAGAAATCCCTCTGCTCGAAAAAAGTAAAAAAGGAGCTTGCGGGAGGTACCTACTAGTAGTTCTTCATGTTGTAGTTCGAGTTACTTTCCTATCAGCGACTTTCTTGTGAGTTTTGTGTTATTTTTGGGTCTTTTATTCCGGTCAAAATGGGGAAAAATGAAGGACGTACTTGTCCGGGCTGCACAGAACAGGAGTTGCGCCTGTTCTTATTGTCGTCGGAGACCTATATTTACCACATCTCCAGCTCCGCTTTTCCGATGGTCTGCGGGGCTGCTGCGTCGGCTCCGGGGTTGGCAATGCTGCGCAGGGACAAGGCGGCGGCTTTTACTCCATTTTCCTCCCCGACCTGCTCCGAAGTGGACGACGCCAACGGCGCCCCTCCAGCCATTCTTGACGCACCAGTTGACGCAGACGAAACCTGACTGGGGCGCGGAGGTGGTTGGAAGGTGATGTATGGTGCGCCCCCCGGTTGTAGACCCCTCTGGAACCCCGCGGTCGCAAATGAGGGATGTTGTGAAAATGGTAAAAATGGAGATGAAGAAGATGCGGTCGACGAGGAGGCCGCTGTACTAGAGTCCGCGAGGAGTAAATTTCTACCTTGTAGTACTTCTTCTCTCCTGCCTGCGTCTACTGCTCTTGAGTGGCTAGAAGTTGTACAACCAGCGGCAGCCGGACGCTCTTGCGCTGTTGGACGAGGACCTGCCTGCACAACACGATCACTAGCCTGCAGAGGCTGTCCGATCGCGGCCGTGGGTGCGACCACACGGGCGAGCGCGGCTCTCTGTTGCACGTTCGGTATCTGCATTTTTTCTAGCTCGGTAACACGGTCGGGATGGCGGAAGTTCGGTAACACGGGACAGCAAAGCGGATGCATGGGACGAAACGCGCGTTCTTGGTCCTCCGGAATCGTACCGCCTAACATAATCATGGACTCCCGAATCGTTTTCCGCAAATGCTTGACCCCGCTCTATCCTGGAAAAAAGCTCTTCACGACGGTAGATCCACTTACAAGTTTCTCATCGACGTCCATACGTATGCAAAAGGACGATGCAGCGGTGGCGGTCATCGATCTGTATGACATATTGAGATTGTACTTTTTACACACTTTATTCAGACGAACTGATCGTGCTCATGGATTATGCAAAATTATCCCACGCTGTTCTACTAAAATCATTTGTATATTCATAATTTTGCATGAGCATACAGATATTTCTTGTCAGCCTCAACGAGTACAACGAGAAAAAAGTCGTTCATTTTTAGGTCGTGGCTACGGCGGTGTAAAATTTTTGCACGGGGTACGTCTTTTTGTAGTGTGTGTTTCTCTTTCCCCTTGTCAATGGTATGGGATTCTCAACCGTTACACTCTCAACTGTTACATGATTCTCAAGAACCGTTAGGTTCTCAATCAGCATCAGCCCCCGTTGTCCACACAACGAACTTGTTCCTTGCTAATTTGACGTTACTAACGCAGGAGGCGCAAAAAGCAAAATACCCCCCGGTCAGGGCCACGGCCTGCCACTCAGTACAATTACACTTTTACTATTCTTGCATCACAAATTCATGCAACGATTGCGAATGTAACGTTTGAGAACTTCAACTTCCATAGATGCGGTCGGCGTATTCGATGTCGGTAGATGACCCCTCCTCTTTCGTGACTAATTCTGCCTCCATCCAGCGGCCGCCCTTACACGGATCGCGGTACCATTGGATCTTTTCTCGGAGTTGCTCCCTCAGCCGCTTCACATAGCCCACGTACCTCCTTGCGCCATCCTCCGCCTGCCGCTTAGTGTCTGGTCGTAAGACTGAGAGAAGGTGACTCCTAGAAGTTGCAGGAGCATTTATTTTCGAATTACTGCTCATCTGGTCTTCTGCTGCTTGTAGCGCAAATTTCCGCTCGAGCGCTGCCTGCCACTCGCCCAGTCTCTCGATTGCAGTGGCCAACGGGGACGGTACTGGGTGGACGGCTTTTAAGACGTATACGGGTACGATCTTCCCCGGTGACGTCCTAACCTCGCCTTGCTTTTCCTTCTCTTGGTATACCTTGCCGTTTAGCAGCTCGGAGAACTTCATCCCTCTGATCGTGGTCTTTTCCTTCTTTTCCCTCTTGTTGCATTGGCGGGCAAGTCGGTGAAGCAACCTGAAGTCGATGTTGGCAGCTGCACGGGAAGTTGTAGTAGACCAAGAAGTAGCCTCTTGCTTTTTGCTTCGCTGATACTGGTCCTTGTCCTCAGCAACAACAGCTTCTTCTGCGGAACCGACATCCGCGGAGTTGTTCAACTTCAACCCCAGAATCAGCCCCGGGCTGACAACGCTTTCTCCCGTGCTGTAGTCGCCAGGAGAGGGAGACGAACTTGGCGTAGAAGTTGGCCCCATTTTCAAGAGCCGGCAGGCGAGCTGCAGCGAGGTGCGGAGGCTCTGCCGCGCGGACAGATCCGCTCGAGCGCGTTTTTCCAATCGCCGCCATACGAGGTGCACCGTCTCCACGCCCTCGGGCGAGCCGCGGCTCTTGTGTGCCAGGTTTTGGTTCGTTGATGTTCCCACGGTCGCTAGCTCGTATCCAAGAAAAAAACATTGTAGGTGTAACTTTTTTGGAGGAACAGCATTACAAATTTGTCTGGCATGACAGCAAAAACCTGTCATGGGCAGATAGTACGCGAAAACGCTCTTTAATGGACCCTGCGACGCATGCCAAGCATGACAGACGCAATAATCTTGCATGTTGAGCATCACAAATTTACACTAACAACGTTTTTTTCTTGGATAGCTCGCTCATGTTCGTCAGTACCGTGGCCTCCAGGGCGCGCTCTCCTTCCTGCAACTTCTCCCTATGGAGGCGTCAGGTTTGAAATCGTCAAAGTTGAAATAATCTGTAATGCATAAAATGCATGGCCGGAGGTGCGTGCGTTGCAGAGCAGGCAAGTGAGGCCGATTGTAAGCCTGTTTGGGGTTACAGCTCGAGCTGCTAAAGTAGCATGAGAAAATCACTCTTCTTTGCCTAAACAGCATGACAAACTGGATTTAGGGACCGCCGAGATTTGTCATGCGCCACTTGGAAACTGGGTTCCAACTGGCATCCATTTTATGCATGGCAAATTATTTCAACTTTGTCGATTTCAACTCTGACACATCCATACTCCCTCAGGGCTGCATAACGGCTCTCTTGGCTTGACGCGACGCTGGAGGGCGCAGGCGCGCTGCTTTCCGTCTCAGTGGAGGATATTGTGGACCCTTCCTCTGGCGGAGAGTCAGAATAAGAACGTCGCGGCCCCCCCGGCGCAAATAAACCAAGGCCATTGCTCCGCAGAAGTGCTGGCTGATGACGCGCAGGCGGGTGAAAGCCGCTTGCAGGTGGGAGCTCCGCTTTCTTGCTCTGTTCGTCGTGCTCGGGCTGCAAATGAAATTCAGCATCTTGAAGACCACTGTCCTCGTCGTCGTCCCCTAGCCAGGCTTTCAGTAAAACTAGACTTCCGGGAGTCCCGCCCAGAACGCGTGCGTGTTTTGTCCAAGTTTCGCGGATGATGGTGCAAAATTCGAGCACCTGCTGTTCTTCCCGCGTTTCCACTTCGCTGGATAGCAGCAGGCCCTCGACGCTGGCGGCCCGACAAACTTTTCGCACCACGGCGGCCAAGACGACCAGGTTCGGCGATGGATCCGCATACAGATAATCCAGTTTATTAGTGTCGTAATCGCCCTGCAGGACGTCGACCCCCTGCTCTGCAGTGCGGGCGCTGGTGACCGCTCGACCATCATTTCCACCAGCTCTATTCAATACAGGTGCACTTCTACTGAGGAGCCACGACTTATTTCCAGCTGCTCTTGCTCCTGATTTACTCGCGAAGCCAAACTGCGACATACCCCAAAAGTCGCCCGGCTCCAGATTTTTGTTTCTACTTCTAGTACTTGTTCTATCTCCTATCAGGCCGTTGCTCATTTTATCCCCGCGGCCTAGCAGTTCGATCCAATGTTTCCCAAATTGCTGTACCAACCGCGCGTGCTCCACCAGTTCGTGCGGCGTGTTGCGGACTGTCTCGAGCAGACTGTAGGCGTCCGACCGGTCAAGCCCCTTCGCGGTCTGCAATTTGCGGAAGGTGTCGCCCTGGGGCCGAATCTTGGGCGTAGCGGCCTCCTCCTCGTCAGTACTAGTAGAGCAGCTCTGACGATCACCGTTGGAGTCAGAGAGCAGAGTTGTTGTAGCACCACGATTTGCATCATCGTCATGATCTCCCCGATAGCAACTCCGCTCTTCTTCATTAACCAACATGTCCGGATCCGAAACCGGTGCTGCGTGGCGAAGCCTTTGCGAAGGTTTGAAGCTTGGGGGTAGTGTCAGACGAGGGGGCCGCAACGCATGATTTTCCCGAAAAGAAAGACCACTTGCAGGCTTGACTTCCGCTCGTCCGGAAGAAGGACCTCCTGCACCTGCTCCACCCGACAACGCGGCCGCGCTCGGAAATGAATCAGGCGAGGGCGTCCTCTGGGAGGCTGGAGTAGTAGTAGAACTACTGGGAGATGATGAATCAGACACCAGGGGCTCCAGCTCGTCACCACTCGATGGTAGTGCAGTAAGTGGAGTCGCTGCACCACTTCTAGTCTCAAGGCTTGACTGCAGCTTCGCCATGAGGCCGCGAATCTCTTCGATGGACGCGTCGGTGTCTTCCTTGTTGGTCCTCTTCGCCGGTGAAGGTCCAGCACCTGCACCGAAGAAGGTGTTGTCTCCAGTGGTATTAGAACTGGCAGGCAGTTTCGTCGAAACGGACGCTCCAAATCCTTCAAGGTCATCATCTACTCTATGATCTCTGCTCATCACTCGGCCTTCCTCAACGTGCCAAGGCTCAGCCGCGGGTTCCCCCGTGTACTCTTTGCGCTCGTCTTGTTCTTCCTCTTCGCGGGCCCGCCGCATCTTCCCCTGCTGTTGGTCCCAGAGTCGCCTGGCTGCGGCGATTTGCGGATTTACGCGGGCCAACACATGCTCCGGGGTCGGCGCATCGGGGTCATCTGAATCACTATCATCTTCGAACTGGATCATACGGCGGCGCGGCGCCGGCGCCGCTGCTGCTGCTCTCCGGCTACTTATTTCATGGGTGGAAACGAAGTTTCCGTCTTGCTCGTCGTCCTGTCCGGTTCTCCTTTTCTCATCGAGTTTGGGCTTGCCGATGCTTGTGTTCCTTTTTCCCTGACGAGTTGCTAAACTAGTTGCATTTTTTGGAGGAGGAGCCCGCGGGGCAACTCTAGCCATCCACGCGCCACTGGCACAAGCGACATTAGAGACCGCTATCAGCAAGGAAAAAACCCTTGCGCACAGGTGTTGAAAGTCCATCATTATTTTCACCAGTTGTGTTTTTTGTCTTGTGCAGACGAGAAAAAAAAGTTCTTCTTGGGATGTTGTAGTTAATCACAACAAGAAGAGGAGCGCACCAAACCGTATTTGTGCGAATATAATGTGCACGACCGCCGAATATATGATCACTGCTTCAATCTGTTGCTCAACTCCTGGAGGGAGGCTTCTTGTGGTGTGGATCCGAGAAGTGTGATGTACAATAGCGCTGACGAAAGCGTGCTTCGCTTGTGGTAGTGGTTATCCTCGTTAAATGTCGTCGTTAATTTTCAGCTCAAAACTACAACATAGATTTTGCCCATGATCTTGGTCACTTAGACTAAGACTTTCGCTTTACTTTACAAGAAAGACTCTATGTCTATGTACATTGCAATAGACTATCAACAAATAAATTCAAAAAAAAAATCGGTAAGTACTGCTATTCCTGAATAATGTGAAGCGACAAACTCGACATGCATCGCTTCCCAGTTTTTCGTTTACTCGCATAAGCAACCAATGTCTATAAATATATACTATACACGATGCACTTTGCCCTGTGTCTGGGGTACGTGCCGCTCGATTTTTGATCGTGACACCGGGAAAGCGATCCACCCAAACGATTTGTACGGACGAGCAAGGGTGCGAGGCTACCCTCTGTGTCCGCGATGGATCTGGCTAGGCCCGGCGAACAGCGCAAGAGGTGAACATCGGAGCCGGGAGGAGCCTATGCGACCCCAAGGGGGGCGGGCGTGCTTAAACGCTCCGGCAATCTCTATTCCTTGTTCCTGACGGCCACATCAAGGCGATTCTCGCTGCTAGCGCCGTGTTGCTCGATTTTGCCGCGAAGTGCCGGCACACATCGGCCATAAGCTACTAGCCTGTAGGTGATGCGGCCGGGGGGCATCCTGCGCTTCCGCGGATGCTTTGCGCCCTCCTCGTCTGCCCAGCATCTTAGGCAGAAGGGGAGGGGCGCCGCAATGCTCTCCCGCCTGGGCTTACATTCCTCACAAGGCCCGCGCGATGCGGAAGACATAGCGAATGCAAGCTACTAGAGATAGCGGGTCCCCCGGCTAAGCCGGTGCCACCACACACAGCAGTCCGGCCATGCGGGCGAAGAACTACGGCAGCTCCCGGCTTCCTCTTGTTGGTTCTCGGCAGTCGCGGCCCTTCGTGCCGTCAGCGCCTGCGCTTGGCGTGCGTCCCTATTGCTGCAGTGGCCGCGTGCTCTGACGCGCCACCTGCGCCTCAGGGTTGCGCCGTTGCGCCTGGTGCTTGCGAGCGCTGAGGGGCGCGCGCGGTAGCTAGCTAGCTGCTGGCCAACCTAACTGCGTTGAGACCCGCTCCCAGAAAGCCGGGGCCAGTGTGTCTAGCTTCCCTGCGGGAAGCAGGTTGCGTCTCGCTCAGTGTCTTCCGCTACATGGTCGGCTATGCGAAGAGACTTTTGCACCAGCTGCGAGCTCGTGCTAGGCGCCCCTCCCTACAAGGGCGAGGCTTTTTTGTCTAAATAACTAGCATCCGATAGCTTCCCTTCCCTGCAAGGGCGGGCTGTTCGTTAGCAAGACTGGCAGACTTTCCGTGTCCGAAGTCTGTGCTATGATGTAGTTCGCAGCCGAACAATTGACTACCTGCTGGCAGCCCCCCTTCCCTGCAAGGGCGGGGCAATGTCTATAAATCTTGATCTTCCTTTTTCTATTTCTCACACACATTGATTTGCATTTCAACAGATGAAAATCTGATCCTCGTCGATCTCGATTTTTTTCCCGATCTGCAAAATTTATGTGTTACATGCTTGAAAGAGCAAAAAGAAGCTCGGCTGCTGCAAATTTTCCGGCGAACGATTTTGGCGTGAAAGTCCTGATCTGCAAAATCTTCATCATGATCATGGTCTGCTGAAAAACTTCTGTCACGATCACCATCTTCCACTTCAGAGCGAAAAGGAAAAAAAACACACGATCACTACTTTGAAAGACCGCTTTCATGGGACACGATCATACCGATGCTGGCCTAAGTCGTTTGGATCCACTTGATTCGGATCGTAAAAAAAAAACCGAGATCAATGTGAAATAGAATATCGGTTGTTGAACAAAGCGTCCACTTCCTGAGTTTTTTACGAAAGCGTTTTGATGAATCGTCATGCTCTAAACGCTTCGGGTCCTTACTGGACCAAAGTCGCTATTGTCATGTAAAATAAACAAGAAAGAGAAATTAATAGAGTTAGACTGGGTCGAACTCGAAACATCAAGTAGAAATAGTTGCACATCGGAAAAAAAATCTAAAGGACACGCAGCTTGTCCCGAATCTACAATACTTCTCAGTGTCAGCACCTCCACCTTTGTACAGTGAAACCAAAATCAGATAAGAAGCAGTTCTACCTACGTGCTTACTTTCTACAACCAACAAAACCGTCGAACTTGAACTTTAACGACGGTATATTCTCCACGCAAGAACTTCGACGGATTACTTCTTGCAGACCTTGCAGCAGCCGCCGGACGGCGCAGCCGGCTTTTCTCCCTTCGGGCACTGGAGGCGGAAGCACTTCACGTCCTTGCACGGCTATGAAAGGATGAAAACGCGTGAGTGAATAAGATCGATGCTTATCCAGCTTCTTTAAATCACCGACCCACGGCCGCTTTTGCCCACTCTCGTCATAACAAGCTAGATCACGATACCGCATCAAACACACAGAGGGAGAGGACACATCAATGCCGTTCTTGGGTGGGTTTGTCGCGCCAGATTTTGATTTCAAGTATTAGTATTTTTTGCAAAATTCAAAATGTGCCTTCATCGACCCACACACATACAACTTCACCTTGCTTACCGAGGCCATGTCGGCACCCTCCCACATTTCGACCAGGTACTCATCCGTGACCGGCGGCATGCCCGGCTTGAAGCCCTCGGTCTGGCACACCGGGCAGCAAGCGCCCTTCTCCCACACGATGTCCAACGGGCAGATGTCCGCGATGTTGGCACACTGGATGGCTTCGCTATGCATTGCAAAAGTATCGCACTTAGCACAAAATGCATTACAAATTTGAAGCTCAGCATGGGAGGACCTGGAATTTCTCATGCTTTTCTGCATACATTAAGGACGCAAGTTGCCGCGCATAGGCATAGTCATTGCAGTTAGTACGAGCGCGAGGATACTTTTACAATGCATATTGGCAGGCCACGGGCAACTCGTTCGTGTTCACCATGGTCTTGGCGGAGTTGCTCTTCGCGCGCAGAACTTCCGCGATCTCCCCTGGATTCAGCTTGTCGCGATTCTTCTTTGCCAGCTTCTTCAGCATAAAAGCATCCGCCACAGTAATGCAGCCAACGAGGGCGAGAGTGTACAAAGACCGCATCTTCTTTCACGATTATTCACGACAAAAAGAAGAGTCGCTCTACGTGTGTCGTGCCCTAGATCTGATTCAAAGCGGGTTGGCAGAAAAAAACTGCTTTTCCTGTCTTTCTCTTTCAGGATCTTCGGTGAGGATTCGCAGTCGCACTCTTATCAAATACCTTACGGGATCGTCTGGCATGAACCCCAGCTCCTGACTGCGGAGTATCTGTATCCAAGTCAATCTCTAAAGGAGAAAGCAGAAGGAACAACATCCGGCTTTTCATGCCGAATTCGCACAAACAACGCACTTCCCTTCAATGCGCCTGTAGTTCATGTCCATGATCATGGGTAGTGCATTAGAACTCCGCGCCTTCCTACACTCTCTAAACCTGAAGTTTCTTTTCACTTGTTTGTGCGGTGTGGAAAATAAATGTTTTGGGAAAAAGAAATGAAGCGTCTTCCACTCATGCTGCAACGTGTTCCATGTATTCAATCGCTGCTCAAATTTATCTCGCAGGGAGAGAACGGAGTGGAAGCGAAACACATCACAGTACGGTGTGGCTTCAAAAGAAATCGTAAACTGGGCTAAAGAAATCGGGTGAGATCAGATTGTGGCCTAATAGAGGGTATAACGGGCTATTCTTTTGAAAGATAGAGATACTGAGTACTACTTCTAAATGACTTTCGTTGCGGGAAAATTCAATGACGTAAGGAAGTAAATCTAAAAGTTTATTCCTGATCGACAAAATAAGATGTACAACGGGTCTTCTTAACTGAATCCAGAATCATTCAAGGCTGTAAAAATCTAAATCTTTCATAAAGCTTTCATTAAAAAATGTTGCGATGTCTGCAGCCTTTAGTGTTGGACAATCGATCCCTAATTGTCTGTGGTAAAAAACTATGCTCGTGCTCACACAGCACGGGTGCGATGTGGATTCTATGGCCTATGCGAGTAAGTAAATTCAGAGATTTCCTGTCTTGCATATTCATCTTTCGGCGTAGTAGATTTTTACCGTACAGATTAGAATGAGATTGCGCATGGGCCCATGTTTGTTGCCATTGCAGCAAATTCGACGAATAATTTAGATCCATTAACCAGTTGACTTCTTTTCATCACAAGGCCGGCGCACAAAATTCGTGGTTCATTTGAAATCTAAAAAAGTCTCTGCAATGTACTTTCAACATCATGCTGCGAAGGTTACATCGATAAAAATGATCTATAGAAGTTCTTCCGAGATGATCATCCACAAAGTGAAGATACAGTTGATGTGTCTCGCGACAACCCCAGCTGCGTAACTGTAGTTATCTTTTTCGGGCTGTCTTGCTTTCGAAATGCGAACAATTCGCCGTTAAAGACGAAAATTTAAGATAATCGTAAACCAGCATGACCCGCCTGATATGAAACACTAATTTCCCCAATGACTTCTACTTACTTCGAGTCCACCTTGCTCATGTGGACGGCCAGGTCGACCAAGCGGTTGGAGTAGCCCCACTCGTTGTCGTACCAGGACACCAATTTCACAAAGGTGTCGTTCAGCTGGATGCCGGCCTTGACGTCCAGGATGGAGCTGCACTTGTGGCCGACAAAATCCGTGGACACCACCTCATCCTCCGTCACGTCCAGGATGCCGGACATCTTGCCCTCCGCGGCCTTCTTGCACGCCTCCACAATGTCCTTCATGGTGGCCGGCTTCTCCAGCTTGCAGGTCAGGTCAACCACAGACACGTCCGGGGTCGGCACGCGGAACGCCATACCTGTTATTTTGGTTGCAATTTAAAGTTCCGTGTGGGAGGTTCTAGGCTCGTGGAACACGTGGCGCAATCTATGACTATGTCTCATACTAAATTCTAAAAACCCCGCAAAGCAGACTACTTTTGAAAAAACCAACAATGCTTCTCTACCGGTCAACTTCCCGTTCAATTCCGGGATCACCTTGCCGACCGCCTTGGCAGCCCCCGTCGCGGCCGGGATGATGTTCTGGCTCGCGCAGCGGCCCCCGCGCCAGTCCTTGCCGCCGCGGGAGGGACCGTCGACGACCAGCTGCGTGGCGGTCATGGCGTGCACGGTGGTCATCAGGCCCTCCTTGATACCAAAGTTTTCGTGGACGACCTTGGCGAGGGGAGCGAGGCAGTTGGTCGTGCAAGAAGCGTTGGACACGACGGTCTTGTCGCTCGTGTACTCCTCGTGATTCACCCCCATGACGAACATCGGGGTGCTGTCCTTCGGCGGCGCGGACATGATCACCTTCTTGCAGCCGCCCTTGATGTGGGCCTCCGCCTTGGTGGTCTCGAGAAAGACGCCGGTGGACTCGCAGACGTAGTCCGCGCCGGCCTCGCCCCACCCGATGCTGCTGGGTTCCTTCTCGTGGAAAACCCGGATGGACAAGCCATTCACGACGAGGTACTCCTTCCCGTCCTTGGCCTCCGTCGCGATGCTGCCCGCGTAGCGCTTATGCACGGAATCATACTTCAGCTGGTAAACCTGGATGTCGTGTGGATAGGGATGAAGTGTAAGACAATACGATATTTAATTTTTTAGATCTAGCTGATGCAGATGATTGGAGGAGTCTAAAAATTCGTGTTCCACGAAGGTGGACGCATTTCATCCAATTCTAATTCATCAGCTCCTTCCGTCGTCGTGGTTCGTTTTGCTCCTTCAAAATATTTTTGTTTTTCGGATGAAGATGACAGACGACGAACTAAGGTCTACATGCAGTAGATGCAGGGATGGAATTTAATACTTACCATGTATTCCAAGTCCATGAAGGGATCGTTGATAGCCTTGACTTCGACATCGGGGTTTTCCATCGCGGCACGAAAGACCAAGCGGCCGATGCGGCCAAATCCGTTGATTCCAAAGCCAGCCGCCATTTTCTTGCAGTTGATTCGCGTGCAAGGGTAGGAGTTATCTACGGAAATCGATGCGATTTACCACGGTTAGTCTTAGTAGATCTGCGTATACAAGAAGTGAGACACCCGAGGAGATTGTGTTTAGTGTTGCTTTCAAAAATACAGCTTCAAGAAGAAGAAATGCTGTAGAAATACGAGTTGTGAGTCTAGTGTTTTCAATCAGGCTGCCAGGCACAAAGTGGAGAAAAAATTGTCAGTTTTGGACCGAACAATTCGAATCGAAAAAACAATTCTTTGCATGAAAAAACACACCAGGATTTCCCAATTAAAGATCATGTTCATGTCCGAGCGTGATCTCTTTTCATTTTTTTCAACACAATTGAAAATTTAGAATTTTGGATCTCTGCCCAAAACATGACAGGGCTTCATCCTTCAGATTCTTCTGTCTGCAGTTGTAGAGTCGAGTTTCTTTAGAACAACGGAAAACCATTGACAGGGCAGTTTGGCGCACGGCACATACCAAAGCAATGAGGCTGATACCTACAATGCCTCAGCTTCTAAACGGGCTCGTCCCGGGTTTTACTTTTAGACGAGGTGTTGTCGCATTTAGAATATCCAATTTGGGGTGCCTTTTAGCCGGCACGCCAAATGAAGAACTAGAACTTCCAAATCAAAAAAGAAACATAAAGAAAGCCAATAACAATATGAATGTCGCTTTTCGTTGACCACATAGATGAGCGCCGCCTGGTTTATTCTTCTCCGAATCCGCTGTATCCAGGGATAATAAACGCAGGCGAATTACTTAAAAGGTAGACAGCAAAATGAAAATCAAAATCCTGCTCGTCGAACTCAGTAAGATATAATCTGTCATTATTTCGCAAGAAAGGTTATTTGCATTTTGAGTGTTCTTACATCGAGACAGGACGAGAGCCTTTTCGTTATTGTAGAAGTGTGTCCGACTCCGCTTTGCGCCATCTTCGACGTGATAAAGCTCTTGAAACCGAAAGGACACGAAAGAATGTCTTTAAATCAATGTCGAACTCGAATTCATCATATTCAATTTCAATGTGCCGATTTTTAGTTTTATTTGACTCAATACTGTACTACGGAGCTGCTGTCTACACTAAAACGAGAAGAAGGGAGGAGGAGAGCCTCTCGCGGTCCTTCTAACTCAAAAGCTTCACGACAAACCGGGTCGATGAGATTGGAACTGGACAAGTACCTGAGCCTGTAAATGTAAGATCTATATTATCGCTAGTCGCGAGAGGGAGAGCACTCCTGCGATCTTGCGAAACTTAGTAAGCGTTGATCTTTAAATCTCATTGTCATTTCAGCTGCTGTAATTATATCATGTATTGCTGTTTTGATGTAATATCATTTTGTTTTTCAGTAATTTATCGCCAAAAATTGACTACGATTGTCAAGGAATCCCTCCCCGCTGTTTGATAAAGACGCGAATTCGGCAAAATTGTCTCCTTCCTCCGCTGGGGCCGAAGAATCCTTGGTGCCCCGAACACTTCGCTCCACCTCCGGAATTGTTTCTCCCGGAACCTGCACCATACGTCCAGCGCCGCCCGTCATCTCGCGATGACAGTGCACAACTCCCCCTCCGCCTCATTTGTACAGCGTGAACGGCAGTACAAGCATCAGCAAGATTGCCGGCACCGCATGACAAATTTGCACTGGAGTGTAGTGCTACTTGGGCTACCAGAGCTTGTCATGCAAACAGTGCCAAGAAGAGGCAAAAGGTGGAGATTTTGTCCTACTGAGTATTTTGTTAGGGAGTGTCCTGGACTGGGTATTTTGCATGACAAATGAGGAGGAGGGGGTGGAATTGTGCACTCTCATACTCGTTGAAGTGTTCCGCGAACCGGTTGAATGATATCCAATGCAAAAGTATCGCACTCGTACTAATTGTAATTGCATTCATGCGTTACAAATCCAGTTCCTAAGGCAAATTTGTTTACAAATTCAATTTCTTTGTAATGCTGAGCCAATTTGTGTTGCAATTCATACTAGTACGATGCTTTTGCATTTCATAAATGAGTGCAGGGGCGTATGAGAAAAAAGCATCATCGTCATCTCAACTTCGCCTTGCGGTCGCTCGTTCGCATCATATCTGTACATAACGTTCTAACTCGTCTTGTTTGTTAGCTGCAGCCTCGTGGCCACTTTATCCACCCTTTCATCCGCAGGCTGCTCGCATATTATGCACAGGAAGCAATGCGAACAAGTTGCAGCTGAACAGTACATTATTGCAACAAGGCGCAGTGAGGACAAGAAATATTTTTTCGCTTCTTCCCTTACTGATTTAGCGGGTTGAACAGGTGCAACCCAAACAACAACTGCACTGGGTCAAACAATTTTGCCTCGTTGATGGGATTTGGGTTCGCACTACTCGCATCTGTCGGATTCTGCAGCCGAAACAACTCGGGTTCAGAAACCAGATAGTCCGTGAAAAAGCGGGCGAAGCCGGTGCGCTGATATAAGTAGTGTTGTGTGTCTTGTGGTTTTCCTGCAACGCAGAAGGATGAGTTTTTGTTCATTGTGTATTAGTGTTTCGGTTTGATAATTTCGTTTCGTGAAAGCGGCGATCAAAAATCTAAATAGAGGTTATGAGGAAGCACAACTTCTTGTGTGCTAGCACTCTGCGTCATCAAGAAGTTTCAGTTTGAAAAAATGATCCAGCTACCCTATTTTTCAGCACCCCCTCCGGTACGCCCCAGTTGAGCGCGTCCCAGGTATATGGTAGTGTCAGGATTGAAATCGTCGAAGTTGAAATAGTCTGTGATGCATAAAATGCAAGGCATGAGGTGTCTGTATTGCCGGGATGGCAAGTGAGGCAGATTGTGAGCCTATTTAGGGTTTGGGATAGAGCTGCTAAAAGAGCACGACAAAAGCAGTCTTCTGTGCCCAAACAGCATGACAAATTGGATTCCGGTGCTCCGAAAATTTGTCATGGGCCGCTTGGGAATTGGGCTTCCAGCTGGTATCCATTTTATGCATGACAAATCATTTCAACTTTGTCGATTTCAAACCTGACGCTTCCATAAGGTACCGCGCGACAGGAAAAACACCTGAGAAACCGGTGGGTGGCAGAGGTCAAAGTGCAGCCCCTCCAGGATGTTCAGTATGCATTACAAATTTCCCGTAGTACATGTACAAGATGCATCACAAATTTCCCCAATTTGGAGTGTGAAACTTGTCATGCTAAACTAGGATCGAAGCCAAGTTTTGCCATGCAGACACCGCATTTGTACGTGTACAAGAAATTTACTGTGGATATTCAAGCGCTCAAACACACTGCCGAGGCTGGGTCCCAGTCCCGGCCACCGCTTGCTCATGCGCGGCACTGGATCGTCACCGTACACAAACATCGTCACTCCGTGCGGTCGGTCTAGGTCGTCCGGTGAAGAGAGGGGGAGGTGGTCCAGCTGCGGGAGACGCACGTCCAGCTGCGTACGCGGTACGGGAGGAAGAGATTTTAAGGAACTGAAGCTTGGGAAGCTTGTGGTCGGCGATTTGTTGCCTAACGACGGTCGACTCACAGGTGGTGTGGAGGGGCCTCAGGTTGAATATTTTATTTCAGTTCTTGGGGTAGAGAAAATCGCAACCAGTTTTTTGTTATTCGAGGTAGGCTTGGATACAACTACAGCAACAGCTACAACCAGATTTCAAAAAAATAACAAATGCCCTGCAGCCACGATAATCCGAAGTAATAGAGCCTCCAAAAGCGGCAGGAGCTCACATGCAATGAATTATACCCGCACTAGAACTCGCATCTATTTGTATTTCCTCCACCTCCGCGACCTCCTTGAACAGTACAGCCCTGCTGCTCCGTCCTCTGCTCCTTAGCAACGAGGACGATGACCCGCCAAGTTCTGCTGCACAACTTCCTGCGATTCCCGAGGTTGATGGCACTGTCGTCGATGTTGTGTTTTGTTGGTTGATGGCACTCCTCCCGGAACATTCAATATCCTGTGCAAATAAAGTATCGCACTCGTATTGCAATCATGCATAATATGCCAAATCCTTTTCTTAAGGTCAATCTGCCTTACAAATTTCATTTCTCACGCTGACGAAATTAAAATTTGTAATGCATTTATACGAGTGCGATACTTTTGCGGTTCATATTGAACGCGACGTCCCAATAAGGAACTACGACCAGGAACTTCTGCTCCCTGGATCCCATGGACGCGGTCAGGCCGTGTTTGGTTCGCTGGATCTTCCCTAGGTGGGTCTTCTGGTTCTTGTTGTTGAGGCGGATCTAGAAATAAATCGGGAGAAGATGCGTCGGGTCGTCGTGCACACAGTGCGAGCCCTCCTCGGGACCACTGAAGATGACGTCGATTGTGATTGTGATCCTGCTCCACCGCTGGGCATGTTGTAGATAAAAATTCTGTGTCAACTACATCTTTTGACCTCGATGCTGCTTCATCGTCAAAAAAGGCCCGCACTTGCGACCCGATGCTGGTTTCGCGCCGCATTTCTCGGAAGGAGGAAAGACCGAACTCAAGCGTGGCCCCAGATGACCCAGAGGCTGTGTATTTTTCGGATGTTAATGGAGGCGCTTTTGCAATTGTGTCCACGTTCCGGCGCCACTGGGGTGCCAGGTTATGCAGCAAAAACGTGTCCGCTTTTTGCATGTAAGCTCCGAAATCCGTAACCTCCTGCTCATTCAGACCTTCATGTAAGTTGAGTGTATAATGGCGGTAGTTGAGACAACAACATATTGGGTTACTTACTTTACAGAACTTCAACGTGAGCGTACTAATCCCAACTACAAGAATGTAAATATGCTTCATGCGAGCAGATTCAATGCACGAGGTCATACTGTAGGTGGTCAGCTAGAAGACCAAACAGAAACTAGAACTACGAACGTCTGCGAACTTAAGACAAATAGACATGATACTCATGCGTAAAAACGACGCAGTCAGAATAAAAATAAGACCTTGATTCATGATTTGAAAAGGTGGTGCCGGCGAGTGGGCAAAGGTGTGAAACAACTTGACTGCCTGCTCCTTGTCTTGGTGCCGAGTGCGCCCCAACACGGACCGCCACAACCGCTCCAGGTCCTTCATGTGTCGCCAAAACTCGTAGAAGAGGTACTCCGGCGACTCGTGGTCCAGGCGCGCCCCCGTTTCGTCTACGGGGGGTCGAAAATTTCCCATGCTGGCGACGCTGGCCAACCGGTTCCGCGATGAGAAACCCAGGAGGGGGCCGCTACCAGGTTGTATCCAATGCAAATATGTCTGCGTCTGGGTCTGGAAGAAGATTGCAAGACTTGTCATGCACGTTTTCCACGACCCATGAGGTCTGGTGTGCACGACATAGCATGACGGATTCTGGGACGAGATCGTTCTCTTGCCCATCCTGCATGATAAACTTCCTCGGAAATTGGTCAAAGGTGGACAACTTTTGGTAACCGTGCAACACAGACTTTTTCACAACCGAGACTTCGCATGACAAGTTTCATTCAGTGCTCCACAGAAAGCTCCAGACATATTTGATATGCATACCAGGCTTTTCTTTGCTATTCCGCCGCACGAGCTGCGCAGCGCTACCAGACGCTTTGCTAGTACCTCGGCGGCCACCATTATCCTCTGGCAGTCGCGCGGCTGCCTGATTTTTTTCATATTTGTCTCAATCATGTTTCTGTGCGGGCGAGTAAAATCCTGTCTGTCCTCCCTCCTCGTCGTCTCACATTTTTCACATGCTTCAAACGCGAGGAGGACCGCTTCTCTTACTCCTACGCAGGTAGGAGGAAAAAGTTCTTGCCACGATGAACAACACATCATCATCATCAAAAAAAGAAAACCATATTGACGATAATAAATTCAAAAGCACTCATGCACGACCTGCTGCCGCGGCTGCGACGTTCCGTTTCCCTTGCCCGCCTCATCTGCTTCCCGGATGCTCTGCAACGGAAATAACCCCGATAAGGACGTGAGGCTATCTTGTTGCGGAAACAGGGCCTGATCGGGCTGCGGCACTGGAACCTGCATCACCTGCACATCCCCGGTCGTGGTATTCTCTCGCATAATCCGCACGGTTGCGCCGATCTGCTGACGCTGCACCGTATTTGTATTTATTCCCGGCTCTACAACTTCTACCACCGGAGATTGTGTAGTAGTACTACTGCCGAGAACAAGTGCATTTAGCCTGTCGGTGCTCGATTTGCTTCCTGTGGTGGACCATTCCGAGTAGTACTGCTGCGCTAGCTATCAAATGCAAAAATGTCTGGGTCTGGAAGATTGCGCGATTTGTCATGCAGCTTTTCCATGACCCTGGAGGTCTGGGATGCAGGACCTAGCATGACAGACTCTGTGCGATCTCTCTCATGCCTATCCTGCATGAGAAACTCCCTCCCGACTTGGTCAAAACTGGACGACTTTTGGTAATCATGCAACACAGATTTTTGCATGCTTCAGATTTAGCATGACAAGTTCCAACCTTCCAGACCCAGACATTTTTACATTTGATACTAGCACCGGCTGTAGTTCTTGATCCGGTTGGATATCAAATGTAAAAGTGTCTGGGTCTGGAAGAGTTCGAGACTTGTCATGCTGCTTTTCCATGACCCATGAGGTCTGGAATGCAGGACCTAGCATGACAGATTCTGCGAGACCTTATTAATGCCTATCCTGCATGAGAAACTACCTCCCGACTTGGTCAAAACTGGACGACTTTTGGTAATCATGCAACACAGATTTTTGCATGCTGCAGATTTAGCATGACAAGTTGCAATCTTCCAGACCCAGACATTTTTACATTTGATATCGGACTTTCTCCGGCAGATCCCGACTGAGCCAGGCAAATGCGTGCGTCATCAGCGCGCACGCTATGGGATTCTCAATTGTTACATTCTCAACTGTTACATGGATTTGTCATGCAAGAATGGCAACAGGGAAAGGGCGGATCTTGCAACTCTTGCATTACAAATTTGGCGCAGATTCCCATGCTGTTTAGCCCTTCAAAAATTTGTCATGCGTGTGGACGTTGATGCTCATTCTGCATGACAAATCATGTAACAGTTGAGAATGTAACGCTTGAGAACGCCATACACGCGCCGCCGAGGCTGTGACCGACGATGGTGACGGAATCAAATTGCTGCAGCTTCCGAAAGCTCATGTACACTTGCAGCACTTTCAGAATGTAGTGACCCGGCTTCATTTCCTTATTCTGTTCCTTTTGGTCGTTCTTCGCACTAGCAGGAGTGCCTTGATTCTGATTTTTGCCAAAAAATTTCGGGCGTCGTGCAGCGGGAGAAAGAGAATATGGGCCTGACATAATCTCGTGGTCCTCCTCTATGAAAGCCTCAGGTTGCAAATCCCCAAAGTGAAAATGATTTGTAATGCAAAAAAACGACTCCAGTGGAAGAGCCATTTGTAGTCGATGCATGACAAATTTCCCGGGCACTTAAAGCATGTCTGTCATGCAGGTTAAGGCAAAGGGGTGCCGTTCTCTCGTGCTAAACAGCACCCCAATTCTTCAACCCTCGGAGGACAATAGTCGGCCTCCATTGCGTCCTCTGCAATACAGGGCTTTTTGCGTCGCATTTCATGCATCACAAATTATTTCCACTTTGAGGATTTCCATTCTGAGGCTCTCATATCCTCTTCGGCCGCCGGAGATGAACATCCCCCACATCCACCTCCGCTCACTCCCTCACCGTATCCTGAGGAAAAACGTTCCCACCCCAGAGTTGTCATGCAGATTTGCAATGACAAGGACATTTGTGATGCGCATACACACGGTAGACATTTTCAGTCGTGTTTTGGAATTTGTGATGCTATGAACAGGATAAGCAGACGGATCTGTGACGCAGCTGCACTTGCTAACCTGCACTACACTACGGAGTGCAACTTGTCATGCGTGACTCCAAAAAGTCCTAGGTTTGTGTTGCAAAATCCCCAACTTGACTCTGGTGTGGGTACGTTTTTACTCAGGATACACCGTGGGCCTTCGCCATGAACTGCAGGTCGGGCCAGCTTTGCGGCGTTTCCTGCCTTTTCCATTGGTCCTGCAGCTGCCTTAGTGCATCGGCCGTGGCCGTCGACCGGGTGTTGTTGGGGGGCGCGTTATTATTTGCGGGGTGGTGGGTTGCTGGCGTGTACTGGACCCCCGCTCGGAACAACCCACGCCTCCCTGCTCCGGGCGCCGGGGAATTCGGTTCGTCGCCTCGCTCCTGCTGTTCGCCGGGAGTTGGCATCTTGTCCACTACTTCCGACTTGCTGTAGTGGCTGGCCCAGGGCCCCATAACCGTGTTGTACCCGTTCTGCATGTTCTGCATCACGGAGAGTAGTTTCCGCACAAACCCGTATCCTGAGCAAAAACATAACCACACCAGGGTCAAGAACAAGATGGGAAATCTGCTAGACAAATCAACTAGCTTTTGTTGTTTCGCATGACAAGTTTGCCCTCATAGTGTAATCCTGTTTAGCTAGCAGGTCCGCAGCATCACAGATCTAGCATATCATGCTAATTCTATCATCACAGACTCCAAAACACGAGAAGAAAATGCTTCTTATGGCGCTCTGCATGAGAAACTTTTTTGGCACGCATATTTGCATGACAACTCTGGGGTGGGGACGTTTTTACTCGGAATAACCCGCGCCCCACACCTACCTTCACCGACGACTTGTCAGCACTCTCTAGTAATGTGTTGACCTCCTCCGCCCCGCCCTGGGAAGATGAGGATGAAAAGACCTTCCTGGTTGTTGAAGAACCCATCGTGCCTTTGGTATAACTCGAACTTCCGTTGCTCAGTTGCCGTTCTTGCCCGCCACCTCGCGGAGGTGCAGCAGGACCAGGAGAACCAGAAGATGGTGGAAATAAATTATTACTCGGACTACTTGTGCTGGTCAACACGCGCGTCCGTCTCCTTCCCTCTCTCCTGGTCCGCGCGAACGTCTGCCACCCCGTGGATTGCGTCGAGGGTCCTTCCGACGTTTGAAGTTGAATACCTTGCTCGTTGTCTTCTTCTAAATCGGAGGGGTCCACCTCTCCGCCGACAGCACCTCTACCACTTGCTCCTTCTGCGCCGTTTGTTGAAACCGGTGCAGGTGCTCCGCCGCCCCCTCTCGCGGCATTATTCAGATGTTGTTGTGCTGCTTGTGTGTGGTTGTCATGATCGCCGTCCTCTTGTTGGTTTCTATTTTTTCTAGCAGAAGTACTACTAGCTTCAGCTTGTTCTCTACTTCGTCTTCCCTCCTCGCCCCCTTGATGTTCCACCTCCTCGCCCATAATGCTCTTCTTCAAGAGCTGCGGCTCGTGCTCCTGCTCCTGTCGTGCACGACCGAGATCCTCGTCGTCCTCAAGCTGTATCCTGAGTAAAAACCTACCCACGCCAGAGTTGTAATGCAGATTTGCAAAGACAGGAAGACTTGTAATGCGCATCCCCATGAGAGCCATTTCCAATCGTGTTTTGGAATTTGTGATGCTGTGAACAGGATGAGCAGATGAATCTGTGATGCGGCTGCACTTGCTAACCTGCACTACACTGCATAGTGCAACTTGTCATGCGTGACTCCCAAAACTCCTAGGTTTGTGTTGCAAAATCCTCATCCTGACTCTGGTGTGGGTCCGTTTTTACTCAGGATAAGCTGCACTAGCTCATCTACTTCCAGCGGTACCTCGAAGACCGGCATGCCTTCGGCGGGGTCGTGATTGCTGATGTCGTAGAACTATGAACTGCAAAAGTATCGTACTCGTAAAAAAAATGCATGACAAATTTTCCCAGCATGAGAAATAAAATCTGTAATGCGGATTTACCTTGAGAAAAAAATTTGTAATGCAAGACTTGCATTTATACGAATACGATACTTTTGCACAGGATAAGAACCATTCCTTCTGCGTGATGGTGCCGCGGAAAATCAGCCACAAGATCGTCCGCCCCGGCTCCATATCCTGTGCAAAAGTATCGCAATCGTACACATGCGGGCCTTGCATTACAAATCTTGTTCTTAAGGTAAATCCGCATTACAAATTTCATTTCTCATGCTGGGGAAATGTGTAATGCATTTATACGAGTACGATACTTTTGCAATGCATACTCCACGTGCTGTGCCAAAAAGGCCCACCCGCTGCGGCTGTGCCAGTCCAGGCGCGAACGCTCCAGGTTGCCGACGATGAACTCAAAGTGCTTCCGATCCGTCTGCGGCAGCACGGATTCTGGCCCACTGGTTTCCGTGGCGAGGTTCATATTCCACGCGATCTGCGACGCGTACTCCGCCTGCTTTGCGCGGTCGAGAAACGAGATGTTCTTCTTGCGGGGGGAGGGTTTATTAATATTTTTCGCTTGACGATGCTCTGCTGTGGTACCTTGTTCACCAGCGCTTTTTCGACGAGAACCGTGCGACGGAACATTCTGCTCGAGGACGTCGCGTGGCAGGAGCGGTGTCGAGCCCGAACTTCCAGCAGCTGTTGACCAAGGCCGCCGTTGTTGTTTCTGGCCGTGCGTAGTTTTTAGAGCGCCTTCTTGATTTGTGTCAGCGTCACTGACGACTGGCAACGGGTAATCTGTAATTAAATGATCATTTGCATTCGCATTTATTTTATCAAGCAGTTTCGATTTACTTACAGCACAGCACCATAGCGTCGTAGTTTGTGCATCATCAAACACTTCCGAGAAATGAAGTCCTACTCCAACTGAAAGAAGTATACCTTTACCTTCGTTGTTGTAGTCATTTCGGTTCCGAATCGGGTGGTAGTGACCCCTATGGCTTGCAAATATGTCTGGGTCTGGAAACTTGCGATGCAAATCATCTCTGAATGGTGAGCGCACTACGTACAATATGCAGCCAAGCATGACAAGTTTTTTTAATGCCATGTGTTTCGTTTTCCGCATCATCATCATCATGTAGTGGACACCCGCTCCCAGCGCCACAGGTCAAGGATCCCCTCCCCGGGGGGTGGGCGAGGAAGCACTTTCGGCGACCTCATCATACAAAAGCCGAGCGCTACCACGGCAAGTCGCCCCAAGAAAAGTACCAACCAGTCGGGAGCTACCCACCACCCTTGATCAGTACAGCCCGGCCAGCTAGCCGAGCGCGACAGCCCAACATACAGAACGATCCAGGACCCGACCCATTTTACGCCATATGTTTTTGTTCTCACGGAAGAGACGACGCACCCCTTAGGGTTAAGGGGCGAGACTCTCCCTTAAGCCGCAACCCCACCCGGACAGGGGAGGCTGGACCATTTGTGCCTTACCTGCGGCACAGGCGAGCAGGGCAAGTGCACGGACCACAGTTGTCAAACCATCGGCCAGTTGTCTGGCGCTGCTGACTGGCAACCCACCTGGGGCACAGCGACAACTTAAAGCTTAGTTTGTGCGTGGCAGTCGTAGTGCAGCCCTGTTCTGCAACAGAAGCAAAGGGTGGGAGGGGGGACTGGAATCGTAAACCGGAATCGCCTCGGAACTTACCACTCAAGGGTGACCGGCAATCCCCTTCATACATAATGACCCCACGCCCTTCGATCTTCCTTCTTGTGCCCACCGCTTTGCTTTTGTTGCAGAACGCGTGAGGACCAGCAGGCCCTGAATCGTCCGCCGAACACAAATACGGTCTCGCGACTGAGTTGAACTCGACTGCATAGGCAGCAACGAGCGGGGGCTGGCGTGCCCGCTAGTGTTACGCTTCTGCTTGAGCCAAAAAAGTGCTACACTTTCCGCATGGCAAACGCAAACTGCGTTTTTGCATGACAGGCAAGAGGCCCCATTCCTGCTTACGCATCACAGATCTAAGAGTCATGCCAGACAAGCATGACAAGTCCTACATTCTTCTAAACCCAGACTACATTTTTGCAATGCATAACCCCCTGGAAACGGGCGGTTGAACCAGTTGTTCACCGTGGCAAGTTCCAGGAATGCGACGGCAGTAAAAAGAAGGAAGAAAACAACCAAGCACTTCCCGCAACAGGCGCAGCACTTTTTCTCCTCTCCTTCTTGCTCCAATAGTTGTACCTGAAGAGGTTCGCTTTCGCTTTCCGCCTGTTCAACATCCTGATCCTGGTGTGATTTCCTCTTGCGTTTCCTTCTCTTCCGCTTTTCGCTTTTCAAGCTGGGGACTTCACTTGTTCCTGAAGTAGAGGACCCTTGTTCGGATTCTGATTCATGTTCATCTAAGTGCGGCTGCGGATCCTCCGGCGTTTCCTGGCCCTGCATTACGACGTCCCATACGTCCTCCAACGCGGCTGCTGCACGACCCTCCGAGATAGTAGATCCGCTGCTCGTCCATGGATCCGGGTTATAATCTTCGCACCAGCTGTAGTTGTTTCTGCTGTTTTTCTTATTCTTGTTCCCCAGCAATAAAGAAGCCCCGACGTCTTCATCAGGAGCTGTTTCTGTGAGGCTCGCGGTGGTTCCTTTGAAAGCGCCTGCTCGGGGTGGTCCTTTGCGGTAGTGCCGCGGGCTAAAGGTAAAGCGATTTATTATACCAGGTTGCATCTGGGACAAGCTGCTCTCGCTCTCGTCGTCGCCTTCGTCTCCGGCAACATAATTTTTTGCACCACGATAAACGGCCGGAGTGCTCCTTGTCCTGGGTGCAGAAGTTGTCCTTCCGTGTTTTTTCGACAGCACGGAAGTTGTTCCCAGCACTTCTACTTCCTTGTTTGTGCTCGGTCTACTGCCGCGCAGAAATCGTGGCGACAGCGACTTGTTGTTGGCACGGAGGCGGCGCGTGGTCTCCACTTCTTTCTGCAGAACAATTCTGGAGGGTGGAAAGAGCTCCGATGAAAAGATCTCACGGTGCAGCTTTTTCGTCGACGAAGTAGAACTACTACTACTTCTACTGCGACTACCACTAATATTACCCCCGCCCGGTCTTGATGCGCAATAGTTGTTCGTGCGCAGTTGCTGTACCACCGGTCGTGTCCTCCGTGTGGTGGTAGGACTAGGAGTATAAAAATTCTTGATGCCGTTATCATCACTTCTTCCCTTCGTCAAAGGCACGCAGCGCTGTTCCTGTTCCGAGGACACCACGGACAGTCCTCTTCGTTCCGCGTGGGCCGCGCCGGGCCGCGGGTCAAACAGGGTCGACTGCTGTTCCTTTTGGGTCCTCAGGGAGGTCGCTTCTTGATTAAAAGCGTGGAGGTCACCATCATGGTAGCTTCTTCTCTTCGTTTTCCTGAAATGCCACGCCGTCGTCGTAGTTCTCAACATCAACTCGTTATTTTTAACAGCAACCGGTCCCAATGACCGCGCGCGGCTGGAGGTTCCACAGGCACTACTTTTCGGATGTTGACCAAAAAAGATCTTCTCGCGGTATTTTTCATTTAGATTCGGAATTTGATCGTTGACCGTACCCCTCGATGAATTTCGATAGCTGTTCAGCGTCGGCGCGGCGTTGGAGCTCTTAATATGCTCTGCAAAAGCATCTTCGCGCTCGTTCTCGTAGTAATTCATTCTCATTGCAGAAGTCATGCAAGCATTACAAATCTCACTTTCTACCTGATCTAGCATGCCAAGCTTCACCACTTCTGTTTATGAAGAAGAAAACATTTGTCATGCAATTCATACTAGTACGATTACACTTTTGCAATGCATAGCTCTCAGCGCTGCTTGAGTTGGTAGTCCGACCCTCCGTTCGCCCCTCCCCCTCCGCTATGACAGTGCACAACTCCTCCCCCCCCCAGTTTTTGGATGACAAGTTTTGGCAGTCCAATATAGCACTACATTCCTGTGGTGCAAACTTGTCATGCAAAACCTGCATGCCTGCTAAGTACCATTTGTATTGCCGCTCGTGCTACGCAAATGAGGGGGACCACGAAGGGGAGTTGTGCATTGTCATATCCGCCGCACTGGCCTCACGAACAAACAAGAGATCTATCCTGTGCAAAAGTATCGCACTCGTATAAATGCAAGCTTTGCAATCTTTTTTTAAAGGTAAATCCGCACTACAAATTTCTCATGCTGAGCAGGAAATTTGTATATGCATTTATACGAGTACGATAAACTTTTGCAATTCATAAGTAGATCCCTTTCACTACCAGTTGCTCTACTGTCTTCGTCGTTTAGGTGTGCTGCACGCCGAGCGGGGTATAGGTCTACGTCTACTTCGACTTCATGTGGGGTATAATTATAGTAGAAATTCATACTATCAAATGTTCCCCTGGAGGAGGTGCTCTGCCGTGGACGAAGATCGTGGGAGGCCTTAATATTGTACAAATGCTGGTCAGACGAGGACCTACGAGAAGCCTCGGCCTCGTCGGGCGGCTGCTGCTGGTGCTGGTCCACATGTACTTCTCGTCGAGATGAACCGTCTATTTCGCTTTGATGTTCTGAGGAACTGAAACTAATTGTGGGGACCAGATAGTTCTTCACGTGATTGTTGGACGTGGACCCACTGGAAGGCCGCCAGGAGCATGACAATAGACGAGAGCTGCTACTCCTTATTCCATCCTCGTGGTCATCAATCTTTATCTTGTTGTTCTGCCCACCGGTTGTCGTATTTTTTTGTGTCGTCTTCTTCTTCACGACTTCTACTTCAGCAGCGCCGCTCGTCATGGAGGTGGAGTTCTTGCAGACCGTGTCAAGTAGAACAGGGTAGTCAATATTAACGTGATCTTCTTGAACTACTTGATCGTATGACATTTGTTCATCCCGTTCATCTTTGACTCGCCTGTCTTCTTGCGCCCCGCCCTCGCGTGCAACTGCAACATCGAAGTCGCCTGGTGGTTCCCGAAATAGGACCTTCTGCTCCAAGGCTGAAAGAACTCCAGGATTCTGGTTCTTGCAGGTCGTGTATAATAAGTTGTCGTGCCGTAGCTTTGGCGGCTCGACGCTGTGCACTGTCTGGTGTCGCCCCCCGTGCAGCCGGTTCAGAAGTACTTCTTCGTAGTTGATGTTCTGACCGAATTCAGGAGTGGCACTGGAAATCCTGCCGTTTTGTTCGCACAACGCAATTTCCTCAGTAAGAAAGGCACTTTTAGTTTTACAGCTTCGATCCGCAGTCTTTATAATTCTCGGTCTACTTCCGACATGTTCCGCTAGTTGTCCGGGGTTCTTCTGTGATTCAGAGGATGAAGACTCCTGGTTTGCAGTTTCACTTTTCCAGTTTCTACCGTTGGAAGAAGGAGCATCATAATGCAGATGCTGGTCATGCTCATGCTCCCCTTGTGGTCGCACTTGCTGTTTTGCATGAGCATCCACCCCGTCTTCGGAAGATGAAGCTGGAAACGCGCGAGCTCGTGGTCCCATGCTCTTGTGATCGTCCGCGATATAACCATAATCATAATGATAATCATAATCTCGTTCATCTTCTGAGACCACCAGAGTCAGCTCTTCATGTCGCTGCGTTTTACTAGCGGGCAGTAAAGTCGCTTGGTTTATTATGTCCCAACAACTTTCAGCACTTGTTCCAACATTTTGATTTTTTTCCGTTTCGTAGGAGTACTCTGCGTCTACTGCCTCACGTCGTCCTCCTGGTCCTTCTCCTTCATAATCATAACGACGACCGTTGTAGAAATTATACTTATGGTTGATGGCAGCTGCATTTATTCGATTGAATGTTGTTTCATGCGGATCAACTACATGGTCCAGCACCTGTAGCTCTGTGGTCGTCATCGTCCCCCGAATCGGAATTATCGCATCCTTCTCCTCCTGCTGCACTCCATTACGGCAAACTACCCCGCCGCGGCCCGGGGTACTGGGGTGACTTGTACAGTGGAAAAGTATGAGTATCGTACGCGTAGGGTAGTAGTCGTAGGAAATATGCATTACAAACCCTATTCTTAAAAGAAAAAGTGAATCCGCATTACAAATAAATTGCGTGCTTCATCATGCTGAAGAAATTTGTCCTACCATCTTTACATCTTTGCTAGAACTAGTACGATACTTTTGTACGTGCATATGGCTTCGGCTCCGGGAACTGTTTTTCCCGTCCGAACAGGTGTCATCCGGGGAAGAGGGTGGTTGATCCACTTTCGCGAGCGACATCGAACTTTCCACCCGGCAAGAACCGTTCAGAAACTGCACGGACGCGTCGCGATCCATCGAGAGGATCTTTATAGAGGTGTTAGTGTTTATGTTTTGGTTCTTTGTGGCTTTGTTCAACAAGTTGTCTCAGGACCGGAGTGAAGAGCAAGATTCTTCTTTTCGAAGACAACAGGACGAGGAGCAGCAAAAGAAAATCCAGGAAATAAACAACACACAGGACCATACGAGGGCCAGGAGGGCAGTAGAGTTCTCTTGAAAGACGATTCAACGTTCGACGTTCAGCGTTCGGAAGAAAAAAATCCTGTAAAATAAGTAGGTGAAGACTACGGCAAAGCAGTTCACCGACGAGGAAATAAAAAACCGCCAAGATGATAGTAGTACAAAGTCAAAGATCCAATACGTCTGTATTCTCAAGAAAACCGTGTAGTAGTCTTGCGACCAACGCGAAGAATCAATAATTAGACTTGGTTTTTGCTTTCTCTAAATCAATACTTGCGAACAAATCTCGGTGTTCCTCGGCTATGTCTACTTCTTGATAAGTTGGATTGGGTACGTTACCAAAGAAAAAAAACGACAAAGATTTTTACCAAAAGTTCATCCAGATCCACTTTATATATTGAGCAACGGGGTGGAAAATCATAGAGATAGATACCCGTTGAAGTTGTTCGGTGAATGATAAACAAAAGAGATCCTCGTCGAACAAGAGGAAAGAAACTACACCAGCACAAAGAGATCTTGTTTCATCCTTTGCTTCTTTTTAAAAAAGCCAGGAGAAGCCACTGATCCAGTACTGTAGCTTTATCAACGTACGTCTCCGAAGCTGTGGAAGAGGACCGAATATCAACAAACACGAAAAAGGACACGCACCGGATGAAGAGCCATCCAAGAATAGCAATACACTTTCTTACGCGACACAAATAAAACATTCCTGTCGTGTATAACGACGCTCTGACCGGCGGTCGAGAGCAGCTGCAAGAAAGAGAATTACGTCAACAAGTCGCGTTCATCTTTTTGTGTGTCGCTTGTCGTGCGTTCTTTTTGGTTTTCATTTTCTCGACCTTGTGGTCGTTACAAGTTATTATCAATTGACGTCCTCTTCTCTATCTGTAATAAAGGTCTTTTTCATCATGGTTTGTGTCGTCATGATCTCCCGAGCAGAATATAACCTGCTCAGGTGTTACAATCTCAAACGTTACAATAGAATCTGGAATTTGTGTTGCAAGAAGTGCATTATCTACCCAACTCTCATAGGATTGCGCCTGACAAGTTTCGAAGCTCCAAACCGCACTAGAATCTGGCGAAGTTTATTGTATTGCAGAAAGTGGAACGCTCTGCGAGCCTATCATGCTCATCATGCAAGACAAGTCCCAGATTCTATTGTAACGTTTGAGATTGTAACGCTTGAGCAGGTCATACAGAACGTCTCTGTTTTTTATCGCGTGTTCCACCGTGTACATCCGGGCCATGCTGTCACGAGAAAAAAGTGTTACAGTTACACATTTGTTGGAGTTTCTGCATCACAAATTTTCTCTGTGTGACAGAGAGAGAGAACACTTGTAATGCGAAGATCATAAGGGAAAACAGGAAGGAAACGAGGCTCCTCCTCCTAAGCATTTCCTGCATGGGAAAGGTTGTCTGTGTCGCTGGTCTTGCAACACAATCCAATGTGTAACTGTAACACTTTTTTCTTGCGATACATGCTGTCAAAGCCAATCATGTCGCCGCAGCGTATGAGGTTCCCGGCGTCGCAATTCAGGGGGGAGTCTGCGTTGGGGGTGACCAAGAGCGCGACGATGGCGCGGAGGATGGCGGCGAGGCCCCACATGGGGGACCAGTCGGTTTTCAGGACGTCGAGACAGAGTTCCCCGGTCCCGAAGTGCACGTTGGGGTGAAAAATTTTGGTCTTAAACCACACCTTCGGAGCCGCCATCGGGTAGGTCGCCGGGATCTGCAGCCGGACGTGAAATTTTCCCTTCGCGTAGGGCGTGTCCTGGGGACCGATCACGGAGCCATGCCAGATGTCAAACTGGTTCTCATCCGGCTCCAGGGAGATGTCGGCGTCCGGATTGCGCCGGAGCTCATTCATCTCTTTGTTGAGCCGGTTCCGTATTATGGAACTTGACATTTTTCCTTTCGAATTGTTGGAGTTCTTGGTGGGAAAATTCTCGAAATTGTTGCTTACAACTCGTGGGTGGCCGTGGCCGCGGGGAAGTGAGTTTCTTGTTTCCGATCGATTATGATTGTTCTTGTTGTCCTCGATCGATATCGACTGGATATGGTTATAGATGGTCGTTGGTTTGCCGCGTCGTCGTGATTCTCAAAGGGAAGCTGTAAAGGTCTTCGTTGTTCGCCTGATCATTCATACCCTACGTACTTGACTCATTCAATGCTTGATGGGAAAGAACAACTCGAAAGTTATGTGGTATATCCAATGAAATACTCTCGGTTTTCTGTCGGTAATTGAAGGCGATGAAAAATGCATGCATGCAATGCGGCCACGGGATCAGTTCTTGCACGACATTGTTCACGATGTTCGCTTCGTGAACAATTTTCATTTGCGATGGGGATTATTTTCCCACTCGTCACGGAAATATTTGAGATCCGTATGCGTGCCTCAGTAGTTGGCTCATCCAGTTCGTGATCTTCTACTTACTATTTGTCTTCGTTTTTTATTTTAGGGGCACCGACAATGATGGATTGCACGTGAAACTCTTCACGGACGAACACGTCGAGCAGTTGCAATCATAATCGTAAATCGAGTCGTGTGAAGACCTACTCGCAGAAGTTGATTATCTTCTTCCGAAAAACAAGCAACTTTGATAATTCAATTATTTGAACTGCGTTCATCTATATTCAGTGCTTGTTTTTTTCCACTTCTTTGAAACCAGGTTCATACAACGGACTAGCTGTGTATTTTTCGGTCGATAAAGTGCATTTCATTTTGAACTGCTTTGTTAGCTACAGATAATGATAATGTTATATGTTAAATTTTGAATAGTAATAGATCGAGTTCGAGGCGCGACACACCACGGAAGTAAGTAGATACTGACTCAACTGAGGATCTTCTCGACCGAAGACGACAATTGCTCCCGGAAGAGTTCGTTCGGCCCGGTGATGCATACGTGCCCGCTATGCATTGCAAAAGTACCGTGCTGGTAGAAACTGCATCACAAATTTTTACTTATTTAAAAAAACGAAACTTCTCATGCGGGTTTATTATGTAAAGGCAGAATCGCAATGACGAGTACGATACTTGTGCACAGGATCATACCCGTAGCCGTCCACCAAGGTCATCTTGGACCCTTTGATCATGCTGTGGACGAACTCTGGCGCGGCGGGGGCCGAGGAGCCCATGTCGTAGTCCCCCGCGCCCTGGAAAATGTACACGGGCATGGAGATCTCGCTGATATCGAACATCCAGGGGTTGAACAGCGACCGGGCCGCGTCCCCCATCAGCGCGTCGCCGCGGTTGTAGGCCAGGAAGGAATCCACCTTGGTGCACACCCAAAACGGGTCGGCCTTGAGTTTCTCCCACCCGATTTTGCAGGTGGGCAGCGTGTATGCATTGCAAAAGTATCGTACTTGTACAAATGCAAGTCTTGCATTTACACATCTTGTTTCCAAGGAAAGTCTGCATATACAAATCTTATTTCTCATGCTGAGGAAATGAAATTTATTTGTAATGCATTTATACGAGTACGATAGCGATACTTTTGCACAGGATAGCGTGGACTCCCGGGAAAACGCCAGTTTGAAGTCGTAGTTCTGGTTTTTCGGCACGTACTTGTGGAACTCGCCGCGGATGATGCAGCCGCAGCAGCCGGTAAAGGGGTCCAGGCACTTCGGGGGCTTCCCCACCTTCCCGACCGTTTTTTTGTCCATCTTCGGGTGGCCCGCGTCCGCCATCAGGCCGAAGAGAACCAGGCCCTGCACCCGCTTGCCCTTGTCCTGGCAGGCGATCTGCATGGCCCAGGAGGATCCGATGGAAAACCCGCACAGCACGAATTTGTCGATTTCCAGCTGATCCGCGATCTCCAGCACGTGCTGGTATGCGGTCACGAAGGTGTACTTGTTCACCGGCTCAAGCAAGTCCGATTTTCCGTACCCCATGCGGTCAAACGCCACCTGGTAGATGCCCTCGATCGGCGTCTTCTGCAACCAGCTCCATTTCCCCTCGCCGCCCCCGTGGTATTGCATAGAAAAACCCCCCCTCCCCATATTGATGAAAGCGCATCCTTCTGAAAATTTGTGATGCAGATTTGTCGCCACAAATCGGATTTCTCTTGCAAGAAGGCACGCTCAGGCTGTCCGCCACATTCATACGCAGGCGATTTGTAATGCTGCGCGGCCTGCAGGGTAGCCGTCTACCATGCTAGGCGCCTACACCAAAGGGCCCTTGCCTAGGCTTAGGATCTGCGTGCAGTCCTCTACTGCAACATAAATGTGATTTGTGTATCCCAATCCAGCATCAGAAATTTCGTTTTGATAATGGAGGGGGGATTTTTCCTTACAATACGTGCAGGCAGATCACCGGGACGGCCCCCGGGGCCGACTTGTCGCCGTCCGTGAAGTATCAAATGCAAATGCGTGTGTCTGGGTCTGGAAGACTCCGAGATTTGTCATGCAGTTTTTCCAAGCTCCTTTGATTGTGGAATGCAGGGCCTAGCATCACAGGTCCTGCAGCCCCTTGGTGATGCCTATTCTGCATGAGAAATGCTTTCTCAGCATGACCAGAAGTGGGCGCCTTTTGCAAGTCATGCAACACAGATTTTTGCATACTCCGCAACACGCATCACAAGTTCACATCCTTCCAGACCCAGACATATTTGTAGTGGATACGAAGTAACTGACGACCCGCCCGTCCTTCAGCGTCAGAGACCGCTCGTTCACCCGTTCCTTAGCCTTCAGGTACTCGTCGGGGTACTCAGTCACGCCGGTCCGGAAGATTTCCCGGGGAAAAACCCGCGGGGGGGATTCCGGAGTCACGGCGGCCATGGTTCTTGTGACGACAAAATTATCGGCTCTATCTGTGTCTGGGTGTGAAGGACAAGGAGTTAAAGTTATTTACCGTATACGTACTACCTTCAACCTGATCCAAAACGCAGACACAGAATCAGCTACGTGCAGCTGCACAAGAAGTTGTGCAGAAGTTCGGCACTTCTTTGCCCTCGTCGTGCTTCGCTTTTTTTTTCAACTTTTCAACACCGCCAGGGAACGAAGGAGCTACTCATTCTCTCTTTCTCTCGATTTTCGCTGTCGCTTCAACGACAGCGTTGATGTTCCAATCCCATTAAGATTAATGTACGAAGGGAAGAGGCGCCATGCGAGAACAAAATTAAACACAGGACGATGGGTACAGAGTGCGGTACTTGAAGATGTCACCTCCGCCTCTGTTGCTCCGAAATCGTGTTTCCAAGATGTAAATCATGAAAAGTGTTGTACATCACACAATCAAGAGCAATTTCAAAGAGATGAAGTTCTGTATCAAATAATTTCAGTTCACACAGATTTTGAGCGCTTGAGTCCTCCAGCTACAACTATGCAGCTTGCCGCCGAAGTAGACAAATCACGTCCTCTCGCACCATTATTAACCAGCGCCGCCGCCCCGTCCAGTCCTGAAGGCGAAGCGCCTCCACTGGTTGTCCTTCCGCCGGACGGGCACACCAGATTCGGGTTTCTCGCTATGGCCTGTGCCCGGATTGAGTTCGAGCAGAGAAGTTCCTTGAAGATCCGCTGCTGGTGGGCCTGCGCTTCTTTCAGCGACCGGGGATAGCCGCGCGTGACCAAATTCTGCGTAAACGCGTTTGGGGGCTGGTGGTGGTGGTGGTGGTGATGGTGCGGATGAACATTTTGGGCACCACCTGCTCCGGAGGCAGAGGATGTAGTTGCCGCTGGCTGAGGCGCTGCACCTGCAGTACTCTTCGCATGTTGTGCGGGCACCATAGTCGTTTGTCCCGTACTATGATGATCGTGGTGCGAGTGATGAGTACCACTATGAAGGTGGGTTTGGTCCCACCAGAAGGTCTTTTCCAACCGCACGTCGACGATTTTGTCACACAAATCGCAGAAGTTTTCAAAGCTGGGCCGGTCCAACACGCTGCGCATCCCGTTCATCGCCGCGGGCACGGCCGCGCCGTCCTCTAAATTGGCCTCAAACGCGGTCCACTTCCGCGACCCGCGCGCGGAGGTGAAGTTCGCCTTCCCAGTGGTCCCGTGGTCGATTCCGGAAAAGGGACTCTGTTTCCCCGGCGCAGTCCCTTCCACGCCCAGCATCACGGAACTTAAAGAAGTAGTTTGATGTTGTTCCCTTGCGGAAGTGGTCGTCGTGAAGGTGCGGGTCCGAGGGTGGTCGTGAAGGTTCGACGGGTTCACGACGAGTTTACTCACGGCCGGAACGCCTTGCGCGGGGTCGATCAAAGTCGTGTTTTGTTCCTGCACCGGGTCGACGTCATTCCGACAGCTGTGAATCAGCGGGCAGTCGCTCTGCGGCACCACCCACTGCATCACCGGTGCGATCTTCTGTGCCTGTCTATGTTGGTTCCCGAGGTTCAGCTGGTGGTAGATGTTCACGGCACGAAGTGCCGGGTGATAATTTTGCAACGCAGGCGGCGGCGCGAGGGGTTCTATCGTGCTGGGAGTTCGAGTTGATGTAGCGGGAAGATTTAGTTCTCCATTTGCTGCGCGAGTGCTAAGAACTAGTTCTCTGGACTGCTGGTGGGCAAAGTAGAACATTGTCGACACAAGATCTCCGTCTACTCCCCCGTCCTCGTGCGTTCCTAAATGGAGGTTGTAAACTGCTCCACTTTCCATTGTTCTCGTACTGGTACTACGAGCTGGAATATTCGGGCTCGGTGTCTTAGTGTTTTTCATAGAACAATTCTCCAACCTTTTACACGCCAAAACAAATGACGCAGGTATCAGTGAGAGTCCGACGCGACCCTCGTCTCGAGCAACCAAAGGCGTGCAATTCAGGAGCGCAGAACTGCTTTCTACAAGTTTCCGGGGGCCGACGGATAGAGTCGCGTTCCCCTCCATGCCGGCACACGATTGCACGAACCACGCTGCTCTCGGCCTCTGTCCCAAGTTCAATATCGGAGTCGCAGCGGCCCAGGGAGCTAGTTTGCCCTCTGTGATAGCGGCGGACCGTACCTCCGCCAGGCTAGTAAAGGCCAGCTGCGCCGACGTCGATGTGGTCTCACTACTCGCTACAACCGGTATGGTCGCGCCGGAACTGGTCTTATTTGTGGTTGCTGCACTTACAACTCCACCGCCTTTGCCGTCGCCGGGGGTCTGTTGTAGCTGCAGCAATTTCTGCTTCTGCTGTTTCGCCACCAGTTCGCCAAACGCTTTGGTGCCTACAAAGACGCGTGCGCGCGGATCGCCGTCCAGCGGATCGCACTCTTGGTACCAAAGCGTCTCGAAATCTCTCTTCCTCCGCTTTTTTCCGCTCCTCAGTGTCCTAAACTTCGTGCCGGTGAAGCAGCTGGCGACGCTTTCGCTTGGCGTAAACGTTAACGTCGTCATGGCAGCATTACTAGCACCAGATATGCCGATCATACTGGGCAGACCCAACCTCGAGGTCACTACACCAGAACTTTCGTATTCGTAGGTCCACACGTAGCTCAGGGTCCTCTTTTCAACTTGCAAGACATTGCTCGTCGACGAGGTCCCTGGCTTATTGCTATTATTGTTCCCGACATCGGAAGACACGCCAGCAAACTCACTGTTCGTGACCACGCCGCAGGCCCGGAGTTCGTCTTCCGTCAAGAGACTGACCATGGACACCGTGGCGGAGACGAGTTCTGGGTCGCTTTTATTCACCGGAGTGTAGAGGGACAAAGCGTCAAAGTCTTTCAAACCCAATTTCTCGTACAGTACGCGATTTGCCGCCTCTGCAAACGTCTCCTTCAGACTGACCGTAGTAGAAAGTAGCTCGTTGCTGTCCGCCCGGCAGAGGACCGCGTTCGTGCGCGAGCACTGGATTTTTAGGTACAAAACGACTTCCATTAAAACCGGTTTGCGCGGGTCGGTGTTGGCGCGGAGCAGCTCCTCCGCAGATTCGTCTCGGCCAAATTTCCGTGCCAATTTTCCGGGCATCTCAATGGTCTTCTGCAACGGCTTCACGACGGCCTTCGTCATCTTCTTCGTGCCTTCCCAAATCGCTGCGCCGACGGTGTTAATGGCTCCTGGAGCAGCTGCGTTATCTCCTTCTGTCTCGTCTTCACCTCCTTCTGAAGCAGTTACGCTTTCTCCTGCGGCTCCGAAGGAGGTGGTGCTTGACCGGTAGTTTTTACTATTGCTGTCAGTTCCATCACTGAACCTTCTGGTTGTTCTTGACGTAGACCTTTTATTCCTGTTCGAAGCTCCTGGACGGGTTGAATTATCCCGGCGAGTCACGCGCTTCAAAAAGAGTCGGAGCGTGCCGCTGCGCAGGGCGCCGTACGTTTTCAATAACAGTTCCGACACGGCCGCGGGTTGCAGAATAGCTGCCGGGTCCGGGATTTTGTGCGTCACAAAATCCGCCATTTCCTCTTCCTTTGGCGCTTGCTTCCGATTCCGAAAATTAGCCAGCGCGAGCAGCAACACCTTGAAGCACAGCGCGTCAGGGGGCAGGAGAAGTGCGGAGTCGTGGGTTTCCGACCAAGCGGAGAGATTTTGGAAAACGCGGAACAGGGTCAGCCGGTGCTTGTCGCGATTCGGGAAAAAGTGCTTCGCGAGCTTCTGCAGGTCGGGAAGAAGGAGACTACTGTTGGCTTGTTGGGTATTCCTATTGCTAGTATTGTTCTTCTGGCTTGAAATCATAGTAGCTGCGGCACCAGCAGTTTCTTGGTTACTAGATGTACTCTGCTGATGAACAATCATCGGCCCCTTCTTTCTCGCTGGCGTAAACTCGCTGCTTTCGTCTTCTTCTTCGTCACTGGAAACTGCAAATGCCCACTCCTCTGCGCAAAATTTCAAATTCTGTTCCGACCGGTCCTTACTGCTGCGCTTGCTCGCTGAGTTAATATCGGCAGCAGGAGTTGTGCCCCCGCGGGGGCTGAGCATTGTAATTGAAGGCATCATGAACGAAGCGGGAGCCTTACTGGCCGCGTGCCGCTTCAACCAGAGCAGCAGCCGGTGCTTCTGGAACGCTTCGTCGGGCCCGAACGAAGAAAGGATCTGCCGCGGAGGCGGTGCTACGGTGGCCCGTGTGTGCAAACTGTCACGTGGTAGGTTAGTACTCTGGTGTTGATCTCCATTTCCTCGCGGGGAGGTTCCAGTGGAACCCGCATTGCTACGCGGTGTTGTTGTTCCCTGTTGTTGTCCTCGCGGTGCGGTACTGCTACTCGCGCCTGTTCTAGGTCCACCTCCACCGGCGCAACTGCGTTCCAGCTGTTGATCTAAATCTGCGGTGATGCAGTACCGGAAGGAGTATACCCGCAGCGCGATGTGGTAGACGCTGGGAACGAAGGAGAAGGTTAATGAACCCGCGGTGTTGGTTTGTTCGCCCAACGACCCCGCGGACGAGGCGCTATTGCCGAAAGTCTCCACCTGGCCGTGCTTGCGCGGCGTGTGCTGCGCCATCGTGGCGCCGGACTCCGCTATTACGTCGTGCAAATAGTCCCGGTTGGCCTGCCAACTGGGGGGCACGTCGTGCGGGGCCGCGACTTCAAAGTGGTTTGCGAAGAACTCCGCGCCGAATCGGGCCTGTTCGACGGCCTTCGTGCTGGTATTCATATTCTGGTGTAGTTTCTGGCGCGTTTTTTCCAACTGGTGGCCCTCCCAGGGGTGCATGAAATCCAGCACATAGTTCTCGACGTAGCGCGTGAAAAGCGCTTGCGGATCCTGCATTTGTTGCGCCGCTGAGAGGAACGGTTTGTTCAGTATTTTTGTGCCACCAGATGATGCAACCTCGAGCAACAAAGCGTCCAACTGGGCCTTTTGCTCCGCAATTACCAGAACTTTGCTCGTGGTCGGGGGCGGAACCTCGTATACGGCAACGCTCCGCTTGGTCACGCACTTCAGTCCCGAACAGTTGAAGTTCTTCTCTCTCTGCTCGTACATGCAGTGGTGTTCCCGGAAGAACGTGGAGGAAAACGATTTCAGCAGTTCGTCCGTCTTGATTCTCAGCAACAACTGCCCCGACTGAAAAATTTGCTCGAGTTTCGATGCGATTTTGCCTTTTTCGTCGCTGGACGTTATGTTTTCCAAAAAAACGCCGAGCTGGACGAAGAAGTCGTTCCACACTTCCTGGAGCTCCCGGTGGAGTGTACTGATCAAGTATTTGCACCATTTCCCGTACACTTTCCTCGCCAGCTCCTCCTTTCGCAAATTCCCACTGCGGATTTTGAAGCACAGCACCCGCGAAAGCAGCTGGCGGCTATCGACGAAATGGACGGAAGAGGTGCTTGCGGTTTTAGAAGTGGTGTTTCTGCTGGTAGTCGTATCTGCGTTAATTGTCGTCTGATCAAGCGTTGTTTGATCGAGAGCCGCTGCTCGGCTCGAACCTGCGGTGAAAACGGAATGCATGGTTACTTTAGGAGAAGAACCCGTCCCGCCTGACACCGGTTCGGCGTGGTTAGACTCCTTGGATTTTGTCCGTGTCCGGCCAGTGAGTCGCAGCCCTGCAGTTGAAGGTAGGGACGAGGTTTGGGCGCTTAACGCCGATCCTGACATGTTCTTTCCGGAGGTCTTGATTGAGGGTTGCGCCGCCGACTCGTAAACCACGTCCAAGCTTTCTGCCGAACCGGAAGGAGGAGACCTGGGAAGACAATGAGACAGTGACGAAGCCTGGGAATTCTGCCAAAACATACCTCGCTTGTTCATTCGGTCCTCGTCGTTGGAAGCAGAAAGAAACTCCGCTTTTTCCTCCCGGTTCTCTCGCGCGGCGGTGGGGGACAGCCACCACAAAGCGCGATCGTAGTTGACTGCGATATACACTCTTGTGACTTCCCGGACGATATTCAGCTGGGGTTTGTTTTTGATGTTTCTGCCATTGTTCTCACTTGGCGTCCTGACCACCAGACCCGCGGTGCCAGCCAGCAGCTGGCCGTACAAATGTCGCTCCTCTTCGCAGTTGCTCGCCGACTGCAGAATGTTGCGCTTTCGCAGCAAGTGCTGCCCCTCTTTCGACGCTTGCGGGACCTGGTAAGCGGTGCGAGTGAACGCGCGCTCGAGCTTCCTGCAAGACGCCAACACGTACCGGAAGGCTTCGAAGCTCGGCGGCGCGGGCTGATTCACCTCCAAGATGGGAAGCGATTTACTATTGTCGAGTTGGTGGGTTCCGCTGAGATCACTCGCGCCCGCGCTGGAAGCAGAAGCTGTGGAGACGTCGTGACGATCCTTAAATACACTCGGACTCGTTTGCAGCTGCTCTGAGTTCTGCATGTAATTACTCGTCGTTGTTGCACCTCCCTGGAGTTCCCGCGAAGGTGTTCTCCCCACTATCTGGATCGGTTGCGGCTGCTCTTGCAACAGGCTATTTGCAGCAGCACCAAAACGAGTGCCAAAGCTTTCCAAACAAGTCGCTATCCACTCCCGCTCGGCGTCGTTAAACCCTAAACAATATCGCATGTGCTCCACCCCGACGCTGCGCAGGCGCGGCTGCCGAATGCACGCCTCGCTCTTGGGCACTTGCAGGGTCGCTTTCGCGAAGTTTAATTGTTTCTCCGTTGTGATCAGCTTACTCCGAACCTTGCCTGCTGTGCCTCGTTCCCCCGCAGCTGGTGCAGTGGGTTGTTTATTCGCATTGATGTTCGCATTGAAAAGACTCCTCTTCTTCCCGGCCGCACCGCTCAGAGAGTTATTCCCCTCCTCCGACGAGGCCTGACTACTCACACTGTCAGTCGTTCCCTGGCGCGAAAAATTCTTCCCGGTGGCCGCGAGGGTCGCACGGTGGAGGAAATCCGACAAGCGGCGCCACTTGGACCGTCGGGGCTTCTTGGACCGGGGTTTGTATTGGACGCCGCTCAAATGCTCCGGTCGGACGACGTGTGGATGAGACTCCTGAATATCCTGATGGTGCAGTTCCTGTTTGAAGGGATTCAAGTGCTCATACAGCTCCAAATCGTAGCTTTTGAAGGTGAGGTTGTCTCTTCCGGTCGAAGGGTCCACCAACATCGGCGGGTCTACAGCACCTGCCATGGCGACCCCGCTCTTTTTGACATCTGTGTGTTTTCGCGAAGAAGCAGCAGCAGTACTTCTACCCCTCGCGGCGTCGGGAACCCCCGTCGCTTCTGCAGCGGAATACCGTGGGTCAAAGATGAAAGGGTGATCCGCAACACTCATTCCGCCAGGCAGCTCAATGCTAGTGCCCGAAGATACTTGTTGGGACGAGACAGTAGTTTTCGCTTTCGCTTGGTGCGCAGCGCCAAAGTCGTCCACGCGCACGTACAGATGGGAAAAGACCACCTTTTTGTCGCTCTGGAAGTGCGGGCTTTGGTGCAAGTGGTGAAAGTTGTAGCTGATCGCCTGCCCCGCAATCCCCACGAAGCGCTGCAGGTGCGACAAGCGGGTGAACAAATACATGCGGATCAGCAAAAACGCCTCGACGTACCGCATCGCCTCCGCTTTTTCCACACTGGTATTCACCTGCAAAACGCCCAGCACCGCCAGGGAGCGCAGCACCTCCTCGCCCAGCGGTTGCAGCGAGGACGCGGCCTGGGCGACGTGCAGCGCGTGCAATAAGCGTTTTAAATGAGCTATCTCCAACCGGAGCAGCTCCAGCACATTCCGGGCCGCGAATCCGCGGCTGGTGGCGCGGTCGAGCAAATGCTGCAGACTCGCCTCGTCAATGGAGGTTTTTAGAATTTCCTCGGCCAACTGCTGCCGTTCCGGCGTGAAATGTAATTTTTCCAAATCCCGCTGATCGGAGGTAACAATCGGCTGGATGTAGAGCTGCTTCAACTCCTCGTTTGGGGGTATTTTATTCGAAAGAACTTTCTTGCTCGACGATGTCGCGGCGCCCGATGTAGTCCCTGTGGATATTATCGTCGACCCCCCAACCGCGGCTCGACTACTCAACACGGTAGCGCGATCGGCGTTGCCGGTGGTCTGGGCGGTGCTCTGCACGCTGTCGGGGAACAAGTCCCGATTGTCCGTCAACTTCTGGATTAACGTCGACAGCTGGTTCCATAGCTTTTCCAGCGGCGGCTCCGGCCGCGGAATGCCGCTGGGCGGGCCGAAGGGCAGCGGGGAGCCGACCCCGCACCAGGAAAAGTTCAGACCTAAATGGTGCCCGGACACCCCATCGGCGAGATTGTGCGCGGTGTCGGCTAAGCTGGTGGCGTGCAGCTTTTTTTCCACCAGCTCCGCCTCCTCGTTGTGCCCTTTCACGCCGACACCGTGGGTCGCCGCCAGTCGCTTTTGCAGAGGCGTGCGCTTCTGCAGAATGCTCGCGGACACGAGGTTCAGGTGTTGTTGAGTCGCTGTACTAACGGGCCCCCGCTTTGGTAGAAGTGCTTGTTGTTCGACGACTTTGGATTGCGACTTGTTGTTGCCGGTCGGGGGCAGAAGGGTCGTTGCTGTCGTCTGACGTTTCGCGGAGGGTCGCATGGACATGGAGCCACGAAGCGATTTTTTGAAGTCATCCACAACGTGGCTACTTGATGTTGTAGCCGACCCCCGGGGCACGCGGATACCGGTGAACAGGTAGAACAACAGCTCGCGCGCGGGGATGTTTTCGAGTCGCAGCAATATCCGGCCCCCATGGCACCAAATGGACGCCAGCGGGTAGGGCCAGGGGTCCACTTTGTGGTCGGCCCCCGAGACGCAGAACACCCCGCAGTAGGCAGTGAGGAAATGGAGGCGTTTCCAGAACATCACGCGCATCAGGTGCTGCACGCCGTGCTGGTTGTGTTGCAGCTTCAGCTTCTTCGTCAGAATGGGCTGTTCGTAGGGAACCAGAGTCCGATACAGGGTGGGATTTCCCCGAATTTCGTTTGGACGGCAGAAAGAGAGCTTCACGCAGAAATCTTCATCCAGACAAGTTGCGCCGAAGGCCGCGGCACTACTGGGCGAATAAACTGCTATAGATGGAACAGCGCCGGCTTTATTCTCTTGAAGATCGCCACTCGCGAGGATTTGCGCACCGACCGGCAACGTCGCTCCGCCACCGATAGTGGCGGGGCTGACAGTGCTACTATCTTTACCAGGATCGGAGATAATTGCGGCCTGCTGGCTTGCAACAGCTTGGTTCGACATCTCCGCACTATCATTTGCCGTATTAACCGTCGTCGAGGTGAAAATCGGCAACACCGTAACATCCGACACCCCTTGGGTGGTGCTTCCGACTGCTTTGGAGTGCCGGTGGCGGTAGTGCTTTGCGTTCAAGCCGATGAAGTTCAACAGCATGTCTTCCACGTGCCGCTTTTCCGAGACCGTGAGTTCCGCCCCGACCAGATCGTCCGCATTGTTCATCTCCCCGGCTTTTTTGAAGCTCGCCGACCGGAAGAGAAACATACTCGCCATCCCCTGCGACCGCGACCCATCGTGCGTGTCGAAGAAAAAGGTGTGCGGACCAGCCTGCGGGGAGGAGGAGGAAGCCGCAGCTCTAGAAGAGCTTCTATTCTGTAGTGTATGTTTCAATTTAAACGTGCCCAGCAGCCGGTGCCCGCCGGATTGCACCGTGGCGATCGCTTTTTGCAGCACGTTCCGCGAATGGCGGAGTTTTTCCTCGACGTGTACCATGTCCTCGTCACCCTCGTCCGAACTGCTGCTAGAACTGGACGATTCGGAGTCGGAATTGTTGTATTCGAACAGATCCTGCTCATTGTCACCAGCTGCACCCGGCGAAGACCCTCGTCCGGTCGTGCCGGCTTTATTTCTACTACTGTCTCGGGAAGTACTCGCGTTGTCAGGAGGACTACTTCCTGGCGCACCGGCTTTGGTTTTTTTCACTGCCAGCCCGTGGCCATCCCGCGACGGCGATCTCTGTAGGCCGGCGGAATTCGCTGGTAGTCGATTAGAAGCCGTGTGCTGCCCGCCCATGCCGTGCTCGGATAATTCCCTTTCGCTGTACAAGATCGCGCGGTACCACTCGCGGGACAGACCCTGGGGGAAAATCGTGTTGTGCATCGCAACACAATCCATTTTCAGCTCGCGTTCGATCATGTGGACCACGTGGTGCTCCTCCCGGTTCCGCAGCAATTCGAGCGGCAGCGCGTCCGAGGCGCTGGGCCACTCGTTCGTGTAAACCCGCGAAGAAAACTTCCACTCGGACCGCTCCAGCAGTTGCCCGTTCGACGAGTAGAGTTCCCGTGGCCGGTAGTTCTTGGCTTTCATCACCTGCGGTTTCCCGGCGGGCGACTGGGTCAGGTATAGGCTAAACTCCATCCCGGTCAGAACAGTGTTGAGGATTTTCTGGTCGATAGGAGCTGCTGTTGGGGAGGTGGTGGTCGTGGCAGACTTAGAAGACGCACTATTTTCAACGGCAAGAACAGCTCCAGTATTAGAGGGCGCAGGTGTTGAGGCTGGAACAGTAGCTCCACTTGCACTTGCGGACTTCTTGGACATCACAGCCTGTTGGGCAACCACTGCAGCCGCCGCTGCGGGTTCTTGTCCTTCTTCACCTGCGTCGTCTTTCTTGTCTGTCGCAATGGATGCTGTGCCTGTCTCTCTACCCTTTTCAGTCGTTTCGCGACTTTTTCCTACTTCATCGCGGTTATCTTCTGGTGTGTCTTGTATTGTCAGTTCAAAAGTTCCTTCATAATCGTCCTCATCCTCCAATATCGCGGCCCGCGTGTTGGTGCTCAATTTCGTGGGCACGGAATCGGATGTCATTTCACGGTCTAGACGTTGTGGTAGTTGTACCTGCTTTGATTTGATACCACCTTCGTCTCCACCACTAGCATTTGGCCCTGCTCGGTCAGCTGCACCGGACGACTCTTTGGAAGTGGCCGTGCCACCGGTTATTTCCGCGTCGTTGCTCTCCCCACCCTTGCTATCAGGTGTGGCTTTGCTATCCAGACGCCCCGTTACCCCGGTCGGGTTACCTGTAAGACCTCCCGCCCCGCGTAGTTGTTGCACGGGGCGGCCCTGTACCAGGTCCACGATGCTCCGGCTGTGCTTCTCCGCGTGGTGTGCGACCACGGTTTTCGAGTGCGATAAATAGACCTGCGGGACCGGTTTGGGAAAAATCATTCCACCTCGCTGCCCGGAAGACTTGTTCCGATAGTTTTTCCTTTCCGCGACCGGGAGGGGGACTTCTTTGATCTGGAGAAATCCTTCCGCCGTCTTCGCGTCCGAAGTCGCCTCGAAGGACGCCAGCACCGCGAACTCCTCCTGGTGGTTCCCGTGCGCGGGCTTCTGGTCCGCGCGGTCTGCGATCACGTAGATTTTTACCTTCACCTTGGCTGTCTTCCGCGCGATGAAGGTCATCGGCTTGGCACCTAAATGGTCCCGGCTCCACTCCATTATCCCCAGCATCTCCGAGGTTTCGGACTCTCCGCTCGCCCGGGAAGATACCAGCCGCAGCTCCTCCAGCCCTGACGTTTCTGTCGCGCCGGACGAGTCTCGGTTATTGTTTTCCACATCGGAATCCTCGCTCGCCAGGCTGTTTGCGGTCGACCGGTTATTCACGATGCTAGCCGCCTTGCTGATCCGCGTGCCCCGGACCGCCGCGTCGTTGCTCAAAGGTAAGGAGTGAAATTCCGACTCAAAGTGGAAAAAATCGGAGGTGCTTTTGTTCGCTGTTGTATTGTTCTTGTTTTTCCGCCAGCTGGCACAGAGTTTTGTTTCGCACTTTCCCACACATTTGCAGCACTTTTTCTTCTTGGCCTTGTGGGAAATGATCTCGAAGTGAAGGACGATGGCGAGCTTTAGGTCTTTCTCGTCGGCATTCTCCAGCAAGGGATGGTTGGTTTTTTTCCAATTCTCCCTGCTACCCTCCAGGGAAAAACGCTCGACTTGGAAGGGGATCATGATGGGTCGAGCTTCTGCTCCGGGGTAGTGTTGTTCTGCTGGCGGAGGTGAAGTCAAAGCTTAAGCTTTTACGCTTGTTCTTTGTTTGATTTAACTTGGCGCCGATTCCTCGTCCCGTCCGATTTGGTGCAAGGTGAAAGTCATAGTCGTGCTTCGAAGAAGAAGTTCTCCTTTAGCAGAAAAGGAGTCATGATCGCGGAAGGAACCAAGCATTCGTCACGAGGGTCTGCTCGTGATCATCCGCCTCGATAATCTTCCTGGATCATGTTGGAAGTCATAACATTTGAGGCATCTTACGTCCTCCTTTGTCGAAAATGATGAAAGTGAAAGACAAACATATGTAACGTAAAATTTCAGGTGCCACTAGAAGGGGGGTATACTAACAACTGCCATTTTTGGGTACTTCTACTTACTAGAGATATCTATTGAGGGTGGGTGTCCGTAAAAGACCCTGATTTTTGTAGTGTGTTTTGGGAGCGATCGAAAGTACGCAAGACACTTGTATCAAAGCGGCTGAAGAAGCGACGTGAGCGTGACGGACGAAAACGAAACCAGTCTACTTACCTACCGAATCAAAGACGACGAAGCTGCACCGACTCTTACGTTAGATTGAATTTCAAGCGTTATGGTTGCTGAACGACATGATAGGTGTACGACTTGGCTGCCAACGGGGCGGCAAAACCAAAACGCACGAAGTTTTGTACGAATTCAGACTTCATACGACAGAAGACAGCACAAGAAGGACGATGCAACCGAGGTAGAGCTGATGCTAAGTCAAGACCGACCTTGAATCGATGAAAATACCGACAACCGAGTCGCGAAACAGCAACTAAAGCGAATCTTAAGCAACGCCGAGGTCGTATCCTTGGCGACTGGGACTGCTTATCGCACGACCTCCATGCACGACCTTTGCTTTCTTTTTTCTTTTGTAAAATGCGTCTGCGCGTGTTCCTTCTATACTCTTCATACGATACGATACGATACCGAAAAGCGCTTGAAAATCCAAAAAAGTATTTTTCGTCCAGAGCTGCAAAATCCGAATCCAGGTCTTCCTGGACCTCCACAGCGAAAGCATAGAAGTTGTCAAAGTATTGGTTTTTAGTTGCTAGTGCCTATTGAAAGCATCTCGAAAGTGAAAAACAAAGAATGTGATGTACAAGTGAAAGTGAAAGTTTTGATGAAAGCATTCCGCAGAAAAAACGAAAAAAGTGATAGGTTCAGCGCGTAGAAAGTAGGTACTCAGGGTGAAACATATGATCCGTGACCAGACTCCATCCGACGACGGCCGCAGAATGATTTTTCTCAACCCGTTTCTGCCCGCCGGGCGTAGTAAGTTCTCCTTCTCGTCCTGACGCCCATAATTTTCATTTCCTAGAGCAGTCCGATGTACCGAAATCCGATCATCATGGCGAACGACACGATGATCACGGGCATCAACTTCCCTAGCAAACCAAAATTCGGCATTTTGAACGAGAAGCCCCCCAGCACGTCGCCCCAACCACGGCCCTCCAGCGGCGTGATCAGCTGCGGGTTCACGTTGGGTTCGTTCCGAGCCAACCCCACCGGCATCGCGTCCGCTTCGGACTGGGTCAACTATGCATTGCACAAGTATCGCGCTAGTAGTAATCGCATTACAAATTTGCTTAATAGCGTCACATAATATGAAATTTGTCATGCTGTTTTACCTTAGGAAGGAGATTTGTCATGTATAACAGCAATTACTACGGGTACGACACTTTTGCAGAGCATATCAAGACCCACATGCTGATGTTCACTGACCCGAGGCCGACGTCTGGGTTTTCTTCGGTGAAACTCGCGTTTTTGAACTCCATATGCAATAGAAATTTTCTGTACATGTACGAAATGCATCACAAATGTCACCAACTTGGACGAGCATGCCACTTGTCATGCTGAATAGAATTGAAAGAAAATTTTGTCATGCAGAAACCGCACTTGTAGTTGTACATGTACAGGAACAGGAAATTTACTTTGCATAGTCCAGATCACTATTCACCTCGATGCTGTCCATATCGCGCGCGACCTTCTCCAGGTACTTCTTCAGGTCCAGATTTACGTCCGCGATGAACACGTTCCCGCTCATCATGTTGTAGTCAAACACGGATGTTATGCATTGCAAAAGTATCGTTCTCCTACTCGTAGTAATTATCGCAAGCGTGCAGCATTACAAATCTACATCCCAAGGTAAAACAGCATGACAAATTCCATTTCTCACACAGGGCAAATTTGTAGTAATGCGATCACTACGTAGTACGATACCTTTGCCATGCATAGATATTTGCAGGGTGCAACTTTTCGTCGGCATGCGGATGTGGGGGTAGACAACACGCCAATTAAACACCGCGTCGCCCGACTTTGACCCGTAGTGCACATCCGTATCTTGAATACTCGGGTACTCCCCAAAATATTCCGCGCAATCCAGGTTGGCGGTCAGCGTGACGTCTGTGTGATCGTCGTCGACGATGCGAATGGCCTTCGTGTCCCAGATGACTACGCGAATCTCGATTTCCTGGGCGGGCGGCGCGCGGAGGGTGGACGCCTTCTGCTCGGAGGATTTGACGGAGTCGAGTAGCTCGACCCAGCAATTGAGCGAACCCCGGCTCATCCCCACGTTTTCCAGGGTCCACAGCCCCCGATTCTCGGAGGGAACCATCTCGAGAGACCGCCACGTGTCGCTGTGCCACCGGTCTTCCAAATCAATGCAGGTGGAACCGATGACCGCGTCCGCCGGGTGGTCTTTCAGCTCGATCTCGAGCTGCGAGTCTTCCGGCATGCGGATGTCGCGCTCCTCGAGCCGGTAAAAGGTCGGGGTATTGGTATTCGAGCAAAACATGTTGCGCATGGACACGAAAATCGCCTTGCCCAGTGTGAATTCCAGATACGGGTTCGCGAACCCGCTCGCCTTACCGTAAATGCAAATGCCCTTCACGAAATAAAGCCGGGCACGGACGCGGTTCGGGACGCGCTCGGAGCTCTTGTACCTGATAAAAAGACGATTTTTCATTTTCTTGGCGAATTATAGAAGGGTGGAATTATCAGCCCTTTTGGTCGTACTCATGATGTCACAACCATCTCTCGTGTTCTTGCAGGGCTGCATTTTTTACCATGGGCGGTCTCAAATAAAATGTCTGTTTTATTTAGGATGAAAGCACAAGAAAGCTTCAGCGTCTTCTACAAACTGTATTCAATACCTCTCTCGCAGTGCGTCTTCGTCCCACGCGAAGCCGTCGAGTATCGGTGAGATGCCGTGACTTTGCCTCCTTCCGCTCACCGGGTCCAGGTTTTTCAATCCAGCTGTTGGCGACGTGGGCAGAGCTTCCCCCCCGCCTGCGTCTTCCCCGACTTCCTGGGGATTTTTGCTGCTAGAAGATGCACCATCTGCTCTCACCGCCACCTGCCCGGCGGCAGCGCCTGCTTCCGCAGAACTAGATGACGACTCCGCGCTGCTGTTGGCCCCGTCGTTCGGCGCCTGCTCGTTGCTCGCGCCCGCAGAACTGCTCGCACTCGATTCGTACTCGATACCGTGGATGTTGTCACCGATAATCTCGTCCAAATGGCCCTCGGTGAGCTTGATGGCGCACTTGATGAAGCCAAACGTCCCCGGGTCGTAGCGTGCCTCCATGTCCGTCTGCGTTATCACATCTCGGTTTCGTGTCAACGGCAGGGACTTGTAGAAGAAGTCATTAACGAAGGGCGCCGTCCCGGAGTCCTCCAACCTGCCCTCCAGATCGCCCCTTGTCGCGCCGCCGGAACCCCCGGCGCGCTGGATTTCGCCCGTGGCGCGCAGGAAAATGTCGTTGCGATCCCGCATCGACGTGTCGAGCAGCCCCGCAACGGGATCGCGATTCAAGCGACTCGGGGAATTCGCGTGATCCCCGGTGAGAACCTGGGGTCGGCCATGGCCGTGCCCGAGTTTCATGTTCAAAGCAGCGGTTTTGACGGGAAAGCCCTTGGCGGAAATCTCCTTCGCCGCTTTTCGCATCATATGCACTGTAACAGAACAATCGCAGTCGCTGTAGCAATCGCAGTCATGCACTACAAATTTTACTAATTCTCAAGGTGAATCCGCATTACAAATTTCACTTCTCACGCTGAGGAAATTTGTAAATGCGATTTCTACTAGTAGGACTACGATCCTTTTGCAATGCATAGATCAAGATGTGCACGCCGCTGCTGTCCATGGTCTCTTCCACTTTCTTATCAAATGTAAAAATGTCTGGGTCTGGAAGAATGCAACTTGTGATGCGTGTTGCGGATCATACAAAAATCTGTGTTGCATGCCTTGCAAAAGGTCCCCATTTCTCGCCATGCTGAGAGGGCATTTCTCATGCATAATGGGCATGGCCAAGGGGCTGCAGAGCCTGTGACGCTAGGCCTTGCATTCCAGACTTGGTGGAGCTTTGAAAAACTGCATGACAAATCTCGGAATCTTCCAGACCCAGACACTTTTGCATTTGATATTTCTTCGGCGGCGCGATCAGATTCGTGTTCTTGGAAGTGGATTGCGCCAGCTCGCTTTTCCTGTTTTTTTTCATAATTTGAATTTGTCATAGGAACGGCCCCGTGAAAAGAAGCTGCCTGGTTTCTTGCACGCGGGACCTACTGCTCTATTGGTCATAGGAGCCGAGAAACAACAAGCTGAGGCCGCTAGTGAAGCAAAAAAAAAAAAATTAACAAAGAAAAATCACCGGATCTCCCCAATGTGCAGATTTCTCGTTTCCTCGTCCATTTCGACGAAAGACTCCAGCGCCGGCCCCCGCTCCCACTTTCCGGTCAGCCAGGGGAGCAGCGGACCCAGGTTCAGCCGACACTCCGCAATGTCGGTCACGCCCCCCGTCGGCCCGTCGTATGGAGTTCTCAAACGTTACACTCTCAACTGTTACATAAATTTGTCATGCAAGAACAGGAAAAGTGAAAGCGGGAAGATTGCGCATTCTGCATTACAAGAAATTTGAAGCGGATTATAATTCTGCTTAGCCCGCCTTGGGGAGTTTGTCATGCGGAGTACCTGCTTGATCACGTAGATGCTGATGACAATTTCGCATGCCAAATTCATGTAACAGTTGAGAATGTGACGTTTGAGAGCGCCATACGTCGCCGACCTTGATCGTGACCCAGGGCTGAAAAACCGGGTCCTCGGGGAGCATGATGTTCATGCGACGGTACTGGAAGAACTCATGGTTCATGCCCACTTTGGTCTCCCACTTCTTATTCCTGTCCGCCGGGTTGTTCGGATCCCCCTTCGGTTTGTCGGCGATGTACTTGCAGAAGCAGCTCCAGAACTCGTGAATTGTTTTCCCCGTTTTCGTGGTTCTCGGGTTCTCTAACAACTTTCGTACTTTGAACTCCACCGTCGGCATCGACACCGGGGCGGAAGAGAGCCCCCCGAAGACCGGGAGCGGCTTCATGTCGCGGAGCCCCAGCACGCTCACGTGGAGGGTGGCCTTCCGCAACCGGCAGAAATCCAGATTGCGCTGAAACAACAGATCCTCCCTGGGCCACATGCGCGCCTGGGGTAGCTCGGGAACGTCTTTCTTGCGCAAGAGCTCGAACGCGCAGCAGATTTCTCCCGTGGGCTTCGTGTTGTACTGGCCTCCGTAGAGTTTCACCCACTGCGGCGCCAGCCGGTACGGTTCCCATTCGTCGAGAATCTGCGGTTTGCGAAAAGGTATATAAGGGCGGCTACTTCTGGAATTCTTATTCTTCAGAGCACCATAACCATTACTATTAGCCATTACTGAAGTAGATCAAGAGTCAGCATTGTGTGTAACAAGAGCGAACCGTAAATTGTGAGTCCTCACGACGACCTTCGACATGTCATAGTCATTACGATGCTGACAATGACATCAAACAGAGGTCAGTAACCAAGTACGTCTTTCTGCCGCATGTAGGTGTATTTGCAGATCGCCTTGCCAATGACCGGCTGCGAAAACATGCCCTCGTAATTGCAGAGTGACACGGTAATCGGCTCCATCGTCGGTGGCCTCTTCGGATGATCGGTCATCAGAGTGATGTGCAGCTCCATGCACCTCATCCATTGTGGGCGCAGGTCCCCGGCGATTTGACCGGTCTCCGTGCTCGCACCAGCGCAAGTAGCGCGCACGAACAGTGCGGGGTTAGTCTGTGGAGCAGTTTTTGAAGAGAAGATCAAGATGATCAAAGAGCAGAGCGCTGGTAATACAAACAAGAAGATTTCTTCAAGCGATTTTAGATCCGAATTCGCTTGAAGCACCAGACAATCACAACAACGAGCGAGTATATTCTTATTGTCCTTTCACCTGATTTCCCCCGAAGTCGATATGCCTCGCCCCGAACAGGTAGACCCGCAAAACGTAGGCCATGTTCTTCACAATCTTCCGATTGTGTCGGTTGTTGGTGCTGGATTCGTCCGAGGTTTTCTCCAGAGTCATGAGCAACGACACGGGCAGTTTCTGCATTCCGTTCCAGGGCATGGGTTTCAGTGGCAAGAAAAACGGTATGCGCGGGTTCCCCGGATCGTACTTTTCCAGTTTGGCCAGGGGCACCTTGCAATACCCCAACCGCGTCCGCCCGCTCATCACCCCGCGGCTGTACACGTTGATGAGGCAATCCGGTTGGGAAATCGGGTCCTCCGGCATCAGAGCCAGGATGACGGCCGGCCGCCCCTCGGACTGGGTGTACTGGAAGGTCGTTGGGTGCTCGAAGTCCTGCTCCACCTGCTGCGCCGACGAGGCGCTCGACGAGCTGGCGGGGTCGCTACCGGCGCCGAAGCTGGGGTAGACCCAGCCGGTCTCCGCGCTCTGCGTGCCCAGCGTGATCTCGACCTGCACCTCGCGGCCGACCGCGCCCGCCACCATGTAGATGTCTGCGAGGATGCAGATGGAGGTTGTCGCGGGCTCCTCGAACCCCTTGGCCATCGAGACCCCGGCGGACTGCAAGTCCTCCAGCGACGTAAGTTTCTCGACCCTGGCGGACACGAGCAGCTTCCCCTTGTACCAATTCGCCTCCACTTCCTCGCCCTGCTCTGCGATCTCCTTCACGTCCGAATCGAGAATCTCGTCCGGGTTGTAGCCGTAGAAGTTGAACCAGCGGGGCAGTAAGGAGCGGTTTCGTAATTCCGAGAAGGAAAGCATCCCCTGCGCGAACAGCTCGTCGGCGCCGAAGGAGACGTGGTTCCAGAGCTTAATCAGCAAAATATCTTCAAACAACGGCGTCATGGCGGGCATGGTCAGACACTCGTTGAAGGTGTGCTGGGTCACGTCCTTCGCAACAGAGGTCGTCACTAGCGACCCGGCGAATTCCGCGGTCACGAACGGGTTGGACCCGGGCGCCAAATCTTCCACCCGGTGAATCGTCACCATCACGTGGTGGGGTTTCCCGCCGGACTGGTCAATGCTTCCCCCCAGCACCGCTTTGGACAGATCCTCGTAGTCGTCCTGCTCGCCGCCGCCGCCCTCCTCGCCCGCGTCATCGTTGCCCTCCTGCTGGTCGACCGAGGGCGCGACGTCGCCGGGGGCCAGACAGAACACCGTCGCGCAGAGCGCGCCCGAGGCGGCGGGCTCGTTGTCCTTGGTGATCGTCATCCATTTTTTCGCATAGACGTGGTTTCTGCGATTTCTAACGTTGTCCAACTGCAGCGTCGCCCGGCCGATCAGGTCGTTGCGGGTGAAGAAGTTGCGGCTGTAGACGGAGAAGGTGATACTCGCCGCCTTGAACTGCTGGGGATAAAGCTGGATCGACGACCAGATGAAGGACTCGTTGTAGGTCACGATGGACTGCTTGCCCTGCTTCGTCTCGGTCTGGTACTCGTTGTCGCAGCACTCGACTAGTACAAACGGGTCGCACGGCTGGCCGTCCGGGGTCACCAACGCCCGCGCGTCGAAAATGTTGAAGCCTACCACGTAGGTCTGCATCTTGATCTTTGCACGTGGTCAAATGTTGTGGCGGAGTTCTTTTTGTAGGGCGAATGCTGCTCGTCGGAGTCAAGTGACGGCGGCCCCTCTGCCGTCGATCTTCACACGGGCATACGCATAGGTCTTTCGGTTTCCTTCTCGCGTCCGTGTTGATCCCGTGCAGCCCTCCTGAAAGTTGAATTCAGTCAGGCGGTGGACCGGCGCCTGCGGCTCCTACGCAACGCAAAGCCGGTAAGAAACGCGGCATGATGTGGTTGACGTTCTTTACGGACAGGAACACGACATTTGCTTCGAGTGCTGTTCAAGAACTGTAGAGAACACTTCTCTCCGCTCTAATCAGGTTGCGATCTACATATCAAGTGAAAACTAAAACACAGCGCGCGCCGTGTTTTCCGCCATTTGTTGGTTAGAGTTCATGATCCAGCAACACTCTCGCGCGTTCCCGCTCTCTTTCGTTCTTTTTCCTTAAGTACTACTTCCTTGCAGACCCGATCCCGGACCCAACTCAGACATCGCCCTCAGCGCGCTCATAGAAGCCCCTCACGGCGTAATTATATCCATCGCACTTGACAATCAGATCACAGCGTTGCCCTGAGGTGCATCTTTTGGACCTGTCCCCGGCGTTCCGGACGCTACGATGAAAACAGCTGAAGCATCAAACTGCACCTCATTGCTTACAGCCTTGAAAGTGTCACAAAACTGGTTATTCCATCGAGTAATCGTAATGTACCACGTGTCGCTTCAAATTCTCATGGTCATCGTGATAATGATGTAGGCGAAAAATCAGGTTAAGGTTTCTCATCTAGTGTTCTTGCAGCAATGCCGCCGTTTCCTCGAGAAGTTTCAATGCGTTGTTCATTTGTTTCTCGAGCTTGCGATTTGATGGTCCCGTACTGCGCTTCGAGCTTGTATTGCTGCGACCACCCATCAACGTAGTTGAGCCTGTGGTCCCTACTTGAGCGCCAGCTGCACCACCCCCACCACCTGCTCCACCCATCCGCGCGGACAGTGGCGCTCCTTTCGAAGTTGTTTGATGCCGATGCCCACGAGATGAACTTTGGCGCTGCTGGTGTGCAGCAGCAGCTGTCCCACCTTGTCGCGGTGATTTCGATTTTGACCGGCTCCGGGACTGTCGCTGCTTCAGCCGCGAAGGCTTGCTCCCGCGTGCGGACTGTTTTTTCGTTGTCGAAGACCGGATAGTTTGTTGATTCAGATTTCTAGTCTTTTCCCTGTTGTCCACGACTGGGAAGAGTTCAAAGACACTTGTGCTCAGAGGGTCCTCTTCTTCGATCTCCTGCCTGGTGCGGATAACTTTCACTTTCGGTCTGCCACGTCGCGGCTCGTCATCGTCTTGTGGATCTTGTTCAGCACCTAGTACATCGAGTTCTTGTGGAAGATGATTTTGTTGCAGTCCCCGCCCGCGATGTGCCCCCTGTGGCACGACTACCTTCTGTTCCTCTTTCTTCCTGACCATTTCTAGTTCCTTGTCCGCCTTCAGCATGGTGTTCAGAATATCAAATGTAAAAATGTCTGGGTCTGGAAGATTCTGAGACTTGTCATGCGCGTTTTGCATGAGCCATGATGTCTGTGATGCGTGCCCTAGCATCACAGATTTTTTGAGGGCTTCTTGATGCCTATTTCGCATGACAAATGCCCTCTCCACGTAGCAAAAATTGCACTTCCTTTGCTGCTCATGCAATACTTACAGATTTTTTTGCCATCGAAAGGCGCATCACAAGTTGCATTCTCCCAGACCCAGACATTTTTACATTTGATACAGAAAATCCGCCGCCTCCATGGACTCCCCGTAGAGCATGCGCAGCACGTCCTGACTGTCCAGCAGTTGTGTTTCGTTTTCCTGCAGGTTATGCATTGCAAAAGTATCGTACTAGTAGAAATAGCATTACAAATTTTTCCAGATGGAAAATTGAAATTTATAATGCTGAATGAGCTAAAGAACCAGATTGGTCATGCATGCCTGCAATTAATACTACGAGTACGCTACTTTTGCAATGCATACAGGTGGCTTCGCAGGGATTTCCGCAAGATTTCCCGTTTTTTCTCCGGGGACAGGGACCGGGAGTTCAGCAGCTCCCGTTTCAACGGGCTCGCGAGGTTCTGCAGGGACTGGTTGATCGACTGCAGCTATCAACTGTAAAAATGTCTGGGTCTGGAAGAGTCGGGGCTTGTCGTGCACATTTTGCATGACACATCCGGTCTGTTATGCTGGTGCTAGCATCACAGATTTTTTGAGAGCTTCTTGATGCTAATTACGCATGACAAATGCCCTCTCCGCGTGCCAAGAACTGACTCCTCTTACTGCTCATGCAACACAGATATTTTTAGAATCCGTAGACAGCATTACAAGTTTCACTCTTCCAGACCCAGACACTTTTGCACTTGATAGCAGCCGTTTGTCGTTCTTGTTGAGTTCCAAGCCCGCAGAGGAAAACTCGAGGCCGCGCAGCGTTGCGGAAAACAGGTCCTCCGCGCTGGCGGTCCGCGGGTCGGGTTTCTTGCTCCTTTGGTTCGCGGTTGTGCCACCTTTTGTTATCCTTTTTGGAGATCGCGAGGAGGTGGGACAATTGTCGTTATTTCTACTACCGCTGTGCAGCGGCTCCCGGGGTTGGAAGATCCCGCTGGACCGGAGCATGCGCTGCCCGGTTTCCGGGTGGATTAAGAGCTCTTCCATTCTACTTCCGTCGACTGATTTCCTGCGTATTTCCTTCTCCCAATGCCCGTAATACTTGTCCCGCAACTATGAATGTGCACAACTCCCCCTCCCCCTCATTTGTCATGCTTAACAGACTGCGCTACCGAGCCCGGGGGGGTGCGGGGTCCGAGGGGTGCACAAAGCACAGCCCGGAACACCCGAACATGCCCCGCGACTGGCACAGGACCAGCAACGCAACTATTACCGTCGATCTCAGTTTGTCGATCACAACGTAGCTGCGAAGCCGCCCATTCGCCTGGCGCCCCAAGCCCAACCCCACCTCTGAGGAAAGGCCACAACCCGAGAGGATCCGCTGCTGAGCTAAGGGCACGACGAGCTGGGAGCGCCTGGATCTCGGAAGGTAGAAACTTGAAGTTAATCGCCACTGCAACACTGGAGCTGGTTGGTGGATGCCGGAGTGCGGAAATCTGAAGGATTACTACTCAGCAGGACGTCAGCGAGAGAGTTTCGGTCGTGATGGTCCAGCTGCACACAAGGCGCAGGTGATGGCGCGGCCCGGTCGGAGAGAAGAATGGGCCTCCAGGAGCAACTTGTGTATCCCGGTGGGTGAAGGAGGCTCGAGCTAATGGGATAACCATAGAACCGCGGAGGTAAGATACTTCTGCGGAATGCCAATCGTATGCTGGTGAGGCGGGTTTCGTGGCGTGGAAGGTCATTCTCTCCCTCATTTGTCATGCAAAATGCCCAATCCAGGCTGTGCCTCTTAGCACTGTTTGCTGCATGACAAGATCTGGCAGTCCAAAAAATAGCACTGCAATCCTGTGCAAATTTGTGATGCAAAACCTGCATTGTCGCTGGCGCTTGTATTGCCGTTCATGCTACACAAATAAGGGGGAGGGGGAGTTGTGCACTGTCATAGCAACCGGTTCAGTTCCATTTGCTGCCGCTCCTGGTGGAACGGATTTTCCAAGCGGTGCTGCTCGATCTCCTTGAACCGCCGTTTCGCCGGGCTCCACATCTCGTCTAAATGAATCACCTCGGACTTCCCGTCCAGACGCGGGCTGGCGGAAAGCGTGGCGTCGTCTTCTATTTGATCAAGAACATTCCTGCCTGTGCCTTCCACATCCATAGCCTCTGATCGTGCGGCCAACACTAGCCGGGTCGCTTTGTCGTTTCTTGATGTTTCCCGACTCTGCTCCACTTCGTCCAGGGCGTGAACCAGGTCGTACAGTTCCGCCTCACACTGCTGCACCTCGTCCGCCAATTTTGCCGCGTCGCGCTTCGGGTCGGATTTCGTTCTCTCCGGCAAGGGAAGGTCTTCCAATTCCAGTCCAGGAACGGGAATCCAGGGTCGTTGTCGCGTATTGCTTGATGTGTTTATTTTCATCTTCTTCGAAGTTGGCGTTTTGTTGCGCTGGTGGTGCACCTGCTTTGCGGGGCCGAGCAACGAGTCGAAATAACCATCTTCACTGTCCTGCTCTGCCGGCGAGGAACAACTTGAGGCAAAATCACCGGGAGCGCCACCACTCCTTGCGTTCTTCGCAGCCACAATCTGCGCGTCGATTTTCCGCTCGATGAATTGCTGCAACGTGGTTTGCAAAATCTCCAGCTTCTTCGCGGAAACCGCCTCGCTCACCGAGTACAGCGGATCGCGGTGGCCGCCCCGGATCTCCGTCGCCCAATGTAAATCTTTCACCTGGAAAAAGTCCGAAATTGAGCGGGACCGAATTTTTACTCCCGCAAGGGTCGTGTTTCGTCCCCCCTGTTCTTTCGGGTTTGCGTGCTGACCACTACGCGTGCCGAAACCTCGGACGGGATCTAGGGCGTTAACAATGGGGAAGATTTGGGCTTCATCATCATCCGTTGACGACTCTGCTCCTCGCGTCGTCGCGCCTGAAAAATTACGTGTCGTTTCTTGTCCATCTTTTCTTTTCGACAAGACACGCTTGCTGGACTTATTTCGGTGCATTTGACTTTCAACCGTAGATGAAGCTCCAAGTTTTCCTCCCTGCTTGTCCTCATCTCCTTTTGTGGCGGAAGAGGACGAAGTAGCAGCTCCTTCACCGTTAGCGGCACAAGCCTTCTTTGATTCTTTTCTGGCTTTTTTGATGTGACTAAACGTGAACGCGTCTTTCCCCAGCACCGGGTGCGTGGCCAATTGCTCACAATTCTTCTTCGGGCCGCCAAGGAAAAGACGGTAGTCCACGACTGTGGAAGTTATTGGTGGAGGAACGGAAGCCATTGTAAAATTTCAATTCGCTTGCTTCTGTTCGCAGGGATAGTGACTGAGTGTTCTACTTGCAACAGCGGCCTACAAAAGGAATGCAACGATAGAAACAATGCTGCAGGATCTTCATATCAATGTTGCCCAAGGAAAGTAAACCTTTTGCGACATTGCATTCTTTTTTGTCTCTCTGTATCTCATCTTCTTGTTCAGGGAAAGCGCAAAGGTAAGAGCAACATCTACATCATCAAAATCTCTGCCCTCGTGCAAAATGAAAACTGCGAAGGAAAATGATTTCAATTTCTCCTTCACAACCGGCCGGTTTGTACTTCCACTTCGAGTACCGCAACCTTGCGGACGATGAGAACTAGCATCAAGACCCGGGAACCAGAACACTGACCCACTATAGAAAGAAGCCAAGAAAAATCGGCACACAGATGACACTTATGTGTGGTCGTACTTGCATTAGTTACGCAGTCGAGCTTCGCTGATTCCCTTTTCAGAAACCTAAAAAACCTTTTGTTTCGTCATCATACAGGGCAGCATTGAAACTGAAAGCCGACAAATGCATTGGCAGGATTGAAGTTCGTTCAACTACGAACCGTAAAAAATATGTACTCAGGATTGGGAGAACGAAAACTTATCGTAAGATGAAATATTATGTTTGTAGCTCGACAAGAGCTTGCATGGGTGAAAAGCAACTCAGAAAGGTGCTTGAGGTGTTTTGTGATGAGCACCATCACGACGTAATGGGAGTTAAGGGCGGGGGATGGATCTACGCACATCTATGTCATTTCGACTAAGTATGACAGAGCACAGAGAGTAAACTCTCAAACAGGTAAAGGACAGCAGAAGAAGAGCACAGCTAAAAAAGAGCACAAGACGAAGGAGCGTACGGTTCCTACGATATGGATATGCTACTTATCCTAAGAAATAGCTCTATAACTCAAACTCCGCTGCCCCTGCACCCACATTCAGGTTCCCTTGCATGATAAGAGCGTCGGTTGACTGCGCGGTGCCTGTCGACGGTCCCCGCGCGTTCTGGAAGCTCATGACGTTTGGGGAGTCTACCACCGGCGTCGTCGAGAGCACCTTATTTGCGCCCCGAGCACTTTTGCGGTCGTGCTGTTCCTTATGCTCGTGATGTCCACCTCCGCCGTGTTTGTCCTTGTCTTTGTGCTCCTTGTCTTTGTGATCCCCTTTGTGCTCCTTGTTTTGGTCCCCCGCCGGCTTGTCCTTTTTCTTGTGCTCTTTGTCCTTCTTCTTTTCCTTTCTCTTCTCCTTGTTTTCCGCCCCACTGGGATCGGACCCAGCAGAGTCCATCTCTTCGCTATCCGAGGTATCCGACTCTCTAGTAATATTGCCAGTAGTGAACTTCTATCAAATGTAAAAATGTCTGGGTCTGGAAGAATGCGCGATTTGTCATGCAGCTTTTCCATGATCCATGAGATCTGGAATGCAGGACCTAGCATGACAGATTCTACTGCGCGATCTCTCTCATGCCAATCCTGCATGAGAAACTCCCTCCTGACTTGGTCAAAACTGGACGACTTTTGGTAAGCATGCAACACAGATTTTTGCATGCTTCAGATGTAGCATGACAGGTTGCATTCTTCCAGACCCAGACATTTTTACATTTGATAACTTCGCGGTTTGCGAGATCCTGCTCGTGGCTAAGTCTACTCCCGTCATCTGACCACTCGGCAACCGATTCCGCACCAGGCTCGGCCCCCGGTTCGTGGAGGAGGGCCGCCCTACTTTGTCGCTCAACAAGCCTTTCTGCTCGTCTACGTTGTCGCCTGTCGTGGAAATGTCCACCTTTCCGAGCTCGTACTCCACATTGGCTAGCGTGGTGCGTTATGCATAGCAAAAGTATCGTACTCGTAGTAATTGTATTTTATGCATTACAAGTCTCGTTCTCAAGGTAAATCAGCATTACAAATTTTGCAATGCTGGGTTAATTTGTAATGCAATTTATACTAGTACGATACTTTTGCAGTTCATATGCGTCTGGATTTAGGCGGACCCAACTCCGTCGTCGTGATTCCCAGCTCATGCTTATACAGTGCGAGAAAGGAAAACAACATCGCACCAAATCCCGCCATGAGATTCTGTGTGGTTTTGCAATTTCGATTTCGATTTTCTCGTCCAGTCGCATATCTGAAAAAAGATATATCAGATTGGCACATAGAAGCTCTAACCACTGAAACTAAAGTGTAACTGGCGCAGCTGACACTTCAATAAATACCGTGAAATCCGTGAGCCCGGCCACCTTCGGTAGTACCATTCCCTCGTAAATCATGTAGTTGTCGAACACTTCGCCTATGGCCATGGTTAAAAATGACCCGATGAACACCACATACAGACTGACCAGCTGCGCGATATTTGTTCCTGCTGTGAGTATGGCCATGAACAGGCCGATGAGCGTCCCCGTCATGGTCAAGATTTGCGCTGTAGTGGAAAACAGCCGTATTCGCCAGTTCACTTTCCCGAGTTTGCCTAGCTTGAAAATGTCCCTCGCCTTTTCATTCGGTAGCGGGTCTAGTTGGATGTCCTCTGCTTTTGGAACATCAGTCTCGTCCCCTTTTGCCTTTAGTAGTTCCTCCAGGGCGACTTCGCGTCGCTTTTTTTCCACCACGGCAAGAATATCGGCCGTGGGTGTCTCCCCGGCACCCCCACCGACCCCGCGGCGCAGTCTGCGCCAGTTCGCGGTGGCAGTGATCGCATCCGCTTGCACTTTGGCATCCCCGAGGCTGTGAAAGAGGTCGTCGGTTTCGCGGTACGCCGGTCCGACCGTGTCGATTAAGTCAAAAACGCTGAGAAAAGTCTGCACTCCGACAAAACAACCAGACGTGAAAAATAGGAGCTTCAACCAATCGATGTGGGCCATTTTATTTCTTGTGGGAAGAAGTCGTCGGAGAGAGGTTCCTGAACAGGTCCCGGTGGAGATCTGTCTACTTGGCTACATCAAAAAGAAATGTAAAAGTCAAGGAAGTAGAGCGCGTGATGTGCCAAGCTACTTATGATTAATTATGACAAAGTAGTCAGGCTTTTTCATCCTGCCTTAATACCTACAATACGCTTCGCATTGAACAAATGAAGAGCGTTATAGGGAAGAAGGGACAAGGACGGCTTCATTGGTAGAACTAAAAGCACTCATATGGACGCTTCAAACATTTAGTTTACCTTACGACTCATTTTCTTTGTAGCCTTTACCTGTAAATATAGCACCTGGCACTCTTTTTCTTTATCGATGGTGTGATGCGTGATAAAATTGCTTTTTCGGAATTTACGAATCTAGCGAAACGGAAACACAGAGTAGACGACCTGCAAGAAACGACAATTGCGACCAAATATTTGTACGAAACACGATCTGAATGTGGACGAGCATGAGATTTGAAACTTGAAATGGACGACGAATACGATAAAGAAGTACGAATACGAATGAAACAAAAACAGGAAGGAATTGTCAGTCACGACAAGGATAAGCATCACAAAAGAAAGACAATGGCGAGGCAAAGTGCAGCAAGGTGTAAGACATATTCATCAGTAACACGACAGTACTCATCAGTAACACGAAGCTTAAACAGTATTTTTCATGAGAATGTGATCAAGATCACATTCACAGAACCACCCGCAACGATCAACGAAATAGAAATACCCCTTCCACGATCATAGAAGAGTAACGTGACTTCTGATACTCCGAGGGCACGCAGAGACGTTACTTAACATCGCTGCGGCAGGAACATGCATTTTTGCGCGTTCATTCAGACACAAATGTGCGACATGTGTCTTCTTTCCTCTTGGAGCTGTACTTGTGGTGTGGTTGACGACGGTCCCGGTCGTATGTATGGGGAAGCAAATTCCAACATTTCGACGCTAGCAAGGGTGACAACTTTGAGGCTGTGAGCGTTTCCTCATTTCAAATAGACCCCCAGCAGCGTCGCCGCGGCTTCCTGCACGGCCACTAACAGCCAATAGCGCAGCCGTTCCCGGTCCCCCCGCGCTTGCAACAGCAGCTTTCGTCGGACGTAGCGGAACACTAGCTGTCTCCGGGTCAACAAAAGCGGCGCGCGCCGGGTTGCGTTCCAGATCAGTTGGTTGGAGATGTCCTCGCTGTCCTGGAAGTTCCAGGTCAGAGTGCTCAGCCCGTCCTTCGTCCGGATAAAGATGAGGTACTGGAGGCCGAGAAACCAGTTGAGGAACTGGGAAAAAGTCGGGGCGATCAGTTCCAGATCGCGGTCCTTGCCGACGAGCACAAACGCCAGCGCCGGGTTGGAATCCGGGAGAAACTTCCAACTAGATCGGTAAGTGTGGGAGAGACCTTGGTGATGAAGATTGGCGGGATAGCGTTCGCAATTGGTGCTTGTTGCGTAGCGCGCCTAGCTTTTCGATTTAATACAACGCAAATACTTTGAATTCACGACAGCAAAACCAAAACCCAAGGAAACGCAGAACGTATTAAATTTCCAGCCTCATACCTCGCGCCGAGCTCTTGTCCAGTGACACTTTTTTCGTCGTTTTCGTCATAAACCGTGTTCTTTCGGACCAAGAAAACGCCAAATCCTGCTGCTTTGACGATGAGCCGCCTTTCGAAGATTTTTTCACCGTCGGCTCCAGCAAGAGAAAGATCCTGCTCATGCACTTCGCCGAATTGAGTTTCCGGGACAAAACCCCCCGGCCCCATTGGAACTTCTGCAAAACGACGGTTTCTTTTCTGATCCTCTCCGCTTCGCGCTGGCCGAAGGAGGAGAGGCCAAAAGTCGTGGAAGACGAGAGGCCGCCGGCCGCTGCTCCAGCACCAGGTGGCCCGTATAATGATCCACCGCCGTTTTTTGATTTCTTCAAAATTTCTTTTTTCTCTTCGTCGAAGATCTTCTGCTGCAGCAAAAGCTCCGCCTTCGACAGCTCCAGTTCCGTTTGCAACTGGGTATACCGGTCCTCCCACTCCTGCGCGGAGACGCCGGTCCAGCCAGATTCCGCCCGACTGAAATTCGACTCCGAAAAATTGTCCACGGAACTGCCCTATGCATTGCAAAAGCATCGTACTAGTACGATTTGCATCACAAATTTCCAAGAACCAAAACGCAGTTTCTCATGCTGGATTAGGTAAGAGATCGATCTGTCATGCCTGAGTACGATTAGCACGAGGAATACGATACAGTTGCAATTCATATGTCCCGCGCGTTACTCCGCGCAGAAAGGGACGGAAGCCGGGAGCGGCCACTGCGGTTGGGCGTGAGACTACTACTAGACGAGGAATTATACACTAGGGGTGGGGGTCTTCCACCGCTGCGGTTTGGCGAGGGTGCGCCACTTGACGATGCACGGCCGCTGGTGTTCCCACGAAGATGACCACGCTGGGAAGATAGCAGCGGATCGTTGCCGCGAAAGTTCTGATCGTGTAGGCGTAAGTCGACCAACCCGTGCTGGCCACGGACGGGACCCGCGGCGGATGGCATGGAGGACGGTCGGCTCGAATTGCTCATTCGCGCGGATGAAAAACTTTGCTGCTGGTGTTGGTAGGACTGCAACTCAGCGTCTGAGGGCGAGGCGGCTGTCGTGGCGGGAGAAAACGCCGGAACAAAACTTCTAGACGGACAAGAAGACGTTTGGTCGTTCACTGGGCGTGCAAGCTCCTTCCACCCAGTCCGCCATACCGCTTTTCGAACTAGCTTGTCGAGCGCCGTGACCACGCCGACGATGGCGAATTGCCGTCGCATTCTGCGGTGCTCGGCCGCTAGGGACCGCCAGCAGAAGAAAGTGTGACGCAGGAAAAGGCCGGAAATGAGACAGGTTTTTACGATTTCATTCTCATTTTCACACGATGATGTTGTTGGCGATACAACTTTCACGGCAAATTTCGCTCGGTCAAGGCGTATGAAGGAATTGTTGTTCTTTCCTTGTTGCGCAATGAAAAATTTCTCCAAGCGGTCGCGCTGTGCATCTAGCACCTGCTTCGCCGTATCCCGCAGCCGCCACCTGTCTAAACCGGCTTTTTGCACCGCTAGAGCTTTTCGTTCGACTAACCGCAGCAGCGCGTGACTTTGCACCGCCTGCGGAGTTGGGAGAAGGTCTTGCACGTCGGCGTCGCGTGAAATGTTCTTCATCCGTGGTAGATCCATTTTGTCTTCCTGTTCGGAAAACCACCTGCCGTTGCTTGAAGACGGTTTTTTGACAACTGCGCCACCAAAGTCTTCGCTCTCCTTCTCCTCCGCTAGAGATGAGTAAATTTTCCTTGCCAACACGATTATTTCTTCGATGTCGGCACGTGGTTCTACTTTAGATGAGGTTGACGCAGCTTCTACTTCCGGCAAATTGTCCACCGCGAGCTCCGACCCCACGAATCCACCGCCGCCACCAGGACTACTCTGGTCAAATGGGTGCAGCTCCTGCAACCCGTCGCTTTCCTGATCATTCGAGCTGCGGCCCTCGTGGCCCGCTAGAAGATGCGCTTTGCTCTGCTGCTCCACGTGGTAGTCTTGTTTCGTGCGAACGTATTTCTCCTCGTCCCAGTTCTTCATTATGTCCACACAAGAACTCAAACTGCGAGCGCCCGGTTGATGTACAAGATGATTCTCTTCTACTTCTGGCAAATAGCTCCGCGGCGATTCATCAACATCGTTATTGGCAAGGAGCGTCGGGGGCGGTAGCATCGGCGTGCTGTTTGCGGACGAGGAAGTAGACCTTCCGTGCGCAGCGGGGTCGGAACTCTTCCGATCTACTTCTCGCCGATCATAGCAGTTCATGTTCACCAGCACCGAAGAGTTGTGCTGCGCACCGTCCGCGTGCTCCAGCGTGTTCGTGTTTTCCTCTCCAGTTGTCGAGTTGTCCTCGAGGACGTCGAAAGCAAGCGTTCTAAGGGGCTTATTTTGCATCGTGCCAGAGGCAGCAGTCGTGCCCGTAGAAGTCGTACCGAAGCGCGAAGTGGCTGTATTTGCACTTGCGTTTGTCGAGAGCACAGTTCCAGGACTTGTTTTGGTTTTCGACTCGGTGTATTTGGTGTGGGCGTTCACAGTCGCAGCTGCGTTCGATTCTTCTCCTCGATCGAGAAAATGTGGTTGGGGTTGCTGGTCAACCGGCTGCACATAGTGTGGCACTGTTGCTTCTCCACCTCCTACTTCGTCTCTGTCGTCTTCTTGCGTCGTCGCTTGTTCTACTTGCTGGGGTGGGGCTAATACCATCCTTTTCGGCATGATCTGTTGACCTGTTGAAAAAGATGGATGCTCGGATAGAAGCACAAGCTGCTCTTTATGGTCGTGGTCGCCTTGCTTTTTCAAAAGGACTGGGGTGTTGGTGGATGAAGCTTGCTGTTCGCCGCACTGAAAGTCCAGCATCGGCGACACATCGCCGGTAGTTGCAGCTGTACCCAGCTCTTGAGCTTGGGTTGCCGTCGTCCATGGTACTAAATCGTTGTCGTAAAGGTCGTTCAGCAGACTGACTGGCACGCCAGCTCTCGTCTCATTTGCGGTCTTGGGTGGCGGATCGTCCAACTGCAACTTTTTTTCATCAGCTTTGCCCCGATCGCCCACGACATTATTGCCATGTTCTTCTTTTTCTGTGGTTCTTTCTTGTCGGCGGTCTGCCCCCGGCACAGTATTTATTCGTTCCGCGTGCTCGTTGGAAGATGAAGCATAAACCGTGCTGGACTTCTCCTTCACACTTGACTCCTGGCGCAAGTGGCTTCTCGGGGCTACATGCAAGCCCGGCGAGGACGACGTGTCGGAGGACGTAGTTGGGTGGTGTTGCTGCTGTGCCCCTCTCTCGTTACACAGTACTCCTAGCGTAGAAGAAGTGCTTGTGGTAACCTGCCTACGCCGCGCTAGACCAGACACAGTAGATGAACTACTTTGTTCGACGCTGTTCTTCCGGCTTGCTGCAGTTGTTCGGGTCATGGCACCGTGCGCGAAATGCCAGGATGGGAGCTGCGAGACCATTTCCTGCCCCCCTTCCTCTTCGTCTTCTGGGCCCTCGGAAGGAGGCAGAACAGCTTTCGTTTCCGAGTGTTGATGTCCTGCTCCGGATTGCAACAGAACTTCCGCGGGTCTGGTTGCGGCTATGCGTGTCCTCGAACCAATGCCTGCAGCTCCTCCTGACGGTTTCATGTAAGGTGAGCCTTGTTGCTGCTCTTGAGAAGTGCTGTAGTGGGCTGCACCATCATCACTTCCACCACGACCATTCCGAGCGGGGTCCTCCTCTTCTATTCGGAAGAACGCGGATGCTGCTCCGCTACCAGATGAACTTGCAACAACCCCGACAGGCACGGGTGGCGGTAAAAGCGACGAAGCTTTTCGGTTTTCGCCAGCCCCTGCTGAATCCGCGGGAGTAAGCACACGAGCGTGCCGCGCCTTATTTGCAGCAGAAGAATTCTCAAACGACTCCTCATTCACATCGGACTCGTCGGAGATTTCGTCTCTATGCGTACTATCATGCCTGGTGATGTTCCTTCCGCTTATTCCAGAAGTAGCGGACCTGCTACGGTCGTGGCCCGGGTGTCCGGTCGCAGTGGCGGAATAAGCTCCGAACGAAGTAGCTGCCGACCCCCCGAAAAGTATGCTGCTCACGTCCGCTCGAAAGGTACTCGTTGTGGACGGGGCTTTATTGGGGTTCGCAAGAACCGTAGTAGTACGGGCAAAATTATCATCTGTCTTTTCGGGTCGTTCTTGATCCTCTGGTGTAGTACTACTGTTATGCAGCTCGTGCTCGGCGGCGCGTGGTTCGCTGGTACTGGAGTTCTTCTTCGACGAAAAAGTGCTAGCTCGGGTCTTCACTCCACCGCACGGGCCGTCGAGTTCGTTATCGTTGCTGGACCACTTTGGAGGTTCTTGCTCACTGCCAGCGGAGCTTGATGCGGTGGTGGTCGGCGTCTGCACAACTTTTTTCGTCAGTGGTGCCAGCTTGATCTGTTTCGTGTGCAGAGGACGAGGACCGGGGATAGTGGAAGTAGCGGTCTTTCCAGTTGTGGACTTCTTCGTTGAAGTAACAGATAACGCTTGAAACCCATTTTCCTCGAAAAGTATTTCAACATCCGGATCATGCTGAAAATGATCATGCTCCGCCCGATTTTTACTCTGTAGTTCGCAAGATTCGGCACCGGCGCCAGCCACTTCTGCGGCCTTGGAGGTTTCTTGAGACCACGATGAGAGGGCAGGAGCTTCCTCACGACTAGACGGACCGCAGAAGTCTCGTGTAGTTTGCGAGGGTGCAAGCATGCCTGTGGACTGCAAAGGAGATGGCGCACTAAAGTCAGCCCTTATCATATCAAGCTCGTCGACGTCGTCCATAAGTCTTTCTTGGTTTCGTCGAATTTACAGTTTTACTAGTGCACGACGATGAACCGTAAAAATGGATCGCATGATCTTAGTGGTTTTTCTAGTAGATGAATATCTACACGAAAAAGAAAACGACCTTGAAGGTGGGTATACGACTCGCACCAGCTCTCCGCTCTTCTACATTTCCTTGGACAAAAGCAGCAACAGGCGCTCAGGAGTTCTTGTCCTCTCGAGCGGCTGCATTGACGCTCCTTATCGCAGTTATTTAATACTCTATTCTGTCCATTTGGTTTTGGCGCTCATCTAGTTCTTCAGGAATAAAGACGGCAACTTTGAGTCCGGGTCGCCTCGACGCCTTTCTCTGTCCTCCAGTGGAGTAAAATGTGTATGGTATTTGCAAGAGGGCCCTGCCCACGTAGTGAAAAACGTGAAAACAAAAAGTACTTATCAAAATTGCTTTGTTACTTCGATATGCAGTGGGACGAGGAACAGAGTGTCCATCTTCAAGAAGCCGCATGCTTCATGCTGCTCCCTCTGTTGAATCCGGGCTCTGCACAGGCAGCGCATAGACATCATTCCATCCCCAACATTGACGATGGTGAATAAGGGTGTGTTTTCCGTTGCTGTTCGTAATATTCCAAAATTGCACTTCCCGCTAGTGAGGAAGTGCTTCCGAATATAATTGATCCAAAACTGCGTCAAAAGATGTGCGTGGTACTTCCTCGAGTTAGATAGAGTGTTGTTTTGGTCGTGCGAGATTCTGATGACCAGCGTGTCATCTCATCGACGACCAGATAAAGTTTATTATTATTTTCTGGCTCCTATCAAAAACCGCACGAGGAGGTGGCTCAGCGTCTGATGCGCGAAAAACCTCCGACTGCGACGAGGACAACCATCTCGGAAAAACAAAATGTTTCGGATTTTGCACTCCTTCAACCTGAAAGTTCAAGATGAAGTCGAAAAGTCATAATGAAAAATATCAACCGTTGTACCACTCGGAGCCTTGTCCTTGACCTTGTTGTCCAGGCGAAAATTATGCACCAAGATGCAGCACAAAAAATTATATCATGTACAAAGCTTGGCCTTCTTCCACTTCTGAAAGTCAGCATTACTAGCATGATTTTTAGGTTTAGGAAGGAATGAAATACTAAAATACTATACCCTCGTCCCCTATAGTAATTTTAAGAATGAAATAGAATCACTCCGGCCCTTCCATCCATTTTTTCATCGCCGGATAGAAAAGCGCCCGTTCCCCGACATCCTCGGTTTTCAGCCCCGCCTTGAGCACCATGCGGCGATCGTCGGAGTCAACGGCCAGAATCCGCACCCTGCGGTCCCGCGGGCCGGCGCCTGCGCCGCATCCTTGCTTGTAGTTTTTGGCGCAAATTTCGGTTGGAAACTCGTACTTGAGTGTGTCTTTGTCATCCTCACGCGACAATTGCGCGCCGCGCAGATCCGACACAGCGCGGCCGCCCGGGGTGGGCGGATTTGGTCGTGGTCGTCCAAATGGTGCGACGAGATTGGGTTCCGCGCTGCAGCGCCCGACAAACGTGCTGTCGAGCAGCGCGTGCTGGTTCAGAAAGCCGTCAGTCCCGAACAAATCCACTCCTCGCTCGCCCTGCAAGATTTGACGGACGAAGGCGTTGGCGTGGTTTCGCGTCGGCGTCGGCGCTGGTCGTCGTGCACCAGATCCTGCCGAAGATGAAGATTCGGCGCTGGTCGCATTCGTTCCGTTTCCGCCGGACAAAGCTGCTGCACTTGTTGCATTCACTAGACTCATCTGTTGCAAAGCGCCCACTCCTACAGGGTCGTCGTTCAGGCCCACGTAGAGCGAGAACCGACCCTGGAGCCAGCGACTTTTAATCTCCCTCGCGAGCGTGGTAAGCCCGTCGTCTGTCAGGCCCCCACGGCTCTGCAGCAAGTCACGACCCCAGCTCATCCAGCCAGACACGCCGGCGGATTCGGCGTTCGGACCGGCAGGGAAGATCACCCAAACTTGCTCATAATTTTCGGCGTCTAGCAGTTCACTGAGTGTGGCGCCAGCCCCCGCTCCCGCAAGCAGGCCGGCCGAAGAGGAAGTAGAAGTCGTACTGCTGCCAGGACGAGGGTTCATCTGCTCCTGCTGCTGTTCTTTCTGCCGCTTGATCATGGCAGCCAGGTCCTGCTCGCAGAACACGTGCTGCATTTGCTGTTCCAACCGCGTGGCGTCGGCGTCTGAGTAATAAGACCGGTAGGGCGAGCTGTCGCGCTTCGCGACCTCGTACCCTACCAGCGAGATTCCCGCTGCCGCCGCCGCGATGTCTTGCAACAAAACGTCTCCTTTCCCACACCGTCTCCCCAGGTAGAAAGTCAGCACGTTGGGCCGCAAGGATGAAGCGGGAGGAAGCACGGCTCGTCGCTCAAGGATTGGGCTGCGGCTCCGTTGGGGTGGTGCATGCCCTCCTTCTGCCGACCAGCCCCCCCAAATGTAAATGGGACGAGCTGGCGGAGCGTCCGCGGGGGGTGGGCTGGGCGAGCGGGGGCAGGCAGCGGCGGTACAAGAATTTGCTGAGAACGTGGAGGACTGTTGCAGTTGCTGTGCCTGTGCCGCCACATGCTGCTGCCGAAAGGGCGGTGAAATGCATGTAGCTTCCATGATCCTCGGCGGACTAGTCCGCCGAGGATCATGAAATCGCTGGGGACTGAGGCTCCTCCGCATCACTGGAGGAGATGGAGGATCGCAATCTTGATCTTCACGATACAATCCGCATGTTTGTTCGTCTTCGTGTTCATCGTCCGGGCGAGCCACAGCCAATTCTTCTAAACGGCCCATCATGCAGCTCGTACTAGGGGCTGCTGCAACCGGCAACGATTCTGGCATCACCATCATCATCTCCGGGGGCGCAGCTTCCGGTAGTTCTTGTACCGAGGCTGAGTAGGAGACAATCGGCGGTCGTTGCAATTCAAATTCTAGTAAGAGACTGCGCTCGGCGGTAGTGAGACCGCACTCGGCGGAGGTCGGTGAAATTCTAACACTACAGGGCGGAGGACTTGGACTGCATGGAGCATCACAGGCCATCTCCATGCGCGGCGGGCTCCGACTTGGACTGCGTGGAGCTTCTACACAGGCCAACATACGCGGCGGGCTCCGACTTGGACTGCGTGGAGCTACACAGGCCATCTCCATGCGCGGCGGGCTCCGACTTGGACTGCGTGGAGCATCACAGGGTATTTCCATGCGCGGCGGGCTCCGACTTGGACTGCGTGGAGCATCACAGGGTATTTCCATGCGCGGCGGGCTCCGACTTGGACTGCGTGGAGCTTCTACACAGGCCATCTCCATGCGCGGCGGGCTCCGACTTCGAGCTCGCTCACTACAGCACTGATACGCCTCCACAATGTGGTGCGCAACGGGAGATCTCGCCCCACCATCTTCCGACGCAAGAATCCCGTAGTCGCTGCGCTGCAGGTTTGCGAACCGCTCGGGCGCGACATGGGCCGCAAAGCCCGCGTCCTCCTGCATCCTCATCTGCTCGCGGGTGCTGGCGGCGGCGAAAAGCAGCTCCTCCCCGAGCTCCTGCCGGGCCTGCTCGGCGCTGGCAATGTGCAGGAAGTAGCCCCCCGTAGAGGTCGCCAGGTCGCGGTACGCTGCCGAAGTGTCCTCGTGGTCTTCGTCAATGAACAGGATGGAAAACCGAAATTTCCGAAATTTCAGGCGGGGGTGCGTTTGCAGTTCCTTCAGCAGGGGCTGGAACCCCGTGCTGCCGCGCCATGCGCCGTCAGACTCATTGTCGTCTCCGTCCGTAATGATGACCAGGTCGATCGGTTGTTTCTCCTGTCCCTCGTCAGGAGACGCAGGATAATTCCCCGTGTCGTTGTTCCCACCGTAATTCGCCAGCATCTGGTGGAAGATATACTGCCACAGGTACGTGGTACCCCCGTTCCCCTTCCAAGCCCTCTCTAGCTCGCTGTTTTCGAAGGCGTTTTTGCTGCTCATGAAGCGGCCGGACCGCAATTCACGAGCCAGATTGTCACAAGAGTGCGAGTAGTCCCGGCTTCCGATCAAATGCACAGCAATGTCGAGGACTTGAGTACTATCATCATGTCCTCCCGTGACGCGGCTCCTGGGGCGGTGGACAACGGCAGCCTCACCTTCCTCTCGTCCAAGGGCAATAGAAGCAGCTCCCACATCCGAGGAAGCCGATGAAGTAGAGTTCCCGCCGGCTACAGTAGTTGTACCCCCGTCGGCATTGGTCCTCGTCGCGCTGGTTTGTTCGAGCATTTTCTTCAACTGCATCTCGTACAGCTTTTTGTACGCAGCCTTGCCGATGGTGAGCCGGCTGAAACTTGTCCCGATTCCGGTTCCGCCTGGGATTTGCGATACGACGCGCCGCCATGCCATAGAACCACTGTCGTCCAGAAACAGGTGCAACCATTTCTCGGGCGCGGGGTGCTGGTCCGACTCCGAAGAAGCAAGACAGGTGGAATTTTTCCTAGTAGCACGACAAGCAGCAGGCTCACTTCCATCTTGCTGCAGCAAACCAGTCGTGGCGAAACTCTCCAAAGCCCGCTCTTCGGTACGGCTCACGCGTATCGTCGGGGTTTGGTTGGGCGCCGTCGTGCACAATCCGCCCTCACATTCAGCCAGCACGTGCGCATGCCGGCCCGGGATGTTGGACGCGGCAACGGCCAAGTCCGGGAATAGAGCCGAGAATGCCAAGAGGCCCGACGAGAACTTCATCGAGTTCTTCGTTGAAATCATTTTGGGATCGTTGTATTTTACTAAACTGCCTTCGGGGGGGGAGCTGCTCTTGCTCAAAAAGAAAAAAAATCATTTATAAACCCCGAACGGATCAAATAGAGACAGAACTACGGGTACGGGTCAAATGGTCAGTGATATTATGGGATAGCTTTTCAAACAGCTGAACCTGAATACATATGATTTTGATTTGTAAACGAGTGGGATATTCGATGCAAGTATAACCACGCTTCCTGACAAAAATAAGACTGCGACGTCCTAAAATCCGTCCTACTGTCGCGCAAGAAGTCATTGTCATCACCATCAAGGAGTTTTCTTTACTTTTGTCTTTGAGTGAGGCCAACATAGTCACAGTTCATGTTTGTGAGTGAGGCCAACATACTCAGCACAATAGTCACAGTTCATGTTTGTTCCCGGAAAGCGATCGGAAAAGAGAATCCAGATCCACACAGAGATCACCAGTAGACCACAACTAAGTCATTGCAGCTTCTTGTTCTTCAAGCAAGCATAACAGATCTTGATCTTTTCTTCTTTCATCGTGGTGAATAGGGATCGTTGCGTTACGACCTCGAGTGCATCTCATCGTAGTACGCCAGACCTCCCCGCGCTTGCCACCTTCAACCTCGACGCGGTATGTGAGGTTGGCAGACCGTAGTAAACGGCATTCACATTCCTGAACATGTGTACGGAGCAGACGGGGGCATGCTTATTCTTTATCTTTTGCTTTTCAACTTCTCGTCTTCTCATCTTACACTGGTTTCTAAGATTCATATTTGCGATACACCTATGTGCATTTTGTCACGATCCGAATTCGAAACAATTGAGATTGACCGTAGTATGCGTATGTATTTTGACATATTAGTGTGGAGAGAGCGCACAGCTGTGTACTACAAGCAGCTGATACAATTACAACCCGGCACTTTTGGCTTGGCCGTGGGTGCACGGCCGTCATAACTTCTTCTCTGTTTTTTCCTTTGCCTTTTTCAACCAGCCCAAGCCAATCGCCTTCACCTTTTCCTGCAGCTTCTCCCCGTGTAAGCGAAACCCGAAGACCGTCCCAACCAGGGCCCCGGACAGGTGCGCAATGTTGCTGGCGCCGCCATTTTTGGTCGTGGCAAAAATTTGGTCCACCACCTCGTTGTGCACCCACAGGAGCATTTGCAACACAAACGTGACGGGCACCTTGTTCAATTTCAGCTGCACGAGGCTGGACAGCAAGATGGTCATGAAGACCACGCCGCTCGCGCCCAACTGGATCGCCTGCGGGTGCCCGAAGAACATGTGCGCAAACGCGGAGAACACGGCGACGTACACGATGACCTTCAGCAGGTTGTAGCTGCCAAACTCGCGTTCCGCGCTCGGACCGGCCAGCAAGAGGTTGACCAGGTTGCCGGATAAGTGCTGCCAATCCCCGTGCCCGAGCACGTGCGTGAACAGACGGAAGAAGCTCCACGGGACGCCGGGGAGCGGGAGGTAGCTGTACTGCGTGCCGACGTAGTAGTAGTTCAGAAGCGGGTAGTAGATCTCCGTGACCGGCGCCCAATACTGCCAGGGGTGGACGGAGAAGTAATTTTGTTGCAAGTTATCAAAGCCGAATTTTTTCGGTGCGATCAGCTGCACTACGCTCGAAGTCGCGAGAAAATGAACCAGCACGCACAGAATTGCGAAGACCAACGTCACGGGGGAATCGATCTCGAGGAAGGACATGTAATGCGCGAAACTCGGTCCGAGATAGGGTTCGAGCTTGTTCGCAACCGCAGAAGGGAAGTGCCGGACTGCTGGGGAGTCGAACCAGGTTTCCGCCTCGGTCGCCAGCTTTTTCTCGTAATGAGAACCGATTTCGCACACTTTTTTCACTTTTGGAAGAACATGCGGCTGGAGAATGTCCTCGTTGAGCGTTTTCACGACGGGGTGGGGGAGGATTTGTTCGTGGAGGAATTTCCGGCCGATTTCGTACTTTTTTACGCCAGCAGCCCTCGCTAACTCGTAGTTTGCGACAACTTTGTTGTAGGCCGGCAAGATTTTCGTGTGGAAAAAGTCCTCGACCGGCGCGACGGCGTTCGTTTTGATCGCGTCAACGGCCTCCTTCAGCGGTTTCTCCGCCCCAGTGGAGATGGTGGTCGCTACCTTCTGCAGGCCGGCGAGAGCCTGCTCCTGCGGAGCGGCGATGAGCTCGGGCAGGGATTCCGGCATCGCGTTGCCCTCGTAGGTTTTCTTCTGGTGCTTCTTCTTTTTTTGTGAAGGAGAGGGGGTTGAACTTGAAGTGGAGTTCATGAGGAGCGCAACGGACGAAGATGAGAATTAGACATTGGAGCCACAAATGCAAATCCACCAATCCGTCGCACAGCAACCAACGTCTCGGAAGTTAGTTCCTTGTTGAGAAGAAGAGTATCCACAAGCACACTCATGGACCATGGATGATCATCCCTCGCAAAAAGAGGGCCTCTCTTCACTCTGCGCTCAGATAGTGTTCCGAAGAATCAACAGGCGCTCACACAATGTGCCGGCAATGCCAGGGCCCGAGCACGCTTGCGCGGTCGAAACGACAGCGAAAACACTGCGCTCATAGATGTTGACAGCCTCAAGAGATTGGAGCTTGCGCTGATTGTGTTCTTGCGCGGCGCGCACGGACGTGGGCACGGCAATTCTGGCTCGCTGCCTGCTCGGCACTTGCCGGCGGCAGAGCGCATGCGAAACAATGCGACGATGTGCCTTTTGAAGGGCTGTGCGCAAGTTGATACGCAAACCGATCACACCGCCGGCGGCTGTGAAAAACCCCGCGCAACCGAAGGGCAAGGCCCCGCAAAGCTGTCGGGAGGGCAGGCACCAAGCGCAGGAGGCGCAGCCCCGCCAAAGGGCGCCTACGCAGGGGGGGCGGGCAACACAGGCCGGAAGCCCAAACGCGGGCGCGCGGGCGCCGGCACGGCGGGAACTTCGGAGGCGCTCGCGCGAGCCCCAAAGGGCTCGGCGCCGCTTTGTTTGTAGTCGCGCCGCGTTCTCTCTCCGCTGGGTTTCGCAGCTTGCAAAGCCTTGCGACTGGCGGGCCTTCGACGTTGTCATGCAGTAGCTGCTGTCTTCGAAATCAAAAGGCCTCGAAGGCGAACAGCCGCGCGCACTCTCCCCTTGTTTCTGTCGCGCGGGCGGCTTCAATTGCCGCACCATGCGCCCCCTGCCAAACCGCCGACGCTGGCAATGGCCCCCACGTGTCGCATCGCGAGTGGAGACCGTTAGAAGTGCGGCCTGTTCGTGTTGGCGCCGGGCGGGGGATTACACTGGTGACAACCCAGAGGCGCTCCGACATCATGTTCATGAGCACGGAGCTTACGACTACCACCAACGGACAAGACTTAGCTTCAGCTGCTACCAACGTAGCATATAGGACCATAAAAGAGAATTTGAGCAGCTCCTCGTACAGCACAGACAATCCTCGTTTCTTGCAGTTCTTCAATAAAGTTTCGCTTTGCAGTAGAGCGTGCCGTTCTCTTTTTCCCTCTCTCTCCCTCTCTGGCTTTGCAAACTACTTCGGGCGTGCACTAGTAGTACTAGTAGTGGTAGCAAACTTACTCTCTTTTGCTATCGCTTTTACATAGGCTCAATTTTCTTTGTCAGACTCAGATTTATATCTAAATATAATAGGTTTGTCTTCTCTTACTCTCCTTCTCGTCAACGTTATTCGGGCTAAAGTTTGCATCATATTCACGCAACAATCTATCATGTTGACATTGCAGTTTCCTGAAAAGAAGATACTTAACAACGAACGCCTTTTCTTAGCTGAAAAGCTTAATAGAGGAACTTGGAAGGAAAATCACGCTCCTGCCAGATTTGCTCTGTCGAGAATGTGAACGACACATCAAGACGACGAGATGTTGCTGGAAGCGCATCTTTCTAGCAATCTTCAGATGGAGATATGCGATTGTTGCAGTTTTACATTCAGGAAGAACGTCCCATCCGGTAGTTCATGATTTCGTCGCGATGATTTTCCCGGGAACAAAATGTCCCTTTTTCACGGACCCGTCTGCTTTGTCGAATTCCACGTCCAGCCTTCCCGTGTTGGAAAACACCTGGGCCTCCACTTCCCCGGTTTTCAGGTTGATTTTTCCCTCCACCGCGGCCCCGAGGCAGTGGTTGGGCTCCAGCTTTTCCACGGCGATCATGTCCGGGATGCGCCACCGCTTGTGGTGGATTTTCACGGTCTTCGCCGGCATGGTTTTGGCGTACGCGCGACACTTTCGGGTGAAATCCCCGTTGAACAGCTTCACTTGCTTCAGGCTTTTCAGTTCTTGTGACATTTGGTCCGCATTTTGCACGTCCTGGTCGGCACCGTAGTTCCCGGTCTTCATGCCCATCTGCCGCTCGAGCTCCTTTTGCTGGTCCGGTGCGAGATCTTTCTCCAAGTCCAGCTCCTCTTTGATCAAAATCTCCGTGCACTTGCCGCAGACCTTCAGTCCGTGGTTGGTCGCCGGGTCGCACTTTTTCGCCGCGAGGCCGGCGTGGAAGCTTTGGCAGTCCTCCTTGGTCGCGGGCATCTTGCCGTCCTCGAAGCAGTCCGGCGTGCCGGTTGGCTGGATCTCGTCCGGTGTGGCGCCTGGTTCTTGGGCGTCTTGTTCACCAGCTGCCTCATCTGTAGTTGTGGCTGCATCAGGAGCAACAGCATCTGCTGCATCATCTTCTGCTGCATCGCCAGGTCCTGCGCTCTCAGCTGTTGAAACATCATCTACTTCTTTATCGGCACCTGTGTCCTCGGGTGTCGACTTTGCGCCGGAAGGCTTGCGCTTGCCTGCTGCAAGTTCGTCTGGTTTGGCTGCTCCGCCACCAGGAGTTGCAGACTCCTCTCCCGCAGCTGCAGTTGCACCAGCGTCGTTGGTCTGTGGTGTGCGGTCTGTTGCGGGTGGAGGCTCTTGTTCTGGTTTTGGCGGCGCCGCGCTTGCATCTCCAGGATCACCTTCACCGTCGCCCGCGAATGCCGTGATGAAGCCTGGCTTTTTCGCCACGCCTGGTCGGACTGTGCTCAGACCACGAGCGCGCATTTCTGTCGTCTGCAAGTCTAGAAACGACGAACCGCGTTGTCTACTTCGTCTTTCTCCATGCATAGCATCATCCGCAGTCGACAAACCGTACCACCCCCGCGCGTTGGAAAAAGGAGCAGTGCCGGAGTGCATCGCATCGAAGGCGCTTTTCTTCACCATCCAAACCGCATTTTTCCTCGAAAAGGACGTTGAAACAGCGCTCCTCAAGCTCTCCCCAACATCAACAACTTCCAGAAACGAACTTGCCTGCTCCGCCTTCCGCCCGTCGATGAAGCCCGTTTCGTCTGCTTCCACGCTGATTTCCTGGTTGTTCGGCACCACGCCGCCCTCTACCGTGCCTGACTTTAAGTCCAACCGCCCGATCACAAGAGATGCACCCCCACAGGCCTCGCTTGTTTCCTTCACGTTCGGGTCCACCATCCACGTATCCGGTAGCAACACCCGCTGCTTTTCCGGCTCTTCCTCGGCTATTTCCGCTTTCTCCTTTTTCACACCGCCCGGACATTGGGCCTGGACATTTCTCGCCGCGTCAACCAGCTCGGACTGTTTTTTCAGAGCGGCGCCGACCCGCTGCAGCAGGTCGCTGGTACCTGCGTCCGGCGTCCCAGTGGCCGCGAACCGCTCCTCGAACTTCTTGTGCTCGGCGTTCACCTCTTTGACCTTCGCACGCGCGTCCTCGAGAGCGTCGAGAATCTTAGTGCGGCACTCCTTGCAATTTTTCTTCAGACTGGTGGTGTCGCCATGGGACAGCCAGTCCAGGCACTCCTGGAGTTTCGCGGGCATAGGTGCTGTGGGCTGCGTCTGCTTCGAACGGTACAAGTATTTTTCACGGCGCACGCGACAGGAACTTTCATGTAACTACTGTAATATCGGCGATATTCTTCTTGTTCTTGAAGTACGATTTCTGTATCTGTTTCCTTGTTCGTTCCAAGAATTATTTCCATGTTGTCACAGGAGACCAGCTCACGGCTTTCGCGACGGCGACGATCACGATGCGAAGATTTCTCCACATCGACGTAGTTCGAGTTGCTGCTTCTATTGACATCCGTTCTCTCTTTCAAACCGATCGAGTTCGGGAGAAGTAGATTCGAGCAGCCGTCTTTTCACTTTTACGAACGGAAGATCATCGAGGTGAAAGAGTGCAAACGAAAACATTACTGAATCTAGAGCTGTCGGCCTTGGAAGATCGGTTTTCGACGACCCGAGCGATCACTTACACCTCGTCCTTCTCCACGATGACCTCCTCTGCGGAAAAGAAGCTCACCCCCTTCGCCTGCGAATAGTCCACAAAATCGTAGTCCTCCGCCAGTGCCGCGGACCACCGTTCGCCAATACTTGGCGGCGTCATGATCCCGACGTAACCGGGGTACATCGTGTCGGGATAGGATGCAGCATGTTGTTCTAGCTGGTGCCCGACATCTACTTCTCCTGTCGCATTTTTCGTTCTACTTTCGTCTTGCCGCGCCGCCCATTCCGGGAAAACCGCGTTTCCTACAAGCTCGTCTTGCGTCACCAGGAACTGGCTGATCCCGCTGCTGTTCCGTCGCGGCCACCACAGCCAGTGGCGGTTCCGGTGGAAGGTGGTTTTGTCCTCAAAAAACCCGCGCTTCACCCGCAGCAAGCTGCTTCCCTGCATGGTGCGCGGGTGCAGGATCTCCTCGTAGATCGGCGGCCAGCGGAGTTTTAAGTAGTTGTGCGCGAGGTCGAAGTTGGTGCGCGGGTGGGGCAGCCGAGACCCGTGCATCGGGACGCGGTAGATGTTGTATTTGAGACGGTGCAGGCGGAGTAAATGCTCGGGGGTGACACCAAATCCCTCGAAAAAGAAAGAACGGACGGGGAGGGAGGAAAAGAAGACGGACGTTGGTGATGATGTAGTGGTCCTCGTCGTGCTAGTTGTACTAGGGCTTTTTACTTCATCCACACGTTGTTCCAGGTTGTTCATGATCGCAGTAGATGTTGTACTATCCATTTCCATCCGCTGCAGAAAGCCCTCCAGCACTTGTCCGTCGTTGCGGTCGGTATCGATTTTCACGAAGTCAAACGAAAACGATGGACGAGGAGCAGGTGCGCGTCGACCTTCTTCGTCCTCCATCACATTCACAGCCTGTGCTTGCTTCATCACATCCTGCAGCAGTACGAACGGCATCTGCCAGGACACCTCCTCCGTGCAGTTGCACCGCTCGAGCGCCTCGCCCAGAAACCCGCCGGCGCTCGCTGCCTCCCGGCCCACGCGCCAGACGCAGCCAGATTCGAGCGTCTCCAGCCGCTTCGACTCGTTCCAGGTAGCGAACCCGGGAAAAACTTTGATGTTCACCGGTTTACCCGGAAGTTCGCAGCCTGTCGGGCAAGAGTCACTTCCCTCATCCTCGTTGTTCAACCGTACCGAGGCCCGGCTACTCCAGACCAGCGACGGCTGCGGCTCGATCGCAAACACCTCCGCGCCCATTTGAGCCGCGTGAAAAGAGAACATGCCGATGTTGCTCCCCACGTCCAGCACTTTGCACCGGTTATTTTTAGTGTTCGTGTCTTTATCTACTTTTCCTCTTCTCGCGTGACAGTCGTACAACATGGAACTGAGGATTTGTCGCACGTGCAGCTTGTATTCGTAGGTCGTCCCGAGGCCCCACTGTCTGCAGAACGCTTCATCGTAGAGTAAATTGCAGGTGTCCGGCTTCGTCTCGAGCACCAGTCGGTACCGCCCGACGAACGGCCACTGTTCGGGGGGCGACACGTAGCTCCGGCGGTACAGGTCGGCGGGGGTAAGCTGGTGGAAGGGGTCTTTTTCCGGGTGCTTCTCGTTACCGTGGTCGTCGTGGAAAAACTTCGTTCTATCCGGGGCTTGCGCTGGTGGCTCTGCACCATGTACCGCGGCGAAAAATCGAACAAGTCCATGAACGGCAAGAAGGGTTAGTGTTAAGGGAAATGCATTTTTCGGATTCATTGTGTTTCGCATTCGCTCTGCTTGTGCAGATGAAAAAAAAAAGATTTAGGTCCTCGTCTAATATAAGCGATCATAACGAAGAGAAAAAACGAAGACACCGAAAAACGACAACGACAAAGGAACGATGAAATGACGATGTAACAAGTGATGCTGCAGTAGAGGTACGTGTGTAAAAAAAAAGCTGACTCACACGTAAGAGTCATGAGGGCGTCGAACAAACAATGTTGACCCTCAGTTGAACAAACAATGTTGAATTCTGCTTGTTTCAGAATTACTCGCTACCTGGAACGAGAAAAATTGTTGTAAGTCGCAAGCTTTATTTCTGCGTAATAGCATGGTCAGTCGTCGATGCACCAGTATTGAATCTAGTATCGATTCATTGTTTTTTTCGTGGCATGTAGTTCTTTCTTGCAACTCGGCCAAACCACGAAGCACCACCCCTTCATCCTCAAGTCTTACTGAACTCGCCCTGCAGGATGATCCTGCAGCCGTGCGTAACCGGCGTGATGCTGTGTCGGAGTCTCTCCCCGCGAAAAAGCACCAAATCGCCCTTCTGCAGCTGGACTTGCCTGCGCACCGCGTGCTTTTCCCCGCGGGCAAAGTTGTTGCGGCCGCCCACGTAGTCTACGCCGGGCTGGGTGAGCATGAGGATGAAAGTGATCACAGAGTCGTTATCCACGTGCTCCTCGATGTAGCCAGTGTTGGTAGCTTTTGTTTTGCAATTATGCGGAAATTCAGAGTTTTTGTGTATTTTCAACAAAGTAACCCGACTCGCTCGTCGCGTCGTGTCAAAACATGGGAGGAATCAATCAAAATCATGCAGCTTCATTTTATTCTGTTCGTCAGTTTTTCTTGTGTAAATTCCAAGAGTATAATACCCTCGAAGATTAACATAACTATGTATACCGTCCTCTTCCCCCTCCGGGTCGTCCGGAAGCTCCGGACGCTTTGCCCCACAACTTCCATCCTTCGGCCTGCGTTCTCCGCGCGCCACGTAGCTGTTCGCCCCGCTCTCGCCCGCTTTCTGCACGCAGCTGCTGTGGTACTTCCACTTGTTCGCGATCGCGGACGCTTCCTCGGTGTGGCAAGGCTGGTACTTGTAGGTCGTTGTTGTACTAGCGGCTGCACCCGCCGGCTTATTTGTCGTATTATTCGCTGTGCTTTTTCTCTTGCCGTTCTTATTCGCTGTGTCTTCGTCCGACGAGTCCTCCTCATCTTCTACATTGAACGTGGTCAGCTGCGCCTTCGCCCGTTGTTCTTCCTCCAAAACTGCTTTTTTCCGCACCGGCCTTCTGGTGTCGTAGACGATGTATTCCAGTTCTGGGTACGTGCACCGCGGCATTTTCTGCCACAAGGTGTCATCCACTAAGTGGACGCATTCGAGGATTCTTCCGTAGAGCTCCGGTTCTAGGTATTTCAGCTCCAGCTCGCACCGATACGCCACGTGCTTGTACTTCAAGTTCTGCTTTCGGTCCTTAATCTCCGCCGTGCTCCAGTTTTCGAACGCCTTGTCTATCCTTTTGATTTCCTCTCCCGTCATGAAGTTGCGGCACACGACAAACTTCCGGTGCCGCTTGTGCCCGTCCATCAGATCGAAGAACGTTTTCTTGTTGTCTTTGTTGTTCACAGACTGGACGGAAGCGGAGACTTTGGTCGCTCTTGTTGCATTATCGGCCGAAGAAGAAGATGCAGACGTGGAGGATGAGCTGAGAGCCATGTCGACGTCTGCCTTTTCTCCAACTTGAAGATGGCCGTTGACAGTCGCAGAAGACGCGGCTGGTGATCCACTACTTTGGTGCATAGCCGCACCGTTATTTCCGTTAGCAATTCCATTGCTCATTTGTTTACTGAATGCGCTCTGCCTCCCGACGGGCACATTTTTGTTGCTACCAGCACCTCCGAGAAACAAGTTGGTAAAGCTCGCCTCATTGTCTTCCCACTGGGACAAGTCCCAGTAGCACCGCCAGGGTCGGTCCTTCTGGTGAATTAATTTCGCCTTGCTGATCACCGTTTTGTCGAATTTTTCGTTCTCCCAGTCGGAGGCACTGGAGTCGGAGGCCCCGGAGGAACACGACGTTACCGTCAACGACGCTTCAGAATATTCGTCGTGCTGCTCCCGGACGGTGGTTCTTCTCCTCTTGTTCTTTTGCCCGTATTGCCGGCAGAACCGCGCGTTGGCTTCCAGAAATTTTTCCGTGGTGCGTGCGGGCAGAAAGTGGGGTCGCTTCTCGTCCGCTTGCACGATCGGCTCGGTCCCGTTCTTCACGGCGTACATGGGGTAAAACATCTGCTTCCGCTTCAGGTGGAATCGCCGGGAGAAAGTCGGCGGAGGTGCAGAGGGCTTCTTGCATTGGGAGGTGGTCGTGCTGCCGTCGCGCTCATCGTCCGCGTCGCGCATGTCCTGGTCGGCGACTGCGACTGGTGCGGATGTTGTTGCCATTCTTTATTGTGTTTTGTTCCTTGATTGCAAAGAAAAAAGTCAAAGAGAAAGAGAAACACAAGCTTGTCACGTGTTTATCTTTAAATTAATATTTTGTCGCTTCGATAGCTTCTGCTACGATTTATCTCAACTTTTTATCATGCGGGGGCCGCGTACTAGTGCATGGTGCGTCTCGGTGCTAATTGTCGCGTTCGCGAGGAAAAAACACACAGTTTTCAAGTAGACCTATTCTCTATAGGTTGAAGTTCGGGAAGAACAGATGCACAAATCAATGTAGATCTTCTTCACAATAAATCCGAATGACTAAATACGTATGGGAACTTGTCCCGCTGGCAGGACCTGGAAAAAGAAATTTGAAATGGAATTCCCTTTGGTTCTTGACCCCATGCAGAGCAGACCTTGCCGCGGTGAATATTCGATTTCCAGAGCAAATTTTCTTGAACAACAACAAGATCCAAAACGATCGCTTTGTGCATGTTGCTTTTCTTAGTTGCTTCCCCACGAAAGAACCTCCTGACGAAGATCACGATCTCGTTCTCGGTTTTTGGATCTTCGATGTCGATTCAGTGTCGCTTTGGCTTTATGTTCTCGTCACGGTGAGCATGAGATAAGCATATTAAGATTAGATGCGGATTCCGGACAAAAAAAATTCTTTCAAACCACAACGCAGGGAAAAAAAAGAGCCCACCAGAGGTGATTGCTTGATGCCGCATAGGCGCAAGAGAGTCCTCGCGAAGCAACTTGCTACCTTTTCTTTCCAGTGGTTGATCTTGATACAAAGGCATTTTATTCAATTTTACAATTCATCGACCGGAAATCTACAAGAGCCTGTTGAAGGGGCCCTTCATCTTCCGGTATTGTTCCAGCGAAACCTGTATTCTCAAGCGAAACGCAGTTCGACTATTCTTTCTTCAAGCGCAATCGCAAAAATAGAGCGCTCTAATTCATCATCTAAATCTGTTCTTTGCGATAAGTTGTTGAATTTCAAAACTTTGGTCAGTTGATTGTATCTGTTCGATTAATTTGGTCAGTTTGTAGTACAACTTACTCAACACTTTCGTCTTGCGATAAGTAATTGCTCAGCGATCCGATTTCCCTGCGTGCTGATGAGACTCAAACATTGAGTTCATCATGTTTCCGAGCGCGCGGCTTTCGTTTTAGTCTTCCGCCGACTTATTTGCCTCCTCCGCTGAGTTCTCCTCGCTCTCATCGGTGCCCTTTTTCTCGGCGTCGTCGCCGTCGGCCGGTGCCGCAGCCGGTTTTTCTTCCTCCACGGGCTGTTGCAACAACAGCCCCGCCCTCTCGTACGCGTCCACGCTTATACCTGATCGCGATCATGCATGACAAATCCGGCTGCGGCTCCCTACTTGAATCTGCATTACAACTTCCGTTTCTCAGTCTCTTCTAGAAGAAAAAAATTTATTTGTCATGCAATTTATACTTAGTACAAAGAGAACCAAACTACAACTAAATTGAAGTTGCTCCTACAACAATATTACCTCTTGATCTCAGCTCTCGGTGTTTCGTGATGGTGTGGAGCCTCCTTTCCAGATCCTCCGGCAAACTGCAGTGTCTTACGTCCAAGCTCAACAGCGTGCTGTTTTTGGACACGCATTGGACTAAAATTCCGAACGGGCTTTCCGGGTCGAGGTTGCTGACGTCGGTCTGAAGTGGTGAGAGGGTGCAGTTATGACAGAAATTCGATTGATAACGTCACAGTGGATAGAAGATTCGTTTCGATACATGAGTTCCAGCTGCATGAGTTATTGGCAAAAGTGGTAGGTTTCACTGCTGTAAAATCAGCGTTGTCTGCATACCAGTTCTTTCGTTTCCTCGCCCTCCTCTGTGTTCCAGAGTGTGTTTGCGGAAAGGTCGAGGTACTCCAGGGTCCCGTTTTCTGATATCATGCTGTATGCATTGCAAATATGTCTGGGTCTGGAATGCTGGAACTTGTAATGCTAGCTTTCCATACCTAGGAAATCTGTATGGCATAACCAACAAAAGTCCTCGCAGCATCTTTTGTACACAGAAGCATGCAGTTTCTCATGCGGATTGCCTATCATGAGAAAGCGTTCTGGAAAGTTGTCATGCTAGGTTGCATTCGGAACTGTTTCCAGACTCACATTGTAGCACCGGTTTCCAGACTCACATATATTTGCATTTGATATGCTGCTCAAATACGCCAAACACCTCCACGTTAAGTCGTTACTGCTTAGGTTAAGGTTGCGCAGTGTCTTGTTGATGCACAGATCCTGCAGCAAGTGGCAGACACCTGAGTTGTTTAGTGTATGAAGCATTGCGGAGCAAAGAAGATCGGGATCAACATGATGTTCAACAAATTTCAAAACTGTCACGCAGAGAACCATACCATTATCCTCGCATCTGTTCAGTCGCAAGTTCAACGTCTCCAGCGTGCTATTTTCGGCCAGGTGCGCTCCTAGGTGCATGCACCCATTCGCGTGGATGGCGTTGTCAGACAAGTCTAACGTCTGCAGGACGTACTGTCGGTGCAGCAACTTCGCAAGCCTCCTGGCCCCCCGGTCCCCGAGGTTGTTCCCCGACAGGTCTAAGTCGGTCAACATTAAACAGGTCTCGAGACCCTGCATCAAGATCTTCGCCAGCTCGTCGTCGATCATGTTGCAGGGCAGGGAAAGCTTCACCAAAGTCTGGCAGCAACGCACGTACCTGAAGAAGGCGAGGGGGGCAGCGCGGTAGTTTGGTTTATTGATGATAATGCAGTTTTTATGGTGTCAATTCATTGCACACTCACGTCACCTCCTGCACATTCATGGGCACAAAAGTGCTCGGTCACGTCGAAGGGAAGTGGCATTGTGAAAAAGTCGAAACAAAAAAAACTGGCCGAACTGTTCAATACCTGACCAGATACTGTGCGTCGACGATTTTCATCCCAAACAGCCCCCGTTCGTACTCCATGCCGAGGCGTTTTCTCCCGTACGTGATCTGGAGACTGCAGAGATTGGGCAACGGGTCCAAAATGAGCGCCAAGTCAAAGTGGCTCGGGTATTCGCGGATCTTCAAGCAAAAAATGTACTGCTTCACCGCCTGCACGATGCTCTTCAACTCGTCGAGTTCTGCGGCCTCGAAATCGAGCGGGAATTTCTCTATTATGAACCCGAGTTCGGTTTCGCAGAAAAACTGCTTCCACGACATACCTGCAATTTGCAATTTTAAAGAAGCTGGTCGTGCTAGTGCCTAAAAATGCCTCATAGTCGCAACAATTTTCCCAAGGCTGCATGATGGAATCGCATCTTCTCGTTCATTTTCTATAGAAAAATTGCAAGAACACGAAAGGCATGATAGAGTGTGACTGCGGTGTACCATGCTGATCCACGAGCCCGGTGTACTCGCCCTTGTCTCGCTGGAGTGTATCGCAAGAAAAAAGTGTTACAGTTACACATTGTGTTGCAGGAGCCGCAAAACAGACAACCTCTGTCATGCAGGAAATGCTTGCGAGCCTCGTTTTCTACGTATTTTCCCTTATGATCTTTGCATTACAAGTTTTGTCTGCCACAAAGAGAAAATTTGTGATGCAGAAACTCCAACACCAACAAATGTGTAACTGTAACATTGTTCTCATGTGATAGAGTGTTCTTCTCTTCCAGTAGTATTCGTCGTCTATCCATGTGGCGGCTATTCCTAAGGGTATGTATGACAGTGCACAACTCCCCCTCCCCCTCATTTGTATAGCATGAACGGCAATTATACAAGCAACAGCAAGAATGCTGGCTCTGCATGACAAACTTGAACTGGATTGTAGTGCTATTTGGGCTAGCAGAACTTGTCATGCAAACAGAGCCAATAAGCAAATGGTGGATTGGGTATTTTGCATGACAAATGAAGGGGAGGGGGAGTTGTGCACTGTCATAGTATGTCCGTGTCGAGTATTGCGTACACTTCCTCGAGCTGCTTTGCCCTGGTTAGTTCCCGCTGCAATACCTGTTGGTGCATCAAAGGGGAACAGAATGTTTTGGCGCAAAGATGCGCTGCATTTATCGAGGAAAGATAGCATTCACAAACTCAAGTGTGAAAAAACATGCGCAGTTTCATCTGTCAAACTTTAGAGCTACTACCGAAAACAACAAACTCATACCGCTGGGTCAAACCGTAAAAACCCCGTGCTGATCTTTCGGAGACACGTCTCGACGAGAGATGGCGGGTATCGTTTTACTTTTTCCATGGATGGAAAATTCAGCATTCGGCCCCCGGGCGCACCCATCGGGCCGGTTGAGGAGGAGGACGCCATTTTAGTACAACTGGCGGGTCGTCGGCCTCTACTGTGAGAGGAGAAACCACCTTTGTTCGTTGATTCGATTCCGACCGAACCTTATTGTTCACGGAACCAAATCCTGTTGTTCCATGAACCGCGAGGCCGGTCCCATTCTGATTCTTTGAAGATAGTTCGCTTTTTCACTTATTAAATTCCAGGCTTTCTCTGGTCCTTCTTGACCTTCTTTCAGCTACTGCTACATCATGTATTGCTTACAATCGATCATGTCACCACGATTGCGGGCAAAAATGTGAATGAAAATAGAAAGATGCGGAAGACGACATAACACCGCCGCACACACAACACAACGACCAATCGGAGAAGTTGTGTTGTATCGCTCATGGTGCGATGATGAAATACGAGGCACGACGAAGAAACACGAATTCGAAGATGCGAACTTTCATCACCGGAATCATCGAAGACAAGGACGATATCGAACGACATGGGAAGGAAACTCCACTCTTCCTCTAAAAATTCAACCACATGATCCCTCGCAGTCGCAGCATCCTCTCTTGTAATAGAGAACAAGCGAAGCCGACGACGTAATGCGGACCCTTGATGTGCTGGAGCAAATAAAACACAATGATCAAAAGCTGCATTTGGTGCTCGCTAGCACATAGAAGAAAACGTTAGACTAGCGACAGGGCCTCTTGCACGACCATCTTTCTTGCCGGAAGTCTTTGCTGACGATGTGTTCATCAGGTTGTACACAAATTCATTTGAGAAGAAACCTTTATTTGGTGACACGCGTCAGTCTTCGTGGTCCAAGATAGGGTTGATTGCTGCAATAGTAGGAGTCGTTTTTTCAAATTTTTTACTCCAGTAGAAACGCTTGACTCGGTAATGAGACTGGTTCGTGGTTCATCTGTTTCATGAGGCAGCTGCTGCTTTTTACCTCTTAACTGCTCCGTGAAAGGCGACGAAAGGCATTAAAATTTCAACTTTTTTACAACACTGCCCATGATCATTCCGAAGGTAGTCGCGAACCACCAGCGGGGGGGCGCGAAGGACACAGTAGTACTACTGCTGCTCGGAGGCTCGCCTTGTTGCAGTTTACTCGTCTTCCTCCGCCGCCTGCACCTAGTCCTTGGAACCACCAAACCGGAACTACAATTATGCCGGCGAAAAGGAAAGACTATTCCAACAATCCTTGCAGCTGCCTGTTGGTGAGGGTACAAGTGGTGGAATCAGGATGAAGACAGGAGACGAGCGCAGACCTCTTGAATCCTACAGGGAAAATAAGTCTATTTACAAGAACGTGGTAGAAGGTATACTTCAAACTTCTGGTGTATTGATTTGCAAGATGAATGCTTTCAAATTCTTCTTCGAATTTCTTCTTCTTGGTGTCAAGCAGTAATTTGAATTTTCCACACGAGATACTAGTAGTGCGACTTGTTTTAGTAGCATCTGATCTACTGCGGCGTCACGCCCGCGGGCTGCACTTTCCAGTCGATTTGCCGGTGCTTGAAGGCGATCAGGTGGGGAACCAGGGTCAGACAGGAGACGAGGATGAGGCGGGCGAGGGCCGAGAAATTTTCGAAACCGTCCGCACTTTCGGTGACGAACTCCAGGTAATCCCAGTTCACGATCATGTTGATGAGGATGACCAGCAGAATGGTCGTGTTAATCACCAGAGCCGGCAGCGGCGGCCCCTTCAACCCCGGAAGTCCGATGGGCGATTTCTCCGCGATCCGCATGAACCAGAGGAGGGAGACAATCAGGCCAAACATCGGGAAGACCTGATAAGGTGGGACAATCAAGAACATGGAAGTGGATGATATTATGCAAAAGATTCTACTAGTTTTACGAAGGGCGCACCTATCACAGACACAGACTGGGAGTTGAATCGCTTTTCATCGGAAACAAAAGGTGGTCAACTTACCGCCAGCTGCGGCGCCAACTTGAGCGCCAGTCCGAGGACCAGCAGCCCGGCGGCAAAGGCGATAAGCCCGACGATGAAGAGGGAGTGGGCCACCAGCCCGAAAGCCACCCCGAACTCCTCCGTGCCCGGCTTCAAGGCGGCGCTAATCGCCGGCAGTTTCGCGTTTTCCAGGGGCACCTCGCGACACTTGAGCTGGAAAACCAGTCCGATCAGCAGCACGCCGCAGCTCACAGGGAGCGTGGCGTCCAGAAGGCCCTCGGATTCTGGGTTGGTGGCCATGGTGTTGGTCGTCGATGGGAGGTCTTTCTTCCTTCGACGACGATTGTAGTGGTGCTTCCTACACGGGAGCAAAAATTCTCTCCACTGAAATAAGAGCTTTGGTGGGCCTGGGCATCAATGATTGATTGGTGCCAACATTAAACAGAGAAAGATGACTGCAGTTTTACTTATTCGTTGCCCGCGCTGGCGCCGATTATAACTGGGTAGTTGCATATATGGTATTAAGATGAATGCTTGTTGCATATAGTTTTTGCACGTTCGTAGCTCTTGGCGTCGAAATCGAAATCACTCTTTCAGTTTCAGTCGCGTTTTCGTTCTGATAAAGATGAGTCAACACACCGCGAAACTGCAACGCTTCCTCGTCACGCAAGGCGTCTCTCGCACTCTCTTCGAAGTCATGCGTGCATTCGCGTGGTTCATACTCACCCTTCTGCACTCATCCAGGTATCAAAGGAAGACGAAGACGAGTTCAGAGAACAGGATGAAAGCTACTTTATGCGGAACACGCTGCGCAGCTCCACCAGTCGCCATTGCCAGATCCAGAGACGAGAAACCCTATATCAATTTGAAATCCTCTCTTCGTCACAGTGCCTAACATTAGCCAGAAGGGTAGTACGAAATGTCGCAGCCCTATCGACGTCTCCACAGTTGTTGTGCCCAGTCCAAGCTCGCGGAAGTGTGGTGGTCAAAATCGTGGCTATTTGCATTTCTCACTTTTGCGTTGCCACCGCGCAAGTTTCCCCGTGCGGCTTGCGGCTCCGCGTCCGTATGTCTCCGGGCCCCATAATTTTGTATCTCTGTGTCGGGTTTTTCTCCGGACGAGGAAGTCGCTGCCCCCGCCGGCAAATGAACAGCACTGGTTATCCCGTCACCGCCTTCACCGAACCACGCGACCGCCCGACCTGCTTCGTGTGGGAGGTCTACTTCAAGAAAGGAAGATGAGAAAGAGTTCTCTCTACTCCGCTGCCCGTTGATCTGCACGTTCACGTTGGTGGTCACCGCGGATGCTGCCTGCGGCTGCGTCGCAGGCCGCGGAGCAGCGATGCCGCTAGTGGGAAAAAGGGCCGGAAGTTCAGGTTGCGGCGACACGGCTGGTCCTTGTGCTGGGAGCTGCGACTTATTTTCCGGATTGTCGTCCTTGTTGTACCAGGTTTTGTCCTTTGCGACCAGTGCAGCCGGCTCCGGGTCGTCGTCCGCGCGTGCGGCCGGCGAGGTTTTTTTCTTCTTGTCGTCCCGCTTTGCAGCTGCACCCCCGCCCCCGAGGTAAAATGCGGCTCCGGCAAGAAGACCTGTAGTCAGGAGGCCGCTTGCAGTGCTCCTCGGCGTGATTCCCAATTGCTCAAGGGTGGCTGGTTGCTCATACATTATGGGATGCCGGTGGTCGAAATCCGGTGGCTCCACTGGCTGCGGAGGATGGGGGTCTGGCGTTACCGGATCCTGAGCGGGCTGTGGAGGATGGGGGGCTGGCGTTACCGCATCCTGAGCGGGGCTAGGAACTGGCTGTGGAGGATGGGGGGCTGGCGTTGCCGGATGCTCCACCACGACCGGATGAGGCGTTGTGGTCACGACTTCATCAACTTCGTGCTCGGGAAACCGCAAATCGTGGTCCTGGTCGTCGCCCTGCAGTTGTGTCTTCACGTCCAGCCCCTCTCCGCCAAATGTGTCTTCCCAACTCGCCTGGCGCCAACAATTGTCGTCTCCCAGCCAGCGATCGTGGACACCGTGTTCGATCGGCGGCGGGTTCGGAAACGCCCCAGCACCGCCACCCCAATCGTAGCTGCAAAATCTTCCGTCCTCCCCGGCGAGGTGCTTGATGTCGTCCCAGGCGATGCGCTGCTTCTCCACGGCCGCCCGCGTTTCCGCGTCGTCCGGGTCCAACTGACCGCCCGGCCCGAGGTACCTCTCCGCCTCCTCCTGGTCCAGCGTGTCGCCCAGCTTGTCCGCGCCTTCGAGGTGGTATCTCTCCTCGATCAAGTGGATGAGGTTCTTCTCCTGCAAATTGTTCATGCCGGGAAACTTGTCGCCGTCCTGCGCAAAATACGCCTTCCACTTGGGGTCAATGTTGGCACCGCTGCCCGGCTGCAGCCACGCTTCCTCGCGGTCGTCTCCGGGCGCCAGCACCCGCGCCAGCCACTGGCTGTGCAGTTCGTGCAGGACCGTTGGGTCTTTGGGGTCGAGAGGATGCACGTCCGCCGCGGCATGGCGGGAATCCGCCAGGTACTTCGCAGCCTCCGCCCCGTCCAGATGCTGGCCGAGCGTGCCGGGCTTGAGCGCATTGTGTTTTTCGATCACGTCGATCAGCGCATGCTCTTCCGTGTCCGACATGCCCATCACGCCTTCTAAGGCCTGACCCCCAACGGTCTTTCCCGTACTGGCCCGCCCCGTCGTGGTTTCGGTACGGAAGTACTCGCGCCAGGGGTCCGCAACCGTTTCCATCCAGGAATCCGTCTTGGAAATGCCGCCCGTATCGTCATCCTCGTTGTCGTGGTACCCAGCACCCCAACTCGCTTCATCGAAGTTCAAACTGCTTGGGTCCACATGTTGTCCTGCATGCCCTTCATCTACAGCTGCGTTTGCCAAATTTTCATTGCCGTGATTCTGCCAGAAGTCGTTTGCGTTCTCAACCCCCTCTATTTTTTCCAGCTCCTCCCGGTTCGCCTCGAAAAAGTCCGTTTTTGCAGCTTGAATATTCTGCTTCAGCTCCTCCGCGTCGGTCGTTTGCCAAAACTGGTCGGGGATGCTGTTTCCGGTAAATGCCTCCTGATCCCCAAAGTCGCGATGCCAGGTGCGCTCCATCGCGTCCCGCAGCACCGCTTGGTACTGGGCGCTCAGTTCCGTTTCAGGGTTGAAAAGTTCGTCGGAGATGCGCCCGTATGCGTCGGAAATATGTCTGGGTCTGGGCCACTGGTGCAAGTACTTAGTCGCGCCAAGTCTGGATCCGATGCAAACATCTGTGTCGCACCATGGAGGTGTTTTTACCGAAATAAACTGTCCACTTTTACTGACCAGGCTGAGAGCAGCAGGGAGTTTCTGATGCAAAAGAGGCATGATAGGGTTAGAGATCTCTCATTTGTCATGCTCGGTCCTGCGTCAAAACTCCAGGGCTTGCACTTGGTCAACATGGAAAACCTGCATCACAAGTCTCCAACTCCTCCTGCAGACCCAGACATATATAGCATTTGATAGCCCCTTTGCGGCGGCACCGACCTGTTTCGCTGCGTGATCAAACAGCGTGTGGCGCTGGTAGCCGGCCCCACCCGCCTGGTTGCTGAGTTCCTTGCCGAAATTTGGCTCGTTTTCCGTGTCCGCGTCTACAAACTCGTGGTTGAACATGTCTTCGAGTGGGTCGGGCACGGGTCCAAGATTGCCGTCGTCTTGGAAAACGTCCGGAATTTTGAAATCCTCAAAGGCAAACCCTGGCCAGTGCAGGTAGTAAGGTAGATCCGGGTAGAGCTGGACCTTACTTGTTTTCTCCTGCTTTTCTTGGCGTTCTCATCTCTGCTTCTTTTCCAGAAAGACGCTTTGGAAGCGGTCCAGATTCGTCGTTTGCGTTTTTCTGGCAGTCCGCGCCTCAGCGCTTGTCGGTGTCGTGCCACGACCAGGAAGACCATTTTCAGCGGAGTGAGTTTGTTGCACAGCAGCAGCACTACGCTTCCCATCCACATAGATTTTGCTGAAGCTGGCCGTGGTTTTTCGATCTCCACTATTTTCGGAGGGATCAGTGTGGGTTGCGTTACTAACCAGCTCGGCGGCAGCTGCTGGGGCGATGAAAACCCGAAGCAGTCGCTGTCGCCATCTTCCCCACGTACCAGCATGCGCATCCCGAGAGCGGGTAGTATTGTTTACTCGTCCCTGCAACGCGACCATTCTTTATCGTTATGGCGCAACTTCTACAAGCCCAAGCGCAATGACAATCAGTTTAGGGCATTGAAAGCTCGTCGTTGGTTCAATTTGCGACTGTACCAGCTTGAGACCAGGAACTAGGTCTCGAAAATGACAATATGAGATGAAGCTGATGGAAATTTTTCACAAAAAGTGGGTTTCTTTCCAAGATGATTTTTTCCCACGATTTTCTCCAGACAAAGCCCTGATCTCCACAGCAGTGATTCTGTAAGGTCGTTACGTTGCCACGACGATATGAATATGGATCGATATAGACGAGTGCAAAACTGCTCCACTACTTAAGTATGCATATCCCTTTAAACGACGCGACAGGAGCGAAGCAAGACATTGACGTGAAGGACATAGAGAGTGCAAGCCACACACTGGAACTGCATTCGAAATAACGAGCGCCGCCACTATAGCCAAGGGCACGATTCGACAGTTACAAAAACCTCGACTCCGACCACAACAACGAATTAGAATCTCGCCGAGAAGGAATAGGAACTACGATCGAAACGGGATAAGTAGTGATCCCGTGTTTTTCCTATCCCCACGACTTCGATAATTTTAGCTCCTCGATGATTTCAGCTGAACTACTTTCATGATGTTGATGATGCCACACGGGTGCTAAAGACCCCATCTCTACAAGACCTACTCTTACCGGCTCTACTTCGCCGATCAGGCTTGAGAATCTGGAACGAGACCTTGCTCGGCGGCCTGCTGCTTCATCTTTCCCACACACGTTGGCAGCCTTGTTGACTTTACCTACCACTTCACCTCTCGTTGGAGTGGACACCGACGACCCTCGAGCTGACGTCGCAGCTACATTGGCGAGGGCGCCCCCAGGTCGTCGTGATGATACAGTAGTAGAAAAACCCGAACAATACGATTCACACAGGTCTAGTAATTCCCCCACTTTCTGACTGTCTTCTTGCCACTTACATCTTGACGGCTTCTTACTGTCGCCCTCAAAGTATTTTCCGCTTCTCTTCTCCCCACTGTCAACCGCCAAACGCACCGGGCCCCGCGCACAGTCTTCCGCCGCCGCCTGACTCCGGTCCAGGTCGAACCCGAGCCCCAGGCTGACTTTGCTGGTCGCAATCCCCGGGTGAACCGCGTTGCAGATGATTTTTTTGCCCTCGTTTGCGAATAAATCCGCAAAGCCGCGCGATTGCATTCGGTTCGCCTGTTTCGACGCTCGGTAGCTGCTGTCAACGTCGTACTCCCGTTTGCGGAATTCCGGGTCGGACACATCCAGTTCCCCCGCGTAGAAACTCTATCAAATGTAAAAATGTCTGGGTCTGGAAACTTGTGATGCTAACAGTGAACGAGAGTTCCACTGCAATACGGAGCCAAGCATGACAAATGTTTTGGGCTCCTATGTGTTACGTGTTCCGCATGGCAAACTGCGTGTTTGCATGAGAGAAAAGAGGACCGCTTCGTGCCCATGCATCACAGATTCTTGAGTCATGTCAGACACGCATGACAAATGTAGGAATCTTCCAGACCCAGACATTTTTGCATTTGATAAACTCGCCACGTTGACAATGCGACTTTCAACAGCTTCTCCGCTGGAACTACCGCTCGCGGTACTACTGCCGAGGAGCAGGTTCGGCTCAAAGGCCTTGATCATCCAGTGGTAGCCAAGGACATTTGTGGCAAACTGCAGGTCGATGTTCTCTTTCGTGAATTTTTGCTCCTCAGGCGTCACCGCTGCGTTGTTGATCAGAACGTGCAGAGGGCGGTCCTGCCACTTTTTCGCAAGGGTTAAAACGTCGGACTGCAAACTCACGTCGCAGAAGTCGATTTCGAACTGAACTTGTTTCCCACTTTTCGTGCTTTTATTTTCCCCGCCAGAACTAAACATTGCCGGGACCCGCTGCTGCAAATAGCTTTTGACCTCCTGTGCCCTCTGTTCGTTGCGGACCACGCCGACAATGGTCGCCGCGGAGGAGACTTTCGTGTAGTGCTCCAGAAGTTGGACTAGAATTTCCTTCCCGATGCGCCCGGACGCACCGGTGACCAAAATAGTCGGCTGCATGGTGACAGAAGACGACATGAAGTAAGTACTGCTTTCCAAAATTCTAGGGGGCACGCGTATGTGGTTGATCATAGACAAGTCGAGTTGTACAAGAAAGCTGAAACAAACCACCATGAAAACCGCTTACTGTGTGAAAACGGAAGCACAGGGACGACCGCAAAATGGAGAACAGTATCTATTGAAAAAAAATCGCCAGAACGCAGCCACTCCGCGCTGCTTGTGGCTCAGCTCCAGGCTGTACTTTATTTGCGTTTCGTCGTCGTGCGGAGTCGCTTGTAGAAGTTTACTCTGTAGCCCATTTGATGAAGCAAATCGTCGCGTCTCACTGTGTCGCGCACAAGGATGAACGTTGCTTCAACGACGCGGGCGGCGCGTTGCAAGCATAAACATCGCAGTGCGATTCAAACACAAAACTGCCCGGTATAGTCTTTTCCGGACGATTTGTTCTACTACTTAGGTCGCTTCAATCATATTTCCGCGTCGAAAAACAAGTCAAGGACTTGTTCCGACCGGTGGGAAAAGTTCACTTCCACCATGTCCCCGCCCGGTGAGAGCAGGAGCTCCACCTACAAGCGCCCGTTCTCTTCAACTATGGATGTGTCAGGATTGAAATCGACAAAGTTGAAATGATTTGTCATGCATAAAATGGATGCCAGTTGTAACCCAGCCTCCAAGTGGCGCATGACAAATTTGGGTAGAGCCGAAATCCAGTTTGTCATGCTGTTTGGGTGAGGAAGACGTCTTTTGTCATGCTACTTTAGCAACTCAGTTTCTACCCCTCAACAGGCTTACAATCTACCTTACTTACCTACTCTGCAAGACAGGCATTCTGTGGGTTGCATTTTATGCATCGCAAACTATTTCAACTTTGACGATTTCGATCCTGACGCTTCCATATCAACCATACACCGGATAAGCGTGCGCGCAGTCCACTTCTTTCGCCAGGGCGGCTGCTTTCGAGTAGTTGCACGCGCCGGTAATGAGGATGGTCTGCCCAATAACAAAAGTCGAGTCCACCTTCACCAACTCGATACCGAGCGCACTGGCGGCCGCGTGGGGATCTTTCCCAGGTACGCCGCACCGCAGGTAAAATCCCTTGGCCGGGAAGTCGGGTTCGAAGGGAGCCTCTGTTTGTGCTGTGTCTCCACCACTGCTCTTCAAAAGCGCGGGAGGGGTGGATTTGGAGACTATCATCTGTCCGGCTTTTACCACATCGTTCATCACCGAATTGGCGGTTGGGTATCTGGAATGATGTTAATGTTTTGCATCTCGATAGAAAACTGTAACTTTTCTCCACGACCATCAAAATTTCGAGTAGGAGTAACAGTAAGTACACATGAAAAAAAATCTACGTACAGGTTGATCGTGACGAAATTGTGGAGGTACTAGGACTAGGGGTGGAGCTTCCCCTTAGATAGCGAAGTAACAAACTACCTTCCCGCCCCCGGCCCGACAAAGACACTGTCGCCCATGTTCCGGGACGTGACTGTCACCAAGTTCGTCGGCCCCCGACACGACGCGATGGGGTGCGCGAACGGAACCAAGTGCGGCCACACGAAGCAGCTGACGCCGCCACTCCCCGTCTTTTTTGCGACGGCGAGGAGCTTGATGCTGGAGTTCAAAAGCGTTTTCGCGGCGTCAAAGTCTGTTTTCTCAATCGCGGAGATGCCCTTGCAAGGAATGGACGGGAGCGCGACCCCGAACGCGAGCTTGGCCAGAATGCCAATTTTGTCACGCGCATCGTACCCCTCCACGTCCGCGGTCGGGTCGGCTTCAGCATAGCCTGTAGTTATTATCCAGAACAACGAAAATATGTGAAAATTTCCATAAGCATCAGCAATCGCACCAGGAGTTCAGCTGCAGTATGCGCAAAAATGACCACCGTAACTAGGAAGGCGTAGCAGCTGCAAGCAAAAAATCGAACTCCCCACCAAAGTCTCATACCGAGTTCCTGCGCTTCTTTCAAAACAGGCGGGTAAGCTACTCCTTCCACCTCCATCTTTGACAAAATGAAGTTGGTCGTTCCGTTCATGATGCCCGATATCGCTTGGATTTCGTCCGAAACAAAATCGCTGGTGACCGTGTTGATAATCGGAATCCCGCCACACACCGCGGCTTCGAACCCGAAGAAGTTCTTGTACTGCGGAGTGCAGGAGAGATTGCTAATTTCGGCCAAATTTCCGTAAATCAGTGCCTTGTTTGCTGTGATAACCGACCCGGCCATTTTCGCGAAACCGTCGTAGACGATCTGTTTGGCGTCGGTACACCCGCCGATCAGCTCGATCAGTACGGTTTGTGGTCGGATGAAGGTTTGAAAGTCGGCGAGATTGGTTGTGAAAAGGGCGTTGAGCGCCTGGTCGGAAACGTCCATAGCGGAGGACAGAAATTTGTCGCTGCGGATCTGTATCATGTAAATGGTTACATTCGATATACATTCATATAGTTTGAAAAGATCGCGGGCTTGACTTATTTTTTTCTTCCGGTGTTAAACTTAATTGATTCTCTTTACGTCGAAATCAAAATCTCCGAAAAAAACACATCATGGTCATGCGCGGTATACGTTCTCGATGTGCTTCGCCGGACTGCGCACGAGGATTTTCTCGACTTTCAGCTGAAACCCGTACAAGGTCGCAAACTTCTTGTTGTTTCTCAGCATCAGCTCCAGCACGCCACACCCAACGGTTCCGAAGCCGGCCAGGGCCACGGGCAGAATTTGCAGGCCGCCAACAACATTCGCTGCCGTCACATCCACTGGCATTGCGGCTTCACCCATTTTCTCGTCTTGGATGTTCATTTCAGTGCAAGGTGAGAAGGGTGATGTGCTTCAAACAAAAGAAAAGCTCTGACTGCCTAATCGCAAAGGGACAAAGAACTTGGATTCGTTCAATTACTTAGTACTCACTCGTAGATACTGTAGATGGTCATGCGGGGCCGACGATAATGTAATACCAAAAGTCTTCCGTACAAACAAAGAACAGAAATGAAGTGGATCTTCTTTCGTTCATAACGGCCGTAGAGCGGTTGCGGGCAAGAAACCCTCTCTGGGAGGATCCATCATAGAATTTGACCACCATGATACCAAGAACAAAAAAATATGCGGAAAGAAGCAGGACCAAGAACTGTCTACGAATTTATGATCGTGAAATTTGATCTTCATCTTTTTCTTTCTTTCACATCAAACAGTGGACAGTATTTGCAAACTGACCCAACGTCCTGACAAGAAGCGCAACACACGATCGAAAAGAAGAAACGAAAAAAGTACACAGCGACAAAGATCGCAAAGTAACAGGTGCTTCAAAATGCTACAACCAGGCGATGGTACGAGGAGAAGCTCACAGCGCAACGGAGCACCACATTTGTGGCGTCGGCACTGCGTAGCTTCGATTCCGAAAGTGATTCTACTGCCGTACTTGACTCTGTCTTCTTTTGCGTTAATTTTGTTCGGGTTCTTACTTAACCGCGTGGAAAGTCATCCTCTGCACGACCACGACCGTTCAGCGACTGGCAGCCATGTCATCAACACCAAACGCAAGATGTTTTGTTCATGTTCGCTTTCCACCGTAGTATGAAATCAATTTCACTGCTCGAATCCAAGATTGGTTGTACACCATCTAGAAGTACGAAAGCAACTGGAACAACAACACCAGATTTCTTCACATGTACTGTGGTAGTTTGCTGAGCGCCACCGCGACCAGCACGGCAAGCAGCATGTGGAACAGGTTCAGGGACAAATCGCCCGACTTTGGGGCTTGCTTCTCCAGGGCCTCCTTTTCCCGTTGCAGCTCGAGTGTTTCTTCCTCCAGTTTCACCGTGTATTTGACCAGCTCGTCGTACTTCCTCTGGATGTTCTATAAGGGCGCACAACTCTCCTTCCCCCTCATTTGTGATGCAAAATCCCAAATACAGTTGGCGTCGTGTGGCACCCACTGTTTGCATTACAAATTCCGGAAGCCGAAACGGCACGACGTTCGGCGCGTCGTGAACTTGTCATGCACAGGCTCCACGTGTGTTGGTGGTTGTGATGCTGCTCATGACTGCATACAAATGCGGGGGAGGACGAGTTGTGCACGCTCATATGTTCCTCGCGTTGTCGTTCGACGCGGGCGCGTTTGGAGCGGCCGGTGACGGAGTGGCAGCACCCGGCTGCAATTGCTCCACGTTCAGCCGAAATTCCTGGATTTCACTCTTCGCCATGCTGGTCCATTGCTCCTTGGTGATGTTTTCCTCGCCCTCCGCCAGGACGGCCTGGACCATGAAGCGGTGTTGCGTGATCACGCTCAGGTCGTCGGTTTGCAACACTCTGTAGTCGTCGTATAAATGCAAATGCTTGAACAATGTCAATTATCACCAGCTGCTAGTTAGGAGAAACAACGAAAAACCCTTCTATGAGAAGGAAAACTTGAACTCCTGTAAAGGACGCGATGAAGTGAGAAAAGCAAACGATTATGGTAAGTACATTTTCACGGTAGCGGACCCTCCTGGTTTCAGCACGTCATTGCTCGGCCGTACGACGTAGCTTTTCGGCGCAGTTGTCTTTACTTTGTAGCAAACGTGCTTTCCGGACACATATGCATTGCAAAATTGTCGAACAAGCTAGGAAGTATGAATTGCATCACAAATTTTCACAGAACTGTCATGCTCATTTGGGTAAAGGATGAAATCTGTAATGCAGTGCTGCGATTACTACGAGTACGACAGTTTTGCAATGCATAAGACGTTGTTGATCAGCAACTTCTGGTCTTTCGCCGTCGTCGCAAATTGCAAGAGCCCTTGCGGAGAGATACTTACCAGCTCGGGAGGACCCGCCATTTTTTATTTTTTCTTTTGCTTGTAGCCTGTGCCTGTCGGATGAAGTAAAATTAGTCACGGACGTGCTGGTGCTGTAGATTCCGACTTCAGGATGATAGATTGGTTGTGTGTCCGGAAAGGTCAATAACATCGTCTAAGTTTTCGCCTTTTTCTTCGTGACAGTGCTGCAGAAAGAACGCCATAAACACTAGACTAGAAGACAGACCACACCAGTCAAATCAAGATCGAGGAAGAACCTGAGCGGCCGCGCCCTTCTACATCAGAGTGAACACCCTGAAAGAAATGCTCGTCATGAGAGACGTTTTCTTGTGTCCTCTTGCGTCTTGGTCTACTATCGGATATTGATAAATATTACGAAACAAATGGGAGCCCGTCCCCGGACCCCTTGTATGTTGAATCCGCAAAATGCTGTGGGTCGTGCTAATAATTCCTCAACTTTCTCGCGTTCGCTCTTTTTCTCTTGATAAGAATGACCGTCGCGCCCTTCGTTTTTTTTGAGAAGATTCAAAGGGGGCGCGGGGGTCCGAAAATCCAGGAATATTTATTAGTATCCGGATATTGATAAATATTACTAAACAAATGGGAGCCCGTCCCCGGACCCCTTGTTGAATCCGCAAAATGCTGTGGGTCGTGCTAATAATTCCTCAACTTTCTCGCGTTCGCTCTTTTTCTCTTGATAAGAATGACCGTCGCGCCCTTCGTTTTTTTTGAGAAGATTCAAAGGGGGCGCGGGGGTCCGAAAATCCAGGAATATTTATTAGTATCCGATCGTAAGAAAAGCTAACTTGAAATCAAAGAACATAAGCCTTTGCATTGGGTGGTGGTGGTCATCCAGGGTACGTTTTCAAATAAATCCACTTCCACACTCTCTTCTGGCTTCAGGTATTGCAGCCAAGACCGAAATTTTTGTACACTGAAAAGAGAATTCACTTTCTACATCGTCGTTAGAGCTAGATGTTGTTACACTTCATATCATACAATCAAGCGCAGGAGCACGACCATCATGTCCTGCTCAATTAATTTCGACAAAATGAAAATCCTCTAACCTCCGAGAAGCCATTTCCTTCCCACGCCTAGCAACCCCTCAGCTGACCCGCTTCCCGGCCGCCCAGACGCCACGGACCTGGCTCCCGTCTTTCCGCGTGTACAAACCGTCGCCGTCCTGTTTCCCGTCAGACCAGAAGCCTTCGTACCGCCGGCCGTCGGGCCACTGGAAGGTCCCGAACCCGTGCTGGCTGTCCAGAGGAAAGCCGTCCTCATCCCGTAGTGGTACTTGTGATGCAGATCTACTTACTTAGCGAAAATTTTTCTCATGCGCAGCCTCATGAGATGCATTTTCTGGTTGTGTTTTAGAATTTCTCATGCTTGAATCACGATAAGCAGTTGAGTCTGTGATGCTGCTGCACTACCTAAGCACGACGACTACACTCACTACTAATATCCCAAACTTGTTATGCACAACAGCCAAAAGTTGTAGATTTGTCTAGCTGATTTCCCATCTTGACTCCCGGATGGGGACGTTTTTGCTCAGGATACTTGCGGTCCTTCTCGTACTCCCCCGCGTAGGAACGTCCGTCGCCCCACCGGTAAATACCGACCCCGTGGATCAAACTGTCCTGCCATTCGCCGCGAAAATTCTTCTCGCTCGCGATGTAAAGACCTTGGCCCTGAAGAAAGGGTGCGGGTGATTTTGTCGCGGTGAAATCCAGAGAGTTGTATTGATTCCGATTGAATAACAAACAAGGAGGTAAGGCATGATTTTTATGCATCTTGTTTAACAAGTACTTAAGTACTTACCTGTAGCCTGTTCTTCTCCCAGTTGCCTTCGTAACTGCTTCCGTCGGGCCAGGTGTAGACCCCAGTGCCGGATTTTTCGCCAAAAGCGAATTCGCCCTCGTACCGACTGCCCTCCGGCCAGGTTTCAACGCCATAGCCGTGTTGTGCGTCCCGCCACCACTGCCCATAGTAGATGGTCTGTTCGTGAATGTAAACACCCAGACCCTCGCACCGGCTCTCCAGAAACTGCCCACAGTAGTGGTCGCCGTCGGCGTAATCGAGTTGACCTGGATGGGTTTGCTTTCATGCAGATGTTCATGTTTGTGTTTCCCCCAACAAAGCGAAAGCCAAACAAAACAAACAACACCGCCTCTCAACATGTGGTCTTGTAGCAAAAATAAGAACCAAAACGACTAAATACGTACAAAACGACAAACAAACTTTTCAACCATTGCCGTGCGCCTTATTGTCCCTCCATTCCCCGACGTATTTGGTCCCATCCGGCCAGCTCATCTGTCCCACACCGTGCCTCTCGCGCCCCTTCCACTGACCGTAATACACCGCCCCGGTGCGCTGAAATCGGAACTCGTGCGCACTGCTGGGTTCCGACGTGAGAGTTTGTAAGTCCGGGACTTCCTGCTCGAAGTACATGCACGCGAAACTCTTTTCTGACTCTTGCTGGTGGAACGTGCGACCTCCGAGGGAAAGAGCTGGGGCTCCGAGCTGGAAGGATGGCTTTATTCCCGCGGTGGTGAGGGTGGGGAACTGTTTTGGTTGGATAATGATAATGATAAAGCTCTCGTGTTATAGTCATGCAGTCCGCGCATTTGCGATTTCTAATCGTCGTCGTCATCCTCAACAAGGAGAAGGAAAAAAACTAAGTATGCATTAGCAAACTCGAGAATTATACCGCTCCCATAGCGGAGAAGGACTCGACCTCTTCCCGATTCGGATTGTTCGCGCGGGTTTAAGTATGGTAAAGAAAAGCGGGATCATCTTCGCCATGATCAGAATGTGATGCAGAAGCAGCAGCAAAGAAAAAGGCTTCTGCTGAGCACGTTTCTTTTATGCTGCGCATGCGCATCCACATCTTCATGCCTGAGCAATAACACAATCTGATTGTGGAGGAGATCGCGCGTTTCTAAATTTCCATACGGCATCGTCGCTTCCCCATACCCCATGTCCTCGCCGGTACAGCATTCTGACGCGGTGGACACACACGCGGAAAGAAACTCCATCTTTTTGTTTCCCAGCTGCTCTCACAAAAACGTCGTGCAAGAATCCCAGTTTCTAGAAACAGAATCGCGATTGAATAGAGGAAACCGCAACTATCACGTCATTTTTTTTTTTGCCTTCTTCGCCGATCCATGTACGTAGAACCATACAGTAAAAACGAGTGTGTACTTGCAGTACGAAGAGTACGAGCTAATATAAGGAAAGCAGCTGCAACTCTAGCAGATCATCATTGATCGATGGCGCACGGCTGCGTATCTTTGTTTCTACAAACGCGAAAAACGAGGACGCTGGAACTGAACTTCGGTTGATCGCAAGTTTCATACTCGCCTCCCGCCCTTGCCCAAACCCGACTGCAGACGACAAAAACCCAACTGACGATAGCGCAATTGCGACGCCTTGCTTAGCGATGTACTGATTTTCACGGCCTTCTTGCATCGAGAAACTTGCACCGTATTGATTTCGATCGCTGGATTACTTATCGAGGAACAACCAGCCTGAGACCAGAACCAAAAGTACGTAGAAGTACATCAAAAAATACGAATTCAAGATAAACGTGACTACCATCCACTGAGCACCAGCAGACTCTGACATGGTTCGTGCCTCAAGCAAAATTCGAGGGAAACAAAGGCAATCAATGCTCGCACATCTTCAATGCAGACTGTCTTCTCTGATGAAACTCTTTCCTTCACAGAAAGATTTGCTCTCACAGGGCTTCCAAAATCTCTACTCCGCGATGTTCCCCAAAAAGGCACGGGATTTTCTCGAGCATTTTGAAGAAATCGGCCTTCGTTTCAATGTGTGCAGCCGGGTAGTGATCCTCCACCTCCACCGGAATGGCCATAAAGGGCTCCGTGAAGTACTGCGGCGCTTGCAAATACATGCAGTTTCTCGCATTCAAGTCGACAACAATAGGGGTGACCAAAAAAGGACAGTCAAGGAAAATGACGCCGTCGCGGACGGTGGTCTGCGGAGAATCGCTTGAAGCTGCACATGTTGACGCGTTCAATTTCTGTGTCGCCGCGTGTAGGGGATTTTGCTGCTGACTTCTTCTACCGGAACTCTTATTCTTTGGCACTAAAAATGCCGGATCCAGACCCCACTCCTCGGCGTCACTAATTACGTACGCACTGCTCAGGCCCGCGTATTCGAGCGCCGCTTGGTACAGGGGGACGTAGTAGGAGCGGAAGTAGTTTCGGTAAGCCTCGAAAGTCGTCCCAATGAAGTGCGCCGGCACTTCGTAGGTTCGACCGCTTTTGTCCAGGTTTTTCATCTTCAAGACCCACACATGATGTTGAAAGTCATTTTCGCCGCTCCTAAGAATCATTCGTCGCAACTTCTGATGTCCCAGCCACGCCCCGGCGGACAGAACGCGCTCGACGAGTAAGTCGCCCTGTTTTCGAGGCAAACGGTGCCAGGAGAGGAGGACTTCCTCATCTTGGTCTTCTGCTTGTAGTTCATCGAAAGGGTTCTGATTATTTATATCCGGCGGTATATCGTCCTGCTCGGGGTAGTTTTTTCGTCGTGTTCTGTTTCTCTCAGTTCTTTTCCCGGAGGAAGAGGAAGATGATGTCGAGGAGCTGCTGTTGCAGGAGCTGTTCGCTGATTTAGTAGAGGATGATGTTGAACCATTCGTCCTAATAACAACGCTGCTTCTCCGCTCTAACAGCATCACTCGTTCCTTCTGCTGCAATGTCAAGCGCCGGGCTTCGGCCTCCCGGTCCGAGTCGTCTTGGTCGTCTGGCTCTGGAAATAAATTGCTGCCACAATGACTGTTCTTCATCTCCTGAGCAGGCTCATTCATCGTGCTCGGCTGCGTTGATTGCTGATCAAGGCTGCCGGGAGACATGGCCGATTCACGAGAAGTTACAGAAGCCGTGGTGCTCCTGCTCGCGTTGGAAAAGCGTGAAACATGAAGGTTTTGACAATGATCCTCTCCAGAAGATATCGCCTCTTGCGGTGTCATCGCGGTTGTACTGGGGTAGCACACTTTTTCTCGCTGTTGCTCCTCCCGTGGAGCATCCTCGTGCAGCCTGGAAGTTCTAGCAGATGAGCATGCAGCTGCTGCTTTGCTGTCTTGCTTTTGTATATATTTGTTTCCGAGATGTAGTTGAACCCGCTGTCTGCGCAACAGAAGTCCTCCCCTCCGAACTGCGGATTTTCCACTGCGGCACCTCCCTCAACAGGAAACTCCGGTACAGGTCCTCGATTCGCACCTTTTTCGAAATCCGGCACAGCTGCATGAATTGGTGCAGCCAGACCGCGTTGCCCCGGTCCCAGCACCGCTCATACGTGTACTGGGGAGGCGGGGCGCCGAGCGTGGAGAGACCAAATTGCCGCTCCAGCCGGTAGGGAAAGGAGACACAGGAGGTGGAGCGCGAACGGCGAATTTTGTTCTCGTTGACCACAGAACACTGAGCAGTTTTTGAAGATGAGCCTTTTCTATTTCTGGTCCTTTTTCTACTACCTGCAGATGGTGTTGAAACATGCTGCTCGTCGCCCTGGACAAAATCTTCACCTCCCGCTTCCTCACTTCCTTCGCTAGTAGCGCTAGCATCATCATCTTCAGCTGTCTTCTTCAAAACTAAGCAGCCGTCTTTGGAGCTTGTTTATCGTAAGGAAAAATCCCCCCTCCCCATATCGAAAACGTATCCGTCTGAAAATTTGTGATGCGCATTTGTGACCTCAAATCCTGTCTGTCTTGCAAGAAGGCAAGTCCAGAAAGCGTTCCGCATTTTGCAGGCGGTTTGTGATGCTGTTGGGCTTAGGGCATACACGTTTGTCATGCTAGGCGCCTACGTCAAAACCTCTCGACTGAGGCTTACCATATGCCTGCAGTCGTCTCTAGCAAGACAAATCTGATTTGTGTACGCAAATCCAGCATCAGAAACGTCGTTTTGATATGGGGAGGGGGGATTTTTCCTTTTGATATTGTTACCTCAAACCCCTCTTCCGCAAACCGGTTCACCCCGTACCCGCGTTATGACAGTGCACAACTCCCCCTTGCCCTCATTTGGCATGCAAAATACCTAAAAATCCACCCTTTGCCTGTTGGCACTGTTTGCATGACAAGTTCTGGTAGCCCAAATAGCACTACGCTCCAGTGCAAATTTGTCATGCAAAACCGGCACTTCTCTTGCTGGTGCTTGTATTTTTGCCGTTCATGCTATACTTACAAATGAGGGGGAGGGGCAGTTGTGCGCTCTCATACGCGTCCTGCCGCGTGCCGGAGGGCGTCCAGACTCGACATCGTCCCGTGTCGCTTGCGGAAAGCCCACGAGAGCCGGCTCTTCGCCATGTACCGGCAGAAGACGATTGCGTTTTTGGCCTCATCTTCTATTATCTCTTCGTCGATCCGCCAAGCCTGGTCCCTGCAGCCGGGGAAAACCACAAGATTGGCCAGATTGGATTTCTTCCTCCGCGCCGCCATGGCAGCGCCCCGTTTTCCGTAGGCGGTCACGGCTTTCACTTCGAAAAGCTTGTGGTGGTCTTTATTCCCTTTGTTCTTCCACGACCCCCCAACCACTAAATTCTGGTTGCTCCGCCGCTGAATGGCATCGACGAAGCCCTTTCGAAACACTTCGGTCTCCGGGAGGGGGAACAGAAACCGCACGGAGTGCTCCACGCCGAACGAACAACTCTCGACTAACGCGACCATGTCCTCGGCTTGCTTTTGGGCAAGAAGCGGCGGCACATCTTCGCTATGTGCGCCACACTGGCAGGGCTCGATAAACCCGAAGTTGCGAGGCATCGCGGTTAGTTGCAGGCACCGAGATGGTGTCGCTTTGGTGCTTGTCGACGTCATCGTCGGGTTAGAAGTTGCAGAAGTATTTCTAGAGAACAAGCTACACGTCGCATTCGTTGAAGACCGACCCGCACTTGTTGTTGTTTCACAATCACTGCAAAGAGTTTGTTGCTCCTCCTCTTGTTGTTGTTTACGTTTCTCTGCATGATTGGCCAGCTCCGTAGTCCTGTTTGCTTTTTTGGCATTGGTTGCTGATGCTGCTGCACAAGATGCTGCTGCAGCTAGACCTAGATCGACAGAAGTTATTATTTCGTCACCGCATGCTGCTGGTTTCGACGCTTCATGAAGATCGTCGTCCTTTTGGCCGTCCAGTGATCCTGGTGATGCTCCGGACCACCACCGATCAGCGTCGCAACTTTGCTGGCGATGGTAGTTGCCTCCACGACCAGGCTCTGGCTTTTCATCCCCAGACACCGCTCCGCCTGCGAAATCAGCGTCGTCGCAAGGAAAATCATCGGGCGCGCTGCTGCACGGAAGACTGTCAAACTCTGACGAGGTTACCACATGATTATCGGGGTCGTCGTAATAGCATCTCTGCTGCCGGTTAGAAGGTCTAGGTTCAGCATAATTGCAATTCTCGCCGGCGGCTCCTCGACTTATGCTATTTTTTGCAGAAACTTTTGAGGCGTCTGCGGAGTTCGAGGTCTGCATCTGCTGTGCGTGGTCGACACGGACGACATGTTGATCCTGAAATGAGTAGATCTTGACACGATTTTTCGGTATCCCCAGCTGAATAGCCTGTACGCGGCAAAGCTGTGGGAACACGCGCAGTAGCAGCGCAGCGAAGTCGGCAGACACCGGGCTTGGCAGGTGCCGCACTAGCACGTCCGTGTAAGAACCCTTCGACTGGCCCGAGGAGGACGTGTGTTGAGCACAATTCTTGTTCGACGCACGGGGTTTTTTTGACGAGAAGGAGCTCGAAGTCGTAGTAGTTGTGGACTTAGACGCTGTACTAGTCCGGGGCGCAGGCTCAAAGTGTCGTCGTGGTCCCCAAGAGTCGTTACCGTTACCGCGAGCAGCATCATCGTGTCGTACTAAGACTGATGGCGCACTCGTCCCTTTGCTCTTATTTCCCTCGCTTTTCGACGCACCGCTTGGATTCTCAATTTTCGCTCCTTGTTTAGTACAACGACCTCGCTTGTTTTCTTTTGCTTTTGCTTCGTAGAAGGAGGTGCCCGAAGTTGTCGTTGTCCTCTGCTCGTGATTGCTAATATAGTACCAATCTTCTTCCTGCACGCATTCGGCGTCCCAGCTCTGCCCTCCTTTCTGTGCGCCGGCGCGGACCTCTGCTGTTCTTTTTGCAGATGATCCCTTCGTGCTGTCCTTGTTGGCGGGTGCTGGTGGTCGCGAGTCTCCTCTTCCTGCGGCGCAGTCCAGCATGCTGAGATTTGCTCTACCATGAGACTTGACGAGAAGGAAAATGTAACTACATGCACCCTCTTCCTCGCTGTCTTAGTGTTTGTTGTAGTTCAGCTTCTTTGGAGTCGGAAAATTAATAGAAAGAAAGAGAAAACAAGAAGAACTAGTAGGTACATACGACTGAAAGAACAAACTGAAACTGCACGTGGAGGTTCTTGCCCTTGCACATTCAAAATCAAATTCATCAACATAAAGGAATACAAGAGGAACTTCATGGTCTTCTACATGAGAACATCTACGAGAATATCGTGGGTGTGTGGTGCTGCTGCTGCTGGTGCCACGCTCTCAGAATTCAGGTTGATCCTCACCATCGCAATCTTTTTCTAACCGTCGATGATCCGATGCAACACTTCGCCTGCTAAATTTCACACTTCTATTGAGATCCAGAGCTTCCAACTATCGGAAATCAATCAAGAAAGTTCGCTAACCCTCCGGAATAGCAGTGAAGAGCCTCTCTTTATTATTACGCTTTACACTCAGGGAAGAAAAGAAAAAGATCGTGGTAATTTTCATGAATATGTGCTTATATCGATCGATCAAAGAGGCAGAAATGGACTGGTATCTTCCTCTGAGCTCTACTGACTCTGCATAGTGAACCGGTTCTTGTCGTGGAGGTGAACAACCTTTTTGCAGTCAGGCAAGGCGATACAGCCTATATTAGAGTTTCCTTCGTCTGAATAAATGAGCCGAAGATAACATATGAAAAACATTCAAATGAATGTGTTTGCGCTTATTTGTTTGCAGCTATGAGTGTCAAGTGGAAGCGCGAAATCCAAATCTTCGGGGGGTAGAAATAAACACAAACAGGGTCTTAATATGAGTGAAACCAATCAGCTCCCTTGTTGACCCTGAAAATAAAGGAGAACCTACGGTTTTCAAGATGGTAGGGCGGGAAAAAAACTGATGCGTTGCTGGTGTTTTGAACAGCAGCTGCATCCTGGAAGATTTTTCACCTGGAGCCACTGCTTATCCTCATTCATTGTCATTCGTAATTGAGAAATCAAGAATAAAAGACTCTGAGTCCGAGCGGAACAAGTGATGGAGTGGAAATAATAAGTCGCTGTCAATTTTTCAACCGAAGAGAAATTCAAATTGTCCTGAGATACCCATAACTGAGGAATTCGATTTCGTAGAAGTCAAAGCCGGTCTGGAGAAAAAAGTTTCTCAAAAGAGGTTCTCAACATGCTAGCGTCGAGCCTCACTAACTTTTGCTCGAGATGAAAAAGATTCGATTGATAATAGAAAGGTTCTACATTGGGAGTAAAGCGTATAGATTTTGTCAAGCGTTTGGTGGTCGTGCTCAAAGAATTTCAACGTCGTGTGGTCGGTCGTACACAAGCCCATGCTCTAGAATGCTTGAATTGCAAGCGTCATTATTTGTAAGTTATTTCGTTTATTTCAATTCATTCATATTTATCGTAGCAGCAAGATACTGCTATTGATAAAATTTTAAGCCATAGCTTGAGTCCTTTTCTGAAAACCCTAAACCCCGTTATTATATCCGTGTCGGTCGGTCGCAAAATAAAACGAGAGAATGTTACGCGTCGGAGGAGGGACAGGGTGCAGGCTCACTATAAACCACTTCCCCCCGGTGTTCGCGGATAAGCGAGGGCACGCCAAACAGGACGTCGGGAAACTTGTGCACCGCCGGGTCCGACGGGGTAAGGCTCTCAATAGCCCCGGGGAAGGTGACCCAGGGTTTGGAATGGTGCTGCGGCGCTTGCAGGTACACTGCGGGTGAGGGTGTCGACGTACTAGCAGCTGACGGTTCTTGTTCTCCGAGAGAACTCTCCGAGGTGGATGATCGAAGGGGGCCGCTGCCGCTCTCCATGTCTGCAAATACGGGCACGCATCACCAGGAACGGGCAGTCCAGAATAATCACGCCGGGGCGGAGCATTTTCTTCCTCGCAGCACGCGGAGAAGAAGTTCTTGGGGTTCTCGTTGTAGTAGTCCTCCCTGCTGTACTACTCCTAACGCTAGCTTTTCCTTCGGCTTTGGCTCCATTTTTTATCACGTCGTTGGTCGTGGTACTAGAAGCACGACAAAACTCGCATGCGCTGCAAGAATTGCAGGACGAGTGGGAGTGGTTCTCCTGATCAGGACGATGATCTGGTTCTGCGCCGGAAGATTTCTTTTCACATTGCGTCGTCTTCTCCTGAGATCGCGCTGCATAATGTTGGCTAGGAGCTGTTGCATTCTTATCGCACATAAAGTTCCTCTCTATGTCATTCGCAGCTGCAACGTCGGTGGACGTCGACCAGGACGAGCCCCTTACGACAGTACGGCCATGAAGCACTTCTCGCATATCCTCGTCGACCAGAAAGCGCGGATCTATCCCGTACTCGTCGACGTGATGGATCATGTGTGCGGTACTGAGCCCTGCATACCTTAACGCGGCGCGAAATGTGGGCAGGATAAAGGAATCGAGATATTGGTAGTACTGCTCCAGTGTGTTGCCCACGTAACGCAACGGCACCTCGTACACGCGCCCGGTGGCGTCCAGGTTCGGAACCTGGCTGATGTACTGGTTCTCCGAGCCGGCGTTGCGCTGCGCGATCAGTTTCTGTTGTACAAGCCACGCCCCGGCTGTCCAGACCTTTTCCATCAGCAGCTCGGCCTCGTGACCGGGAAGCGCGTTCCAGCACAGGGAATATTCTCGCTCCTCGGCGGGCCGTTATCCTGAGTAAAAACGTCCCCACACCAGAGTTGTCATGCAGATTTGCAATAGCAGGAACATTTGTGATGCGCATCCCCATGATAGGCATTCCCGGTCGTGTTTTGGAATTTGTAATGCTGTAAACAGGATAAGCAGATGGATTTTCAATGCAGCTGTCCTTCTCCTTGCCAACAGGCACTACACTACGAACTGCAAATTGTCATGCGTGACTCCCAAAACTTCTAGGTTTGTGTTGCGAAATCCCAATCTTGACTCTGGTGTGGGGACGTTTTTCCTCAGGATAGCCGTTTCATGTGCTTCACCTTCGGGGGCGGGGGGGGTTTTTTCCTGCTCGTAGTTGATTTAGTCGACACCCGTTCTTGTTGTTCTAGTTTTACACTACTCTGCTCCACCGTGAACTGCGGGCCACTGGCAGTGGTTTTTGCAACCACTTCAAATTTGTTCATCGGTCCTGTCGCCTTACTTCCGTCTGCTGTCCCAGCCTCAGCACCCATGCAGCTGCTCCGAGGATTGGCAGCATGATATTTCTTGTCGTTCTTCACATGATGCGAAGAACTGCAGTGGTCCCCAAGCTTGGTCAACACGCTTTTTGTGCGGTCGTTCAAGTAGGTCCGAATTTTCGCGTCAGCGTCTTCGTCTTCTTCTATGCTAGTATTCTTCTTTTTGTGATCATCATGTCCACCAGCACCTAGATGAAGTGCAACGTCACGACTGTGCTCCCCTGTACTGTGTCTTTCCTCGTCCCATTATCAAATGTAAACATGTCTGGGTCTGGAAGAATGCATGTTTGTCATGCTTGTCTGGCATGAGTCTTAAATCTGTCATGCAAGTTACCAAAAGCTCCATTTTTCTGTGATGCAGAAACGCAGTTTGTCATGCACAATAGGCAACACCTAGAAGCTCAGAAACTTGTGATGCTAAGCCAGCATTTCTGGCCTCATCATGAGACGCCACCCAGCATCACAAGTTTCCAGACCCAAACATTTTTACATCTGATACCCATGGCGGTTGTACTAGTGTGCTGTTCGTTTCCATGAGCCCCGATCCAGGTGCTGCGGCATGGCCGGTCATTTCAACAACATCTTCGTCGACGAACGTCAAACTATCGCTGGACGAACGGGCAGTGGTGCTCTCACTGGCGTCGAACTCGTCTGCTCCCAGGGAAGAAGATGCATAGGAACTACCAGGATAATTCGAATCCCTTGTGGTCTTCCGTTGTGTTAAAGCCCGAAGGCCAACATCCTCTCGTCTACCATTCTTGTTCATTTGCGCTTCCGGTTCCAAATAAGCGCTTGTCGTCCTTCGCTTCGGTTCTTGATCTGTAAGCGCCAACATCCTGTAGCGCCACTGCGGGAAGCGTTTTTGGACAAAGTTTTTGTACAACTCCTCATACGTAACCTCCTCGTGCGTCCTTATCAGTTGCAAAAGCTGGGCCAGCCAGATCGCGTGTCCCCGGTCCCAGGTCGTTTCGTACCCGAAGTGCGGCGGCGGGTCGCACAGCCCGCTGGACAGGGAAGTAAAGAACCCCTGCATCTTATGTCGCACCGTCACACAGCTTGTCGACCGGCTTCTACGCTTGTTTTGGTGCTTCATTATGGTGCTCACGCCCTGCTGCTGCTTATGCTGATCATGTGTACTGCCCTTACAATTTTCCTTTTCGCCTCGTGTAGTAGCCCGTGGCATTGTTTCTCCATTTGCACCATCAAGTGCTCCTTCCGCGCAGGTCGTAAAGGAGTTCTTCTTGTTCTGATTCTCCCTCTCCGCCTCCCGCTCCCTCGCCAGACTCCTACTGACGTCCGAGAATTCCGCCAGGCCCGGGTAGCCCTTTACCACGACGCGGCCATCCTTGGAGGTTGTCACTTCGGCGTCCGGGTGGGACCAAAACAGGTTCCGGTGCCCGCTGCGGGCCGACTTTTTGAAGGCGTGCATACTCGACATGGGGCCTTGACGCGCACGGAATTGCCACTTCACCCGATTCTCGATGAAGTAGTGACAAATCACAGAGGTTGTTGAGTGCGGTGGTGGGGGGGTAGAAGTAGTGCCTTTTTCTACTTCTTCCACCGAAAGCAGTGGGCTGCAAGAATCTTCCTTTGAAACCGCACCGAGCCGCCATTGCTGCTCGAGCTGCAGCGTCGAAACCATGAAAAACGATGAATCTAATGCGGAAGGACAGTTCGCCGACGAACAAAAAGTCGTATTAGCCTCTTTTGTGCCCGGCGCGACCGGCTCACTTGAAGACGATGTTGAGATGCCGTTGCGCGAATTATTGGCCTTGTTGTCCTGCCCCGTGATCGTGGTCATCGCACTCTGTCGCTTCAACTCCTCGAGCTCCTTTATCCGGCGGTCCCGGAAAAGCTGCGCATCACGGCGTTTGGTAAACCAAAGAATGTCAGCAACCACAAAACTCGTCTCGTCTAGCCACCTCCCGCGGAGCAGCACATGGCACCGAACACCTTCCCGCATCGTTTCAACGAAATCAGCCAGCTGTGGGTGATCTCGCCGCACATAATGACGGTCACCTTGATCATCTTCTTTATCTTCTTCGTGATGAAGATGTGTAGCTGCTTGCTGAAGTTCTTGTCTACTTTGTCGCACAACTGGTGGAAAGAGAAATTTCACGAAGTGCTCTGTCGCGAAGGAGCAGGTCCGCGAGAGTGCCACAAAGTCCTCCAACATCTGCTCCAACTTGACCCTCGGCAGCGGCGGCTGGTTCTTGTGCAGCTCGCACTCGCAGCATTGAACGAAGCCGCAGTGCTGGGTCCCGGGAAGGACGACCAGCTGCAGGCAGCGCCTGGGATCGCAGGAGCAGGAACTTGTTTTTACTTTATTATTATTGCACGCAGTTGTGCCAGTCGTGGATGCTAGGCAGGTGGAAGTTGTATCGCTAGCAGGAACCTCAGCACTACACGAAGTTGTTCTAGAACAGGTGGTCGAAGCCGTAGAAGGACCACGCGGCGCTCGCCTTCCCCTCCCGCCGCCTGCGGCAGCATCTGCGTGTTGAGTTTTCTTCTCTTCCGCGGCTCCCGCGCGCGTGTCTACTCTCGCCGAAGACGCCGGTGGCGCGGCTCCATGGTGCTTGTCGTCCACCGTCGGAGCACTTTTTAGAAGATGTAGCGTATTTTGTTGCTGATTTTTCTTGCTTCTCGTCGTTTCTAATTTTTTCATCTTTCGCTCTTTCGAGCCAGTCGCGTCAATGTAGTTTTTGTTTTGCCCCAACTGATGATCTACTGCTGCTTCCACCTTTGGAAAAGATTTTTCAACGACCCCATTTTCGTTGCACTTCTGCGTGGCGGGTCCGTCGACGTTCTCACGACCTAAAGAACACTGGTCCAATATCTCCTTCGCTTCGTCAAATGCGCTGATCACTTTCGGCTTTTTTCGATTTCCTTTCGCGATAACCACCCGGCACAGGTGCGGGAAAACCTGCAGCAGCATCCGCGCGAAGTCATCTCGCATGGGGCCCGGCAGGTGCCGCGCAATCACATCCACATGTCCTCTGCGGGCAACTACGGGGTCGCTCTTCGTTTTTCTTTTTTCACCGCCCTGATGTAGTTTTTCTTGCGCAAGTGGAGGAGGCACTGTAGTGGGAATATTAGTTCCTCTGCAACTAGAAGAGGGACAGGGAACAGCGCCAACATCCTTCGCTCCTGCTTGTGCTTGATGAACGGGAGCCGTTCTACTGCAAGGGGGCCCCGAAGGGGCAGTCATAGTTGTAATCGGTGACGATGTTCTCGCGGTTTCAAGACAAGAAGATGAAACTACTGCAGATCGTGTGTCTACTGCATCGAGTGAGGTAGGAGCGCCTTGGCCTTCCCGTTGTGCTTCTTTGCAATTGACTTGCGGACCGGGAGCTTTCTGGATCTGGCCTTCGCCTGCCTGATACAGCAAAGCGCATCCTCTTCCAGCAGGACCGCCCGTCGCAGGCGAAGCAGCAGGTGTGCTGGTGCTTATTCGCGCCGTTGTTTCATTCTTTCCAGAATGCTTGTGCTTCATATTCATTCTATACGAATTACAGTGCCGGGCGTGGGAGGGGCAATAGAAAAAGAGTAAAACGAATTCAAAAAGAATCGTCGTATCAATTACATAGGTAAAAGTTGTAAGAACTTCTGTTCAATAAAATGCGCAGAAGTAGATTTATGACTAAAAGGTGTCATTGTCATGTGTATTACACTTTTGTGGTCGTCTGTTGTAGTTTTCCGCAGTAGATGAAGTCGCGTCCTAGAAGGATCGCCTTCATCTCGTGCCGATCATTGTCAGTGGTCATCTTCGCGCGGACAGGGCCTTTCTTGGTTTATTTTTCCGCGTCGATAGGGACAGGGTGCATGTCGTACTCGAATGGTGCGTGGTGCCTAAGGCAAGCAAAAAGTCAATAATGCGTCAGAGGAATTATCGGGAAGGTTACGAATGGTTTTAAAAACCATTTTTCTACGATGTTTGGGAATGTTCTTTTTTTTTCGCGCTGGGATAAGAGAAGGTAGTAGCAGTGCTTTCGATAACAATAGAATTCAACTTTTATTCAAGGACAAACCGCAACCTGCGTGCGGCGTGACTGACAAAACCAACAAATCTAATCCTCGAGGATGATAAAGTTGTAAATAGTAATCGGCCCATGCAAAAATGTGCAGGATATGCCATGCAACACAGCTTGAGTGGTGATGTCTAAACGCCAAAATTTACGGTAACCATGTGGTCATGTTTTGTAAGGTCGTCGTGGTCGTGCTGCCGCTGTCGCATCTTCATGATGCTAAACTACAACGAATGCTTTCTACTGTCGCATAGGTCGCTACGATGGATTGCCATTGTCGTTATTAATCATGCATATTACTACACAGGAGAAACAAGAATTGAAAGAGCTCCTCGTCTACAAGTCATGACGCAGGTAACATCGTAGAACTCTTTCGGATTCAAAATCATCGCGCTTCATCAGTTCCAGTTCTTAGTTCTTGTACAGTGGGAATCAAAAAAAAAGATAGATCTGCATCGCAAGTTGACCGCACCCTTAGGTAAAACGCATTGCTTGGCTAAAAGTTTCCTACTTGTTATCGCTCACCTTTTGGATCTTCTTCGTGCTTCAAAAAAAAAAACCGCTTGGCACGAGCGCAAAGGGAAATAGATCTCGATGTTTGTATTCACTCAACTGAGAAGAAAGATAAAGAACGTCACAAGCTTGTTCACTGTGGCAGGAACGGACGAGAAGACATACAGAACTACTAGAACACCATAGGGATACTAGGAATAATTCGGCTGAAGCCAGCTAGGAATTGCGCAAGCGTTCATCTTCCCGCATCTTTGTCTGAGGATATTATGATATAACTCGGATTTCAATAGCCGGCGCCAATAATCGTCTGTCCAAGTAAAAAATCAAAATGCAGTTCCGTTATTTCTCTAGAAAAACGGGTTTCCAGAATCTACCACAATTCCACTTCCCGGCACGGAAACCGGCGCCGTTATATCGGGCTGCCCGAGCGCGTTTATCGGCGACTCGTAGACAAAATCCGCCCCGACCATCCCTCGCGTGAACGACTCGGGCCGTTTGGCGAGTTCCAGCCGCGGGGCGGCCGACAAATTCGCGGGCTGAGCGAGGAAAGGTGTGGCGGTGTTAGTACTGTGGCTAGTACTACCCGCCCCTGGTTGCGTCAGCTTCAGCGCCGCCACGTCCTGTACCGTTTTCCAAAACCCGTTCCACTTGGCCTGACTCCCCAGATCGTGAGCGGACGGGATAATTTCCCGGGCCGTGTTCTTCGAGCGAGACATTGTGCTGCTGCTGGCGCCGCCGGTCGGGATGGGGATGACAAAAGGCAGGACCGGGTAATTGTTCACCACCTGTCGGCGCACGTTCTCGTCGATCTGCTCTCCCTCCTGCATTTCCTTGGGCTCATCTTCTTCCGTTTTTGCAGCTTCGCCACCTTCTGCGAAAGCTGTGCTGGTGCCGTTGGAGTTCGAGTTGGACGATGGTGCGTTGGACAAGTCATTATCAAAATTCTCTGCAAAAGATGTTCTTGGGACTGCTCGAAAAAGGCACTGGCGCGGGGGCCCGCTCTGTCGCAAAATCCACTGGCGCTGCAACTCCTGATCATAGTAGCCGTTGTGTGCTGGTGCTAGGCTTCTGAAGATTCTCGTTGAAGACGAAACGGAATCAGGGCTGGAGGAAACAGGTGCGGAGAGCGACGCAGCTGCTTCGCCAATCACGATTGTTCCACGAGCCATTTTTTGTTGATGTTCTGCTTCTTCTTTGCAAATATTCAACCTGCGTAAATGTTTCTACAAATAGAAATGAGGACAACTCGACGAGGACAAACAGGTGGGCGGAAAACAATTGCAAATCAAAATTGTTTTTGTTGTCCGTGAGGACTCCTAGACTCCATAAAAGAATGATTTGGTGACTAATCCGAAGATTTGATACTCGTCTGTGCCTCCCAAATGCAACTGCGATCCCAAGAGGAAGACGATGAACGAAGGTACCTAGTAGAGATAGCGACTCACACGACTTTCATTCATTTTCCGAGTCAAGAGGCCGAAAACGATGGTGACGACCGCAACGAGTTAAGCGAAATAAAACCGACGGCGACAATCACAATGACAATCCGTAAACGAAGTTAAGCGAAAACAACATCATGCACGCACGATTTTTCAGCGAGGAAAAACGTATCGCGTCCTACCAGCAGGCACTTCCAAAAAAGTGAATGTGCAGAGTTTCGAGATCATCCCCCTTTCAATGCAGCAGCGCGGTGAAGCGCCTTACCTTCTGGTCGGGCGCTACTTCTGCCAACAGCTATCGGCGACGACACGCGCGGTCGCGCTGATGCCGCTCTTGTTTATCTTCTCACGAAGTTTGTGTTGCTGGATCAAAAGGCAATACAGTTGTTTCAGGACGTGCACAAGCACAAGAAAGAGACCGCTGTTCGCAAAGCTAGATACATTTAAAAGGAGTTGCATAAGCATACGAAAAAATACAAAGCTTCTTTTTGTTGAAAAACTCCGGGCATTATCTTCAATGAGTCATCGATCTGTAGGTACGGAAACAAAGCGACCAGTAACTACAACTTATGTCAAACATCAAAAGATAAACAAATTATTTGTCCATACTGCTATGGTCGAAGAGATTTCAAAACAAGCTTCTGCATCTGCTTGCTTTCAACAATAAGACAAGACATTCCTACTTTTTCTCAAATTCTTAAAACTTAAAGCGAGTACGACTGCTCGTCATCCTCGTCGCTGTCTGAGGAGTAATCGGAGAACAGGGCTCCGCCCTGCTCTAAATCCACCTCTCGACGATGATCTAACGGCTCCGGGTAGTGCAAAAATGGTCGCTTCGCTTTCATGTCTTCGTCCTCCGTACCGCTGGACGAGGACTGCTTTTCGCTGTCGTACACAATTTTCCGGGTCGACAATGGCCCGTGTAAACTGTGGCTCGACCCCGATCTCCCGTCCTCTATCGGCGACCGCGTGCCGTCGCTGTTATGTCGTGCAGGTCGGACACTGTTGTTCAAACCCGTCCGGTTCTGCTGCATGGTGAGCTGCCAGTTCTTTCGCCACCGATTGAGGCAGCTGAGGAAGAGGACAATTCCGGTGATCAAGAAGATCAGCTGCACGACAAACGCGATGGTGGTGGCCAAATCCGTTTTGCCCTGCCTCCGATTCGAGGCGAGGTTCACGAGATTCGGGTGGGGCAACGGGACCGTTTCCTTCTGGCCGTCCGCACGAATCGGGGATTCCCGCGCCAGCGCTTCCTCGTGCACTTTTTCGTGTTGCATTTGCGCCAGCTCCCACGGTGGCGGGCCGCCGCCGACGGGCGCGTCGTCCTCGTCCTCCTCGCGTTTCACCATGACGCGGTCGGATCCTGATGTGGTGGGGGTGGTCTGCTGCGCAGCGTTCACCTGCTGGTGTTCTTTCACCGGTACTTGCTGTTGTCCTTGCGCTACCGCTGGTGTGACCGGCGGCGCTGCGATAGTCGGAGGCGGTGGAACTACAACGGGGGACGATCGTACTACCTTCACGGGCTCCGCACTCGCCTGCAAGACGAGGAACAAGGTGCTCTGCGGGGCGAGGTTCTGAAAAGTAATGTCCGCCGCTGTGTGCTCGACCAGGTTTATGCAGGTGGTGAGGGAAATGGGAAATTTGAAAAATGACGGAAGAGAATTCTGAAAAGGGAGAGCGAATTAACGTTAGTTTTGTCTACTTAGAGAGACGATGAGATCAGGAGATGACTTGATGCTATCGGTATGTGGGGCTGCGATTTTCTGGGAAGAAAGTCGCAATTTTTAGTGCAGCTCCTGTCGTCTTTTGAAAATACTCAGAGGTGGTCCCTAGGGTTCGCAGGATTGCGCGCGCATACACATACTTACACGCTGGCGAGGGTAGGCTCATCTCTTGAACAAGCCCGGAAGAATTCGTTGTAGACGCATGCTCGGATAGAAACCGATGACAACACAAACATGTTCAAAATCCTTCAACATTGATTCACCAACCGAGCGACGCATCGCGAGCGCGACGACTTTCAAGAAAGCAAATACAACCGATCATAAGCTTAAAAAGGGTTGTTCACACGAAAAGAACGCTACAAAAGCTAAAGCCTAACCGAAGCAGAACCCTGAAGCAAAGCATTACTCTCTAACCGAAACCGAACAGAGTCAAGGAAAATTTAGCTAGACCGAATAGAATCACCGTCACCGAAGGTGTATCTACCTAGATGTACTTCTAAAGTACACTTTGCTTTGCGCATGATCAAAAATTTCTCCGTCACATTTTGAAAAATTCCCAGCATTCTTCCATGGCATAAGCTCCTCGTCGACTTGCTTGGTGGCGATGCGGACATTAATGCGCCATTGGTCACCATCTCCGATAACCGACGTTTTAGCTGGAAGAACCGGAGCAGCCGCGGAGATTGTTTCCTGCGAAACCGGAATATTGTTTCGTCCCTGCTGTCCACCTGGTAGTTTTTGTTCTACCGGTAGTTCCTCCTCATACTCCGCTTCGTACCCCTTTTGCTGCCAGACATCATTCACACTTTTTACGGGTTTCTTCAAATTCGTGCCGAATTGGTAGTGGGGAATCGCGGACGGCGACAGGTGTGCATTGCAAAAGTATCGTAATCGTACTCGTATAAATGCGAATCTAGCATAACAGATCTGCTTTCTTACCTGAATCTGCGTGACAAATTTCATTTTTCTTCTAGGAAAAATTTGAATTCGTCATGCAATTCATACCAAATATAGCCGCCGGGGCGGGGGTAGTGAGGTCGTGGGCGTTTTTTTGCCGACCGCCGCCTTGGCCGCGGCTTTGCTTTTTATGGGCTCGCCATACCACCGCGCGTAACGTTATGCCGCACGGTATGGCGCCCACTTGGGAAACGTCGCAAATTTTGGCACATTTCCAAAATTCCTTTCCGAAAGCCAGCCCCGATGCTATGGGGCCGATCCGGGTGCCACGGGGGGCGCCCAAAAAGCGAAGAAAAACCGGGCCCATAGCATGCGGATTGGCTTTGCGCGTCTGGGGCGCTTTTTATTTTTCGCGTTTTTATTTTTCACGCCGGCGCTTTTTGCAAAGCTTCCCAGGCTCTAAAACCGGCGAAAAGGCGGCCGCTTTCGCGACCGCCCAAAATGCTCCGAAATCGCGGCCGTGCCATGCTGTTTCGCTGTTCTGATTTTGGGCGCGTTTTTTGCGCGCCCCTTTTTGGGCGCCCCAAATCGCCAGAAACCAAGGCGGCGGGCGCCTCAGAAGGGCGCCCCTTTTGCCGGCTCCCCTGCGTCGTTTTATCCAGTGCGAATCGATAGAATCCGCCCGGGCTATTTTGCCGCAAACGCCCCGGCCGCTTGATAAGTGAAAACCTTTTATGCTCAAAAACACTTCCGACCGCTTGAAAACTGCCGGCCGTTTTTGAGGGTAGATGGCAAAAAAACTCCCTGGTTAGAACCGTTCGGTGACCTCACTACATACTAGTACGATACTTTTGCAGTGCATACCAGGTTCACGAGCGCAATAGCCACCGACCCGTCCGTTAGGTCGCGGGCCCACAATTGCAAGTCCGTGTCGCAACCCGCACGACAGCCGCCGCGGACACCATTGGGGTCCTGATAAGAGGAATAAAGCGATAGAGTGCTTATCATGCAATACGAAAAACATAAGTGCTGGCTCCACAAGTTTCAGTTTGACATTTTGATGGAAACACGACTTTTCTCTTTGTGAAAGAAATTTAAATTTTGAATTTCGCAAAAATAAAAATTTGTGATGCAAAAACAACTATACCTGGTTCACGGCGATCATTTTCGGGTTCAAAATCAAGTCCCTGTACGGCTTGCCCTCGTCCCCCGCTAACTTCCGCAAATCCGCTGACAGCAGCAAGGGCGCCGCGACGATGGCCCAGATGGCGAACTGAATCCGCGCCTGGTCGACCGTCAGGCGGTACTGGGAACCGTGCGTGTACGTAAATCCCGCGTTGTCCTCGCCCGGGTCGTGGTCCGACCCCGCCAGCATCATGTCCGGGTCGTTGAACGCACCGAGGGGGGCAGATTCCAAGCCCTGCGTCTGGCTTGCCCAGTGGGAGATGATGGAGCGCAGGACCGGGAAGGAGTTCGAGATGTCACCGAAGTTGCGCCACATATTGCAGCCCGCTTCATGGTACATTTCCGAGAACGGCTTCTCCGCTTCTGGCTTATCCAAGTAAGCCGGCCACGAACACGCGTACACAATGTCTTTGTTCTGGAGCGCGTGCCCGATCTTCTTGTACTGGGACTGGACCTTACCCTGCGGGACGAAGCACCCGTCCACTTTCACGTACTTGACCCCCCAGTCGTGGAAGGTCTGCATGTCCAAATCTTCGTAATACATGCTCCCCGCGTCCTGCTCGCAGGACAGCGTTCCGGCGCACGTGTACAGCCCAAATTTGATCCCCTTTGATTGGAAGTACTCCCCCAGCGCCTTCATGCCGCTCGGAAATCGGAGCGGATCCGGGATCAATTCCTGCGTGTCCGGATTTCGCGCCAGTAAGCTCGCACCGGTTTTCGCATCCCGGTTGGGGCCGAAGTCGTGGCTCTGTTTGACCTGCTTGTTGAAGACCATGTAGTTCTCGGCGTGCTTGATGCGGTCCTCGTCACTCTTCGGCACCGGTAAAAATTCCTTGTTTGGCCCCCGCCCCGCCATCCAGCAGTCGTCAATCCAGAGAATGTTGTACCCCGCTTTGACGTAGCCGTCTCGTACCATGGTGTCCGCCATTTCCTTGTACTGCTTCTCGCTCACGCAGTCGTCCGGATGGGTCTCGCAGTCGCGCTGGCACCGGAAGTTTTCCCAACTCATCCAGCCCATGGGCGGCGACGCGAGCTTCACGCTGGGACCGTTCAGAGGAGCAATGTTGGATGTGGTGGTCTGTATGGTGGACGTGGTCTTGGAGTCGTAGTTGTTCTCCGAGTTTTCACTAGGCTGGAGGGTCGAGGCAAGAGGCGTGGGGAGTTGCTCTACTTGCTGCTCCGGTAGGGGAACCTGGGTGGATTTTTTTGGTATAAAAAGGTAAGTAACACTTTTCATCACACAGCACCTCACTTCTGAATTTCAACTATTAGGACCGACTAATGATTTTTCAGACACACAGTGTTTTCATCTTGATCAAAATCTAAAGTATTTTGTCGTCAACGACATGATGAAACATCACCAAATACGTTTTTCTCTTCGAGCATCGCTTCGGGTAGTGGCACGTTGATGTCCGCGGGTCGGATTTTGTAGTTGTCGGTGTTAAAATTCTTCCCAAACTTTGGGTCCTCCCCGATGGGCAGTTCTTGCAAATTGATGAAATTGGGACTGTACTTCAATATCGGTTTCCGATTTTTCTCCGCATCTAATAGTTCTTGCACTGTAGAAGTAGAGCTACTACTGCTTGGAGAAGATGATCCTGCTGCCGTTCTTTCCCCGTTAGTCCCGAAGGAGGAAGATGAAGAAGAACTGCTACTGCTTCGACTTCCCTGCTCAACAAGAACCTCCTCCCCGTACCTTTCAAAAAAGACGCTATTCAACGGTCGGCTGTCGTAGGGAGCGACCATGGGGTACGCGAGGGGTCGCTTCGTCGCGAGGAACGGTTTATCGCCAGCATTCTCCTCTTCGGGCGCAACACCGCGGGCGTTTAGAAGTAGAGTCAAAAGGACGCGACGCCGGTCCTGTGGCGCTATGTTGGCAGCGCGCCGGCGCTTCAGACGCATTGTCGTTATTATTGTTAGTTTGATGTCAAGACGGGAACCACGGTAAAAAAAATTCAAGAAGTACGTTCCTTCGTGAGTTTTCAAAAGTACAAATGACGATATGCAGATGAAGATAAAGTACTTACTTACACTAGAATATCGCTTTGATGTTGCGCAGTTCTGTATCACTATCCGTATCCAAGCAAATCCGTATCCTCCATGCATCCCCAAGGAATATTGCCACGGGCACAGAACAGACGAGCAAGTTGGTGGCAAAATTATGTACTTCTTACACCACGACAACCCCCAATCAAGCCCCTCTGAAACAACTTTGCAAATATGGATGACGAGGTGATACGATGGACAGACGCTTGACGGTGTTTTGTCTTTCCTCTTTGACGTAGCTATCACGAAGAGCTGTTTTCACGCACGATGTTCACGACGATTCAGAATCAACACCTTCAAATTTCAATTTGAGTCCTTTTATGGAAAATAAGACAATTCAGTTCGACGATCGATGGGGAGTCACGACCATAGCCTTCTCAGCAAGAACCCACTTTACCTTGCGCATACAACAATGCCGAGGGTACTACAACCGAACCGCTACTGAGTGTGAGTGCCTCTTTTCGATATAGAAAAAGAACTCGAACAGCCACTATTGACGCACTACAATATGCACCAATTACGAACCAAGCGGCAGGGCGCTGCAGCTGGCTGAGTGGACAATACTACGCCTTTATTCTCAGATTCTTGGTATTGCAGATTTGATTCGTTTTCGTTTTCCCAACAAAATAAAGCTCAGTCCACCTGAATCGACGCCCGTCTTTTTGATTTTTTCAGCCTTAAGTTGTTTACCTTGATGCAAAGTTTTCGGTGCATGCGGAGGAACCGATTGTAGAGCGGAAGCGTCGCAGCCTCGATGTTCTGGCCGTAGATGAACATCAGGGAGAGCTCGCCGTACGTCGGCTGCGGCTTCTCCACGTCCCACAGCCACTTCGGATACGCCTCGTCCGGCTGCAGCTGCACGTCGGGTACGTTGGCGAAAATGTTGAAGACGTCCCCCGCACCCGGAGCGACCGTCTGCTGCCCGGCGTCCTTGCCGCCGCCCGCGTTCTTCTTCTTCGGGCCGAGGAGGATGGGGGAAGGAGAGAAGAGTGGTCGGAGGGGGGAGGCGTTTGTTCTTGTTACCTTCCGCATAGGCAGCGGGCAATACGGTTGTGAGTTGGGAAGATTTGTGGAGGAACAAGACGAGCTGGACATCAGCCGAGTGATGGTTTGTTGTATTATGTATGTGGTATGAAAGGATCCCGGACCTGCAAGAGCATCTGCCGCACTGCGGTGAGTCCCATTGTTTTGCAATGTGACGGTGCTTCTGCTCCACCAGCACGGCTGTTGTTTTACAAACGGGAGTTGAGGGAGCCCAGGGGCACGAGGCAGCCCTTTCGTTAGTTGCCCCATCACGTCGCGTATAATTGATACATAGGTGCGAGCACAATACAAACCTGCGCGAGGACTGCTACTCAATTGGGAGCGATCTGCCATGAAATGCCAAAGAGATTACATACAAGATAAAGATAGAACAGACGACCAACAACTGCCTGACAAAGATGAGGGTGAAAACCAGAACACAAGCCGCACAACAGTACGGGCTGATAAATGATCCAGGCATTGCGCCGAACCGGATTGAGGGTCGTAGGTAGTTAGAGTTCCTCCGGCTGAAAGATGCCGAGAGACCTGCTGCATTCATCTCTTTCTGGAGCAGATCTTCAGTAGCGCGCACGCTGGTACGTGATCGGGCGTGGCTGGCTTCGAGTGGGGCCAAGCAATGAAGGCAAGCGGGAACCGGCCGCGGCCGAAAATAATGTAGCCCGGCGCCGCGACAACAAATGCGGGCCGGGGCCAAACCCACACCGCAACCAAGAGCCGACCACACATGCAACTTCGCCGGCGTGGCGGGCGCGAAGGGCCACAAACCAGGAAGAGGGGCCACATCCAGCAAGCGCAAGTCGGCGCCGCGCGCGGCGAAAGCAGGCAAGGGCGCATCTGGGTGGCCGGCCCGCCCGCGGGCGAGGCCCGGCGCACACACTCGCACCCCAGGCGGCGCAGAAAATAAGACCACGCCGGCCCGCAGGCGGAGAAGCGGGGCCGGCCATGCTGCACGCGGGCGCCCGGCGTGCGAGGCGCCACGTGCCGGGGCGCGGCCGTGGCGGAAGCAAATGGGCGCCGCGCGCCGGGCCAGGCAGGCCTACCGGGGCCGGCAGGCTGTCAACGAACCTGAACGAAGGGCGGCCGTGCGGCTTCTCGAGAGACAGAGCGCGCGTCGTTCTCCCCCGCTGGCTTTCCCGTCAGTCCGGCCAACTAGTTCCCGCGGGGCGTCGCCTGGCCGTACGTCCGACCGCGCGCCACCCGGCGGCCTGCATCCCCGACCCCGGCCAAAACCGGACTCGCCGGCAGCTTGCGCGCGGAAGCCAACAGGGGGGCCGCGCCGGGGCGCTTGCCCCAATGCGCGCCCGCAGGGGCTGCTGAATGCAGCGGGGGCCGGGCGAAGTGCGCCGCTTCGGATATGACGCGCGCCACGCACGGCGGCAGGGCAACGGCCCAGCGGCTGCTCGCAATTTATTACGCCCCACCACCCCATAATAACCTCGAATGGCGCCGCTCTTCCTATAGATGCTACCTGTCCGAAACAGTGAAAAGGAGAAGAGTATGCCCCTCGGGAGCAAAGCAGGCTGCAAATTTCTTGTCCGGCGCCATGGCCAGGAAATTTTCGCCGTACAAGGGGCGCGGGACCTTGTCCGGGGTGGCTTCCGCGCGGTTGTGCACCCGAACCACGCCTGCGGCTGGCACTGCTCGCCAAGGGCGCAATCTATTACGCTACCACGCTGGCGAGAAGCGCGGGCGGCGCCTGCCGGGCGGCCATTCTTACCTCCTTGGTCTGCCCCCTCGTGGGCGGCGGGCCCGTTCCGCGCTCCATGCGAGCGCCCGCCAGGGCCGCTGCTGCGGCCCACAACGCCACCGAATGGGTCTCGCCTATGTCATTCATCCCCTGCTGCATTTCCACGGGCATGCCGCGGCCGCATTCGCTGAGACGCCCCCAATAACCGGCAGAAGGTTGCGGGCTGGGCCGCCCTAAAAACTTTCGCGGGCGGCAGTCTGGCGCCTTCTGTGCCCGTCGGCGTCCCCACAGGTCTCACAGATCGAGCCCGCCTATCGATCACAAACTGGGCAGCTTCCTCGCAGTCGGGCCCGGCATCGGCGACAGGCTGGCAGACACCTCCAAAGCCCCCGCCGCGTTTGCCGCGCGCGTTCTTCGCCTGTGGCGCTTGCGGTGTGTAAAAGTCCAGGGCATGCACCACGTAGGCCAGGAGGTTGCGCGCTAGCACGCCCGCGACCTCTTCGCCCCGGCGCGGCCGGCTGCTTCCAGCTGCGCGAGCTACCGACCTAGCGGCCCCCATCATCTCCATTATCAAGAAGGCAAAAGAGGATGAAGACCGAAGCCAACACATCCACGTTGGCGAAATCAGAAACGCGATATCTGTGCAGCCAGGAGAACTGCAACGAAAATCGAACATCGCCTTGTATCCAAAGTCAGTGGTGTGTCCATAATTTATTTTTGACGTGACAAAAAAAGCTTTTCGGCGAAAGGTAACTGCCCTGCTCAGCCTGCGCTCCTTAAGCACGCGCAAGCACGTTCTGCACTTTGTGTTTGTTCCCCACAACATAGTCAGTCAAAGAAAAATCAGCAGGCGCCCGAAAATATGGACCAGTCAGCAGGCTTCAACACCTCTTAAAGCTCTGGCTTATACCGCTCAGTAATGTAATCCAGTGGCGTCGTTCGTGCCACGAAACTTGCCTCCCCATCTACCAATGCGTCCGGCAATGCCAGAAAATGCGCGTCGAAGTTTTCCGGCTGCTTGATTTCCCAGCAGAGCATGCAGTTCTGCGGCGTGTCGCGGTTGTACTTGGTACAACTGTTGTCGCAGTACATCGAGGTTGTGTGCATTCTCGGGTCTGCCTGCAATTCGAAGAAGTTTCCATGCAGGTTCTTAAACGTCTTGTGGATGTAGTCGATCCCCGCGTGTCTGCCCTCGAGCAAAAACCGCTCGTGCGCTCGTTGCAGCGCCACTTCCTCCGTGACGGCGACGAACGCGAGGGAAATTTGGTAGCCGGCCGCAGCGTACGGGGGCAGAACGCGCGTCTGGATCCGGTCGAGGTCCTTGCCGGTCTCCTCATATACGAGGTTTACTCCTCGCTTCAAAATTTCCTGTTTTGAGTTTGATAGATAATCGACGCTATTGCTTTTCAAATTTTTTCCCGTTGTGTTTTTACTTGAGCATGTTGACCCAAGACAGGAACGCGCATGGGCAACCGGTAGACAAAACATACTCCAAAGTCCAATATTGGTAAAAATGAAAATCATCAACATTGCCTACCACTTCCGCCCGTTTCGCTATCCTGATCGCCGCACTGTAACACCCGTCGGCGGCGTCTTTGTACTTCTTCCCCGTAGCGAGGCTCTGTTGGTATTCCGGCAGATATTTCAAATATTCGTCCAAACCGTGCAACAAGAAGCTGGACTTGAAAAATTCCGATTCCTCCCGCAACTTCCGTACCAACGTGCTCTTCCCCGCACCCGAGCCCCCCATCAGCAACAGCATCCGCCTCTGGTTCTTCGGCTGCTCGGGAATGCCTGCCAAGTGCTCGTCGATCCAGGCCTTGATTTCCGATCCGCTGTAGTCGTCCCGCCCCCTGCAGGGAAAGGGCGTGTTTTCCAGCACTTCGTCGGACTGGGGTTCTTTTGGCAGAGCATTTTTGTCCTCGGGGGTTTCAGCACCGTCGGGCGTTATTATAGGGGGACCGAACTCGTAGCTGCTCAGAGCAGGGGTTGAGAAGAGCAACGCTGTTGAAACGGCGAAGCGGCATCGCCGTCGGCGTGGCATTTTTCCGTTAGATGAGCTGGAAGACGAGGAGGACATCAACATGTCTGTTTAAAAATTATAAGTAGCCCAAATGAGGAAAAGTAGAAACCTCACCATGACAATCTTCTTCGAAGACCACGACGCACTAGTAGTTACGGAATCAAGTCCAAGATCTCCTCAAAAACAACATTCTGGATAAAAAGGTCGCTGAGCGAACTCCAACTCCGTCATGCTTCAACTAATACTAGAATCTTCGAGCTCAAACAGAATGAGAAACCGACAGTGCTCCAGTTCAAGATCTTCCACAATTCAGTGTACAACTGGACATCTTCGAGATCATCAACTTGAACCATTTTTGCGAGCCAGCGAACACCGTTGGCCTGCCTAGGCTTGGAAACCCAGTCGCTTCTGCATGAGTAGAAATCCATTTTTTCCAATGAATCAAAGAACAAATTTGTACAGAGTTTGTCCCCGTATAATTCAAAGTGTTCATGCAATTTTTCCATCTCCTTACGAGACAAGTGCCGAACGAAGAGTCCGGACCCGAGAATTTTTGCAACCTCGCAGACGCTCCTCCTCTTCCCATTTACTTTCGGTACTACTTCTTCTGCAAAACCGAAACCTCTCGGCGGCCCTCCATCCGCTCGGCACTTTTTGTACTAAACTTGTGACTAAACTAAAACGATAAAACGCGAAGCTGTGATTTACTTCGTTGATCATCTTCTAAAAGCGATAGTATTATACCATTTGAACTCGTGATCGGCTAAATTTTCGACAAAACAGATGTGATTTATTATTTCTTCCCGTTGAGCAAATTGATGTGGTGTTTCGCATTTCGTTTAGTATTTTTGGCGACAAAACTAAGTTCAGAACAAGATGCTTCTTTGCACTACTACTGGTAGTAATGCACTCCTCAAAAATACCCACTTTCATCTCCTCTCCTCCTACTTCCCATACAACGAGATCATCCAGCAGTAGATGACGATGACCATGGCAAAAATCGACCCGGTCAGCCCCCCAACCGCCATCAAAGTCTGCTGACTCGCAGCTCGCCGCTCCACCGACCAGTCGGTGCGCAGGATCAAGTATCAAATGCAAAAGTGTCTGGGTCTGGAAGACTCATGCTGTTTTTGCATGACGCAGAAGGTCTGGCATGGAAGCCCCAGCATCACAGGTTTCGAGAAGCTTCCGCAATGCCGAATGCGTATGACAAATCCCCCACTTTGGTGACAGAAAGTGGGCAGCTTTTGCTACCTATGCATCAGAGATTTTTCTGTGTTCTGAAATACGCATCACAAGTTTGTATTCTTCCAGACCCAGACATATTTGCCATCCATATCAAGCCCGCGTAGCTCATGTTGTACCCGCGCTTGGACTCCGCGACGACGTTGAATATGCATTGCAAAGATGTCTGGGTCTGGAAGCTTTGGAACTTGTGATGCAAACTCTGGAACACACAAACATTTGTGTTGCATGAGCGGCAAAGGCTGCCCATTTCTTGGTACGCAAGTAGGAAGTTTCTCATGCAGGACACGCATCGTGAGGCGTGCTCAAAACCTGTGATGCTTTTGCCTGCATCAGACACCATTGGCGTGATCCGGAATATGCATGACAAATCTTGCATTCTTCCAGACACAGACATTTTCGCATTTGATATTGAACACGTAGCGCTTGCCCGTGACTACACCGTCAATCGTGGCGTTGCACTTGCCGCCGCTGCACCGGCTGGCGGGAATCGGCGTCGGGGTGGCGGGCCGGTCCGTGTTGTTCGTCAGCCCGCAGACCTGTAGCAGGGTGTGATGGAGCATTTTCGGATTTTGATGTACTAGTACTTTCTTTATTATCATCGATCTATCATCATGTCGACTCTCCAACTCGCATCTCTTGTTAGCAAGACTATTGCAAAGAACTCTACAACGTCCACATTTTTGAGGACTCTATGCTACTGAACAAGTGAAAATAAACCAATACCGTGTTCATGATTTTTCTTTTGGTCAAGAACACCGCTGCGTTTGTCCTTTGGTCCCGCTCCAGCAGCATGGCGGACCAGACGTAGTACTGCAGTGTTTCTGACACCCCTGTGGGCCGGTAATACGCCGTGTCCCAGCCGATTTGCACCTGCAGCTCCTGCAACTGCGTGGCCTGCAGCTGTCCCTCGTTCCCCGGCCGGGGCCAGGCCCCGATGTCGGTCAAAACCGTCAAGGTGTAGGAGGAGGTCTCCTTCGCGTAGACTGCGATGTAGTACCGGGTGGAAGTCAAAGGTAATTCGAAGAAGGTCGGCGCGCCATCCCGGGTGCCATCAATCACCGACACGTAGTGGGTCCACTCGCACTCGTCCGCCTGGGGCACGGTCTCCTGCGAACTGCCGGCCACCGTGGGGCCAAACTTCATGCAGCTGTAGGGATCCGGGTAGCAGGGCCGCGTTTTTCGCACGAACAGGTACACGATGCCCTTGCAGGGTTCCAGGTTGATGATCAACTTTCGGAATTGGTCGGGGACGTGGATTAAAGTGGTATTCATCGTTTGAAAGGAGTACCTGAGGATAATTTATTTTTTCAATCCCGCCATCTAAATCCGCTACATGAACATGAACTACATCGCAAAAAAAGACAAACACAAAAAATCATTCGCACCTGCTGTGCACTGAATCTCAAAAAAAAACTTCCTCCATCTCCCAATGCTAGTACTGAGTACCTGTGTGTCTTGTTCGCGACAATCTGCGCGTGGACAAACTGGCCATCCTTGAGCGGGTTCTCCACACCCATGTCGGGGTAGTCGTGGTGTCTGCAGGGATCTTGTTCGTCGAACGCATGCGTTAAAAGGGAGAAAAACGAGGTGTAAACGCAGAACAGTCTGGCCAAACTGCTTTTCATTTTGAACGAAAAGCGTCCATGTTGTTGTGTCATTGCTGCCGGTCGTGCGGCGTGAGCTTCTGAAAACGACATAGCTGTAGTCCGTGGTTCTTTTCTTCTCGTTGTGCAACAAGACCAGGTGTTTTTCGTGTGCGGTTTTATTCTATTGCTTTCCGTTGTGGGTGAGCTGTGTGCTGCGAAGATTTTGAAGCAACTGGAAGTAGAGCTGCAACTTCCAGCCCTCGCCAGATCCGCCCCGAATTGTCGGATGCGTGTAATTCCGGCTGCCGCTTCACTTATCGCAGGACGAGCGATAAACTGACAGTCAGCCTCCCCGGTTTTTTGAGAAATCGCTCCGGAGCTGAACGCTGTGGCTGTTCGACTTCTTGCTCCTTCGGAAGACGATGTACTGGAACTAGACGCTGTTGAGTTAGAAATCCTCGCTGTATGGATTTCACATTGTCGTTCTGCGTGTTGCCGATAATCTCCCCGGACAACAGATGAGGACGAGCTAGAACTGCTCCTGGGAGTTCTACTTGGCCCGTCAGAAATTCCTGCCACCTCTGGTGCACTGTCTCCCGTGGGGGAAAAAGTGCAACGGGCGGAGGACATTTTCGTATTATTTCAAAACTTCTCTTTCCCTGTTCCTGTACTCGTCAATAGCTTCAAAACTGATTATAGTACTGTGATATCTCCTATCGCTACGAGATCACAAAGCTCAGCACAGCGTACGCGTAGTCTTTAGAAATTATGCTCATGCACAAAAATAAAATGGTTATCAACAGGCTTGAAATTGGCTCCAATAGATTTCTAAAAGAAATAACGATGAAACCAGGATCAAAAAGATGAACCTTGAATCAACAATAGTGGTAAAGGGGTAGACACCAACTTCTTGCTCAGGTGCGAGTCAAAAATTTCTTGTTGTTGTTGACAGAGAGAAACCATAAAAGTTACAGGTGATTTTAGTGAATGGCACTTCATGGGGAACTGTAGGTGCTTCTTTACAGTAGAGTTTAAGTTTTCAAAGACGAGTACACATCTGCAGTACGTATCATGTTCACTACTTTTCACGTCGAAAAAGGTAAAACCACAAAAAAGCGTGACCGATTACGAGGCGAAGTCGAAAAGCGAGCCTTCGCTTGTACTTTTCTATTTCGCTCTTCGCTCCACAGATGCAATAGCGGTAATACGTGGGGCACTCTTATCTGTCTCTCAGTTCAGCTCTTTAATACTCGGGCTGTGTTGGTGGAAAACACGAACTTCTCAAAAATACGAGTGCAAACAATGGCAATTACCGAAGGCGAAGCTGTTTCTCAATACGAAATAGTGCCGAGCAACGTCACTCCCTGGGCTATTTTGATTGTAATTTCAACTTCTTACTTTTCAAAATATTTCTTTGAGTCGTTGATTGTTGATGGTGAAACTGTAGTTGCTCTTCGACTTAGGTACGTGGACACCATGTGTCGGGGGCCAACACCAACAGGTTGTCCTTGTCGCGATATAGTATATCCGCAATAATCCGCAACCGTAGTCACTACAAGCACTAAGTACAATTTGTTCCAAAAGAAGAGTCGTACAGCAGCAGCTCATCCTTACTCAAACGAAAAATCAGCGTCGCCGATCCCGGGACTTCGCCGACCGGTAGGATTTATCGGACGATACCGACCGCGGTCTCCTGTCTCCTTTTCTCTCCGCTAGTCTTTCCCTAAGTTTCTCCTTGCGCTCCGCGTATGATCCTCCCGCAACGTTGGACGAAATGTAGTCGCCTTCACTACTTCGAGACAACGATCGCGGGCGCGGCTTCGTGAGCTTAGCGGGAGGTGGGGATGGAGGACGAACATTTTTCTCCCTATCGTTTTTCGATGACTTCGAATTTTTTTTACCGTTATTTGCAGCGGGACGACCTGCACCAGCGCTGCGACTGAGCGAAGACGCGGAGTATTCGTCATCGTCTCTTTTCTTCTTACTGTTCTGCCCGAGCTGTCCGAGTCGTGGGGCGGGTTGAATTTCAACCTTCTTCGGCGGCGGAGCGGCGGGGGAGCGGGACCGGGATCTGGAATCTTTCTTGCGGTTGATGTTTCTTCTACTTCTGCCACCGGTACCGCGGCTGTCGTTTCTTCGGTCCGCATGACGATCATCCCGGCGATCTCGAGCTGCTGGTGCTGCACCTCTGGTTGTACTAGCAGCTGGCCGGTCGAAGCTGCGACTCCGCGAGCGCCTAGCTCGGCTGTCGTTCCTCTTGTCGTTGCGTGCGAGCAGCTCCACTTTTGGCTTATTCGACGGGCCTTCGGGCCTCGGCGCGGGACCTTGAGGAGCGGGAGCTTTTTTCTTGTTCTTTTTCCGGTCGTCATCGGAAAATTCGTCGAAATCACTAAAATTGGCGGAAGAGGAAAGCTCGACGTCATCGTCCTTCTTCGCTGTTGAACCATTGTTATTTCTAGACGAAGCGGCGCCGGCACCAGAGACGTCCTTTCCTGTTTTTTTCTTCGTATTAATATCTGCTTCATCAGCTTCCTCTGCATCTTCGCCGGTGATTTTCAGTCTTTTCGCCTTCTCGATTTCCACGAGTTTCTGCAATCTCTCCAGCTCCCGTTCCTTTTCCCGCTGCCGAAATTTGTCCGTCTCACGCCCGGACCGCACCTCCTCACGCGCTCGCCGCTCAGCATCCTCCTGCTCGCGACGCGCCTTTTCGATGGCTTTTTCCTTCTCGCGCTCCGATTTGATAGCGTCCATCTCGGCTTGGCGCTCGGCGATCATCCGCCGGCGCTTTGCGTCCCGCTCCTCTTTTGACAAAAAGCCGTCACCTGAGAGGTAATCATGGTGGGGACGGAATTTGAAGATGCTCATGCTGACGTTGCAACGCAATACACATTACTGTGTGTGACGAATCCAGATCCGCTCCTGAAGTAAACGAGGTAGATTTAGTTGAAATTGAAAAAGATGAAACGTTAAGAATTCACAAACATAGTACCGATAGAATGCGACGCACCGAGCCGCAACGCCCTTCCGAATTTGTCCAACTCCTGCTCTTTCCGCAGGGCTATCCCGTGCGTGCTCCCCGTCATAGTAACGCCCTCCCTTTTGACTTGGATCGTGATGCGTTCCCGCTCGGATTCCAGCTTGGCTTCGATTTCTTCCTCGGTCCTGTGATCGTGTTTGTCTTTGTGATTCAAGGGTTAGCTAAGTTTAGCTTGTGATGTAAGCTGCCATTTGCAACATGCCCAAGTGTTGCAAGATTAGCATGAAGAAAAAAAAGCAAATGAATACATTTTTCCTTCTTCTTCCCACTTCTCGCGGAGTTCCAGTAGTTGCAATTCCACCCGTCGCTTCATCTCGTGTTCCATCAGCTCCGGGTTTGCTCGTCGCACCAGCACGCCGGTGTTCTCAGCCCCCGCTTTCTGTTGTGGAATGACGGAAAAGGATAAGGATTTTTGAGTTGGAGTTTCAAGTCCACGACTCAGAGATTTTTTCAAGGATCAAAATATTCATTTTTTTCGTTGTACGTGTTACATTCCTGCGTTGAGATTCAAAAAACTCAAGAAGTATCCATAGTACCTTGTAGAGATCCTGTCGCTTTTCCTTCGCATGGCCCAAGTTTCGTTGCACATACCCGCTCGTCCCACTACCGCGGGCGGTCGCTAACCCAATGCCGTTGTACATTTTCGATTTGTTTTTTCTTCGAAAGGAGATGTATCCAAAAATTGAAACTATTCTTTTTCTTTCTGGAGGAAGCCAAAAAAAGTGATATTGGTCTTGTGTCTGTGTGTAGAGTTCTCTACTGTTCACAAAGAGTAGCTAGAAAGCACAAAATAGCTTTGATGGGTCGCAAGGTACTATACGTCGCGAAAAAGAGAGAGGAAAAATCGTTTATACGAGAAAAGATAGGGCGTATACGTACGCGTTAACAGTCCATTTGGGAATTCGTTCTGAGGAGATAGGGTAGCTTTTGCTTTTGGGTCACTGCCACTGGTCGTGAGGTCCTGCGGCAATAAGTTTCAAATTCGGATCTTTTTGATTGCAAGCAGAAATCGGAACAAGAAAAGCCAATTTGCGGTGAATGAGGATGAAGATGGCGTTTTGCGTGGGGGTTAGCGTTCAGCAAAAAAGTAATTTACGCTTCGGCGATTCATGGCCTTCGAAGAAGATCTTCGTCTCGAAGTAATTTCAAAGAGCATTTGAGTGAGAAATTCTGCAGCCTCCATCTAAGAGACTTGATAGGATCTAGTTTTGCCAGAGCCACTGCACACGAACAGACGAGTGTCCACATTCATCGATCAAGCAGTGACTAATACCAGTGACGTCTAGATGAGTTTTATTCGGTATCGGTTGCACTTGCAGCTGCACAGATTTGTATTTTTCAACATGATCCATTCTTATTCTTGCAAGACGAGACTTTTTCATTTTTTCGCTCTAAACGAAATCAACGAACCACAACCACATGAGCGCCGCAATAATTCATGATTGCAAACACTGAAAAACCATATTCTTTTACCACCTTCAAAACCATCTAAAACCATCCCCCTTCACCGCTTTGTTTGACACGGCACCATCGGTTTTGCGGTTGCAGATGCAGCAACTTCTATCGGGCCTGATGAACATAATATTGGAGGTGACGCTCGGCACTTCTAGTTCTAGTTTTTTTCCTTTATCAGAAACACTGCTCCAGCTATTTCATGGCGCACCCCTCCGCACCAGCTCAGCTTTACGCACGATGAATAAGTTCTTGTTCGGCCTCTGCTATTTTCGCGGCTAGCTTCTCCCGGATTTCGCGCGGTTCGACAATCTCTTCCACCTTCGCCGACAATGGGTGCAAAACCCGCTCCACGAATAGCTCCCTCCACTGCACCAGCACGCAGTGGCAAAAGAAAGACACAAGGATCGGGTCTTCTGGCGGTGGTTGTGCTACGGGTTGATGTTCACCCGCAGGCTCTGCACCTTGTGTCCCATGCATATCGTGCGAAAAAAACTGTGGTAGTGTAACTTTCTTTATTGGCTGACAGCATTACAAATTTACACTACATGACAGAGAAAATAACCTGTCATGCGTGGCTTGTTGTAAGGGAAAACACGCACGAGAAGAGGACTTGATGGCTGTCTGGCATGACAGGCACAGGTGTAAAGTAATTCTGTTGCATGTTCTGCATTACAGCGTTAAACTATACACAGTTTATTTTTTCTTGCGATACTGCATGCGGCCCAGCCAATACTTGGTGAAAACCTTGTGCTTGTTCGCCGGGTATGGCATTTCTTGCTCCCACCCTGCCGGCATTTCTGGGTACTCATCTTCCCTGTGCGGAATCAGAATGCCATACGAGCACGAGGTGGTCCTCACGTCCCCCGCGCGGCTTTCGGGCCGCACAGACAAAACATCAGCAACAATCTGCACAGCGTGGTCTGCAGCGATGAGCCCGTCTCCCGTCCGGTCCTTCTGGTTACGTTGCTTGACAGCAAAATCCACAAGTTTGCCCAGTTCGGTGGCCATTTTGTCCAGGAAAAGACGCTGCTGAAACCATCTGCAGTTAACATCCGAGGAAATCCCGAGTCCGAGACCAGCCAGCCCGTAGTAAATGCGCGGAAGCCGACCGCCGACCTTTTTAGTTTTACCGTCCTCCTCTACATATCCAGTGCAAATATATGTCTGGGTCTGGAAGAATGCGAACTGGTGACGCGCATTTCACAACACAGAGGACAAATCTCTCATGCATAGGCAGCAAAAGAGGTCCATTTTCTGTCACCAAAGTGGGGGATTGTCATGCGGATCAAGCAATGCAGAAGCTTCTCGAGTAGATCTGTGATGCTAGTAGGGCTTCCATGTTGACAGCCATTCTGTGTCAACATGCAAAAACAGCATGGCAAAAATTAAATCTGTACTCTTCCAGACCCAGAAACAATATTTGCCTTTGATACTACACACGGCCAGTCTCGCTCAATGCTGCCCGGAAGCTGACTAGGGACCACTTTAATACCGTTCTGCGATACCGACGGCCAGTCCTGCCAGGCGTAGTAGTGGTCGAACACTTAAACTTCAGTATCTCTTCCTTCGATCGTTCTGATTTCTATATGCGATACTTTTTTGCCATGAATGTAGGTTTTGGCCACTTCTTCCGCATTTTCCTTGATTCGGGACAGCTCCGCGTAGACTTCTGCTCGTGTTGGTCGTGCAATGTTGGTCCTCGTGCTCCCCCGTGCAAGAACTTCTACAGGGGGCCCAGACAGCGCACGAGGACGACGCCCAGACCATTGCGCACGAGCACCAGCGGGGGAGCTGCTGCTTATTTCCGCCGGACGTGCAACTTCTTGAACATCACTGTCGACGAGCACTGGAACTTTTCTGCGATAGCCAGTCGCCTGATCTATTTCCGCCCCGAACGTGCTAAATCGAGGCAGGCTGCCGCTGCCGGAATCCTTTCCACTATTTCCTCCAGTTGTCCCTCGCGGGAGCAGCCCCGTTGCAGAATTCTGATCGTACTGGCGATGCGTCGTGTCGTTCGGCAAAGAACTACCCGCGGCAGAGTGAAGACCGCGCAGAGAGCGAGAACGCCGCGGAGAGGAGGAGCGCGACCGCCGGGGTCCAGACGGCAAGGGAGACGAGGAGCGCTCTGCTCTAGCTGGGCCGGCTTGATTCAAAATAAGGCCTGCGAAACTCCTCGATAAACTTCCCAGGTGGTGGTCCTTCTGGTCACGACGAAGTTGTTGTCCAGTGTTATTCACATCCCCCGGCTGTGGCTCCTGCTCCGGGGACTCCCAACTAGAGGGAAAGGAAGGCAGGCTATCGACGCAACTTTTCTTTTCCGGCAGCAGGCCGGTGCCGGGATCCTCCTCGTCTCGTTGATTCTTGACGCTGTGGGGCGGCGCTGGCTGCGACTCCCAACTAGAGGCAGAGGGAAAGGAAGGCAGGCTAGATCCATGCACCAGCTCGACGCAACCCTTCGCGGCCAACACACCAGCTAAAAAAAAGCTAGTCGTTTTTCCCATCCTGCCACTCGAGGGAACGGTGCTCGTACTGGAGATCCTGATACACGAAAAAAAGCTGGAAAAAAAGTAAATTTAAATTTGTACTGAAGCGATGGAGATCGCTTCAAAATCGAGTGGTATATATATGCCAATAATAGCAGCTCCGCGGGCTGAGTGAGGCCGATGCGGCTTTTTGTAGATCTCGACTTAATGGTGAAGACTTATTTTGGCTTGGGCAAATGCAAATCGTACTCGTAGTCGGTTAATCTTCTTCAGCAGAAAATCTGCACCTACAAAAATGATTTTCGATTCTTGTTGCGTCTACGAAAATGTATTAATCGCGAGTAGTTCTAGTTTCCAAAAAAATAGGGCGTAAAATGCAACCTCGTTTCTTCTTTGCTTCATAAAATTCTATGTATTGGTACGTAAAATGCAAATTTGTGTTCGCTAGTACATGAAAAATGCAAGGACAACACGCTGCCGCTGGATCAAAAACGGGGTGGAAAAAAAATGAGGCAAACGGACCCACTAGCAGCACTTCTGGAACAATCGAAATAATTAATACTACGGGTACGGGTAATTCCACTATAATTGCAGCTAAACAAGTAGTTCGACAAGTCACAGTTTTCCTCCGCACTACTTCCGCGGAAGATGCACGGCAAAGGCGCATGCGTGTATAAGTACTTCTACTTTGTTCATGTAGGTCGTGATCGAAGAGAAGGTGAGGATCTTTCTACCCCGCAACAAACTTTAGTTCTTACTGCTCATCATCAGTTGGGATCTTTTAAACTGCTTCGACAGACAGGGTATCGCGATCACAATCACTGATGTTCACGTTTATGTTTTCCATCCATCCTGCATACAACATTCCATTAGATGCGTCGAAAATGGTCGCTCTGACCTTAAAGTCAGATTGCATCAACATCATCGAGAACAAATCCGAAGTACTTTGAATAGCCAAAGAAAGAAGCGTCTTTTTCCAGGCGGCCGTCTCAAGGTAATTTTTGGGTCCTCTCAAATAAGGTTCAAAGCGAGGAAGTCGCGTACTACCGTCGTCCAGATCTGGTGGTCGGGGGTATAGAAATTCATTTTGCCAAGCACGAAGAGGCTGGGAGGCAAAATCTTGTTCCGTTTTGAGCCAAGCAAGTCAAAGTTTTTTTGGCTTGCTTACTTTCACAGTAAAGTTGCAAAACAAGACCTCTACTGCTACTTACTGTTTCAGGTTTATTTGTCGCCATAATTTCTGTCGAGATAAAGATTTGGATTACAAGTGCGTGATATAAAAGTGGGCGAATAGAGATCAGGCGTGAACTATGCGGAGGACGATTGTCGCGCGAGACCGAGATGAAATGTCGCTATCGTTTTGGAAGATCGTACTCAAGTTGTAATAACTTGCGTTGAGAAGCCGCTTCTTGTTGCATTTGGAAAGATACCACACCCAAAGCGATTGAAAACTACCTCAAGTGGTCCCTTCACCCGCTCGGTTGTCGCACAGATTCTGCCTCGCTGATCTGGGCCAGTTCCCGCGCCATATTTCGTCCGCGCTCGTGCGGGGCCATGTGGGCATCGTCCGGACCCAAAACCGCGGAAGACTGAATGTCGATGACTCGTTTTAACACGCGCGGCTTCCGCTTCGCGCCCGGTCGCGCAGCTTGGCCTTGTGCAGTAGAGGAGGACGAGGAGGAAGCAGCACCAGTTTGAATATGCTGTGTCGACGCCCCCGCCTCTCCGTTTGCAGCTGCGTCGACCGGCGCGTTGGAGTTTTGCGCCCGGGGCCCCGGTATCAAGTGCAAAAATGTCTGGGTCTGGAAGATTGCGACACTTGTCATGCTTGTCTGGCATGACCAAAAAGTTTGTGATGCGTGTCCAAGAAGAGACCCTTTTGCCTGTCATGCAAAAACGCAGTTTGTCATGCGAAAAACGCAACAGAAAGAGGCGCAGATATTTCTCATGCTTGGCTGTGCATTACAGAGCATTTACTATTCCCAGCGCAGCATTACAAGTTTCCAGACCCAGACATTTTTGCATTTGATACCCGGGGAAAGGAGAATCCCAGTGGCAGCCTCTGCTCGGGGACGGCTCATGCGCCCCGCGCCGGCGTTTCCCGGCTCCTGGTCTACCGGGGTTTGCGGCCCGGAGATATCTGGCGGGGTCGAAGGTTTTAGTTTTTGGAGGACCGACACGAAGTGATCCATAAATCATCCGTCGTTTTCGTTGAAAGAGCTTGAAAAAGTGCCAAGATTTCATCAACGTCTGCGCAATCTGCTGTCGCGACATCTTGATCTTCAGCACGCAAGCATCTGCATCTGAAAAATAAGTACCTTCCTCCTCCGGTCCCTGCTCCTTGAGCCAATCCATGAGGGAGCGGCACATGCGCTTCAGCATGACTGCCTCGTCCTCCGGCACCAGTTCCGGCATCAGCGTCTCCAGACTTTCGTCGTACTTGGACGGGGCGTGCCAAAACACGAACAGCGTCTTCTGCATGTACTTTTGGGCCTCGATCTTTTCCAAAATTTCCGGCTCAAACAACTGCGACAATCGGTCCTGCGTGTCTTTGCCCAAGCAGTGGTTCCCAAGTTTCGGGTCTAACAGCAGCGTCCACTTCATAGGCCGCTCTTCGCCGGCACCTGGAATAAATATAAAAATATAACGACTTATGTAGTTATCGTTGCGGTCTATATTTAGTATCTGTCTTCTTCAACAAGATCAAGAAATCAGTCCGATAATATCTTCATGATCTTCTAGCGGATTGCAAAGAAAAGACAGTCCCCCGAAAGTAAGGAAAAATCAAAACAATACCCTGGTGGTAATGCGCGAGCACGACGTGTAGCTGTTTTTTCATTTCGTGTTTCGAAAGCGACCGACTCTTCCCGGTCGTAGGCATTAACGCTTTCAGCCTCCCCGAAATGTGTCAAATGCAAACATGTCTGGGTCTAGAAGAGTGCATGTTAATGTTTGTCATGCTTGTCTGGCATGCCTCTTAAATCTGTCATGCACGATACCCAAGAGCCCCATTTTGCTGTCATACAGAAACGCAGTTTCTCATGCAGAATAGGCAACACCTAGAAGCTCAAAAGCTTGTCATGCTGCGCCAGCACTTGTGGCCTCTTCATGATACGCCACCCAGCATAACAAGTTTCCAGACCCAGACATCTTCACAATCCATAAAATCGCCGCACCAACGATTCTCTCCTTGAGTGCCTCCTTTTCCTCCGGCGTCTGCAGAAAATTCATCGGCGCCCAGGAGCAGTCCGCGACGCCCACGTTGCGCATCAGTCGCCGTTCCTGCACCGTCGCCTTGTACAGCCGCTGCGCATGCAGGAGCTTTTTGTCAACGTCGGGCTGTTGTTCCTTCTTGTCTTTGTTCACAAGCGACGTGCCTGCCGCGGTCGGGGAGCTATCGGGATAATCCACATCGGACAATCCGCAGTCGTATCAAGTGCAAAAGTGTCTGGGTCTGGAAGAATGCATGTTTGTCATGCTTGTCTGGCATGACTCTTGATTCTGTCATGCACGCATACCCAAGAGCTCCATTTTTATGTCATGCAGAAACGCAGTTTGTCATGCAGAGTACGTAGGCAACACCTAGAAACTCAGAAACCTGTCATGCTGAGCCAGCACTTGCGGCCTCATCATGATACGCCACCCAGCATGACAAGTTTCCACAGCCAGACATATTTGCAGTTGATAAATCGGTCAAGTCGTCGTCCTCCTTCGCCGGCGCCAGGTAGAGACCACCGGAATTTAACAAAGTGGATATCATGCTGTCCGTCAGCTGCGCGTACGCGTAGGGGTCCCAATTTTTCTCGTCCAAGCGGGCCGCTTGGCTCAACCGGACCGGCTCGCCCTTTTTGTTTTTTATCCGGACGGTTGGACTGTTGTTCAGGATTTTCAGAATCTCCAGCAAGTGGTGCTCGACTTTCTTCGTGGTCCGGTGCTGATACGCCTGCTTGTGCAGCTGCTGTCGTTGCTCGAAAAAATCTCGCTGGAGCATGTCCGCGTCTTTCCGCAGGACGCCCAGCGTGCGGAGCTTCCTGACAACGGGCACGATTTTCATCATCTTTTTGGTTTTACTCTTCGGCGGCGGCGTCAGCAGATTCGGGTCAAGGATTGTAGTTGGGACACTGCTCGCCGCGCCGACGGAAACCGTGTCCGGGACGTTATCAGAGGTCGCGGACTGCTCGGCTGCAGAAGTAGATGTTGAACTACTACCAAGCGGCAAGGCCATTGAAGAAGAGGAGGTGGAAGATGACGAAGTCGCTGCAGGCACCGCCCCGCTGCTGGCTTGTTCAGTACTATCCACCACATCCTGTAGTTCTAAATCGTCCGCAATTACTTCTTGCAAAACTTTCTATCAAATGTAAAAATGTCTGGGTCCTCTGGAAGAATGCGCGATTTGTCATGCTGCTTTTCCATGACCCATAAGGTCTGGAATGCAGGACCTAGCATGACAGATTCTGCGAGACCTTTCTAATGCCTGTCCTGCATGACAAACTACCTCCCGACTTGGTCAAAACTGGACGACTTTTGGCACTCATGCAACACAGATTTTTGCATGCTGCAGATTTAGCATGACAAGTTGCAATCTTCCAGACCCAGACATTTTTACATTTGATACTTTCTCCTCGTAGTCGTATTCCGCGACGGAGACATTGTTCAAGTACCGGGACATATCGTACGAAAAAAGTGTTTCACTGTAAGGATTTTGCGAGTTCTGCATCACAAGTTTGCTCTACATCACAGAGAAAATTTGCCATGCTAGATTCCTAAGGGAAAAGACAGCTAAAAATCCATTGTCTTGCATGTGTAGCAAAACAAACACTTCTCAGATACAGTTTCTGCATTACAAGCTCACAGTGAAACAGTTTTTTCTTGCGATAGGACAAATCGAACTGAATCTTCACGCCCAAGTGGTACGCGTCCCGCAAAAAATAGTCAAACCGGTCCACGTCCAATATGCATTGAAAAAGTATCATACTCGTAGTAATTGTTATCGTGCATGACAAATATCCCGTTTTAGGTATAATTGCATTACAAATTGCATTTATTTTTCTTCTTGAAAAAAATTTGTGATGCAATTTATACCAAGTAGTACGATAATTTTGCAATGCATATCCAAACCGCACCTCCAATTGGACACAATTTCCACCATCCAGGCCTTGGAAATGTCCCGGCCCTTGATCAGCAGCGGCCACTCCTTGTACAGCGTGCCGTTTTGGAGCGCTTTCAGGAGCTTTTTCTTTGGCGGGTGGATGAGTTCGAGAATGAACTGCTGGTCCAGTTTGGTGATATTTTCCGCGATCAACACCTCTTGCAGGTCCGCAAACATCTGCTTGGCAAGCAACAGCGACGCGTCCTCGTGGTCCCAAGAACTGTTTGGAACGCGTGCCTCAAGGCTGATAAAAAAGGGCGGTATATACTAGAAGTTGACTTATTCTGAAGAAAGTCAATACTTATCAACACACCATAGATGATAGATGATTCTTTCGTGTACTAGCGGTTATGTTGATAATTTTAATTTGAAGTTATCTATAGAGTGATAAAGTGTTCCAGGACGAGCAGAACCAAAAAAAAAGTCCTGAAGTTGAAGTATAGTAAGTTGCATTTATCTCCAAAAAGTACAACTCTATACCCGTCCTCGGATACGCTGCCCGCGTCAAACACTGCTTCGATTTTCTTTCGGTCCAGCTTCTTGTTTATGCTCTGCAAAAGTATCGTACTGGTAGTACAGCATGACAAAAGGTAAAACAGCATTACAAATTTCATTTGTAATGCTAAGCAAATTTGTAATGCAATTACTACTAATGCGATGCTTTTGCAATGCATATTGTTGGCGCTACACCCAGACGTCCGCATGAACTCCTCGAACATGTGCGAGAACGCGGGGTGGCCCACATCGTGCAGCAAGGCGGCGATGCAGATGCACACCAGATCCGTGTCCGTCATCAGCGGCTCCTCCTTGTCATCTTGCTCCCCGCCCCGCCGCCCGCCGCCGCCATTGTCGCTGTCATTGTTCAAAAAGAACTTGGCGCCTTTCCCGCCCCCCACCAGCCCCTTCCGGCGGAGCCGTTCGCACAGCGTGAAAGCAAGGTATCCTGTGCAAAAGTATCGCACTCGTACTAATGGCAATCTTGCATGACAAACCTGCCTTTTTACCTGAATTAGCGTTACAAATTCCATTTTTCTTTCTCATAAAATTTGTAATGCAATTTATACTAGTACGATACTTTTGCACAGGATACAAGGTGCGCGGTGCCGATGCTGTGGGAGAATCGCGTGTGGGTCGCACCAATGTACACGTATTCGCACACCCCGAGCTGTTTGATCTGCCGCATCCGCTGGAAAAGCGGGTGGTCAATGAACTTTTTCAGCAACAACGGGAGTGCAATGGTCCCGTGGACCGGGTCGTTGGTGCTGAAAGTCCGCATGATGCTCTCCTCTGGCAGTCGTGTGGAGGTGGTCGTGCGGTCTTTCTTTTCGATAGCAGAAGGAAGAAGACAAGTTCTGCAGCCTTGTGCGAGTTTGAAGATTCGCGCCCGTGGTGCCAGATATGCTGCTCCCGAGTAGGCTGTTCCGCTTTAGACCGCCTATTGCCACACTTCTTGGATTAAGGAGTAGTACTTTTTTGGAAAATAAATCCTCGTGAGTTACTTTTCCGTGAATTTTTCCGGAGGTTGTACCGATTTTACTGTTATTTAGAGTTATCAATTTGTATTGTATGACTGATGTAAACTTTCAAAAAAAGTTTATGCAAAATTCAAAACAAACTGAAATTTTGATTGTACGTAGTACTGTGTTTGGGACGCAGCACTGTAACTCTACTGCATCTACTTCTACTGCGGTTGGAAGCCATCCAGTGGCTATACAAAGAAATTGTAAAGATTCTATCGAGAGACCCCTTCTACGCTAAACTAACAACAGCATACAGCAAACCAACTTGTGTCTTGATTTTCTACAAAACTATCGTCGCATGGTGTACAACAACTCTCCTTTTCGTTATTGTTAAGACCTGGAGGTATGGTTCTTGCCTGTCACGCACGCGCAGGTTGTGGCTCTACTTCTAATTTTTTCTGCTCATGTTCTTTCATCTTCATGACTTTGATTTTACAAAACCGCTGCAAAAGTTCAGTGATCGCCTTTTTTCAAGTCAAGTTCTACTGAATCCCGGTTGTAGCGTCCTCTAGTTGTTGTAACATGTTCGTACAAACACACTTGTACAGTAGAGTCTTCCTTTTCTGTTGCCTCTGTAGGTCTGTTGTATCTCAAACTTGGTTTTGTAGAATTGTTGTCCTGTACCATAGTAATCAATGCCTCAAGCGTGCCTATCATGTGCTCCCAAAATGAATGCGAACTCGTCTGTTCTTGAAATTAAGATGAGTGAATTCATATCTGTCAGTAACTACAAGAGAATTGCGCTTGCCTCTGGCTTCGCTATGCCTATGCATGCTATCCGTAGTTCTGTCTTCAATTTCACCAATTTTATCTCCCGAGTCAGCATGCTAGAAGCAACTTCCTCGAGGTGCTATACATAATGTGAATAAGAATGCCTCACGGAATACAGGGGTGATATAAAAAATCAACATTTTATTTGCACTAAAAAGACGAGATCCGTATCCCAGAAACTAGGCAACGTACTTCCGATATTAAACCGTTCGACGTTGCCCGATAATTTGTTTTCGCAACCCAAAAGTCTAGCCACGACTTTTCGCAGTTGGCCACGACAAGATGGTCGCTTTCCAAAATTTTTGTCTTTCTTAGTTTTCTTTTCCCCCTATGATCGTAACGCTTTTGTGTAGATCTCCTTATCTATGTATGCTACGGTACCGTACTATCTACTGTGCATTTACATGATAATTCTTATATTGAAAACTAAAATCCCAAAGGGAAGTTTGAAAATAAGCACTGTAGCATAGCGAACTGAGCATAAATGTGTAAGCACATCCTGTGAAGGGTTTATTGAAAATGAAGAAGGCAGTTTACATGATAATTCTTATATGTAGAGATATTTATGAAGCAATTTTTCTTTTCTGGCTGTACAACTATGTACGTCTAGTACATAGTAAAAATCGCGATTTATTTTTTTCGTACGCAATCCAATTACAAAACACTCTGAGCTAGAACCAGAACTCAGCCGCAGCAGCAGCCTTGGAGGCCGCTGCCGGGGCTGGCTCGGGGGCCTGCACCTTCAAATGGTTGTTCAACTGGTTGATGTAATCGGTGACGCTAACATTGTCGGAATAGTTGCTGTCATGCCCGACGGAAGAGGGCGAGCAAGTGGTAGAAGCTCCAGAGTCTTCCTGATCCCCGCCCTCGTTGTAAAAATGATTTCCGTTCTTTTCCAGCATGGCAACTTCTACTCCCACTGTGTTCATCGAATTAATAGAATTAGTTGCAATATCCTGATTATACAGCTGCACACGGGAGGACTGAGCGGTACGGGCAACGACAGTCTTGGTGGGGATAGTGCTTCGATTTTTGTGCTTCAAGAAATTCTTCGCTACAATATGGCGTCGGTGCTCCATATCGTTAACTAGTTCGATCTTCTTTTTAGACGTAGAAATCGGGTAGTTGTTGTAGTTGTTACTTTTCACATCGGAGCGAATAAAGTTGGAGGGACTAAAACTTTTGCGCTCCTCGTAATCGTTTCTGAGCGCTTCTAGCAGTTGCAATTCTTGCAACTCACGTTGCATTTCGAGTTCCTCCGCATTTTCGTCCTCCTCTTCCTCCCTATTGCCAGAATTCACGATAGCGAGAAGGGTGAAATACATACCCAAAGTCACTTTGGTTCCCACAAAAACTCCCAGCGTAAAGCCGGTAGCGAGCGGGCAGACCACCATGCTTGCAGATCTACTGTGTGATGGGTTGATGTGGGCTACTACAGAGCGGCACTGTTTGCGTTTCTTTGTCACACTGTAGTAAAATAAAGATGCTCAGTTTTAATATAGCCTGCCAAGGTGGAAGATTTGAACAATTTTTCCTTATTTTTTGTACTATATGTATCACTGTGCAGCTACAGAAACGAATGACCTTAGAACAATTCTTATGGGGAAACGACACCTACGACAGCAGAAAGGGTTTTCACGAAGCTGCGTGTTGGCGTCGGGAACGGAAAATTGGAAATCAAAAAAAGAATGAGTGAAACTTATCGCTTTCGGGATTCCCACATCCACACTGGTTACGCTGCGCTCTGCATACGCAACTACAGCTATGCGGAAGCAATCCTGCGGAAATAGTACTACTACTTAGCACAAGTTTCTACCTAGAATAAGTTCCTGTATCCGTGACTGGGTCTGAGTCTGTGATATCTGGGTATAATTATTTGTATTTTCAATCGTAAACACGAGATGGTAATTAAGATGGTGAAGTTGTTTACTCTGACATAGCAGTGAAGTCACACGCGTCGGCCATGTGATGTTTTGTGGTTTCTTCTACTTATTTGTTGATGTACTCGCACAATTACAATAATCAGATGTAGAGCCCTGGTGTAAGCTGTTGCGAAGAGCAGGCTATTCTTCAAGATGAAGAAGAAGATGATAAAATAGTTGCGCGGCACGAACGGCACAACGCGAAAAAGACCTTCCCTACGGTCGCCTGATGATCTTTTGTTTGCAAGAAAAAAACGTGAAAAATTCCTGATCCGCGAGAAAAAGCGCTGACAGACAATCACAAAAAAGAAGCAGACACATATGTTGAGGAACACCGTCGTAGAAATAATGTGGCGCCGTGAAATCTTGATCAGCAGCGCAGCTCTGGTTCGTTCGAGCCCCCTCGAAGGGCAACGAGTTTCGGTGCAGCATTTATTTTTCTATCGCCAAACCAGAAAGATACAAGAGGTCGATTGTGCTGTTGTTGATCGGTTGCAAGAGAAGTACAATATAGAAGGTGAGGATATCCATCAAACTCGCGCTGGAGGCGCCAACGCAAATTGTTTCTGTTTGTTCATTTTTACAATTACGATCACAATTGAAAGATACACATGCCATGATCACTAATGTGAATATGCTCGTTGTAAGTCATTGTGCAACCCGACCCGCAAAGCGAGGCGGAAAAAAATGGATCAATCCAGCGCAAACAAAACGTTCCGGTGCAAACAAAACGTATCATACCAGCTTTTTTGGCTGTGCATACATTCTTCAAGTTGTAGCTTTCTAAGAATGGATGCCTTTGCGCACCACGTGATCCTTCGTTGGCGTATATTTCAGTGCGTTTAATGCCACCACACGATGAAGATGAGGAATAACAACTATCAATCATCGCCAAGAGTCATGATACCCTTGGTGCGCATACTTTGAGCAGCTGCATACCCCGTACGTCAGACCACGTCAAGTGGCCAGCGACCGCAAGCGCTCCGTAGGAGTCTTCGTGCGCCCCGCGGTCTCCGGCTAGGCAAAAAAGCTCTGGCTGATTTTGGTGTCCTCCTGAGTGCTCTCGCTTCTCCTGCGCTGCCGATGTCGCCTAAAACAAACCAGGCCATCTCTATCTACCCAACTTGCAGGCCGAAGGTCTTGAAGGCCTTGAAGCAGAGGTCGCCGAGTGATGCGTCTGGAAATACCAAAATTAAGAAACCGTCTCCGCCAAAAATGAACGCGGCCATCCGCGAAGACGCGTCTGACACCTGCGCAGCGTTGGGGAGAAAGAGTTTGGAACAAATTCGAAACTACAGCAGGCTCGCTCGTGTCGAAAGTAAAATACGTTAAGGTCTACTCGTACTTCTGCGAGCAGGATCATCATATTAAATCAAAAATCGGTATATTTTTATACATGCTGCGTCGCTGCTTCTGCGATTTCATCGCCTAGTGCCAGACACTGCGGGCCTCGCTCCACGCGTTCTAGGTCGTTCAGCTCAAACGTCATCACGTTCACGTTCGATTGCTGCGGCGCTAGCAGTATCCTGTGCAAAAGTATGGTACTCGTACTAATTGCGTTTATGCATTACAAATTTTTTTGTGAAGGCAAATCCGCATTACAAATTCAATTTGTAATGCTGAGCCAATTTGTATTGCAATTTATACTAGTACGATGCTTTTGCATTTCATAAGCAGTTGGATCTGGTTCGGCGCTGCGTTTGCAGCGGTCCGGGAGAACTTGATGTACTTCCACTCTAGGAGGAACTCGCTATTGAACACCTGATAGTTGTTCAGGGGATTTCTATTGCAAGACCACAAAACGAAATCTGTTTCCCATGCAACAAAGCAAAGAAATGAAATAGGAATAAAGCGAAGATGCACAAGAACTAAGAACTAGTTGCACAGCAAAACTGTACCTGCATCAGCACCCCCTCTGCCAGCAGCGCGTCCCGTACCTGCTCGACGTTTTCAAACCCGCTGGCGACCTTGCTGGGCTTCGAGGGGGTGACTTCCGGCGGGTATAGGTCCCCGCGGATGGGAAATATCCGCGCGTCGGGCAGCGAATCGAAAGTCCCCGTTAGCGACGCGGATTCCGTTCGCGCGGTTTGCTGGCTCTGGCTCCCGGGGATCACGGTGAAGTTGGCGGTGCCAGCATCGGGGGGAGGATGTGACGGTGGCATGGTTCCTGAGATTGTTGAGAACAAAAATGAAAATCATAAATAACACAACAGAGGCAGATTGATTGTTGACGTGACCATAAATCCGCTCCATGTAGGACTTCTCATGATCCGGCGTGGGGCCTCTTTTGGTAGATGTAACAATAGAGACAACAAAATCATAGTACCTGGCCGCTGCTGCTGCTGTTGCTGCATCACATACGCCGGCTGCACGAAGTACGGCGACCCCTTCATCGGCGAGGCCGTCGCTTCCACGCCCTCGGGCACGGGCGCCAAGGTGCTTTTGTGGACACCAAACCCCTGCTGCGACGCGCCGAAACGCACGGGATTGGGCGCTGTGCCGACGACGCCGCCCACTCCGCCGGCTGGTACAAAGTTTGTGGCGTGGAACGGCGCTCGCTTCAAGTCTCGGGCATTGTAGCAGTAGTGCTGCGCCGGGCTGTCCGGAGCTTCTTGGTAGGCGGGAGTGCACAGGGAACCGTGCGCGTCAAGGGCGTGCTCGTACCTAAAGGTTGCATTTGAGACAAGATATAGTTGTACAACTACAAGAGCGCATTTACATTTTTTCACGCCGAAGTTTTGAAACGAGTGATCCAGTTGAGCATCATCATCATCATCTTCATGCTCATTGTCGTATAACGCTCCCGTTGCTTGTGGTCAGTACCTTCTCTGCAGCTCTTTATCCAGAATTAACATGATGTCGCGGACGTACAGGAGGAATTTGTCGAAGTAGATCGCGTTTTCCAGCTGGTTAATCAAAAGATCAATCGCCGCTAGAGACTCCTCGTCGCCACCGTCAATTTGGTCAATGAACTTCTGGGTGCAGCTCATCACGTCCCCCTTGTCGATGAAACTGTCAGCGGACGCCGTCTGGGCGCCGGTGCCTGTAATTGGCCAATGTTTCTTTATCGAAATTCATTTTGCGGAGCGTACTTCAACAAAAGATCGAATTTGTATAGCAGCAGGACGAGTACGAAGAGGTAATCACAATCATTTTCATATTCATGCATGCAAACGCAAAATCTATACTTCGCAAGATTTGTGCCCAGAGAAACTGGCATTCTTGGTTCAGGTTCTCGCGGTTTCCAAGAACGATCGCGAATTGCTTTTTCAACGAGGAAATTTTCAAAATGCGCGCATCGTTCTCCTCTTCCCGGAAGAGACAGAGTCCCATTTTTGCCCGTATTTAAAGTACAGCCATGAAAGTGGTGAAACTTGAATTTTTCATACACCCGCCACGCCTGCTGGAAAAGCAACGCTCTCCATTCGCATTCATTGCAAAGCTTCTAGATTTACGTATTTGTATCTTTAAATCTATTACTAGTTCGGTAGGACAAGAATGATACTGCCGCTCGAGTGCACCCACATTTGTTTCATACATTGCAGCTGGAAGAAGCAAAGTACACACTCAGACTCTGTCACTAAATTTGTTTGGCGTCCTGCGCGTGCCCCTCAATTTAATAGCCGCAACGACTCACATCCGAATGCTTCCGCAAGAAACAAGCACGCACACGCCCCACGCTTGCTCCATTCTCAGTTTTCCCTTACTCCAGTTCGCCTACCAACTCAAACCATGAACACACGATGCTGCAATACTCGACTTTTCCGGGTTAGACGCTGACGACGCTGAGCGCCAGATCTACACTCGCCAAAACCTCCTGCAATCAACAATCAGAAAATGGCAATGGCCACCATGGCCATGCAGCAAACAACTACAAGCAGTCAGCCTTTGCCTTACGAGCTGCAGTTGGCACACATAGGACACGCCGGCCGACCGGCTGCGGGACGCCCCATACCACTACCGCGCCAGCGCCACACCCGACGACAACACAATAAAAAGTCGTGACGCGACATGACGCCGCTGCGTGCTGGAATGCTGGGGCGGCCCGCCAACCAAGCAAGCCGGGCAGGCCCCCACGTGCGCGGCGGGGCATAGCACGCAATGACAGCCTGCCAAGCTGGTGGCAATGGCCGCGGGGATGAAGAAAAGAACGAGGGGGCGGGCCCTTCTGAAACTCGCGGGGACCACGGTCGCAGCGGGCGCATGGCCTGCATGGCCTCGGTGTTCTTTGTGTCGGCGTTCTTCGTTCTTCACGATCCTGATTGGGCCGGTCGCTCGGCTTTCCCTTTTCCGGCTTTGCTCACCACCGCGACGAAGATCGCGGGCAAGGAGGGGACTCCGCAGTCCGGCGCCTATGCGCGCGCTAGCCGTAGCTGGGCGCGCGAGGCAACACGCGCACCCCCGCCGCCGACCTGCGACGAACCCATCGGGGCCCGGCCGCACTCGCTTAGCTGGGCAGGAGGGGCGGGGGCTGCGGGCGCGCCGCGCGGCGCCATTTTCCTGCCCGGCAAGCATCCGCCGGCCGCCCGTGCGCCCCCGGCGGCGACGGCGCCCTCTTGGGGCTAGGGGATACGGGCAGGCCGGGCGCGCGCGCGGGGTGCCCTCAACCGGACACACAGGGCGCCTCCCCTTGGATCTTCTGGCGGGCGCCTTCGAAAAACTCCGCGGAGGTTCGCTGCCATAGACGCCGGCCCTGCGCCGCGCAATCGTTTTTGCTCGTGATCGGGGCCCTGTCGCGGAACTTGAACGCATGCGCCCCACTCTTGGAAAAAGCAAAGCCCTTTGTTGTGCATACTTACTAGTGAACTAGCTGCGACGCCTCGAAATCAAACAGAAACGTCGGGACTTGAATCAGCAGCCATCTAACAACTCACACCAAAAGAGCATCTCGCCCAAATTCAATCAAACAGATCCGGCATCTTCGTCACTCTCTAAGGGAAAGGCAGTGCGCGCGAGACCGAGACCCTCAAGTGAAGTAGAATAAACAACGCGACGGACTGGCAGCAAAGAAAACGTCTCCGCAAGGCACAGGTAGATCCGGTTCCGGTGTTCCGGGCGACTCGGCGAACACGATCCAAAGCCTCACGCATAATTGATATAACAAGAATAAACATTGGAGGCGCTGGCCTCAGCATAAGAAAGTGCTAAGTCGCCACGGCCACTCCTGGAGACGAGGCCACGAAGAAAAAGCCAAAACAAAATGCGCGCGCCCAGCCACACACAGGAAACAATTGGGCGCGCCGCTAAGCCGCTACGGGGGGCAAAGTGCCGCGCCATGCGCTACCTGGTGAAAACGCGCTGTGGTAGAGCGGCCAGCCATGTGCCACCCCAGCCAGGGCGCTGAGCCGAGGCCACGAAGCCCCAACGAGGTTAGCCGCCCGCGCCCTGGAGGATCTGAAGCCAGTGCACAGCCGAAAAGCCGCCGCGGTCAAAACCGCGCCCGCCTCAACTTTACTGGAACCCGCACGCCGGGCCAGGGCCGTGCATCGCGGCCGGCCGGCGGAGCGAGGTGGGGGGCGGCGCGGCCAGAGGTGGGGCCGGGGGGCGCAAGGTGCTGCCCTGCGGCCCCGCGCGCCGCCTGGCCTTCTTTGCGCTGCGCGCGGGCGAGACGACGCCCACAGCGCCCGCGCCTCTCTTGCGATCGGTGGGCCGCTGGCGCCGAAAGTCTCCGATAGCGGTCGGACTGTCTTCACCGGTGTCGTCCACGCACATCGATCCGCGGGCCCGTGCGGCTTTGCTCCATGAATCCCGAGCGCGCGCACGAGCCTGGACAGGAGTGCGCGGGCGGTTTCAACCGCCGCGGCCCGAACGGAACGCATTCGGAGCGGCAGCCCCAGCCCAAACCGACAAAACGCAGACCACGGCGCAACTTGTCCGCGCTCACTGCAACTCATTACCTATCCACTTCGCTCTCGCATGTTTTGACAGATTGGAAACGGAAACGCGTGCACGTTGAGAGCTCCTCCTTCATCTGCTCTCATGATATGAGCAGAACTTTTGCGTCTCAGTCGCTCTAGTTCACTGGGAATCTCAAGGCCGAGCACGGACATCTTCAGCTGTCGCATCCCTCTGCCATCACCGTGCCATGTACGCTATGGCTGTGGATACATCCTGTATGAGAACGAACACCGAAAGGAAACGAACGAGCAGGCTCTGCAACTAGTCCGCAGCTGAGCCACGGCCTGCAACTACTACAACAGGCACAACACCAACAAAACGTTGAAACTGAAACTCTCCGTCTCCGGACGGTCGAAAGTCATATTGTCTGACATGCTATTTTCGCAAAGAAAAAACTCAGCCCGTACAATGAAAGAGTCTCAAGACCATCGAGCCAAGTGCATTTTCTTCAGTCAGAGTCGTACATGCTGTCGGAAGGCGAATGCTTCATCGCATTTGAATCTGTGTCCCCGAGTGCTTTGGGATGATTCTCAACTGTTCCCGAACCGCGACCAGCGACAGAAGATCCGATACTTGATGTCAAGTTCCCTCGGCAGGTCGCATTCAAAAGACTCTCCTTCTCGTCTGTTCTCGGCGCGCTTCCCTGTGCAGCAGCAGCACGACCACCACCATCTACCACATCGTACGGAGACAGTTCCACCGGAACCTGGTGATTAGGACTCGGTGGTTCCAAATTCATGTTGTGGTAGAAGTCGCTGGTAGAGGACTGCGCTCGCTTCCTTCCGCCTCGGAACGCTTCGTGGTCCACGACTCCGGCGTCCATTTCTACTTCGGAGCTCAAACCCTGCGTCATCCCCCGTGGCGGACTCGTCGGGATCCGCCGCGTCTCCTCTTTCGCAAAACTTCCTCCGCGAATGGAGCTGCGCTGCTGCTTGCGCGAAGCGACCCCGCTAACCTGAATCCCGGAGTAACCGAACCTGGCGGAAGCGGATTTCGGTCTTGTACGGGAGGAAGAGGAGGAGGCGTTTTGGTTGTTTTCGGGTTCTTCGAAGTACCCGGAGGGGTACGCGTTATTCGTATCAAAGTCTATCAAGTTCTTGTTCGCTCGTTCCTCAAGTGCGTACGACGCAGATCCGCTTGTTGCGCCTGTTCCGGTCGTTGCCCGTGGTGTTCTCGCAGAGTTCCTCGAAGATCTTGTGCTGCTACTCGTATTTTCGCGCTGCAGCGCTGCAACTGCACCACCCGCCCCACTCGGAATAGAATTCGAGGACCTCGGATCATTGCCGCTCGTGGTCCGCTGCAACGTTGCAGCCCGTGCTCCGACAAGCTTGGACACCAATCCTTGACCGGACGACACCGTAGTTCGAGTAGCCGCCGCAGTGCTCGGGCGCGTCGGACGAGGCGGGCCAGCAGCATGATCTGCGTCGAACTCCCCACGTTGGTCCGCACCTGCTGTCCTGCCATCGTAGTTCACATTCCATTTCGTGTCCGAATCGAACAACTGGGTTTTGAATTCCAGAAGTTTTTGCGTGAGGTAGGGGTGCGTCACGTCTCCCACGTCGTCGCCACACTGCCGCAGCCAGTGCCGCTTCTTCACCTGTCGGTGGTAGGCCTTCAGCAGTGGCAAAATCAAGGACTGTATAACCCGCTCAGGTGGTACAATCTCAAACGGTACAATAGAATTTGGAATTTGTGTTGCAAAATCCGCAACATCTGGCCTACTCCCAAAGGAGCGCGCATGACAAGTTTCGGCGCCCCAAACTTCATGAGAATCTGACGAAATTTGTATTGTGAAAAGCCCAAGTCTCTGCATGGTACTCATGCTCGTCATGCAAGACAAATTTCAGATTCTATTGTAACGTTTGAGATTGTAACATCTGAGCAAGCCATAGACTGCTTCCCTCTTTTCTCCGCGAGCATGAAGGGCGACACCCCCGTTTCCCCCTTCGTCCTCTTCGTGATGTGCCGGACATCCACCGCGTCCTCACAAAGTACCCAGACCACCTGCTCGTGCGAGTGCTCCACGGCGGCGTGCAGGGGGGTTTTTCCGTGGCAAGTTTGCACGTCCAGCGACGCGCCGCACTTCAGCAGTTGCTTGCACAACCTGGCGTTGCCCTTCTCGCAACACAGGTAGAGCGCGGTTTTACCGGACGCGAGCGGCTCGTCGACCTCCTGCATGGTTTCGAAGCGCGCGTGTTCCAGTAGATATTCCGCCGCGGCGTCCTTCTGATTGACGATCGCCGCGTGCAGAGGCGTTTTCGGGATGTCGCGCTGTCCCTGCAAATTGCCGGTGTTGTTCTCGTTGTTCATGTTCAAACCCTATACATTGCAAAAGCATCGCACTATAGTATGAATCGCATCACAAATATTTTCAAGAGAAAAAATGCAGTTTGTGATGCTGATTTCTCTTAGTTGATGCATTTGTCATGCAAGACGGCGATTAGTACGAGTACGACACTTTTGCACTGCCTAAACCGGGCTCTGGTGGCGGTCCCTGCCGAAAATCCGCGCCGTCGAAGCCGGGAAACAGATTTCGCTCGTGCACGCGGATCCACTCGTCATTGAGCAGCTCCAATTCATTCGCCCGCGCCACGTGCGCCCACGGATCGTTGAGCCACTGCAGGTTCATGGGTCCGCGGGCCGGTTCGCGGACTTTCAGCCCGACCTTCTGCTCGACTAACACTTTCAACAGCGGTAAATCCCCGTTGGCACACACGGCCATCAGCACTTTGCGGCCGACCTTGCTTTCCCGTTCGTGTTCCTTCAAAGCGCTGGTTAACAACTGCAAAGTCTCGACGCGATCGGAAGCAGGAGGTGGCTGATTGTTCGTTGTTGTTTCGTCCTCTTGCTCTGTCATGGAAGAGCTCGTGCGGCGGCGCGCGGCGGAGGCTGTTGGTCGGTTGCTGTTATTTTTGCCGCCGGCATTGCTGCTGTTGTTCGACGTTGTGGTCACTCCAGCCGTCCCGCCATTCTCCCCTGCCGCGGCTGCGACGCAAATCTCCAACGGCGTCATGTGTTCCGGCTTGGCAGTGCGTAACGGCTCGGCGTTCGCCTCCAGTAAAACCTTGCACACATCCGGAAACCCGTTCCGCGCCGCGACGAACAGCGGCGTGCGCAGCCGGCTCGTGGACGTCATGTTAATGAAGAGCCGAAAAAGCGCACTGGGTCGCAGCGCGTGTTCGCCCTCCGTTTTGTTGCTGATCAACGGAGAGGACCAGAGTAACTCAAAGTGCGCCTTCGCCGCGCTCAATAACAGTCCCACCATCTCCGTTCTGCGGTGCCTGGCCGCGACGTACAGACAGCCTGCTAGTTCCGAGTCGCGGGAAAGCAGTGGGGCAATCACTTTCCCGACCAGGTGCTTGGTCAACCGCCAAGACGGGTCGGTTACAAACCGGAGCGGGAAGGGCTTGTTCGCTCCGTGTTTGGTCTGCTCCACAGGCAGTGGTCCCCACAGAACGGTCTGCGACCACGCGTCAAAGGACTGCTCTTGGATGGCGAAAGAGGCTCCCGGACCGCAAATTTCATCAATCCGCCGCCCTCGCGGGTCCTCAAACCTCTTCTCGACTTCAGCCGTGCCCGCGAGACTAAGAACAGCGTGCACCCCGGCCAGGAGACTTTGCTCCGTCGGCTTCCGTGGATCCAGCACCGCGACGGTGCGCAGGCGCTGTTCCAGGTCGTTGAAGACGCACGTCTCTGCGTGCAGCGCGGTCGCCTGTCCGTGGCACAGTAGTAGCAGGAGCGGCGGCACCCGGAAGGTGCTGTCCACCCGCAGCATCTCGAGCATGTAGGTCGCCGCAGCAGGTTGGAAGGGGGACACATGCCGTGGGAGCTTGCGGGGAAAGGTCATTATCGCATCGGCGATGTACCGCTTTGATAGAGATGATGATATTAACCTCGTCCGGGTAGAAATTGATGTTGTTTCATCTCGTCCTCCAGCATGATCTTCGTTATCAGAGTCGCTGTCGGCATCGGAATCGCTCTGCTCTCGCAAGTTGTAGTTGTTGTTGGCGCCGAACCCGTCTAGTACCTGCGCACCATGATCTACAGCCCCACTTTCCGGCATTAGCGCCCTCCACCGAATTCCAGTGCCCGGAGTACTTCCTGGCGCCGTCTCAAATTGAATATTTTCCTGTTGCTGCAGTTGTCCTTGTCCCTGTTGCTGTTCCTCTAAGTGGTCCAAACCCTCTTCCTCGTCCACGACGTTAATCCGAAACAGATCCTGCCCGTCGAACATGAGCGCTTGCTTGACAAAACTTGTCATTCCGTTTTTCACGGCCCAGAGAAAGGCGTCGCGCTGCATCCAGCCGAAGTTCAGCTTCGAAACCAGCAACACCAGCTCCTTCGGCGCGACATTTTTCGGAACTGGTTCTCCAAAAAAAAAGACAAAACTTCGCTGGCAGCTGATATCGACCGTATCGCGTAAGTACCGGCAGGTTAATCTGGTGGTGAGAAGGTCTATTCCATCCAGAAATTGCAGAACCACGCACAAAGCGTCCTCGATCACATCTTCAAGCGTGGTGAAGTACTCGTCCGACATCAAATAGTCTCTGGAAGATGCTGGGGAAGAAGCGGAATGTTGAATCATCTGCAGATTTGATCTTGCTTGACTGGAGGTAGAACTCGCGTAATGTTGTGAGCCGCCAGGAGTATTTCTGCTGCGATTCCCCGTCTGGTGTGCTGGAACTTGCCTGTCGCGCACTCTGTACCTGTCCATCAAATTCGCTTGCCTTCCCGCTGCGGAGGCAAGAAAACTTGAGGACGCCATGCTGGAAGGTGAAGACTTCCACATTTATTTCACTAACGAACAAACAAGAGGACCAACACTAGAAGAGCCAACGCGTAAGAACTACAAATCGATGCGTCAATGGAGAGTGTGGGGTGGCAGAACCGGAAGAATGAAGATGATAAAAAAAAAGTACCACCATGAAAATCAGTTCCAATTTGCGATACTCGAAATGGCAACTGACCTGCTCTCCATGATCGCTCAAAGTTTGATGTGATCAGTTTTTTTTTTCACCTTCGCTCCAAGGCAGTCATAAAATCACACAACCAGGAACAAGGACCAATGGTCTGCCGTTCTTAGAACCAAGCTGTAAACCACATCAGCATTGGCGGCTTGCTGCCTACGTGCACAGCGAGGCAACTAATGTTTGTTTTTTAGTTCTGGGTAGTTCTTCTTGATGTTGACCGCAAAGACGTACAAACATTGAAGTTCCGCGTTACATACAAGGTTCATTTCTACGGCCGGGTACCTGCCAGAAACGTACTAACTTTTAATCGGGGATGATAAAACGGCGGGATCCTCCGTTCGACCATACAGCCTCGGGGGAGAGGCCGTCGTGTTTAAATGCAAGACATTTTACATACATCCGACAAAGAAAGCACATTTTTTCATTTTGGCGACGAAAATTTTCCAAGCACGACGAAGAACTACGTGGTCGCGCTCGGAATCATTTTCCGTTTGTACAAAGCTTATCATTCATTTTTTTCCGAAACTTGACGTAAAAATGGTAACATACGAATTTTTACTTAGCGGCTAGGCGCGAGTATTATCCACCACACTACAAGTGGATTTGCTATAAGTTCAACTGGAATCATAAAATCGGTTTGAAATTTGCCCTGAAGGCGTAGGTGATAGGTTTAGAAAATAGTTGTTTCGTCCAACTTCAACTTCAAACTAATTGGTCTGACTACTTGCGTGGTCATTTAGTTCTAGCTTTACCTCTTCATCCGCTTTTATTTGAGCTACTAGCAGGGTCGTTTTATTTCACTACATAACGTGGCAATCCGACCGCATTTTCTCCTCGGTCAGGCACTCGACCGCCCGTCCGCGCTGCTGCCTCGCTAGCTTTTCTGTTTTCCGCGCGGCCTTGGATAGGCCGAGGGGTGCCAGCGTCCAGTGGGGAAACATGTGTCTCCTCAAGTGCGGACAAGAGTCGCACAGTTCCTGGAATTCCTTTACGCCGACGTTTTTGGCAAGATTCTTCAACTTGTTCTTCCCGAAAACGCGAAGGGTTAGTGCCTCGACGATTTTGCCCTGTGTTGTTTTTTGTTTTCTATGCACACTTCAAGCTGATTGGGTTGCTGGTTCTTGGAAGAACCGAATCAGAAGCATCAACAAGCAACATCATCTAACTTCATGCAGACGATATAACCTGAAGAACTTCGAGCATCAAGTATTTACCGGGCTTTTCTTCTCCAAAGGCGGCAGAATGTCCTTCATTTTGGGCTCCAGAATTTCTTCCTTGACCCCGAACTTTTTGAACAGATCGGAGAGCTTCTCTCCGGGCTTCAGACTCGAGACTAGCACGTCTCGTTCCTTTTGTCGCAGCGCGTCTTGCTCCTCCAGCCACTGCCAGTAGAATTTTGTCCGCGATATGCTCGTGGGATCGCCGACGATTTGCGTCAACAGCCCGTCTCGGTCGAGTCCCTTGAACTCCTCTTCCTGTTTCCGCTGGTTCGCGAGCCTCGCCGCCTCTGCCCCCGCTGCGGCGGTCGCCTCCAGCATCTCTTGCAGCGACATCTTGCTGGTGTCCAGACCGGCCATGGTTTCCGCGACCAGGTCTTTTTTGGTCGCTTCCAGATCCTCCTGTGGCTCGTCTGACAGCGGGTCCAGGTCGCAGAACGCGAGCTCGTCCAGGAGAAAGGCGTTGCAGATGGCTAAGCAGAAGACTTGGGTGCACTTGAAGAGAAAGACGAAATCTTCCATCGTCATGGATTCTGTTTTAGTTTGTGTTTATTTTCCGTAGTTTCTCTATGTGTTTTGTTCACGATTCTGAAACTATCGAAATGCTCATGTAGTTTTATCCCGGATGGGCGGCTTTGAACCGAATAAAACACGTAAGTACATACTTCTTCATCCATGCACCAACATACTCAAAAAAAAAAACGGAAGTAGTACGCAGCTGCCCCGAGTCGAACAGGATATCAATCGCGCTTTCCATGTCCCTTGACAGAAGCAGTTCCAGCGCGTTGAAGACTTTTCTATCCAGCGCCCCGACGTCTGTGAGCGGCACGCCCAGCCTTTCGAACGCGTCCTGCAACACGCCAAAAAACGTCGGCGCCATCCCGTCTGCGAGTTTCACGGTGTGCCACAGTTGAGTGAACTTCTCTAATGTTAAAGGTTCTGTGTCGAAGTACGGGTTTCGTCTCCCTATCCTGCTGCCCGCGTCGATATCCTGCACCGATCCCGTTTCCTCCTCCTCCCCTGTATTCAAGCCAGCTTCTACCTCCTCCACGCCCTCGCACAGGCGCTCTTCGTTCAAGTTCGCGCACCCGCAAATAGCGGAAAAAACTTCTACGGAGGCGCCCTCCTGCAGGAACAGCTGCGCAATGTTCGCGTTGCTGTCGTTGTTCACCGCAGCGAAAAGAGGGGAAACGCACCGGTCGTCCTGCGCTAAAACGTCCGCGCGACCGTCAACCTGAGAGAAAAGTTTTAGGCATGTTGACCGGACATGTGATTTTCAGCTACTATTTCATGTTCATCTTGTACGTAACGGACGAAAAAACAATGTCCGTGAGTGTTCGTACGACCTAGTACTAGTAGCCGTAGCGAGTCGTTGCGCATGAAAACCGAACCCGAAGTGGAATGATCAAGAATACCAGTAGCTTTATGATGTCGAAGATTTCCTCCGCTTCTTTCCTGGTTCTACACCTCCTGCTCGCGAGTTGCAACAATGCGCTGGCTTTATTGGACGACGACCGCCAATTCAGGTCGATTTTGTGGGACATGAGCAGTTTTGCCATCTCCACGGACTGGCACTCCCACAACGGGTTTTCCCCGCTTCTCGGATTTACGTGGTTCACGTCCGCCTTGTTTTCCAGCAGGTACCGTGCCACTTTTAGCCTCTTCTGCTCCACCGCGGCGTAGAGTGGTGATTTTCCCAGAAAATCCGTGGCGTTGATGTCACACTCCTGCTCCACCAACTTCCGGACAATCAAGTCGAACCCTCTTCTCGCGGCCCAACCGAGTGGCGTGATGCCGAACTCCACGTCGGCGATATCGCAGCTGGCTTTTGATTCGAGGAGTTGCATCATCATGGTAACGTTGTTCTGGAACACCATTTTGATTAACACCGGAAAGCGCCTCACGTTGCTCGACTTGCTACAAACGACTGGGTTTGATCTTTTCGCAATTTCACTGAAAATTTCCTCCTCCTCCACCGGTGCTTGCCTGGTTTCTGGAATCTCGTAGTTGTCGTCAAAGCTCGCTTCCGCTTCCCTCCAGTCGAAGTGGGCCATCCAGTGGGGAACGACGTAGGTATTGGAGCTGTAGTCGCGGCATAGAGAGACGAGAAAAAGGTTGTCGACCTCGAAGGGGGTCTTGACGGTGAGAAGTGTTTCGTTTTCGGGATTTGGTTGTGTGTCCGACCCGATGGCGGTGGTAGCGGCGAACGACATTTGGGACCGCATCGATCTCGCGTTAGAACCGCGGTCCGACTCGTAGCTGCGGTGGTATAATTTTGAGTGAGGTGGTTTCAAAATAGCGCCGTTAGTTTTTCGTGTGTCGAATCACCATAGGTAATTTGTTGCAAATTTGTCATGCCAAAACATCATCAAACCACCAAAATTATATACGCCGATTTTTCCCTTTCCTTCTCCCTTGTGCTGTACTCGGGTTTCTCTGTGAAAAATCTCAAATTCGCCTGCTTCTCCGCGTAGATCCCCTGTGCTTCCAATTTGAAGCAGATGCTCGCGACCTCCTTCGGGACTTTGTGCAAGTCGAGAAAGAGCCCGACTTTATGTCTTTCGGGGTCCAGAATAAACGCGTCCCGCTCGAGCCTGGCCGCCGACTGCACCGATTTTGGCGCCGCGGACGCGGCGGACGCGGAGGCGCAACTACGACTGACAACGGACTGCGAGTCATCGGCGTCTAGACCACCTCCGTTTTTCCTGTCTTCGGTGGGCGAAGATCTTGGGGAAAACCCGTCTTGCTTCGCCAGCCACGTGTCGTGCAGTTTCTTCCTTCCGATTCTATCCTCGTAGTCCACTGCGTAGATCCCCTCGGCTTGAAACCTCTTCGGCATCTTCTTCGCTTTCCGCCCGGAGACGCTGCTAAAGCTCCGTCGCATCTTTTTCTTATCCTGCTGGAGGCCCTGCCTTTTGTCCGCACCGGTGAGGTCAACGGCCATCTCCTTGGGGAGAAGGTGTGGCGCGAAGTGCTTCACGACGTTGTTGTTCTCCGCGGTTATTCGGTCGAGCTCGGTGCCTGATTAGTTTTGGCAGGTGAGGGAATTGGGAATGGGATTCGAAAACGAAGTCACATAGATCAGTCGCAATGAGAATGAGCTCGCGGTCGAAGTTTCGGAACGAAAAAAAGATAAAAGAATCCCGTATACCGTCCTTGTCGAGTAGTATTGCGTGCAGGGCTATGAGCGGCTTCTTCGCATCCACTACCTGTGACAGTATCTGTGCCGTTGAAAACGACGCTGCGCCGACTGAGCTCGCGACCTCTGGGAGTTGAAAAGCCCCAAATTCACCATTTGCGGAAGCATCGTCTCGCGGCGTGAGTGCCGTTGCTGGTACCTGATTAATAGTGGTCGATTAGAAAACAAGCATCTCCTACTTTGGCCCCTTGCTTCGCTGTACTTGCTGTGATATGTGTTGACATCGACAAAAGAAAGCTACTTGAGACGATTGCAATTAGCGCAAGACATCAGATTCACTACCCTCGGCGTTATCTGTCTGCTGCCCATCTTCGACTGCATCCGTGATGCGGCGTTGTCTATGTACTCGAGTGCGTCCTCAACGCCAAATGGTGTCAAGCCTACTTCGACCGCTAGTCTGGTCGAGTCGTTTAAGTTTAGCTCCGCGCCTGGTTTCCCGCAGTAACCCGGGTCCTGCTTTACCATATGGGAGCACTCGCCACCTGTGATGTTGCGTATCACGCGTACACGACGTAATCGTAATTTTAATTCCATTTTGACTGGAGCAAAAATTTATTCCGTTTAGATAAATAGGCCAGAACATTGCCATGACGAGAAGATGATGAAAAGACGACTGCTATTGCAATGTCGGTGCTCAAGATGAAACCCCGATGAAAAGCGAACAAATCCTCCTGTACTTCTATACCAAGGTCGAAGTCGTAGGGGTGGTAGGTGTCCATGACGGACATGATGGTTTTGAAAATGTTGTCGTTGAACTTGTCAATCGCGCACATCAGCGCGTTGCAGCGGAAGACGTCCAACCTCGTGTCCGCATTGGCCCCCAACCCGCAGAGGAAGGAGACCAGGTCCGCGTTGTTCCGCGTGATGGCTTTCATCAGCAGCGTGCGGTTGTTGTCGTCTATCCCCACGTCCACCAGGCCGGGCTTGTTGTTCAAAATCTCCTTGACCTGCGCGATGTCGTTTTTCTCCATCGCGGCCCGGAGGTTCAAGATTTGCTCCTCGTTGCTCGCCGCATCGTCAGACAGAGGTTCGTTCTCCGCCGAGTCCACGGGCGACTCGTCCACTTCCTCGGTCTCGGCCATGGTGGCGGCTTCGAACACGGACGCCTGGCTTGTTCTCGCGTTTTGATATCGGATTGCACACAGTCAATGAGCGCTGATCGGCCGCAGCAATGCTCAGCCACGCAAAAGCAAAAGAGCTTGATTCTCGGGTACTGTCCTTGTCACGGTCCCGGAAACAAAGAATAACACGAGGCCAACAAACTTTCACGACACGAGTCCTTTTCTTACTTTCTGCTGACGCACTTTGCTATCACACGGCTTTTACACAGACTTGCTCGAATGATTCGTGATTTTTTCAGCTCCTGTTAGGCTACGTAACTGACAAATCAAAATCAGGGTCATTTTGCGACGGCACGACCAATGAGTGACTGAATGAACTCTCATAGTCGTGACAACACTCATTTGCGCTCGTCCAGACGAAAAAAAAGCCTGCCATTTGACATTGAAACAGCTGCGCTCCGACACTTCTCATTTTTCACTCCCAATAGCTTGCTCAGCCGCAAAACAAACCAACGCGAATTGGGTCGAGCAAAAGAGAAAGACAAAATAAGATTGACTAAACCTAATAAAGGTAGTATGGCTACGGCAAGAAGCCACAGAGCACAAGGGGTCTACATCAAGTTCTGCGATGCACTTACGAAGCTGCGCCACTGCGCGCACCTATACCACCTATACTCATTGCACCAGCGGAAGGGTACGCGCGCGCGCTTGCGACTCCCGCGGCGCCCAGCGCGCTCGAAGACAACCGCGCGCGCGCTGGCGCTTCCAGCCTGTTCAACATACGACATGGGGGGACCACCCAGCGCGAGAACCAAAAGCCTGAATCGCGCACGGGCTTGGCCCAAGCCCCCGCCCCCCAAGCGGGGGCGATATAGGTTTCCAAGGGCGGGGTAGACAGGGCGGGCCCCCGATGTGAGGGGAGGGCGGGCCAATGCATGTAAGACAGGCCGGCGCGGCTAGCCCGGGAGGACGAGGGGCGCGGAACTGAGTCCGGGCCGGCCCGCCAGGCCGGCGGCCCGGCCGAGCGCAGCAAGCAAGCGACTTGCGAGGCTGGCGCGCCATGGAGTGGGCACTGTAGTTGATCCATTCCCTATCGCGTGCCCGCCCGATGTTGCCCGCCGGCCGGGCTTGGGCCCGGGTACGGCTTTGCATCTTGCCGCGCCCGCCTCTCCCCCCCGCCCATCGAATGAACGAAGAATGGAAGGAAGCGGCCGGCCTGCGGCCAATGGGCCGACCGGCGGGCCCACAGACCTCGCGGCCCCCGACGCGCTGCCGCGCCCTCCTTCCCTGTCTGCCGTCCCGGAGTCGGGCTGCCCGAGCGCCAAAGCGGCGGCCCGCGCTTTATTTTCCGGGCCGCCAAGTGCCCCAGCGCCAAACCAGTTCCCGCGCGCCCGCGGGGCTACGCACTCGGGAATATATATGCCCAGATGGGGGGGGGCTGGCTCGGCTGGCGCCCTCCCCTAAGTAAGGCCCCAAGGGCCCCAAGGCGCGCCTGGCCTGGCTGCCGAAGAAGTTCCGCCGCCATCGGGCCGGCGCTTCGCGATCGCGACCGACCCGCTGAATATGCGCGACATATGGCGCGCCCTGCAAATCACCGAAGACATGGCCTGGCTGTGATATCTGCACACCGCCACCGCCGCCGGCCTCTAGCGGGGCGCGCTTGCAGCTTCGCAAGGCTGCGCGGCGCCGCCCTGTCGTGCGACCTGCTGAGTGAAGTGGGCGGACCTCGGCCCGCGCGCACCTGCAACGCACGGCCGTCGCTTCGAAGTAGTGCCGGCAGCGCTCCACCAGGGTCTTCCCTAAGTCCGCGGCCCTGCTGTCGCGCGGGCGCAGTTGTCCACAAAGCGCTTTGGCTTGCGTCCGTATGAAGGGGCGCCACCCCGCCAATGCAGGGGGGCCGCGGCAAAGCCGGCGGCCGCAGGCCCCCCCCCCTTTCCCCATCAATGCACGACGCGGCCCGAAGTCTGCCGCCCTGCTGGCAGCATCCGGAACCTGCCGGGGGGCGCTAGGGATGCACTGCGGAGCCCACCGACTCAGGGCCGGAGTCTCTCACGGCGTTACGTCGCCCCCCCGGGCTGTTCGACTCGAATACCCGGCGCGGCTTAAACACCTTCGGACGCGGGCGGGGTCCGCGGTCCTTCTCCTTCCGCGGCTCCCCCTCTTTCTTGTACCCGAGGAGCCCCAACGGAAGAGCTCCGCCCGGAGCGTTCGCATATGGGTGGCCGATCTCGTTCCACGCCTCAAGCGGCCGGCTCGATTCCTCGGAAGGCATACAATGCCCGACGGCATTGCGTGGCCCTGTTTTCCGTTGGCCTGGTACCAATCGCGCACCGTGGGCCTCCCAGCGCAATGCGACAAAGGCTGCCGACTTTGTTGGCCCTCCGCAGATTTTTGGCTGCTTGGTCCCTGACACTGAAGCCCAACACTCAGAAAAAAAATGAAGACGAACACAGTTCACTTCCGCCTTCACGTCGACGCCCCCTGTTTCGCAAAAAAGCAAAACTTTTGGCGTGGCCGCAAGTCATCTCAGATGGACTTCCGGGGCTCCCCTCTGTGAGATGAGCTTGTAAACGATTACAAGCTGGCGTTGCACGAAGATCGATAAATCGGAATTGTATTGTAATTGTTTTTTTTTATAATCACAAGTATAGTATCTATTTGCCTCCTGTATCAAGGAATTTCTTCACGAATTCAGGCGTATTTTCAAAAATTTAGGACCGAAATCCCTTCACTTGCGGCTGGCTCTCGGTTTCGAGCCCACCCCCGTGCTTCCTGTCAGTTTTGGACTCAGTGGCGCTTTGTAATACATGGCGTGCCCGTTCACATGGATATGCTCACCGTCGGCCGTGAGGAGGGGCCTCATCGTCACCAGCTCTACTCCACCTAGAAGAGTTTTGTGCTTTCCTTTTTACCGATGATACCAAGTCGTGGTTAAGAAGAACAATGCGGACTAGGCTTCTTCGATAGTTAGCATGCGATAAAGAAAAACACAGTACTGAAGTGCGCACAAAGCAGTTCAGCAAAAAACCAGGATAGGTACCTCCTCCGGGCATGGGTATTAGTGCTTGACATGTTTCCGCTTTCCCTATTGGCTGGGAAGTTTCTGTGCGGTGCGCTGCTGGTGGACTTTTTTCCTCCGCTTCAACCGCTACAGGCTCAGGCACAACTTCGTCTATTACACCTTTCCCCACCGGCCCTGGATCGTCCAACGCACTATCTTCAACCACGCCGTCTTCTTTTCTCCTCCTCGCGCGGCTTAGCCTGCCGCCGCTCTTGTCGCTTTGCCGAGAACTACTTCGAGACTTCATCTCCTGGTCCAGCGCAGAGGGCTCGTCGATTTGCGACAACGACGGTTCATCTTCGCGCTCCTGATCGTTTTGACGCCCAGCTTCAGATGAACCGGGTTTTATTTCTTGCGGATCAAGAAAAGGGTTCTCTGGCTCTACCGCTTGCTCAAGAGCACTCTGGTCGAGGTTGTCAGCGTAGTTTTCGTTGGTGTGTTCCAAGTTTTCGCTGGGAGGGAAGGAGTCATCTTGTTGTCCGCGATTTATGTCATCTTCATGTGGCCCGTCCCCTACTCCCACGCCACCATCATCCGCCCGCCTCGGACTTCTTTCCCGACTCGCTGCGCCTGTAGTCTGTTGCGCGTCAATATTAAATTCGCTCTGCACTCTCCTTCGCGGTGGCGGTGGGGGCGGTCGATCTCGATTAGTCGCTTTGTTGTTGTTTTTCTTACTAGACACAACGGAACTCGCTTTCGAAGGGGTTTGTTGGTTGGACTTGGAGCTGTTTCCTATTATCGCTTGTTCCCCCGGGACCTGAAGTGGCTTTATATTCATCATCTCCCCAACCAGATCCGCGGAGCTAGACGAGGACGGCGCTCCTGCAGCGCCATTATTGCTTCTCCGATCCACCTGATACTGATTATTCGGCTGGTTTTTCGGCATGAACTTCAGATGCTTCTCTGTAGCGTTGGGGTGGGGTTTCCCGCAGGCTGCACACAGAAACTCCCCCGCGGCATTTTGCGCGTTGCACGCCGGGCACTTCCAGGGTTCTTTTGGGTAGCCGCAATTGAACGCGTTGCAAATCTTCCGCTTTTCGAAGTTCAAATTTAAGCATTTCGGGCAACGCCACTCCCCATTCTCTGGCTTCCGCCGATTGTTCCTATCGTGCACCGCGCGTGGGGTGGTCTCGTCGCGTCCTCTCCGCCCTTCACTGCGGCGGCGGGCGTGGCCGCGCTCACCGGACCTGTGATTTCGATCTCCCCGACCTCCCCGGAGCCCGCGGGGCGGGCTGCGACGGCGCGATCGGTCATGATCGTCCCTCGCGCGCGATCGAGCGAGAGGATTTTGACCCCGACGTTCATCATCCCTGGCACCGTCACGATCCCGGCGCTTGTTATTTATTCCTGCCCTTTTGTTACTGCCGCTCCGGCCGTTTTGATGGTTTTTACCACCAGCGGTCCCGTGATTCCGACAATGCTGCTTGTACTTTTTGATAAACTCGAAATCGGTTATCTCCGTCGTTTTCCACTGCTTGCTGCTCATGCAATACAGATTTTTTTGGAATCCAGATGTAGCATCACAAGTTGCATGCTTCCACACCCGGACATCTTTGCATTTGATACCACGGGAGCTTGGTCAATAACCATATCCGCGGAGCAAGACGGGGACGACCCTCCCGCAGCGCCATTGTTGCTTCTCCGATCCGCCTGATACTGATTATTCGGCTGGTTTTTGGGCATGAACTTCAGATGCTTCTCTGTAGCGTTGGGGTGCGGTTTCCCGCACGCGGCACACAGAAACTCCCCCGCGGCATTTTGCGCGTTGCACGCCGGGCACTTCCAGGGTTCTTTTGGGTAGCCGCAGTTGAAGGCGTTGCAAATCTTCCGCTTTTCGAAATTCAAATTTAAGCATTTCGGGCAACGCCACTCTCCGTTCTCCGGCTTCCGCCGGTTGTCCCTATCGTGCACGGCGCGAGCGGTAGTGTCCTCGCGTCTACGGCTACGCCCTTCACTGCGGTGGCGGGCGTGGCCGCGCTCGCCGGACCTTTGATTTCGATCTCCTCGACCTCCCCGGAGCCCACGGGGGCTGCGACGGCGCGATCGGTCATCGTCCCTCGCGCGCGATCGAGGAAGAGGGTTTTGACCGCGAAGTTCATCCCTGGCAGCGGCACGATCCCGGCGCTTGTTATCTATTCCTGGCCTATTGTTACTGCCGCTCCGGCCGTTTTGATGGTTCTTCTTATCACCAGCGGTCCCGTGATTCCGACAATGCTGCTTGTACTTTTTGATAAACTCGAAATCGGTTATCTCCGTCGTTTTCCACTGCTTGCCGGAATAAACCGCGCAGCTGCGCGTCGTCCTCGTCCTCGTCGGACCGCAGGAGGGAAAGCGCGGGCGGTCCTCCAGCCGAGAATTCATCGCAGAAACCGGGTCCTCAAGGCTCCTCGCGCCGAGAGTCCAGCGTGGTCACGCCTCCTCCGGCCCAGATTCTTGACACGGCTGGACTAACGAACGAAGCACACCAGGACGAGCTTTTGGCACTGGGCCAGGACGTCGAGCTTTTGAAAGTGCTGGGCCAGGACGAGTGTTCGAAAAAAGTGCTGACCCGGGACGGGCTTCGGAAGTGCTGGGCCAGGGTATGAGAGCGCACAACCCCCCCTCCCCCTCATTTGTATAGCATCAACAGCAATACAAGCAACAGCACACGTGTATGCTGTGCATGACAAATTTATGCACGGATTGTAGTGCTGTTCTCGCTTCCAGAATTTGTCATGCGAACAGTGCTACAAGGCAGCAGCCGGATCGGGGATTTTGCATGAGAAATGAGGGGGAGGGGGGGTTGTGCACTGTCATACAGGACTTGTGAAAGTGGTTGGCTGGACCGGCAGTCGTTGCTAGCCTGTGGAGTAGTAACAGTTGAGAATGTAACGTTTGAGAACCCCATAAAGTATCGGATTACCACGCAAATCCGCGAGAGCGCAGCAAGGCTGCTTGGGTCCGAGAAAATCGTTTCTCTGGAAGATTATCCGTTGCAAACATGTTACTTATTTGGGAGAGGAACGATGAAACAGAACGCGATCACCTGCCAAAAGCATGCGCCGTCTTGTTGTGCTTCTGAACATAGTAATCTCGACTGCCCGCCACGGGCAGTCGAGATTACTATGTTCAGAAGCTATTCTTACTGCTCGCGGCGCGAGCAGTATAATTCCTAGAGTGTTCTGCTGTATAGTATCATGTGTATGCTCCACGCTCGAGCGAGCAAGAGCATTGCACTGCCACTTCGGGCTACACTTCGAAGCGCACTAGCCACACATACAATTTAGCATCAAAGATTTCCAAATCCAAACGCGTTTGCAGGTGATAAGAAATTTCATCTCGCGATGCTCGAAATTCCGAACGATGGAAAAATATCCTACAGAAAAGAACATCCATACCAGAATTATATATGAGTTTACATTGCCAAAAATCGAAATCCAAATTCTCAAAATACTGAGCCACAAGGACAACTCCATCGGTATTGTCATTGTGGAATTCCCAGGAGAGTAGGGTCATGCTAGACACAGTGCATCATGCATCAGATCAGACACGACTGCATCTGATTGATTTTTCTGGTATGGATGTGCTTCTCCCTTGGATAAACGAACGGTGACGAGGAAAAGGCTCTCAAATCGGAGTTCCTGTGCCGAGATATCAAAAAGAACAACACGCCCAATGCACCATACGCGACGCTGTTGGCTATGCATTTTAGAACGTCAGCCTCAAGTAGCACTTGCGAACAAGTGACAGCAAAAACAATCGACAAAGCTGCTTTGTCAAGGAAGTACTTTTTGATAAACTCGAAATCGGTTATCTCCGTCGTTTTCCACTGCTTGCATACTAACGTGAATTTTGTCCGCAGACGAAATTTTTCAAATTTTTTCATTCTCCGACGCCCATTCGTCGACTCCGCCTCCGGTCTCCAGGGTCGGCCTCGAGTTCGTCACCGCAGTGGCCACCACCTCGCATTTCCAGGAACAACCCAGAGCAGCGACTTTATCCTCGTTCCCGTCCGCACCACTGCCGAGCGACTAGGCCGCGGCGTCTGGGTGCCGGCTTCTACCTGCATCTGGAAAAGAATACGCTTTTGATCGATGAGAAAACATGTTTTGATCTAGCTAGCCATTGACACATTCCAGAACTGCAATAGTCTAGCTATCTTCTACTTTTCGGGTCCCACTACAGCAAATCAAGAGTAGCTAAATTTGAGTCCCATTTTTTCATTGAGGATAGCGCGGACCCAGCAGGGGCCACAACGGTCGATGGGTCGCCGAGGCACGCCTCAGATCCGGAGGTTCTCATGTTGCACCACCTTGGGGACGGAACGCTAACCCTAAACCCTGCGAGGACTGGCGTGTATTGTCGTACGCCAGAAAGATGTTGTGTCTCCCATTGCCATGGGCGAGGATGGGCCTTGAGCCACTGTTGACTTTGTCGAGCAGCCTGTTGATCAGGTGGGCTCGGGCCAGACTCCCACCGAAAACATTGGCGCGACCCGCGCCGCGATAACGGGTTCTTCAAGTCCGTGGAAGGCAAAATTTTTCAGGACTTCAAGCAACCACACCGGGAGCAACTCCTTCGAGATGTGAGGTCTGGCGAGTCGAAACTGCCGGAGCTCGCGGTACTTTTTTCTGAAATTTCATCACCATGTAAAGCAACCAGGCTCATTCGGTATTGATTAGCGCGGCGCAGATCATGACTACAGAAATCTCATGCATTAGGTCGGGCTTCGGCAAAATTGAGCCAGAAAACTGTCGCGACCTTCGCGAATAGTCAGGAGCTCGAAATCGGTTATCTCCGTCGTTTTCCACTGCTTGCAGGCCTTGCGGTTACACTCCAGACGACCGGAAAAATTTAGGTTCCGGTTCCCACACTTGATGCAGAGCCAGGTTTTGCAGATGCACTCGACCTGATAAAGGTTTTGATCTTCACACTTTTCCTTTTGTGATACAAGTCCTCGCCACATTTTTCGCGAAGAAGTGAGTACTATAGGAATTCGAATTATCCTCTTGTTCAGCTAAATCATCAAAAAAACTTTGTGTAAAGGGACGAGAAATCCGGATTACCACAGCGACGTTTGTGTGCTGACACTGCGAGCAATCCCAGCTCCGATCGTCGTCGGGGGCTCGCAAAACTTCAACCATTTTGTTTTAATATTCACGATAATGCGATAGGATGCCTAATCCACTTTGAAGTAAGATAAAGAGGCGAAATCGAAATGTCATCAAAAACGCTGGAAAGAGTGCGGCTTGCGTTTGTAACCTGAAAAATCAAAATGCGACTCAGAACTACCGACGTACCCAAAAATACAACAAAGCCAGGCGGCTTGCATCAAGTGCCAGAGTTCGTTCTAGTTGATCAAGTAGTGAGCTTTTACCGTTTCAAGACAGAGAGTTCAAATAATGGAACTCTCCTAGTACGGAAACACGACCTGTAACGATGTGCGCTGATCGTATGCGATGGCTTGCTGCCCTTCTGTTTCTGATAAAAACACAGTGCCTATTGTACATGTTGATGTTTGTGTTTCGTCATTAGCAACGTCAAAAATAGATCCACACACGGTAATCACTTCGAATCCAATCCGATAAACTGCGATTTTCCCTGATGCCAAAAAAGTGATAAGTTTGAAAAAAACCGAAACGGTTTCTTCTGCTTTGTCAATTGGAAAAAATGGTTTGTATGTATGCTAAAAAAGTCTACACGGCGTAAAAAAGTCGGAGGTACCTCCATATGCATAAAATCCTGCGAGAACATGAATATGTACATTGTGTCGATAATCCTCAACCTAAAGGGGAAACCAAGAATAAGATACATTCAGAATAGGACTAAACATGATGTAATTCTTTCGAAACTACAGAAAAACAATGCATAAGACAGGACAACCTTGTTAGCTTCTTCTCTGTAAAGTACCAGTTACCTCTCTTCACTTCCTCGTTTTCAGCTGCTTTGTCCCCGCGGACACGGACGGTGCGGAGCGGATCTCTCCTGTCCCTTTCAATACGCCACTAGTTTTACCAGCACTAGGCCTATTTCCTTGAACAACAACAGACGGCGCTGGTACAACTTGCTCCTGTTTTACCTTTTCCGCGTTCTCCGCTGGATCGTACACCGCCGGCGGGTGAGGTGACTCCGCCTGCAACCTCGCCAACTGCGCCTTGCGCTGCTCCAGCTCGATTTCCCTGGCTTGCGCCGCTTCTCGTTCCTCCGTAACAATCTTGGCGGCCGCGTAGGCCCGGTCCCGCGTGCGGTTGAATTTGCGCCACACAATCTCGAACTCCTGTCGCATCAGGAAGGAATCTGGGATGCTGTCTTTGTTCTCTTGCGTTTTTTCTCCTTCTCGTGGTCCAGATTTATTTGTCGCGTTATCTTCCTCCGCCCCCGCCCCGGATAAGAGTTTGTACGTTTGCCGCGCGTACTCGTTTCGCTCCCACTCCCGCAATTTGAATTGCCGGGTTTCCAACAGTGCCCTCGCGATTCGGACCTGTTGCCGTCGCGCCAGCCGCTCCACCGCGTCGTTGTGCAGCTTCGTAAAAATGTTACTCGGCTTCAAGGACGCCGTCCGCCGGTCTGGGTGCGGGTCCGCGGCGACCGCGAGGACGCGTTTCGTACTGTGCAAGTAGTCGAAAACGCTCGCGAACAAGTGCTTCCGCATCTGCAGTCTCGGTAGATCGTGTTGCATTTCCTGCAACTCCTCATTTTGGTCGAGCGCACTACTACTACTCCCACCTCCGTCATTCGTGCTGTAGATCGCCTTCATCATGGGCGCTAACCCTGCGCCGCTGCTTCGGTTGTGGTTTTCCACCAACTGGCCGCGGTACAGCTTGACCGCACGGTGGTAATTTTTCTCCATCCGCACAAAAATGCACTTCCGCATCTCCTGAATCCGCGCCCGCTCCCTTTCGATACTATCTTTCAGCAGCAACTGTTTGTTCTTTTTGCGCGCGAAAAATTCCGCGTACAGCATGGCGCTGACCTCCTGCGGCGCGCGCGGTGGCTATGCATTGCAAATATGTCTGGGCCTGGAAACTTGCGATGCGAATCTACGAATGGTGGGCACACTGCAATATGCTGCCCAGCATGACATGTTTTTGCGCTGCTGTGTGTTTCGGTTTTCGCATGACAAACTGCGTTTTTGCATGACAGGTGGCAATAGGCCCTTTTCCTGCTCATGCATCACAGATTCAAAAGTCATGCCAGACCAGCATGACAAATTTGCATTCTTCCAGACCCAGACATATTTGCATTTGATAACGGCCGGTCCATGCCGAGGAACGCCCTTCTTTCCTGCCGCTGCTTCTGCACCAACTGGGTCAGAGACCTGAGCATCACCTTCTGCGCCAACTCGCTCTGCTTCAGCAGGTTCGCCTTCTTCGCTTGCCTCCGCTTGTAGTCCTTGTAGAGTCCCAACCAGGCGGTCTCCGGGTCCCACTCACCATTATTCGCCAACTTCTCATACTTCACCTGCAAAGCTACCTGCGGCGCGTGGAAGTGGAAAAAATCCTTGTCCGCCTCGTGCTCCCGCTCGTGGTCTCTTTGCCGCAGGATGTTCGCGTAGTTGCCGTGCGCTTTCATCGCCCAGGTCGGGTCGTTGTCCAAAAAATCTCGCCCGCCGAAATCGTCTTTGTAAGATTTCAACGCCGTTCTAATCGTCGTTTCCACCTTCTCCGACAGCTCGACTTCCTCCTTCTCCTTCCTCTCCGCACGGAGCTTGTTCCGCGCGAGCGACAGCTTCCCCAGGGAGTGTAACCGTTCGAACGCCGTGGTCATTTTACTGATGTCGGACGCACGGGGGACGTCGGGGGGCAACGCCGCGTCCTCCTCCGCGTATTTTTCCACGCTCATTTCGGGGCGGTAGAGACCCTTCTTCTGCAATGCCGCGTAGGAGGCCATGGACTGATGTAACATCTCCTCGAGCTCTTTCTGGTAGTCCCGCTGGGGACGCGCGTTGGCGATGCGCTGGTACGAATTTTTGTGATAAACCAATTCTAGAAGCAATAGAGGCAAACATATTATTCTTGAAACTTCCAGATCCACATCTCGTTCGTTACATGTAATGTCAAGCCAAAAACCCGAGGAAAAGCGTCAGCACTTGAAGTTCTTGATTTCATTTTTTATTTTTTGTTTCATACCTCTTTTCTCCTTTCCAACATCTCCATGCCTTGGGAAAACATCCCGGCTAGGAACGCATCCCGCTCCGCTTTCGAATGCACGTCGTCATTATGGATTGAAAAAATGTCTGGGTCTGGAAGATTAGAACTTGTCATGCTAAATCTAAATGATGCAAAAATCTGTGTTGCGTGAGTGCCAAAAGCTGTCCGCTTTTGACCAAGTTGAGAGGGAGTTTCTCATGCAGGAACGGCATGATAGAGACCTCAAAGAATCTGTCATGCTGGGTCTCGCATCCCAGACCTCATGGGTCATGGAAAACCTGCATCACAAATCGAAATCTTGCATTCTTCCAGACCCAGACATTTTTGCATTTCATAGTCGTGACTGGTCAGCAAATCCACCCGGGTTCCCAACCCCTTCCGCCTTGCGATCCGCTCCAGCTGCGACCGCCGGACCAGTTCGTCGTCCGCTACTCGTTTCGCCTCCGCGAGCGCCTTTTTCTTCGCCGTCATTTCCGCGCCGACCGCGTGCATCCGTGCGCCAGCGTCCAGTGCGCGTCTCGTTTGCTCCAGTGCCCGCTGCACTTTCAGCTCCCGTCGTTGTGCTGCAGAGGTTCTACTCCCCGCATAATTCGTCCCGTAGTTCTGCTCCTTACTGCTAGCCGCAAATGAAGAAGAATCTTGTGCGGACTCCGATCCGGAAAGAATTACCTGCGGCTGAGCCATGTTCAAAGTCCCTGGCGCAGGTGCTTCGCCCTCCGCGTGTAGCCCCGGCTCCGTTACGGTTGTAATGTTCGAGACGGATTTTTTCATGTTTGCCCCTGCTGCACCACTCGAGTCGTCTATGCTTTTCCTGCTAGTACTTTTCCGCTTGCTCTTCTCGGAAGTGCTTTTCTTTTGATCGGTAGAACTGGTCACGGGAGAGGATGATGACGTCGCGCTACTGGAGGAGGAGGAAGACGTCTGCTTGCTCGAAGACTTTTCTGACGACTTCTTCGCTGTGGACGAGGACTCTTTGCTCGCAGTCGCACTAGAACTACCGCTACTGCTACTACTACCCCCAGACGATGACGAGGAGCCAGAGCCACCTTTGCTGCTCTTTGACCCCGCGGCAGAAGATGAGCCGCTCCCGGACGAAGAGGCCGATGATGTCGTGCCACTTCTCGACGAGGGCGCAAAGAGGAAAATCGGCTCCTGCGCCTTCAGCGCGCGGGCACGGGCCGTGATGGAGCTCTCTGGCTCTCGATGGTGGGAGGAGGAATGTGAATAAATCGGTTCTTTCACAGTCCAGGACATCAAAGAGGTGGCCACAGAGGATGACATTTTTGACCCATCATCGTCAATCTCTGGCACTTCCGACGGTGGGCCTAGGTGACTGCTGTCTCTAGCTGACGAAAAACTGCTGGAAGATGAAGAACCGGACGCGCTGGAAGAGGACGTAGAAGAAGCCGATTCTGAGGCTGACGACGCAGAGGATGAGCTCGAGTTGCTGGTCGTGATAAAACTTCTCCTGGACGAAGAGGACCCGGAACTTGAAGTGGAACTTGAAGCTCCCGAGAGAGAGGACGAAAGGTCCGTCATTTTTCGAAAAGGGCCTTCTTTGCTATGCAACTAACAAATCCAATATTTGTTTCCACAAAAAAACCGCGCCCTGCGAGCAAAAACAGAAAATGAATGAGGTGTTGATTGGTTCTAGGTGCATCTTCAATCAAGGTTGCTCAGTCCGACTTCTGATTTGTTTGCAACGACAACGAAAATATTTCATCATTCTACGAAGGAGCCACGGCTAACTAACAGGAGGGCGAACCTTGCATACGACCCGCACAGCAAGTTCGGTTTAAGAGCAACGAAGATGAATCTCGTTCACGAATCATCTGCTGACGAGATGTTGACGATTCAATGAGACCACGATCACAACCAACCTTACGAGTTCTACTTCTTATCCAGCTGGTTTAACTTTACTTGCAGAACTTTAGAACCTTGTTCATCTTTCTTCTGACATTTCCAGATACGAATTGCAAGCAGCAGCCGTCACGAGCATCGTTTATTTACGAAGATCACGACCGAGCGTTGATGAGTAACACACAATAAATTCGCCACGCCTCGCGGGGAGGCGGATAGAATTCGGTGGGATTTTTTTTTTAATTTCCATGCTCAAGAGGAAGAGCTTTCAATGCTGTGAGAGAAAAGTTACACGTCAAAAGAGTTGTCGGAAAATAAGCAAAAGATAGAAAAGAAGTACTTAGTAAAGCACAAAAAATGAGAACGTTAGTAAAAGTGGGAAATGCTACAGAACTGCGCTTTTCTGTTTAATTTCGTGCAGCAGAACCCGGTTCGAAGAGCCCTGTGCTTCTCTGCCAAGCAGCACAAGACCCCTCTTGCAGGTTCGTCTTTTTCTTTAGTTGTATACACGATGGAAAAAACATTGCCGATCCTCCTTCTCCTGCTATGCCACTGGTCTTGCGCCCAGTCGTCGAGTTTCTATTTTTTTACTAGATCAGCCCGAAAATTGTGCTGCTGCTGGTGGCATTAAGAGAATCGGCATGTTTGGGGGAAGGAAAAAAAACCACAGATTTTTTTGAGAAGAGATTGGGTAGCCTAGGAGATGATTTGACTCTACTCCCGTCAGTAGTGTAAAAAGTTTTAAATGCCGCTAGGTATACATAAGCAGCAAAACTCGTTAATTTCCTCATATATGCGCTTGGAATTCGTCTTGAAGAGTACTTCTAGAGACAATTACTTTATCACACATTCTTTCCGAAGATTGCTTTCTGCCTTCATTTCAAATCGCGACAGAAAAAATCCTACGAACAATTTTTTCTTCTTGATCATCTTGCTACCGTCATTACGCAAGACGCAGCGTTTGATGATCATGTTCGATGTTCAATGCAAACACAACGGACTATGTTCATCTTGTGAGAGCTCAAACATTGTCCGCACTGCCACCTCCGTTACTGCCACCCGGGTTCGCCGCCTGCGGCGCGTTGATTATGCCTGTGTAAACGCTGTGTGCTTGGTCGCGGTCCGGAAACTTCTGACCGTCAGATCCGCTCCGGTGCTGGGGGGCTATGGTTGGTACGTTCCGCAGGGCCGCTACGTCTACGCTCGCGCTCTGTTTATTTTCTGCCTGTACTGGGGCGCCTACCCTATTAAGATAGTCGTCGGCGTCCGTTGTCGTACTGTAGGACGTCGGCTCCCAGCTATGGATTGCAAAAGTGTCTGGGTCTGGAAGGTTGGAACTTGTGAAGATGCTAACTTTGGACTCTAAAAAATTCTGTATTGCATGACCAGCAAGAGGAGTCCGGTTTGTGCTACGCGTGGAGGGCATTTGTCATGCGGAATAGGCATCAGGAAGGCCTCTAAAAATATGTGATGCTAGATCATGCATTACAGACATCCTGACTCATGCAGAATATGCATGACAAACCTTGTAACCTTCCAGGCCCAGACATTTTTACATTTGATACCAGCAGCAGGTAACGTAAAACACAGGCCAAAAAAGCAGCCACTATCCTGAGTAAAAACGTACCCACACCAGTCGCAAAGACAGGAAGACTTGTAATGCGCATCCGCATGAGAGCCATTTCCAATCGTGTTTTGGAATTTGTGATGCTGTGAACAGGATGAGCAGATGAATCTGTGACGCGGCTGCACTTGCTAACCTGCACTACACTGCAGAGTGCAACTTGTCATGCGTGACTCACAAAACTCCTAGGTTTGTGTCGCAAAATCCCCATCCTGACTCTGGTGTGGGTACGTTTTTACTCAGGATAGCCACCAGGTGGTGGACATTAATATGGCAACTGCGTCGCAGCCCGCCCAATTCACGTACGTGCAGCATGGCATAAATACCTGACGGGAGGAGTTTTTGTTTTTTCGGTGACGGATGCGCGCTGCGTTATATCGCGCGCTACGAAAACGTAAGGCAAGATAGTAGAAGAAGATGATCATCGCAGATGAAGCAAACAGGAATGAGCAAAACATGAACTGAAAACAGAGAACGAATTCCAAAATTTATACCCTCAAGTGCCAAGGTGGCGAGTGCCTCTTGTCCATTCCGCATACGCCTATGGGGTGTGTGCGATCAAGCGGACAGCAACACACACCTCTATCACCGGGCGACTTTCCGTCTGTGATCATCCCCGGCGCAAGGCTTTCGCTGTTCTTGCTTTTCGTCAAACCTTTTGCCATCAAATGGACTTTGCTGTCCTCATGCTTGCTTCCGCTGTGGTGCGTATGGTGGTGGGTACCATGGTGCCCAAACTCTTCATCATCGTCCCCGGCACTGATCCCGTAGTTTTTACCGCTACCCTCGACGTACACCGCCTTGAAAAAGTACGCCAACAGGCCGCCGCCGTCCTCCTTGGCCGCAGCTTCTGTGCCGTGGCCACTACGGTGGTGATGATGATGGTGATGATGATGATGCCCAGAATCATGATGCCCGCTAGAAGTTGTAGCGGCACCTGACGCAGCTCCTGCCTCCTGGTGGTGGTGGTGGTCGACGGATGCCGCCGACCTCCTCGCAGCGGGGGCGGGACCGCCGAAAAGTTGTACCGGCTCTTGACCTCGCTGGTCGCGCCGAGTTCTTATTGTCTGAAGACTTGTAGTACCCTTCGGCAAGCTCTCAACGTCTTGCGCCGAAGAATCGTGTGCCTCGTGATTCTCCCCGCCGGCATCCTGGTTTTTTATCTGCACAGGCCTCTCGACAACGCGGACCTCGTTCGAGTTTTTAGTACTATTTGCCGAGGAGCTACTTCTACTAGAGGTGTCGCTCGAACTTTCGTCGCCGTAAAAGTACAAAAGCCTGTCCGTTTCCTCCTCGTCAGAGGACTGGTCTCTGAAGTAGAGCCGGAATGGATCTGTCATAGTTCCTGTAAGAAAGTCTCGAGTGCAGTCTGGTCTTCGTTTCTTTTCTGCGAAGATCGGTGAAAGGAAGCTGTTGTGGTCTCGCGCCGGCTACGTCGTGTCGATAAGCTGCTGCTGGATCAACTGGGAAGTGGCTGACACAAGAAGCAACCGATCAAGAATGATAGAATAGATCGATGTCGTAGTCATACTTGTCTCCGCGGCCTCTCGCGGCCGCAAAAACAGATAATTATGGTGCAATCAATCGTTCGTAGGGCTTCTTCAGTCATGTCAATGAAATTCTGCATAAATATCTTTCGGGAAATTTGTCTCTGGAGGCAAGAGGTGGTGGGGGAAAGATGCTTTCATTTCATATTTTTCTCGGTTTATTTTCGATAAATTCTACGAGAACGCACAGAGCATCAAGCCACGGTACGAAGTGAAAGCGGCAAAAGTGGTCCACAGATGCACGAAGGAAGATCAAAGCCGAAGGACTACCATGCACGGACCGACAATGAAGCAGTAGCGCGCACGAGGACGTGAAAGCACGACTTTTTACCGACGGTGTTCCAGACGCCACGTGTTTCTAATATACTTTCGGACGAGGTGTACGAAAATTACGAAATACTAGTGCGGTAAGAAACTTTCTTGTACGAAGGCGCTTTTGTACGCGAAGCAGTCACGCTCGACCGTACGACAGCAACAGAAGTTTCTTGTTTGAACATACAATACACCGACAAGAAAGAGGGACGTACACGAAGCTAGCACAAAAATTAGATAAGTACATAGCACCGAAAAGTTCTTTTGACACGATTCAGACCGACGGGGCTTCTTTGCGTCTCGCATCGTTGCTGCGACAGACAATTATACCAGGAGAAGTACCTGTATGATTTCTCAAACGAAAACTACTGCGAGGTGGACACAGAGCTGCACATCTTCTTCGTCAAGACGTAGATAAGTTCGTCAACAGTGGCGGAAGACACAAGCCTAATATGTACCGACAAAATATCAACAAGGCGCACAGTGAATACAGAGTTTTCTCAGAAAGAACCGAGAATCGGGTGGGACACAGAGATGTGATGAAATTGAAGAAATTAACCGATTTTCATAGTTTCATTCCATTTATTTTTACCATATGCCTTGAACGGACACGGGATTGGCGAAAACTTTTGGCAGTCGTGCCAGCGCCACTTCTCCATGCCGATACAATCCAGTGGCAGGAAATTTAGCGGGTCGCGCAGCATTCCGGAGCATGCTTATTCATTTATTTTTTGACTTGCTTTCTGATGTAAGCAGAGGCGAAGGCTAATTCCGTCTCTATTTCACCAGAGGAAAAAGACACATTTGTGGTCTTTATTAGTGGCTTCAAAAGAAGCGCGATTCAAGTGGCACGACCTAAAGTTCACTGTATCACAAACCCCGCCAGAGTCCACATTCATCTCGAAGCCGAACCACTACTACGTGCAGCCTCTTGTTCCATGCTCCAGTCAGAATATTCTGCTGGCACGTCCATTAGTTCCAAGCCACAAGAAGCGAAAAGGCTAGCATCAACAAACTGATGCAGCTCAGTCGGCCCGCGGAGGCTGGACTTCCCCCCTCGCTTGGTGCAGTTGTAAGTGTTGCAGGGCACTTATGCATTGCAAACATGTCTGGATGAATGCAAGGTTTGTCATGCAGGTGTTACATGACCCATGAGGTCTGGAATGCAGTACCTAGCATGGTAAATTCTGTGAGATCTTTATCATGCCTATCCTGCATGAGAAATCAAATCCCCTCTCAAATTGGTAAAAAAGGGCGGCTGTTGGTAATCATGCAACACAGATTTTTTGCATGATTCAGATCTAGCATGACAAGTTGCCATCTTCCAGACCCAGACGTATTTGCAGTTGATAGCACTTGTCTTCGCACCATTTGTGGAATTTGTCCTTACCGCCGTCCGCGGTCAAGTCCACCTTTCCTGACACATATGCTATACAAAATTCCCGCACATGTACAAAATGCACGACAAATTTCGACAACTTCCTTCAAGACTTGTCATGCTGACTAAGATTGAAGGAAAGTTTTGTAAATGTACGGGTATGACTACGATTGAAGGGAGTAGACAGCATTTGTACGTCGTGTACGGGAAATTTACTGTGGATAACACAAGGCCGAAGAGCACACAGGTCGACGTGGCCGTTTGCTCGACGTACCCTTTACATTCCGGATGCATCTTCGTGCAGGTGGCTCCGCAATAGTCGACCGCACAAAGTGCGAATATTCATGTTAATGTTTCATTCGAAACTATTGCTAGGCTGACCTATCTCTGACACGATAACAGGAACTGTGGAAAAACTGAAACGACGGAGCTGCGGCATAGATGTCGATGACGCTAGCGGGACACGTAGTTGTCAATGAATGACGAAAACGAACGGCATTCAAATCTGCAGGCACGGTTGGTAGTCCGGAACGACCTGTAGCGCAACCGGTTGAAGAGGATCGCGAACGAGGGCGCGAAATGAGTAAGTCAGTCAATAAGTCTTTCTAAACAAAACGGCAGAGGGCTATGGGCCTTCGGGCGATGAATGACCCTAGGGCCGCAGATTCGCCATCCGACCTCCAACACTGAGCTTGATTGACCAACACCGAGCGCACGCACGCACTCTCGCTTCAGGACAGGTCCAGGCCGCCAACAGCGAGCACCATAGCCCCCTACGGAATGCCGGAGCAGGAATGGGCTAGCCCGCGGGGCTTCGAAAAACATCAAGCCGGGCTGCATATGCTACAGGGCCCCAATGCGCGGCAAGCCGCCTCGGGGCCTTTCACATGCCCGGGGCCGCCGCCGGAGAGCCAGCGGGCCTCCCCGCCTCGACAAGAGGGGCGGGCCCAAACTGGGCCGGCGGCCTGGCTGCGCCGAAGGGGCGGCGCCTGCGCAAGCGCGCCGGCAAAGTCGGGGGGCGGGCGCAGAAAGCAAACAAAGCCGCCCCGCGGGGCGGGTGGGGCGGGCGCGCGGGCAAGCAGATGGAGGCCCGACGCTCCGAGCGGCCTGGCCGTGGGTTGCGCGGCGGCGGGCAACGTTGGACATAGCACGCGAATGACTGGCAGTTGCGCGCCGGGCGAGGCCGCGCCGCCCGCGCGCCAGAGGGGCTGCGGGCAGGCTCTGCAGCTTTCCTCTGCGCGCTACATGCACGGCGCCACGACCTCCGGGCAACCCCTAACGGGCAAAAGCGAGGCGGGCGCGGCTTCCCTCCCAACATCCATCGGGGGGGCGCTAGGCGCGCCAAAATTCTGCCCCCCGCGCGCGCCGCCGCGCGCTTTGGCCGGGCGGGGGGGCCCCCCGCGCGTCGGTCGGGCCCGCTCCCCGCCGCATCTAGGCCGCAGACCACCAGCCTAAAGGCGCCGGCGCCCGCGTCGCTGTAGTGGGGTGGGGTCGGTCCTCGCTTCCCATACTAACTCCATAGAGCGCCCCGGCCAACTTAAGCTGCACGGGAAAAAAGACTGGCTCTACAAAGAGCGCAAGTCTATGAAATACCCGCCGGACTACGTTCGGGGCGAACTCGGTCCCGTCGTCGACAAAGCGGGCCCGCTCGGGCGGCGGCCGTCCCCCCCGCGTATGCAGCACGGCGACAACCATCGCCCCGCGGGCCAGCCGCCTGCGCTTCTGCACGAAAAAGAAGCGCCAGGTCGTCCATCTGATCCGGGGCCCCCGCGAAATCGTCGGCAAACAAGTCCTGCGCGGCCCGGGCGGGGGTTTGCAAAACTGTCTGAAGGTGCCCGGGCGGTGTATTTGCGGCCACCAGGCCATTGGGCCCGGGCAAAGGCCCGGGCGCCGCCCAAGAAGGCGCCCGCGCAGCCATGAGGGGCGACGCCAATCAATTTCGCGACGACGCTCGAACCCGTTGCGAAACGCCCGGGGCGAGCGTGTGGCAAGTCGCGTAGTTGACATTCTGCGGGACTATGTGCCGCCGCCGATCCGGCCGAAGGCGGCAACCCCAAGCAGACCCGCCGCTAAACAACGGGCGTCGCCCTTCGTTCCAACCGGCTGCGCAGGCACACACGCGCACGGCGCTTGGCGAGAGCGGGCGCCTTTCAATTTAGGCCCTACGTTCCCCCCCCCCCGGCTGGGCATTGACGGAATCGGCCCGCCCGTGCTTCCACTCCGATATACTGGGCATAATGGGCTCGCGATCAAACAACAACGCGGTCGCCCACCTTCTTCGTGCGACACCAGTGAGGCCGGAGCACCGCCAACGCGTGAACACTTTCATTTTCATTGAGCCTCCTCATGAAATTTAGGAGTGGCATTCTACAGCTGCTGCTGCATTGATCGTAATTTACGACATCGCGGTGGCGTAAGTTAACTGCGTCTAGGGTTTCAAAAGGCAGACTCCCGAGCGACTATTATGTCCGCCAAAATTTTGTTCGTCGGTGCTTCCAACCCAACCTTTGCGGCCTCTAGTGGTATTGCCCCATTGATTGCTCCGATTTCGCACCTGGTTTTCATGTTTCAAAAGTTTGTTTGCCCAAAAGAACAAATATGTGCTTTGGTTTTCGTTACTTACAAACGCAAAATCAAAGCTGAGAAAGGCCACAACAGAATCAGAACAACGCATCCGCTAAGCCAAAAATACTTCCGCTTCGCTAGATGGTCCTGCAGCATCGACGGCTGCGCTTGTCTCACAGTGGATCCAAATTTCAGCACGTGTGCCTCGATCTCGGCGTCGCTATTGCCGCATTTTAGCTTGATGCCCTTCGCCGTGGCCACCTTCGCGGCTTCCTTTGCGCACGTCAGGCTCAGGTTACGGGCCTCCGGGCAGTCGAGGATTTGTCCGACGGTAAAACCCAGCACCGCGGACACGGCGGAGTTGGCGCAGTTGCAAATCAGTTTTTCCCAGATGTCCGCGTGGATGTCCGCTGAGCCTTTTGTGGTGAAGCCCGCATCACTCCAAGCCTGCTGCACTCGCTGTACGCGGGCGGAAAGTAGGGGGTCTGTGGCAGTTGTTTGTGTCTCCTCGTCTGGTTTTGCCATTTCGCCCATCACGATCAGGTTCATTGATTTGTGTTCGGCCTGGCCCGGTCCCTTCATGCAGGCGCCAAAGTTGCTGGCGATACCGAGAAGAATTTTCCTCGGACCGGAGGGGCCTGCGGCGTTGAACAAGGTTATTCAATTTCAATGCATGGATGCTGCGATCCCACCATATCATACATTCGGAAGGTGCTGTCAAGCTGATAGAAAAACTGCTAAAGAAACTGAAACAAACTACTCAACCAAAAACCTAAAACTACATTTATACCCAGTATTTCGCAAATTCCTTCCTCGGTCGTCCCAATTCCGTTTTGAATCAGCAACATGCACGCTTTCGGGTCGTCCGTACGCAGCAATCGCGCGCCGGCCTTCACCGCCGCGGGCACTTGGGCCGCCTTGGTGGCGATGATCACGAGGTCCTGGGTCCCGCCGACTATGTCGCTTGCGTCCGTGGACACCTGACTCAGCAGTATCGTCCGTCCCCCGCTCGCGCCCTCGACCTTCAACCCCTTCTCTCGCATGGCCGTCACATGGTCTTTCCAGACATCGACCGCGGTCACGATGTTGCCCGCGGACGCGAGTAGCGCTGCGTAGATACTGCCCATGGCGCCGCACCCGAGTACCGTGATGCGCAGGCGATCGAGCTGCTTCTGCTCGTGGGGAAGCAAGCGGATGTGCACTTTATGCCTCTTCAACAGGTCTACGATAGTTGTACTACTGCAGGTCGCCTCCTGTTCATCTCCAGTTCTACTTGCTTCGTCGAGCCGTTTCGCGACGAAGGTGTCAAGAAACCGGATGATTCTCGATAAATCCTTCGTCTTTTGCACCGGGACCGCGATCGCCTGCGGAACGGTCATGAACGCCGGGCCAGGAAGAAGCTTGAAGTCACTGCTCTCCTTCGACAAGAGCTGCCCCACGACGCCCGCAACGCAGTCGGCGCGGCCGTCTTCGAACAACAAGACGGACATGTCGAAACTGTCGGCTTGGATCAACTGCGCGTGCTTCAAATTCCTCTGCAGCCACAAATCGTAACAGGCGCCGCGGAACGAAGCAATCTTAAAACCGGGTTTATCGACTTTTTCAAGTTGTACCGCCGACGCAGTTGTGCTATCTTCCTCTGCCAACTCCTTTTTTACCAAAAAAGCGCAGGGGATGTCGGCGTAGGGTAGGGAAAAAGCCAGTGAGGTTGCTCGACTGGGGTCTTTGCCTAGAAACGCGATGTCCCACTTTTCGCTGGTGCTGTCCTCCGCCAAGGCTTTTGGGGATGGGTAGGGGACAAACTGCACCGGAACGCCGAGCTCGTTCGCGAGCTCCTCCGCCAGCTCCGGCGCAACGCCTTCCGCCTGCGTGCAGCTGTCGGTTTGTGACGCGATGGAGCTTGTCAAAAGTTTGTTTGCCAGGTTCAACCCCACGCGGAGGATGCCGGAGGGGGCGAGGCCTTTCCTCGCGCGTTCTCGGTCTTCGAAGAGGGAAGATTCGTCTTCGTCAGGAGTGGTTGTTGGAAGGGAGGCCTTGTTCAAAGCCGAAGACGGCACGCTCGTGCCTTCGCCGTGGGCCGCCGACTTCGCGGCACTTGGGGCTTCCTCATTGAGAGCTTGCTGTTCGCCCATTGTCAGTCAGTCCTTAGTTATTTTGATGTTGCATATTAAGTGCAGAAAATGAAATATACAGCGCACTATTGATTAGGACGCCGACGAGGTTCGGTTTCATAGTAAGCGAAGAGAAAAAACAGAAAGCCGCTTCTAAAAAAATAAAAGGAAGCAAGCAAGGCCACACGAAGAAAAATAAAACTGCGCGGCCTGCGGATCTTGATCTGTTCAGCCGTCGCCTCAAGAGTCGGGCTCGGGATCATGCGAAGACCGGGGCCGGCATTAAGCATCTATCATTTTGCAGGCCGAAAACACCGAGCTCGGTGCTTCATCCTCTACAACGACAAACACACGACGAGGTTCAGGTCCAACAACGATAAGGAGTGCACGCACGTTGGAGTTGCTCTTGCTGAAAATCAATCTTAGGGAGAGGACATGAAGACTTCCTCTATTGGAGGTTCTTTGTTCATGTTCATTTTCAAGAAGCCGCAAAACTGTATTGGTATTCATTTTGATGGTTGTTGTAGAGGCCTAGGCATCCTCAGTTTCATCCCGATCGGCTAGAAGTAGAGTTATTGTTACATTCTATGGCAACCAATGTTTATCTTTATTCTAATTTGGTATGCGCCTATAGAGGACGCTTCTGTTGTTTCTGCAAAAGTGTTCGGTGAATTAGATGAAGAGCTTCAGACATTTTTGGGGGGGCGTTGCGAACTTTTGTTACACCAACGCTGAAAAAGTATTCGATTGGTTTTGGACGTCCTAAGTAACTTTCAGATACAAAAGATTCAGTATAGTATACTAGTAAGTGATCATTGGATTTGAAAAATTCATCAATCAGCATTTTTTCGCGCCGCAGTGCACGATACGCAAAACCAAAATCGTTTCGGATGTTGAATTGTTTACACCATACAAACTAGTCCCCAGTGCTAAGCTTTTCTGGCGGGCACCAAGGCTTCGCACCGGGCGGCGGAGGCTTCCCTCCCTTTCCTCCAGCCGCCGGTGGTGGTTTGCCGCCTTTGGTTCCGGGCGCAACAACCGCAGCTTTTGCTCCCGTAGCAGGGGGTCCGGTGTCATTCTTTCCGGTCGCGGCGGCGGGAGCAGGTGGACCGGCTGCTGGTGCTTGTTTGCCCTTTAATACGACAGCACCTTTAGAAGCTGCAGGCGCAGTGGCATCTTTTCCATTCGTTACCACGTCCTTTCCGGTACTTGCTAACTTGTTTTCCTTTGTCTGGCTCGGCGTGCCGGCGCTGCTCGCGCTGGGCGACAAATGCGCACTTGATGTTCGCGGGTCCGCGGCGGAGGCTCCTAGCAACGCCGAGCCGCGGCGCATACCCGCTGGCACACTATTCGCCGCGGCTTGGGGCACGCCACAGGAGTCAGAACTGCTGCTCGAAGGGGGCTGCACGATGTTGATCTGAATTTGCGCAGCCTCAATTGGTGTCTCTTTCTTCTCCGAAGACGGGTCTTTGTTCTCCTCCGCGTCCTCTTTTGGCGATTTCCCTCGAGATGCGCTCCGTAATTTCGATGCTGCAACACTGGTCTTTCGCCGTTTGCTGGGCGTCAAAGTTGAGTCGTGGTTCTCTTGTTTCTCTGCTGCTGCGACGGAGAGGCGCTGACTTCGCTTTGGCGAATTTGTGCTGCTAGCTTTGCTGGTGTCCGCTGCTGCAGCGGCTTTGTCTTCTGATGATTGTGTTGCAGTTGCGGGGCTTTTCTTCACTTGTTCCACCACGGCATTCGATGCTTTATTTGGTGTACCTGCGGCTGACCCTTGCAGCTCTCCTGCTTGTTTCTCTGGTGGTGCCTTGTCACCATGAGCAGTTTTCTCCACTTCATCACCGGTACGATTTGGACCTTCCTTGTCCTGCTCACCTTTTTTCTCAGTGCTAGTGGTTTGTTGTTCTGTGCTGTCTTTAGAAATACTCTCACTTCCAACATTCAGCGCGGAATTCTTCCCAATCCCAGCACCTCGCACGCTCGTCTTCGCCCCGTCTGCACCACCCGTCGCGGTGGAAGTTTTTCCCCGGATTCCCCGCCGATTCTCCGTCTTTCGCGCACCGGTCGCTCGCGGCTTCTTTTGTCCCAGCGACTCTTCTATCAAATGCAAATATGTCTGGGTCTGGGAGAATGCAAGGCTTGCCATGCACGGCTAGCATGGCTCTCAAGTCTGTCCTGCACGCCACCCAAAAGCCACACTTCTCTGTCATGCAGAAACGCACTTTGTCAAGCAGATAAGCAACACTATAGCAATTCCAAAACTTGTCATGCTTGGCTGTCAATGAAGGCGTCCGCGGGATTCGTCAAACAGCATGACAAGTTTCCAGACCCAGAGGACATATTTGCAATGCATATCTTCCGACCGCAACTCGGGCTCCTTCAGGTCCCAAAGGGCCATGATGCTGTCTGCCGTCGGGGTGCGGTTCCCGCAGAACTGCGGGACAAAGTAGGCTTTTTTCAATTTTTCGGGTTTGTTCGTGATCTGGTCCCCGGGAACAAGCATGTCGTCGATCATCTTGATCAACGTCGCCGCCTTCACTTGTCCCATCGTGAAATACTTCAACAAATCTTCGTACTCCTGCTTTACCTGTTTTTTCTTCGCGATCAACTCGTCCACGGGCTTATGAGGGTGGAAAACTCCCCTGCCCCTCGTTTGTCATGCAAAAATCCCAATCCAGTTGTTGTGGCCTTGTAGCACTGTTGGCATGAAAAGTTCTGGAAACACCGCTACAATCGGCGCATGAACATGTGATGCACAGCATCCATGTGCTGTGCTGGTGTTTGTATTGCTTGTCATGCCATCCAAATAAGGGCGAGGAGGGGTTGTCGTTGTGCACTCTCATACGACTCCGAAGCGGTCGCGAACAGCGGCGCAAGCACCGTCCGGAAACTGTCCGCGGGGTCCTCGAACTGGCACAGGCAGGCGCGGAGCATCTCGTACCGCTGGTCGCACTCCTGTTTGATTTGGTCCGCGATTTGGTCGTAGTCCTCGATCGAGACGGACACCTGCTTGGCCAGGGACTCGACGCCATCGCTCGACTTCTCGATCCGTCGCCGCACCGCGGAGAAGAGTGGGCGGAGCTCCTCAAACAGCAGCTCTCTTGGGTCCTCCCCGTTCGGACCCTGCTGCCGCGTGAAAAACGGCGCCGTGAAAAATTGTTGGACGACCCAAAGTATCAAGTGCAAATATGTTTGGGTCTGGACGAATGGAAGACTTGCCATGCAGGTTTTCCATGACCCATGAGGTCTGGAATGCAGCACTGAGCATGACAGAAGCTGTGAGATCTCTAACTTTATCATGCCTATCCCGCATGAGAAACTCCCTGTCAACCTGGTCAAAAGTGGACAACTGTTGGCAGTCATGCAGCACAGATTTTTACAGGGTGTAGACTCAGCATCACAAGTTACTGTCTTCCAGACCCAGACATATTTGCAATGCATACAAAAACTCAGCATCTTCCCCTCCACGTCCTTCACGGCGTCAAGTTTGGTCAACACGTCCAGATCCACGCCCTCCGCCTGCCCGCGGTCGGTCCCCCCGTTCAGGTAATTCCCGGCGCACAGAATCAGGCCGAGAAGCTTCCGAAATTCCTTACTTGTGCGCAAACTCCGCATCACGGCTTGAAATGCCAAGTACGCGGTCATGCACTTCTTCAGCCTTTCCTCGTAGGTGCGCGAAAAAAGCCAGCAGTCCAGACGCTGCATGTACCCGGGAACCTAATGTAGTTTTCATCTCGCTATAGATTTTCGATACTGATTCTTGAAATCCAAAGCCACAGCATTGGCAAGCGAGTCTTTTTCCAGGCTCAACATCATGATAATGCGTTTAGTTATTTATATTTTCCCAAAGTACAGAAGTAATTCCCGGCGCTACAAAAACAAGTATACGTGCGCGATCGCGAGCATGTAGGTTTCTGGCACGGCGAAGGGGACGCCCTTGTTTTCGTTCCGCAGCGTGTTCAGCTGCGCCAACTGGCCCGGATCCGGGCACAGGTCCCGCCGGACCCATTCCAAGGTGTTCACGTCGATTTCTACGTCGTCCAGGTCCAGTATCGCCCGCTGCAATACCGTGGGTTCTGGCAGGGTCTTGCAGGCCGCGTTCAGACCGCCCTGCTTCATGGGGTCGTCGATGATCGTCAGCAGCTTCAACTTATGCATTGCAAATATGTCTGGGTCTGGAGGAGTGCAAACTTGTCATGCAGGTTTTCCAGATACCATGGCTGATGGCGCTTAGGATGAAGGGGGCAGTCCTCAACCGATACACATTGGAAGAGGGACCTAGCATGACAGAAACTGCGAGGTCTCTATCATGCCTATCCTGCATGAGAAGCTCCCTCCCAACTTGGTCGAAGGTGGACAGCTTTTGGCACTCATGCAACACAGATTTTTGCATGATTCGGATTTAGCATGACAAGTTGCAATCTTCCAGACCCAGACGTTTTTGCAATCCATACAACTTCGGTTTGTCCTCCTTTTTCTTGTCCGCGTCCTCCTTTTTTGGCGCCTCCTTCACGGCGGCTTTCTTCTTGCCGAACCGCTTCACGAACTCCGACTCCACCTCCGCCTCTTTCTGAAAATACTCCTTGTACAGATCCGGCACGTCGGTCCACACGTGCGCGCCGTCGTCCGGGAGCTGGTTTTTCCGCTTCTTGGTCCACCAGAGCGCCCGCATCGGTTCCTTGGGCGTGATGTACTCCTGGCTGCTGGTTGCGTCGAAGCCGCCGCCCCGCTTCTTTCCTTTGCCTTTCCCGCCCGCCGCGGCCGCGCCGCCTTTCGCCGGAGCCGCGCCGCCTTTCGCCGGAACTGCGCCACCTTTCGTAGGTGCGGCGGCCCCCTTTCCCGGTGGTGCGGCGCCCTTGCCGGGGGGAGCTGCGCCTTTCGCCGGTGGAGCGGCTCCTTTCGCCGGTGGAGCGGCTCCTTTTGCCGGTGGAGCGGCTGCTCCTTTGCCGCCGGGTACGGGGGCGCCCTTCGCGGGCGGAGCGGCTGCGCCTTTGCCTCCCGGGACGGGTGCGCCTTTCGCGGGCGGAGCGGCTGCTCCCTTGCCGCCGGGGGGAGCCGGACCTTTTCCTGCTCCGGGTACTGGTGGCGCCGCGCCTTTCCCACCGGGTACGGGAGGCGCACCTCCTTTCCCACCGGGTACCGGCGGTGCTGCTGCGCCTTTCCCACCGGGTACCGGCGGTGCTGCTGCACCCTTCCCGCCGGGCACCGGCGGCGCGCCGGGCTTGCCTGAAACCGGCGCAGGAACAGCGGCGCCCTTCGAGCCGGGGACGGGCGGTCCTTTGACCGGTTTCCCGCCTTTGGCCGGCTTTCCTCCACCCCCTTTCGCTCCCGCGGCGGCAATACTGCTGTTGATGTCGTCCTTGCTTTCGGGCTGGACGAGCGCGCAGCTGCCTGCGTTCTGCTGGCTCAGCCGGTCGGCTACTTCCGGCGGCACTACGGGTAGCGAATGCGACAGCGTCGTGCTCTCGACCTCAACCTTGCACGCAACTTCCCGCACCATGCGCCCGCGCAGCACCGGCCGGCCGCGCGTCCGCAAATCTTCTCGTGCCGCAACGAAGTCCGCGCGCAGCTGCTCGCGCAAAATGGCGGACGGCCGATCGTCCTGTTCTGCCCGCCCTCCGCGGTCTCGGTGCATGCTCTTGCAACGGAGGAAATACGCAACCTGCTCCAGGCACAAGTCCGCAAACTCATCCTTCGTCGCATCCTGAATGAACTTGCGCTGTTTCGGCGACATGGAAAGCTTTGCGCTAGCGACAGTTTGTTCTGCTGCGTGTTCTTCCGTCGCATCTTTTTGTATCCCCATATCGACGTCTGCGGCTGCCGTGTCTTCCGGAATGGTGCTGCATCGCTTCACATCTTTCTGCAAAGCCAATCGCCGCAGCTCCTGTTCCTGCTGCAAAAGCTGCTTTTTCACATGCGACCTTCCGTCTTTCTCTAAAAGCTCGGCAAACTCTTCTATTTTCGTCAAGGACAGCGGCCCCACTTGCTCTTTTCCCTCCAAAACCCGTTGCAGAAACTCCACCTTGGCCCCCAGTTGCCCTTGCGCGGATTGCCGCAGCCGCTGCGCCAGCTTCTCGTTCTCACGAAACAGCCTTTCCTGTTCGTTCCTCGTCGCGTCCAGCTCCATGGAGAGCTGCCGCAAACTTGCTGCACTTTCGTATTCTAATTCACGCAGCGCAGTTGTCTTATTATTGTCCTCACTGTGCAGATGAAGATCACTCTGGTCCTTCGTGAGCGCGACCGGACCGGAGCGCGGCAGCTGCAACGCCGGGATTCTACTCTGCACTCCTTCCTGCTTGTTCCCCTCTAGCGCGCCAATAGTTTGTGACCGAAAGATGTTCTTCATTCGCCCGCCTTGCGCAGCGGCGGCCGGAGCGCCAGCTGCTCCAGCTGCCCTTGTCCCACTTCCGTCGTTTGCTCCTGCGCCCCCCGCTCCGCCGCGTGGACTTTGCAGGAGCAGGTTCATCGTTGTCGCACCCGTCTTTTGGTTCTGCTGGGGAATAAATTGTGCGGTCGTTATCGCGGTCGCGCCGACGCCAGTGCGGGCGCGGATCTCGAAATTCTCCTTTGTGTTCGCGCCCCCGCCCTGTCCTTGGCTCTGTGCGACCTTTTCCGGCTCAAAAGATCCCAAATACTCCACGACCTCCTGGTGCCCCTCAACCATCGCGTAATCGATCGGTCGCTGGTTGTGGTTATCGACTTTCGCGTAGTACGCCGCGACGCCCGGCACTTTTTCCAGCAGGAACCGCACCGCGGGGAGACTGCCGCTCTGGCAAGCCAAGTGCAAGATCGTAAACTCATTTGGCCACCGCACCTGCTCCCACCCGAGTTTCAAAATCGTCTCGATCCCGTCGTGGAGGATGGGTGTTAGATTATCCGGTAATTCCTCCGCCACCGTGTTCTGCAGTAGGTTGTTGTTTTGCAACAGAAATTTCTGTGTGCGCTCTTCCACGAACTTCTGTTTCCTTACTTTCTCCAACACCCGCACATTCTCCGTCATCCGCTCCTTCCGAGCGTAATCTAGAGCCCGCTTGCCGCTCGCGTCCCGGCCGTTCATGTCCGTGGCCAACAAGGCAAACAGCTCCACAATCCGCGCGTCGTCCAAGCACTCGGCGACGAAGTGCAACACCGTGTACCCTCGGCGCCACTTCATGCTGTCCCACCCGAATTTGACGATCGCTTTCAGCGATTCGTAGACGTGTGCATGCTCTAAGGAAATCAGCTCCACCATCTTCACCATCACCAGGTGATAGTGCCGCAAGTCGTTCTCCAGCTTCCGTCTCCTCGTCTCGATTCTCTTCAATTGCTGCTTCAGTAAATCAATCTCGTTGCGCTCCGCGGTGCACTTCTGCCGGTATTCGATCAGTTCCTGCTCCACGCTGGCGTCGACTAAATTAAGGAGCAAAACCTGGTTCAGAAACTCCGACTTCCGCACGGGGTCCAGTTCCTGTTGCCTGAGTAACAGCTCCGACCCGGGAATGGAACTCACCTCCCGGACCACGTTCTGCGCGATCGCAGCAATGCTGGTCGGGTTGATCTGGACCAGGTTTTGACTGGACTGCTGCGAGACGAGAAACGAGAACAAAACGGTAGAGAGCGTGTGTGCGGGGTCCAACAGGTTGTGCGACGCGTCTACCATCAAGTGGTAGTAATTCAACTGAGAAACAACGCCGGGATTGGAGTTGTTGTTCGCAGTAGGGGTGGTTTTTCCCCCGGAATCTGGAGCTGCAACATCTCTGCTGGAGCGGTCTGCTGGTCGTTCTGTTTCGTCTGGCACGACCGGGCTTGTTCCCACTGCCGTTGCATTCGTTCCTGCTGTCGCTGTCGGCACCACAATGCATTTCAAAAGCACGTCGGTTGGCAATGGTCGGAGCGCCGCTTGGTGGCATTTCTCCGCGGCTACGCGGCCTAAACTGGTGTTCTATCAAATGTAAAAATATCTGGGTCTGGAAGAATGCCAGACTTGTCATGCAGGTTTTCCATGACCCATGAGGTCTGGTATGTAGGACATAGCATGACAGACTCTGTGAGAGTTCTATCATGCCTATCCTGCATGAGAAACTGCTTCTCGATTAGGTCAAAAGTGGACCGCTTTTGGTAATCATGCAACACAGATTTTTACATGATTCAGACTTAGCATGACAAGTTGCTTTCTTCCAGACATCCAGACATATTTACAATCCATATGTTCAGCAGCAACCCGATAATCGTCAGCGCGGACCGGCGCGTGCTCATGTTATAACCCGCTCAGGTGTTACAATCTCAAATCGGTTACCATAGAATCTGGGATTTGTGTTGCATGATGAACATGACAGACTCGGACAGCATTCCACTTTCTGCAATACAAATTTCGCCAGATTGTAGTGCGGATTGGGACTCCAGAACTTGTCATGCGCAATCCTATGAGAGTTGGCTGGATCATGCAAGAACCTTGCATCACAGATTTCGATATTCTATGGTAACCGATTTGAGATTGTAACGCCTGAGCGGGTTATACATGTTGAAGTTGCATTCGAAGGGCGACGACGCCATTGCCATGTCTACGTCGTTGCAGTTCTGCTCGGCTTTTTTCATCTTCGCACAGAAGGACTCCCACCGGAACATCGATTTCCGAACGCGCCCAAACATGGTCGCGAGCAGGGACTCAAAGAAATCCGTATCGCACGAAAAAACTATTTCACTGTGGTGAAGGAGAAGGTGATTTTGCAAAATCTGCATCACAAGTTTGTTACGCGTAACACTGAAAATCTGTCATGCGGGGTTCCTAAGGGAAAACACAGCTATAAATCGATTGTCTTGCATGTGTGGCATGACACACACTTCTGCGATCCATTTTCTGCATCACAAGTTCACAGTGAAACAGTTTTTTCTTGCGATAATCCGCGTCGAGAATGTACTCGTCCGCCACGTATCAAATGGAAATATGTCTGGGTCTGGAAGGTTGGAAGACTTGTCATGCAGGTTTTCCATGACGCGTGAGGTCTGTCATACATGACCCAGCATGACAGATTCTCCCCGACCTCTATCATGCATCGTCTGCATGAGCCCTCTCAACTTGGTCAAAAGTGGACAGCTTTTGGCAATCATGCAACACAGATTTTTGCACCATCCAGAATTAGCATGACAAGTTGCACTCTTCCAGACCCAGACACTTTTACATTTGATACTACGTAGGAAATTGCCTGGTCGAAGGGAAGTAACACTGCGAGGGAAGCCAAAATCGGGCCCGACAACGCTTCGATTTTCCGCAAGTCGTCGTTTTTGTGCAATTCCAACAACCCGTTGATCAGCACGGACAACCCCTTTTGCAAGATCACCGTTTCCGCGAACCACTCGCCCAAAGGGCCGGGAACGGCAGAGTTGCGACACACACAGTCCAGCCACCCCTCGACGTCCAGGTCGCTTGCTTTACTCGCAGAGTTGTGTGGATCTTGAAGACCTCCACCACCTCCCGTTGCAGCGTTGGTTCCAAACGATCCGCCTTGATGATGGCCGAAATCACCGTTGCTAGTAGAGGAGTTATTTCCAAACAAAAGGTCTTGGTGATCCACGCTAGACGGCTGCAAGAGCAGCGCGTTCTCGATTTGGTCCAAACAGGTCGCAACAAACCCTGTCCCGGAAACCAAACGCACTTCTTCCTCCTCCTCGATGGAATGCAAATCCTCCGCGCGTAGAAGCCACTTGCTCTCGTCTTTCCGAGTCTTGAGCAGGATGAGGTTCTCCGCGTGGTGGTCGTTGGCGATGCCATTCTCCCGGCAAAACTGATCTAATTGCAACAGCAAGTCCTTGTCGGGGGAGAAAAATCTCGGCAAATTTCTGAAAAACGTGAAGGGAATCTTCCTTTCGTCCCCGGTGTGGCACACGTTCGCGTCGACCCGAACAGTGAGCACGACTTCCTCCGACACTGGCTGCGAGTTGTTGTTTTTATTGTTTCGAGTTGTAGTACCTCGTCCACCCGGGTTGTTGTGGGACGACGATGATGATCCTCCCAAATTTCGTCCATGATGAGGACCTCCTCTCCCTGTGTGCTTATTGTGATGCTCATGCCGTGCAGCCTGCTGCTTCCTTTCTTCCAACACTTGGTGGTTGGTTTTTTTCCCCGCAAGGACATTCACGTTGTCCTTGATGCCGGCGATACCCGCGCCGATCGACTGAATGCGGTTCGCATCCAGCCTTCCGGGCTCGGTCTTGTTGCTGACTTTGGGCGGGGTGGTGGGTTGGGAAGAGCGGCGCTGCGGAGTCTTCAAGTCGGCGGCGGGCGCGCTGAGGATATGATCGCATGATATTTTTGAAATTTTTTTATAATTTCAACAATGTTAGAGTCTGTAGCTGTACAGCAATTTCATTTCAACATCAGCTCCATTATCAAAAAAAAACTGCAAAAAGAACAATACTCTGCATTCGGGGGTGCGACGGGCCCATTCGGCTCGACATCTGTTTTCTCACCCTCCACCACCTCCACCTTCCGCGGCCCACAGTCCGCTGACGGCATTGTTCAGATTTTGAGTTTAAATTCCACCTCTTTCTGTGGCATTTTCAAAGTAGAAAAGACACTTAATGGCACGGCTGCGGATAGGACCGTCGAGGGCAGCGACACTTGTTTCTACTTTATGCTTACTTCAGGTTTACGTAGAAGCACGACGTGGTACAGGTACAGGTAAGACTAAGTGGTATAACAAACTAGCTTTAATTATGACAGTGCCACGGTGATACCGAATCTTGTTACACACGAACAAAAAAAACCAGCGAAGATCGAACGACCACACAGAACCATTTGGAAAAATGAAGGATCCTCCGTTGTACCGCAAATGTTTGAACTGTAGCACACGGATGAACCTCCAGCTCGATTACATGGATCTTCTTGTTCACCACGACTTTGCTGCACTATCGCCAACGACCTTTTCCTTCTAGTGATCACCAGCACACGACGCGCACGACGACCTTTCCAAAATCTCTGCTGTGGGAGGCTCTTGTTGCCGCTGCAAGAACGTATGTGCGTGCTGCCAAAAACTGCAATATCGTGCTCACACGTTGAGGTTGACGAACAAAGCAGAGTATTTCTACTGTTCTGAGGGAAAAATCGAACAATCTTACCGCACAGAAGCTGCGGGGTCGTTGCAGTGTCGCCAATGGCGCGAACGCCGGTAGGCCATTGGGCCGTAAGAGGACTCCGACCGATTGCAACAAGACACCTCCGTCGTGCGCGTTCATGGTATTGTGGTATTTTACATGTCGTTCGAAACGATATCATCGTTACGATGATCCATTGGAAGGGTAGTAAAACCACGCTTCAGGGTCTACTCGGTTTTTCAAAAACCTCTGCCGACGCCGACGGCGCCCTCTAAACCATCTCAACATGATCGCGTTGTCCGCAGATAGAGCGGATGAAAACGACCCTAGTGATAGATTTGTCGCGAAACAGGAAACCACGCAAAATTCTACTGTGCTTTTTTCAAAAAACGTAGTTCGTTTTCATCCTTTGCAGCTCGGAACATGGTCGTGTTCGTCGAGTGTAGTTTTGTCGCCGAAAAATGGTCCACCAACCAGTCTGGTCGTGTTGTGTTGAGTTAAGTTCTTAGTACTATCCTCAGAAAGAAGTGTAGTTGTAAAGTCGTGTAGTTTTTTCTTGAAAAAAAGGGGTAGAATTGTTCAAAAAAGTCGCTTGGTGAAGTCTGGTCGAATCGGGAAGTTCTTGTCGCTTAGAAGGCGCCGCGGAGGTCCCTCTCCTGCTGAACTTGTTCCTTACCTACACAGGCGAAGACTTCATTGCTTTACTCACGGGTCTTGGGACCTCGTCCTCGCTATCGGAATCCTCTCCCCCCGGCTTCCCGTCCTTTTTCCCGCGCCTGTTTTGCGCGCGCGCCCGCCGCTTCCCGCGGTCGTTCGTTGTTCCTTCTTGTTTTTCTCGTGGCTCCTCCAGGCCCCATAAAAACAGCATGCCGTCCAGTGTCGGGGCCGAGACGCCACAGAAGATTGGGGTCATGAACTTCTTTTGCACCACTTCGGATTTGTTCAAGATCAAATCCCCCGGTATCAAGAAGTCGTCGATTAGAAGGAAAAATTCGGAAGAAGTCATCTTCCCTAAATTAAATTTCGTCTGCATCAGCGCCATCTTGTCCGAGGCCGCCTGCTTCTTCTTCATCAACTCCTTCATGCGCGCGTCCACGGATTCAAACTCCGGGACCAGAACCGTGCGTATTGGGTTATCCTATGTAAAAACACCCCCACCCCATGGCTGTCATGTAAAAACGCATGCTCAAAATGTTTGTCATGCGGAAAGGCCCCATGAGAAGCGATTGCTAGCCGTGTTTTGGAATTTGCAATGCTCCCATGAGCATAATGCGCTAGCTCTGTGATGTTCCTGATGAACGAGCTAAACAGGACTACACTACAAGGCCAAACTTGTCATGCGCTTCAACCTAAGCTTTTTGATTTGTCTAGCAGATTTCCCATCTTCACTAGGGGGTGGGGACGTCATTTTTACTCAGGATATGGATCCGTCGGGTCCTCGAAAAAACCGAGAATCATCTGCAAATCCTCGTGGTGTTTGTCGAATTCGTCCTTCAACAGCTTGACCAGCCCGTCAAATTCCTCGTTCGCATATTTCGCTTGTTTGGACATGCTCGCGCCGCCGTCCTTGTCCTTGGCGATGCGCCGCTTCACGTTGGTGAAAACGGGGGCCAGTTCCTCCATCAAATCCACCCGAGCTTTCGCAAACAAGGGGTTTGTCTGTAGAAACTGCGTGAAAATCCAGTCGGAGGCCTGTTTTTGTCAATTTCGGAAAATTCTGAATTCACTCAGCGACGACGAGGACACTGATAGAGTCTTCCTTAGTCAAAATCGCTTCGAAGACGAGTCACAAATAAAGCGCCAGACAAGATTCCGTCTGCTCTAAGAAAAGCTCACTATATTACCTTCTTCGTGACAACAACGTTGTCCTTCACTGTGTTAAAGAGCGAGAGCCCACTCAGTTCGAACCCGTCCGCCTGCCCCCGGTTCGTGTTGCCGTTGAGGTAGTTCCCCGCGGCGAGCGCTACGCCAAGCAGCTGCTCGAAGGCGGGACACTTTTCTAACGCAGAAACCGCCTGAACAAACTTCTCGTAGGCGATTTCGTAATCCTGATAGATGATGCGATTGTGAAAATAAACGTGAATTGAGGCATTTATGCCTTCGTGAAGATGATCAAGATGGCACAAGCGCATACATTTTCGAAAATCATTTCTGCGTACAGAAAAATCAACGTAGAAACAGGCGGCACACGAGGACACCACATCGACAAGAACTGCATATTCATACACTATACCTGTAGCCTGTCTTCGTAGTTTCTTGTGAAGTTCCACAAGTTTAATCTCTGGGCGTAGACTGGAATATGTCCGATGGCCCACATGTACTTTTCCGGCAGCGCAAACGGGACGTCCGGGTGCTCGGCGCGCAGCTTCTCCATGGCCGCCACTTCGCCGGCGTCCGGAATTAAGTCCTTCTTTATCCCGGCGAGCATCTCCTTGTCGATGATGGTTTCGTCGAACTCCATAATCGCCGCGCACAGAATCTCGGGGGACGGCAGGTCTTTGCAAATCCTTTGCTTTCCGACGGCGAGTGCTGCGTCGGTGACAACGACCAGCTCTTTCAGTTCTTTCTTCTTGATACTTTTCTCGTCGTCGCCCTTCATGGATTTGTCCGCGGCGGTCATGGTTTTGGAAAACCTCTCTACAAAGTCCAGCATAGCGGTGCTGTCTTCCTGGAGGAGTGTCGGGCAGAAATCCTCGATGCCTTCCCACACGGTCTCCCCATCCTTAATGTTCCGGCCGAAATTTAACCGGCTCCACCACAGAGGTTTCATGGGTTTCGGTGGTATTATACCGGGTTTCTTCAGCGTCGGGTCAATCGCGGTTTTATTCTTACCTCCCTTGGAAGCCGTGGCCGCTCCGTCCTTTGCTCCTCCTTTTGCTGCTGCTGCTCCCTTCGCTGGTGCCGCCTTTCCTTTCCCGGGCGGTGCTGCGCCGCCCTTCCCCGGTGGGGCTGCTGCGCCTTTGCCGGGTGGCGCGGCGCCTTTGCCGGGTGGTGGTGCTGCGCCCTTACCGCCTTTCGCTTGAATGCCAGCGAGCAAGCCAGCTGGAGCACCCTTGCCCGGTGGTGGAGCGCCTTTCACGACCGGCGGGGCGCCTTTTGCCGCGGGCGCGCCGGGCTTACCGCCGGGAAATGCGGGAACGGGGCCGGCGACGGGAGACTGGACGGCAGAAGCTTGCGGAGACATGGAGCCGCCTACGATTTTCACCAACCCCTCTGCATGCAGAATGCCGTCGCGAATGCCGTGGGCACCACCCTTGCCCGCGCGGAAGAGAAGCTGCTCCACTGCCAAGGCGGCGTCGTGGAGTTCGAGATTCAGCCTGTTTTTTTAAGTAATATCAGATCAAATGTGGTTGTGAAAGTAGATTTCTGATTAACGACAGTACAATGCCGGCAAAACGGAAAATGATGAAGTAGTTTTTCAACTACAACACAACCAGGCCAGCACAACTCAAAAATTCTCTACCCTCCCGCCATCCTGCTTTCCTGCAATTTCGCGCGCAACTTGTGCATTCCGACGGCTTCGAGCTGTTTCCCGTAGGTTTCGCACTGGTCGTCGTGGAGCGCGCCGATCTCGTCTAACCGCTTTCCGTTGATCCACTGCTGCAGGAAGAAGACCCGCTGTTCCAATTGCAACTTGTCCCCCGTCAACTGCTCCATTGCGTCCCGTTGCCCGCCGAGTTCCGCTAATGCGTCGTGGGATTCGCCCAGCGCCTTGTTCAGGGCGTGGATCTGCGCAATCAGGCTCGTGGTGTCCGTCGCACCGTGCAGTTGCTCGGCCATCATCTTTATGAATTGCAAAAGTACTATCTACAGTAGTAGAATCTTCGCATTACAAATTAGCTCAGTATGACAAATGGAATTTGTCATGCTGATTTACCGTGGGACGGAGATCTGTAATGCGTGACTGCGATTACTACTAGTACTGTACTTTTGCAGTGCATAATCTTCCATTCCTTCTTGATGCCGTCCGAGACCGCTTTAAACCCATTGTCGTCCGCGTAACTGATCGCGGACTTCCCGTACTCGTCTTTTTTATACGGATCCGCGCCGAACTTCAGCAGCCACAGGGCCACCGGGAGGTCTCCCTTTTCGCAGGCGTCGTGCAACGGCGATTTCCCCCGCGGCCACCGCATGCGGTTGATCGCGCCATACCCCTTGGACATCACGTCCTCTAAATTTTTCTTCACCTTCTCGTCCGTCACGCTATCCGGGATCTTCTGCGGCAAATTTTTCCGGTCCGGCGCGGAAAAAACCGGCGATTCGGGCAGTTTCCGCTTGCTCCCCGCCTCGTCCGCGAGCTGGTCCCGCTCCGGTCGGGGGCCGGGGGACAACGTCAACGCCTCATCGCTCTCCTTCTTCGCGCCCATGGTCTTGGGGTCGTACCTGCGCAGGTAGTCCGCGACGATCTCGTGCTTGCTCGAAACCGCGTAGTCCAGCGGCGAGTTGCCGAGCTTGTCGCGCGCCTCGTAGTCTTCGCCGACGCCCACAACTCTTTCGAGAAGGATTTTCACCACCTCGAGGTTTCCGCACTGCGCGGCCAAGTGGAGGGCGGAAAACCCGTTCGGCCACTTGATCTTTTTCCAGCCCATCTGCAGAACGGCTTCGATCCCGGCGCGGAGGGTGGGCGTTAAATTCTCCGGGATCTCGACCTGCAATTATGAGTTTGACAAATGCAAACGAGACCAGAAACAACATTTTCAACATCAAACCTTAACTTCTAAGCGAAAATCACAACCACGAGTAGCTGTGGATACAACCACGAACGTGTGCATCTCAATCATCAAAAACCTCCCATCATGAGTTGTACCTGTCTCGCGTAGTCTATGTTCTGTCTCTTTTGAATCGCCCGTTCCGCCTGCTGCTGCCGGTAGAACTGGTTTCTCATCTTTTCCAACACCTCCACATTGGCCTGCTTTCGCTCCTTCCGTGCGTAATCCAACGGTCGCTTGCCCGTCGCGTCCCTCTCGTTCATATCCTTCGCTAGCAGCGCCAGCAATTCCACCACGTTCGGAGCCTCCATGCACTCCGCAGCGAAGTGCAGACAGGTGTACCCCTTCTGCCAGTGAATGCTGTCCCAGCCGTAGCGGACGATGGCCCGGAGGGACTGGTTCACCAGCGCGTTGTCCACATCCACCAGTTCGACCATTTTGCACATCGCCTGGTGCGCCTTCCGCAGATCCGCCTCCACTTTTCGCCTCCTCTCGTCCATTTTGCGCAGGGTTTGCTTCAGATTCTCGATCGAATCCGCCCCGGTGGCCAGGCCGCCCCCACCCTGCCCGCCGGACAGTTCCAACCGCTCCGTCTCCGCGCAGGCGGTGGCGAGGGAGGATAACAGCGAGTTATCAAATGCAAAAATGTCTGGGTCTGGAAACTTGTCATGCTAAAAGTGGATGATAGCCGGACTGCAATACGCAGCTGCTAGCATGACAAATTTTTGAGCTGCTATGTGTTGCGTATTTCGCATGAGAAACAACGTTTTTGCATGACAGATAGGAGAGCCTTTTCGTGCCCATGCATCACAGATTCTCGAGTCATGTCAGACATGCATGACAAATGTAAGAATCTTCCAGACCCAGACATATTTGCATTTGATACGAGTCTTCCACCAGCATTTTCTTGCTGTTCGCGGGCGCGTTCGCGCGTTTCTTCTATCAAAAGGAAAGATCCCCCCTCCCCATATCAAAAACGAAATTTGTGTTGCTGTATTTGAATACACAAATCGTTGTGTGTTGCTAGAAGGCCAAGTAGAGGCGCAGTTGGTCCCTCGTTTGGAGGCAATTTGTCATGCTATTTCCCGTTTCCAGGGTTTAGGGTCTCTCCCCTGCTAGCATCTCTTCCCTGCTAGCATCACAAAGCTGATTTGTGACCACAAATCTGCATCACAGAATTCCGTTTTGTTATGGGGAGGGGGCATTTTTCATTGTAATATCTTCCACTTGTTGGTTTCTGCGCCTGCGAGTTCCGAGTCGAGGTATTTGAAGATCTGCTGCTTCACGTCGTCCTGCTCGACTAGGAAGAGAAACACGACAAGAACCAGGTTGTACAGCGGGTCCTCGGAGCTTAACTCGATATCGCAAGAAAAAACTGTTTCACTGTAAACTTGTAATGCAGAAACTGTATCTTAGACGTGTTTGTCTTGCTACACATGCAAGACACTAGATTTTTCGCTGTGTTTTCCCTTTGGAATCTCGCATGGCAAATTTTCTCTGTGATGTAGAACAAACTTGTGATGCAAAACTTGCAAGATCCTTACAGTGAAACACTTTTTTCGTACGATACTCGACCATCATGCTGTAGTAACTGCTCACCGTCGCGTCGGGCTGCCGCATGAAGGCTTTATTCAATGCGAGAGGTACGTCTTTGTGGAACTGTTGCAGCATCGTACAGAGGAACGCGGACGCGAGTTTCCGGGTGTTCAGCGTGTAGCGCACGTCCCGCGAGCCCATGGTTTTTAACAGCGAAATGTTCGCTTTGGACCGCATTTTCCCGAACAGGACGCATACGAGAGATTCTAACAAATCCTCGTCCAGCATCAATTCCTTTTCGGTCCACACAATCCCCGCTTCGAACTGCAGCAAAATGGTCAAAATGCCGATGATCACACCCACAATCCGCTCCATCAGCTGCACGTTCTCGGTCTTCTGCACGTTGACCAGCGCGTTGAAGAGGACTCGGATGCCCTTCAGCGATATCACCTCAGATGCGAACCATTCGCCGATTTGACCTGTAAAGTCGTGTTTGGAAATCTCCTTGGTGGAAAGATGAACTGGGAGCGATTTGTCGTTCACTGCTTGATGAAATCATGAAGTTCGCTATGTAGTGAACATGCGGCATATTGACAAGTGTCGCGTCGTGCTCATTCGATTCCTCCTTTCCTCATGAAAAGCTAACAAAAATTATGCAGTGTGCTAGTACCCACTATCCCGCAATTCCTGAGTAACGAGTCGCACCAGCGGAGCAACTCGTCCTGGGAGCAACTCGCACAAATTTTGGCACATTTCCAAAATTCCTTTCCGAAAGCCAGCCCCGATGCTATGGGGCCGATCTGGGTGCCACGGGGGGCGCCCAAAAAGCGAAGAAAAAGCGGGCCCATAGCATGCGGGTTGGCTTTGCGCGTCTGGGGCGCTTTTTATTTTCCGCGTTTTTATTTTTCACGCCGGCGCTTTTTGCAAAGCTTCCCAGGCTCTCAAACCGGCGAAAAGGCGGCCGCTTTCGCGGCCGCCCAAAATGCTCCGAAATCGCTTCCGCGCCATGCTGTTTCGCTGTTCTGATTTTGGGCGCGTTTTTTGCGCGCCCCTTTTTGGGCGCCCCGAATCGCCAGAAACCAAGGCGGCGGGCGCCTCAGAAGGGCGCCCGTTTTGCCGGCTCCCCTGCGTCGTTTTATCCAGTGCGAATCGATAGTTTTCGACCGGGCCTTTTTGCCGCAAACGCCCCGGCCGCTTGATAGGTGAAAACTTTTTATGCTCAAAAACACCTCCGGCCGCTTGAAAACTGCCGGTCGTTTTTCACGGTAGGTGTCAAAAAAACTCCCTGGTTAGAACCGTTCGGTGACCTCACTACATACAATATTTGCTGGAGACTGGGAGCGCTTTGAAGACTTCAGTGCTTGATGAAATGGAATTCTTTGTGTCAATGCATGTTGACAACAAGTGCCGTGTGCTCCTTCCTCATGGTGCCACTATAATGAAACATGGAAAAGGAAAACAACAAGAAGCTCATCTTGACATTGAGCGCAAAGAAAACAAGCCAAAAAAAACATATGCAAAGTCTGCTTCTACCGACTATCCCGCAATTCCTGAGTAACGAGTCGCACCAGCGGAGCTACCTCAACCATCCATGAAAGCCATCTTGCTCGGCTACACGCTCCAGCTATGTTACAACGCCGCCACTAGAAAACCTACCACCCCCAGAGAAGCCGGCACAAAGGCGCCCAAGGATCAAATGCTCACAAGAAGAGAAACTTACCTCCATCCACGATCGAAATCGATCGGACAAAGAAGCCAACGCATCTGTGGAACCCTCAGTGCCTTTGACAGCCGCATGTCGAAGCCGACGACCCCGCCACATCTCGTGGGGCCTAATAACGACGGGGCCTGATGCGAGGCGCTTGGGGGCTCTACAAGATGGCTCGACGATACGGAATCGAAGGGCAATCGCTGGCAATTGTGGGCCAAAATTGAAACCCCGAAGAAATTTCAAATCGAAATCCACCAACCAATCCAATTTCAAATCGAAATTGGCCTCCCGGGCCCATTTCAAATCGAAATTGGCAACTCTGGTCAATTTCAAATCGAAATTGAGGTCCGAGACCAATTTCAAATCGAAATTGGTTTGAAGTTAGAAAAAAGTTAGAAAGAGGTAGAAAAAAGTTAGCCATATTACATTCCAGGTCCTAACTTTTTTCTAACTTATTTCCAACTCCTTTCAAATTTGATCTCCGTTTGAAAAACAGAAGTGGAGAGGCCAAACACATATCGACAGAAAGTCGCCGGTCTTCACAGCCGGAACGCGCCGCCTTTAGGATAATGCATGCGAGCGCAATAGCAGCAGAGGCGAAATGTTGCCACAGGTGTCAGTTGCCTCCAGTCGTCGTAAAAAGCTACCGCCCCCCCAGCCAATTCCTCCAGCAATGGCATGTCCCTGACAAAAAGGGAGTTCGGAAAATGGGGGCGAGCGAGTGCCCGAAGCTCATTGCTTGGCACAGCGAAGAATAAATACGGCGGCCGCCAGCCTCTTCCTTGCCAGAACACGAGCCAAAAGAAATGGCTGCCCTGTTGGAGTGTGTCTCCAGAAGCGCTCGAGCCCCGACCCCTTTCGACTGTGAATCGTGCACCATGGGAATACGGGCGGAGGCAACACCACGGGCAAGGTTGTGTCCCTGCTGATGCTATGAACCACATGAACAGGGATCACAAAAGTCAAGCACGGTCCTCCGCGCGATGGCCTACACACATGGCCCCGCAATCGTTAGAAACCTTACCAGGAAAACCCGCTTTGCCGAGAATTCTCGTGTCACATAATGACCGGAAGAGGGCAGACGCGACACAATAAGCGGATCGCGGCCACTCTAGGCCAACACACCTGCCACAAGCCCAAAGGCTGCAATAGCCCGCAGATTTGAAATCGGTTTGAATTGGATTTGAATTAGTTTTAGTGTCGTGCTCTTTAGAGTTAACGCAAAGTAGAAAAGCCAAAAATAATTTATGGAGTCTCCTAGTAGTACCCACTATCCCGCAATTCCTGAGTAACGAGTCGCACCAGCGGAGCAACTCGTCCTGTGAGCTTTGCTCGAGCTTCTCCCCGGGGGCGGAAGCCGCAAACCCCGAGGAGATTTCGCTGATTTTTTGCAGGGCGGTGTTGACAAAATCCGAGCCCCCGACTAGTCGGACGTCCGCGTTATCTTCCAAAGTGTAGAAATCTTCTTCCCCGATGGCGTACTTCTGCAGGTGCTTCGGCGCCATGCGAAGCAAAACTTGGTAGTTTGCGTCCTCGTCGTAGGGCACGTCGCGCACGCCGCACAACCGCTCCACCTGGTCGGACACCTTTTCCCTCCGGTTGAAGGCGTATTTCACGGTTTTGTTCAAATAGGCGATTTTCACGTTCAACGTAAACGCCTCTTCGCGCACCGCGCTCGCACCCCGGATCAACTTCGTAAAGTCCGTCACCGAGCTGCGGTTCGCCCGCTCCGCTTCCTGGGCGGCTTTGGTCGGCGTCGCTAGGCCGCTGGGAACCGGCGGCTTTGGGAGCACCATTTTCGCGCCGGGCAACATGCCCGGTTTGCTAGCCGTGCTAGCGGGGGTTCGCGGAGGGGAAGTGGAAGCCGACATTTCGATTTTTCACTTACGCCGGTGCCGTTCAGTGGTCAAAATGACCACCCCCGACTGGTGGAGCTAGTATGGTGGTGCAGTTCGCGCTGGTGAAAAACCTTTATATCCCGGCCTACGCCCGCTGCTGGGTACTATTGTACTTCTCCTTAAGTGCGGAGCTGCGGCGCTTCTAGCACGTGGTACCATGATTTTCGACGTTCTTTTCGATCATACACCAAGAACCACGGATGGAGATCACATAGATCTCGTCCTCTGCAAATCCAAAAATTATTGCTTCAGAACTCTAGCAAAATACTGTATTTACTCCTACTCGCAGATGAAATAAATATGCATCTCTATGTTATGTTGGTATCTACTTACTTGTTGCGAAACTTCATTCAATAGTGCCTGGGTAAACAGTCGCGACGTTTCTTTGGGGATAGCTAATTTTGGGTAAAGGTAGACAATGTGGGGGATTTCACAATTATAGGAGTAAATTCGCTCTGATGAAGGGGTAAAATTTTGGAGCGGCTGATCAAGATCTTCCGTACGATTTCACTTACCGAAATTGGAGTTGTTCTCTGCGCTAATGCTAAATCAGGTCGGCTAGAACTACGAGTTGTAGCAGGGTACTTACTAAGACGTCCGATCATGTAGCACTTGTTACGAAAGAATTATTAGTTCTACTTTAATACGGCAAAGCGCACGTGGTAAGCAGGGACTGAAGCTGCACCCGCACCGAAGTTGTAAGTAGACTATGACACGCAAAACCGACAAGAATTCAGTAAACGAAACGACGTGCCAAACCGAATTTTATGTGGAGCAACTCAGGACCGATTTAAGTGACAAACGAGACGACGAGTCAAACTGTTTTTTACGAACAAAAATTGGGCACTGGATGAACAGTGGCCATGCATCCTAACTAACGCAGGTGCAGAAGGCCACATCATGAACTGGAAACACAATGAATGGCGCTGTTGTGTGAATTTCGTCACTTTTGTGCTGCTTTGCCGTGATGAAATTGGACTTCTGTCGCTGTGCGAATACATGTCGGAGGAAATCATCTTTCGCAATGGGAGTGAGCATGAACTTACGGTCACAGTGTTTACTAGATTATTTCATAAAGATAAACTCCAAAGACTTCACCATCTCACCTTCTGCGGTCGTTCCTCCGATCCCTTTCGCGACTGTCCCGTGCAGGAGCGCGGTCGCGATCGCGGTCCCGTTCTCGACTGCGCCCGCGACTTCGACTCCGCTTGTGTTTCTCATTGTAATTATCGCGTTCATCGTCGCGGTCGCGATCCTTTTTTCTGGTGTCCTTGTCACGCTCCCGGTCAAGCTGTTACAAGTAAAGTTCGAAAACTTCGAATGAATCGCATTCGCAAAAGTCAGGCTCATAACGAGCAATAACTTTAACTACACAAATCAAATTCAGCATTACACGTCACTGTCATTAACATTAATTATCGAGAGAATCAGAATTTGAATGATTCGAATAAAAAACTTTGTAAGTACAACTATACCTTTGACAATTCCGCCAATCCCTCCTCGTGCTCTGTGTCCCCGAGCGGTAGTTCCTTGTAGTCGATCCAATAAACCGTCGGTGAGTCCCCAAGTTGAAACACGCACCGGTTTTTCGAGACTTTCTGCAGTTTATCAATCCCCGTGATTTCCAACAGTTTAAACTCGTCGCTATTCCCGATCCACCGGATGGGCTCCTTGTCCTTCGCTTCCGACGCTTTTCGATTCAACACCTTCTTCCATTCGGTCATGGACCAGATTTTCGTCACACCGTCGATCGCTTTCAAAAACAGCTTCCCGTTGTTGTGGAGCAAAGCACAGTGCTGCTTGGCCACACTGCTGTGCATGTTCAGGACCTGGCCGTCTAAGTGCGTGGCGGAGCCGAAGATCAGTCCTTTTTCCGACAAAACCATGTGCCGCTCCATGTACTGCTGTTTTTCAACTTCCTCCTCCTCCTCATTCTCGGAGTTATCATTTTGCGTTGTGTGGTTGTACCCGTTGCCATTTGCGGTTGGTTTGTTACCGCGGTCATTTGGAGGATTTATTTTTCCGTTTTTCGTTTTCCCATTCGCCAAATCCGCCAGCGTGCTGTGGACGGAGTTCTCGCCCTCCAGCTGCAGACCGGATTTCGGGAGCGTATGGATGTGTCAGAGTTGAAATCGACAAAGTTGAAATAATTTGTCATGCATAAAATGGATGCCAGTTGGAACCCAGTTGCCAAGTGGCGCATGACAAATTTCGGTGGTCCCTAAATCCAGTTTGTCATGCTGTTTAAGCAAAGAAGAGCGATTTTCTAATGCTACTTTAGCAGCTCGAGCTGTAACCCCAAACAGGCTTACAATCGGCCTCACTTGCCTGCTCTGCAACACACGCGCCTCGGGTCATGCATTTTATGCATTACAGATTATTTCAACTTTGACGATTTCAAACCTGACGCTTCCATAGAGCGGGTGGAAGCTGTACAGGTTGATCAGGTTGCGGGTCCGGTCCGTGCCGAGCGGCTTGGTGCACTTGGCCGGAATATCAATTGCAAAAATGTCTGGGTCTGGAATATTATGGGACTTGTCATGCACGTTTTGCATCAGCCATGATATCTGTGATGCACGCCGTAGCATCACAGATTTTTTGAGGGGTTCTTGATGCCTATTCCGCATGACAAATGCGCTCTCCGCGTAGGAAAAATTGCATTCCCTTTGCTGCTCATGCAATACAGTTTTTTTCTGGAATCCAAATGCAGCATTACAATTTACATCCTTCCAGACCTCGTCCCAGACATATTTGCAATGCATACGGAATTTCGTACTGCGGCAGCTCGTTGAAAATCTGTTTCCTCTGCGTTTCGGCCTTCTCCTTGCGCCCGAACTGCGGGGCTCCGGACATGAACGAACATTGCATCCAATGCCCGAAACACATCTTGTAGGGTTGAGTTTGTCAGTCTTGATCAACAGTATGGCTAATGCTAAGCAAAGGACTTTGATCGAAATTTTGTCTATCTTTACTTGTGTCGGATAAAGTTAAAGAACGCAAAACCAAAGGAGTGAATAGAAAAACTTTTTTGTGTCGCTGGCGCTGCTGTAAATCCAAATGAAGAGTAGAGAAGCTTGCGTGCATGATAGATTTGTTCAAGTCTTCATCGATCGTGGAACTCGTATTTTTTCCCAAAAGCTTTTATACAATTTCCCGATCCAGAAAGGGCAAGTAAGTAATTTCTTGGATCGTGTTTTGCGGACCACTGTGATCTCAAGACGTGAGTAAACCAAACAAACACTAAAAGTTTTGGGATACTCTCCACTTTGTTCAAAATCAATCTTTTGCTCGCATTTGTCGGCGTGCGAGCTTGTTTGTAATCAAGCAGATACGGACGATGGTTCAGGTTCTAAGTTTGTTTTACTTAAAAAGTCTTCATCAACAGGCAGCCTGACGCACAGCGAGGCTTCATCAAGATTGAAAATTGCAAAAAAACGCTGACAGAAGTTTAGTAAAGAAGCAAAAAGTGCTTTCCGCGGCCGTGACCTTTGTCAAAACGGAAACCCGCATAGTTTGAAGACTGGTACGACTCGTCGTGGTTGCAGCGCTACTGGTTCTTGAGATGGAGGTGGTGCTGGTGGTGGATCGTCTAGAAGGTTATTTGGTTCAAAGATTTTGTTCGGTGAGCCAGATGCGCACTCCAAGTTCGCTCATCGACAAGTCCGCGGGCTTTTTCTTCCTGCTGCTGCGCCTCGGCTGTCGCCTGTAGCTCTTCTCTCATTATTTTCATTATACCTTTTCTCCGATGGAAGAAGAATTTTTTTGTTTTTGACCAAAGCGAACGCAGCGGCTTCCAGTAGTGGTCGACATCACCCTCGCCCTCATCCGTTGCCATACCCAGCGCTTCCGCGCTTTCGGTGAGCATCAAAAAATAATGATCCAGCTGGGCATCGGCCATCTCAGACTGCTCATCGGTCATCTTCTCGAAGGCATCATGGCTGAAGATGACACCCCAATTGTGTTCCCTTTTCGACTTCGTGTTTTTGTCGTCCATATCAAATGCAAAAATGTCTGGGTCTGGAAGATTGCCAAGTTTGTCATGCATGTTTCTCATGACACATGACGCCTGTAATGCATGACCTAGCATCGCAGACTTTTAGAGGGCTTCCTGATGCACCTTCCGCATGAGAAATGCCCTTTCCGCGTAGCACAAACTGTGCCCCTATTGCTGGTCATGCAATACAAATTTTTTTAGAGTCCAAAAACAGCATGACAAGTTGCAATCTTCCAGACTCAGACATTTTTGCAGTTGATAGTCCAGCTGGTGCAGTAGATGCTCGAACGGACGGTTGCGGTAACATGCTTCAAGTTTAGTCCTCTCCTCGACGTCGTAATCGTATCGGAGGTTGTGGACGTGATCAAAATAGTATTTGTGGGAACACTCGTAGTAAAGGCGTGCGTTGTATACCGGCGTATTTTTCTCTTCATTCACACGTGATTCAATATGAGGCATCACACTTCTATCCGAGGAAAACGAAAACCGACTCGAAGTCGTCGAGTCGAAGCTCCGTGCGTGGACTACCAGAATATGAATCGCGTAGAGGAACTCGCGCAGCACACCGTACGCCAGGCGTTTGTATTCGTCTCTTTTGCCGCCGTCGTCCCAGCCGCTGTCCCCCAATCTGTTCACCTCGGCGCCGTCCAAGCTCCAGAAGAAGAAAGCCTCGTGCTCAACGCCCTTTAGCGTTGTGATGAAAGCTGGCTGCGGGGCCGCTTTGGGTGCTGCGCTGTGCCGAGGCAATCGCTCCTGTTGTTCTTTTTTGTGCTGGTGGTCGCGAGCTCTCTGAAGCACACGGTCATGTTCTGCTTGTTCCGCCGCGTGCTGCTTTTCTATCTCCTGCTGATGCGCATGCGCCGCCTTCTTCACTTTTTCCACGAGCAACTCTGCATTCTTCCACACAAGCGCGGGAAAAGCCTTACGGGCAATGAAGACTCGGAATCGATTGTGCACACTACAACCACCACCGTTCCCTCGACCTACAATGTTGCCATTTTTAAAATCGTGGAGAAACTCTCCCTGGTCCTCAACATCGAGTTCCGGGTCCTGCAGGTCAAAAGCTCGCTTGAACGTGATAAAGAATCTCGGCAAGTCGTTGTACATGAAAGAACGCCCCTGCTCATCTGTTGCTTTGTGACGCGTTTTGATTTCCTCGTCCCAATGCCACCGCGGGTCCTCACCTTTTTTTTTGGCGTACAGTTTGGCGTACAAGTAACCGAAGAAAACTCGTTCCTGATCTTCGACACCAAGTGCGGAGGCTATCCCGTGCACTACATCCAACAGCAGCTCTCGGCAGCGTTCATTTTCTGTATTTTCATTACGGTCTTTCTCTTTTCGCCACCGTAAGTCCAACGCAAGCGTGCTGTGGTGGAAGTTTTTGCCGTTCCGCGCCGTGTAGATTTCTCCGACCATCAACTTTTGGAGAATGTAGACAACCTTGTCAGCCAGGTTATGCTTTTGGAGGACGCCCTTGATTGTTGGTACGGACTCTGCGAACTCATCAATTTTATGCCCCAAGTGGTGATGCTTATCGTGGAAATGCGACTTCAAAAACCGAAGATCATTTTCGTCAATGGAAGGGTGGCTCCGCCGTTGCATCATGAACAACTGCTGCTCCAATTCCAACGCGGAAAAGCTCTGCTGGTCATGCTGTTCCTGAATCGAGACCGTATTGACCGAAGCGCGGGAGAACCAATCGGACTGATGCAGCAAACACTGGAACAGGTCAAACCTTGCGGCGGCGGGGCCCAGTAGAGGTCCAGGTAGTACTCTTTCCGGGGTACTAGGGTCCTCCTCCGGCGGGGGGAGGCCAGGCGCCGCCAGACTTGGACACTGCAGGCCCGGTTCGTAGACCGCAACCAGCTTGTCCCCGTCGAGGTCGAACGCATGCTCGAAGAAACGCTGCGTCTGGTCCAGCCAGTTGGGTGGTCCCATTTTGCCTTCGTCCCCGTCATTTTTGACGACGAGCGACCCGTCCGTAGTCGACAGGAAGAAAGACATTTCCGGGAAAAATGCTGGGCGGATAGGAAGGCGTGATTGGCAAACCACCCGGCCCGCCGCAACTTGTCGCTCCGCAAAATCTCTAACGAGCGAGAAGCGAAATTCTCCACTGGTCACATTCACGAACCGTCGCATCAGAGCGACGCTCAACAGCTTTTCCTGCGGGGCAGCGAGATCGTCGTCCGAGCTCCAACCGACTTGCATATCCTCGTAAATTTGGCGGATGCACGTGTCCACAATCACCTCACGTTTTTGCCTTCGGTTCAATCCACGTACCAGTTCGCTTCGAGATGAACTACCTGCGACCGAATCAACAACAGACGCTGCATTAGTTGTAGCCGTAGCATTTTTTAGTGCCTTTTCTATCGTGATGTTCTTTCCGTCGTCTTCGTCCGAAGATACAGCTGGTCCTCCTACAGACCACGGTGAGAAACGCTCGCCGTGCTGCAGCTTAGCATCGGTTCCACGACGAACCAGGTTCGATGACTCATCTCCCTCGGAAAAATCCGTCTCTATGCTCGTACTGCCAAGGTTGGTCGCACGCCCTTGTTGCACAAACGAAACCGTTCCCGAAGCTGCTGTTGCTACCACTTGCGACGGACCGCGCGTGGTCCCCTCCGTGGCCGGTCCCGCTCCTGGTGCAACTCCAGCAGCGCTGCTTTCTGGAACAAGCGAAGATAGTCCATGATGATCTACTTCAGCTGCAACTTGTCGAGCAGCGAACGTTTTCGCTCCTCCACTTGGTGGCGGTAGCGCGGCCGCCGCAGAAGTGTCAGTTGACTCCTCAGCATTCTCGTCTGCGTCGGCAGCTTCACGGCTATCCTTGCCAGCTACCGCTAGTGCCCGCGTATACGTCTCTCCTGCGTCGACCTGGTTTTGAGAGACCGCGTGTGCCACCCACCCGGAGATGAACAAATTGATGCCAACGGCGCAGAGACAAATGCTTGCAAGGAAGAAACCACGAATGCGGCCTTGCGCGGCTCGATTCTCCATCTCCTCTCTCGCGGGCCTTCGTTGCCGCGGCTGCAGCAATTCTAGCATCCTTCTTGTAGTACGGGTGTCGAAGATTTCATATTCGCGATCCCGGCTCTGCGGGAGATCACCGCGGGATCCCACAGGACTACATGGTCATTTTTTTGCGCGACAACTACCTCGTCGAACCGACAAAACGATTTCAAAATGTTTGTCCTTCGAAAAGGTTACAACCGGCAGCACTCAGTCGTCGCAGTGCTGCTGCCAGAACGAGGATACCAACGCACCGCGAACAAGACGCCGGGAGCGATGGACGGAACATCCAATAAGCCGGGAGCGATCATGGACGCAACATTCATTACATGACCCGGTGTCTCTTTTCTATAGATCATTTAGATACTCTTTTTTCATTTTCGTATTCGTCTTGAAGTAGAACAACTACATCAAGTCTCAGCCAAATTTTTGTGTCCGCAGTTTTATTCATTTTCGACAACTACGAACGTGATCAGTGCAAGGCATCAATGCACACAAATATCATTCGCATCATCACCCTGAAGGGATGAGCCGTTCCTTCCTTACGAAACTACCCCCGCATGACCCCCGGATTCACGCCTAGAGGACAACTGCGAGGTCAATCTGGCTTGCGCTTGGCGCTCTCTCCGCACCAAACCAGCGCTTTGCGCCGCGCGCTTCTCCGAAACTCGCATTTGCTGCAGAAGGTCCGCGGCCATGCTCGAGAAATCGCCCTGGTAGGTCGCCGGAACGCCCAGTGGGAGGTGAGGAATATCGTGCATCTCGTGTCGAACGAGAGCATGAGCACCGGAGGGTCCTCGCAATCCATGTTGATATTCAACTCGACCGCCAAAGTGAACGTGCTGGTCCTCGTGCATATTACTATTTTCGTCGACTAAGACGTCAAAAGCCATTTCCTTCTGCCGACTCATCATTGCAGCCTCCTGTTCCAAAGACAGGAAATTCTTGTTGCTTCTCCCGACTAAATCCTTCTTGCCGAAATCGTAGTCCTTCCGCAAAATCAGGGGCGTGGCTCGGCCTTGTTCCTGCGCATAGTTCGTTGTATTCTCATCTCCTTCAGCCGCGACGGTTCCACGAGCGTCCTCCTGCTCAACGATGGTGGGAAACCTCGCGGAGTCCTCGTCCCTTTTACTCGCGATTCTCGTGGAGTCAAATTTCACCGGAAGAACGGTGAGCTCCGTCAAATCATGGTAGGCTGCTTTTTGCTGCAGCGGGATGAAAGCGGTTTCAACGACTTCCTGCTGGCTCATGATATTTTGCGGCTGAAGTTGTCGCTCCTGGGCCTGATCAACGTTACTCGTCGACATCTGGGACTCATACTCCTGCAGTTTTGACTGCCAAAAATCAATCGCGAACAGCTTGCTTGGGTCCCTGCGGCGAAAGGTTTTTTTCCGGACGCGCGGCGGCCTTTCTTCGACGTATTGCGCGACCTGTTGTTGCTGCCCGCAGCTGTGGCTGTCTGAGCCGCTATGATCTTCTTTATGGTCGTAAACTACCGGCTCATCGTGCAGCCCCCCGTCGTGGTCAACATTTTTGCGTGTACAACTGTCCACTTGAAGCAAGTCGAGTCGTGATCTGCGACGGTAGGTGTTCCTCGCAGTTGCGCGCGGAGGTCGAAGTGCTGCACCGGGCGCGGGGGTAGTTGTATGCAGGAATGATCCGCTTTCCTCATGCAGACCCACCTCGTCCCGAACTGCAGCAGCAGGAGCAGATTCGTGCGGTACAGGTGCAACAGGTGCATCAAGACAGGGCACTGAATGTTGTAGGGCGCTGCTTGCTACCGAAAAACAACCAGCCTTCGTTCCTATCTGGTCAGCAGTGTTGGCGTCATCTGGTGCTGGTGCAGCTCTGCTTGTTGTCGTTAGCATAGGCTTCCGGTGGTTTTTAAGGTGGACTTTGACATGATCGTTTTGGCCCTGAGTGGAGTTCTCCCCTCGTGCAGCTTTTGTGCCACTCTGTCGACCACTCGCGTGTGCCGAATGAATATCCTCAGTTGGAAGTAGAACCGGTGAGAACAATAGTCTACCCCTCGAGGTGGTAGTATTTCTATTTCTGAACTGTTGCACAGTTTTTCGTGCGTGCTCCGCGCTCGCTGTCAAGCAGTCCTGAAAGAGCTCGTGAAGGCGGGGAGAGTTCGGCGGGATGGCGGGCGGCACAGAAGCAGTTACGCTCGGGCTTTGATGTGCAGCTTGATCTCCTCGTCCGGCGGGCATCTTCAAGGGTCGTGCTGGCCGATGGTCGGCAGCGCGATGACAGTCGCCGCCGCCGGTAATGGGAAAATAAATATTTGCAGCACCATAACTTGAATTTTCACCGTGACAAGAATTTTCTCCCTGCGAAGGTGTCTGAGCCTGGCGCCCGTGAGGTCGTTGAGTCCGCGGACCATTCTGGCTGCCGGGTTCGATCTCTGGGGCCGTAGACGTTGCCCCTGCAGACGTCGCCCCGGCAAAAGTAGTCCTTTTCCCCGACGCGAGAGGCACCGTAGCAGCACGAAGGAGCGCAGCCTGATCCACTGCAACTTCCGGTGCTGTTCTTGTTCCACCAGGCTCCTGAAAAGCCAAAGACTTCCGATACTCCGCGTAGGTCTCCGCGTTGAGCGCGCTTGCGATGATGGAGGCGGGAAAGCTTCGCCCTCTGCCGGCGAATAAATGCGGCCCCGAAAGTCTGGTCGTGCTTTTTGGAAAAGTACCAAATATAGCCGCCGGGGCGGGGGTAGTGAGGTCGTGGGCGTTTTTTTGCCGACCGCAGCCGTGGCCGCGGCTTTGCTTTTTATGGGCTCGCCATACCGCCGTGAGTAACGTTATGCCGCACGGTATGGCGGCCACGTGGGAAACGTCGCAAACTTTGGCACATTTCCAAAATTCCTTTTCGAAAGCCAGCCCCGATGCTATGGGGCCGATCCGGGTGCCACGGGGGGCGCCCAAAAAGCGAAGAAAAACCGGGCCCATAGCATGCGGGTTGGCTTTGCGCGTCTGGCGCGCTTTTTATTTTTCGCGTTTTTATTTTTCACGCCGGCGCCTTTTGCAAAGCTCCCCAGGCTCTAAAACCGGCGAAAAGGCTGCCGCTTTCGCGGCCGCCCAAAATGCTCCGAAATCGCGGCCGTGCCATGCTGTTTCGCTGTTCTGATTTTGGGCGCGTTTTTTGCGCGCTCCTTTTTGGGCGCCCCAAACCGCCAGAAACTAAGGCGGTGGGCGCCTCAGAAGGGCGCCCCTTTTGCCGGCTCCCCTGCGTCGTTTTATCCAGTGCGAATCGATAGAATCCGCCCGGGCTATTTTGCCGCAGACGCCCCGGCCGCTTGATAAGTGAAAACTTTTTATGCTCAAAAACACTTCCGGCCGCTTGAAAACTGCCGGCCATTTTGCTGTCTGGGTGTCAAAAAAACTCCCCGGTTAGAACCGTTCGGTGACCTCACTACATACCATCCGGGTCGTGGTCACTTGCATGGTCCTCACGGGCGCCGAGAAATCGAAACTTATTCTTACTTTCCCCCCGACGAGAAGCAGCAGGAGGAGCTCCCGTGCCTAGTTTGTTGGCGCTCTTCGCACGATGCTCCTCTACTCGCCCCGCCAACGGCTCTTTCCTCTTTCTGAGTAGAAAGTTTTCATTCTTTTGAATTTCCGCCACTACCCGCTCCTTGTTTTCGACGAACTCCAGGATCAACGCGTCCCGTTTCGTCGGCGAATTTTCCCTCGCACACGCGTCCACCAGCTGCTTCGCTTCTTCTTGAAAAAACGCAGCCACTTTGTGCGCAACGCGGGAGAATTTCTTCTGCATGTTCGCCCGCTTTTCCTTGATCCTTTCCTCTCGCTGGGCGAAGACGCTTTTTGTTTGCTCCAAAACTGCGGCTTCGAGGTTCTGCAACTTCTCGGTCAGCCCAATGTCCGCAAAATATTTGTCGAAACCGCTGATGTATCAAATGCAAAAATGTCTGGGTCTGGAAGCTTGCAACTTGTAATGCTAGCTCTCCATACCTAGGAAATCTGTATTGCATAGCCAACAAAAGTCGCGGCCTCTTTTGTACACGCAAAAACGCAGTTTATCTCATAGTATGAGAAAGCGTTCTGAAAAGTCGTCATGCTGTGTTGCATTCGGAACTGTTTCCATCATCCACATTTTAGCATCACAAGCTTCATCCAGACCCAGACATTTTTGCAATCCATATGATGTTGACCCTGGCCCGAAAAGCCGCAAATTTGTCTGTGTTACAAGTGGTAGAGCTGACCACGCCAGGCTGATGTGAAGCAGCCTGCGGTCGTGGAGGTACCACTGCCGCAGATGATGTTGAAGAGACCCTGTTTATTTCCGCGGGAACGACGAGACCGGGGATGACAGAGGGTTCTTCGACATTTTGAACCTGCGCCTGTTCTTGCGCTGCAGGGGTGTCGTCATGTGTTGCGCATTCCTTCTGCTCTGTTCGTCTCATCACCGAACTTACTCCCGCTGGCTCGAGCACATTAGTAGTGGCCGCAACCGGAACTTCTGCAGGTTGTAGCGAAGGGTGAGTTTGTGCAACAAGCGGTATTGGTAGTACTGCGGGAAGAACGTCGGCTTCTTCGCATGCACTAATTGCAGCACTTGCACCTCCTGCAAACCCGACTGGTTCCGTGGTTTCTTTGGTGTCACTGTCAGCCGCTCGGGATTCGTACGCTGGCGCGCATTCTTGTACCTCCTCCTGTTTCGCTTCTTCATCGAAAACGTTCGTCTCTCCCGCGACCGAGGTGGCTGTCTTTGCGTAGACATCTTTTCCTGCAGCAGGTGCTACAGTTGCAGTAGAAACCGTTGGCTCGTCCACAACGCCAACTGCAGAAGCAGGTAAATTGTTCTCATCGACGTCGACAATTACTGTTCCTTGCGGCACCGCAGACTCGACAGACTCGGACTCCGCCACAGAAAAAGCACCAGTAACGAGCTGCCGACTGTCCCGCGGCGTGACGGACGGTTCGCGCTTAATATTGCCAACGGGAATCGTCATCGGCGCGGCGGAAGATACCGAATTTTTTCCAAGCGGCGGAAGGTCGACGTTGACCGCCGCATCGCAAACAGGCGGCGGCCTGGACGCCACAAAAACTTGTTCCGTCTGCATGCTCCTGTCAGTCGCTGTCCTCACCTCCTCCAGTGCCGACGGTTTGCTCGGACTTCTCGGAGCAGAAGCTGGCTTTTGAGGATGAAACAGGGGATTCGTCAAGGCGCTTGCATCCGCGGGGATAATGTGCAGGTGCAACTTGGTGTCGTTCCTTGACAGCCGCCCGGCACCACCTGATGTTTCTCTTCCTTCATCCACGAATCTCGATTTCCTTTCTGACGCATTGAAAAGTCTTACAATCGGACAAGTACTAAAACCAGTGCGGTTATATCCATGGCCGCAGAAGGCTGCAATTCTGTGATCTTGATTCATCTACATCTTTGTAGCTCGCGTGAGAAGTTGTATACATTCATTCATAGCATAGCTCAGAAGTACCTTTTCCATTGGTCTGCACCACCTGACAGATCTGGAAGTTGCTCAGCACAAAAGCCGTGGCGGTTTCCGGGCTCTTTTCACCCGAACTCCGCTCCACCAAACTGCCCGCGCAGTCCTGGCACAGGGACTTCCTGTCACCGACGAAAAACGCTCTTTTGCAGTCAAACGCCTCTCCGCAACTGGTACAGCCAAAACAGGAATCGTGAAAGGAGACGCCAGACACAACTTTCTCCCGCTGATTCTCCCCGATGGGTTCCCCGCACCCGCCGCAGATAGGGGTGAAAGAGCGTGTCGTTGTGGACTCGGAGTAGATTTTTACTTTCGACGGGGGCGATGTGGAGGTTGACGAGGACCTACTGCCTGCTCCGAGTGTTGTAGTTGTGGCTGCGCGAGAACACATCAATGGCGCGACCGTGGTCATCGCGGGTGACACCGCTCGAGACGACGTAGTTGACAGCGGAGGAGCAACGGTCGACTGCTCTGATACCGGTGTGCCGGCTTGATGTAGTTCCAGGTGGTGGTCGGTCGCATTTATTTTCATGTTTTTCTGGTGCTCCTCGGCGTCTAGCTGCTCTCTGTTCAGTTCCCCCCAAGATTGTTCCGTGACCCGTCCTGCACGACGAACTGTACTACTATCCTTTGTTCCAGTGCTGGACGTCGACTTTTGCCCTACTGAAGGAGCAGCGCATGATACGGGCTGATCTGCAGAGCTGCGACGATCGTGATCTAACCAACCATTCCGGTCCAGCCCGTACAAAGATATTCTTTTCCGGTCTTGTTCAACGGACGGTTGCCGCTTCGGGGGTGGCTTCGCGGGCAGCAGAACCTCTGTGTCGCTGGATAGATCGACGTCGTGAGCTGGAATATCTGCGGCAAAAACCTTTGCCTCCTCGACGTCGTCGGCGAAAGAAACCCGCGAAGTGGTCCTTTTTGCAGGAGGTGGGGGTGAAAGAAACTCCACAGAAGTAGAACTACAACCGGGTGACGACGAGCCACGACGACGTGCACGTGTTCTATTTTGCGGGTCGTGTACATGATCTAGTACTTCTCCGTCTGAAGATGCGAGTACCGAGCCCTCGTCCTCCACCCCGCTCCTTCGTCCATCAACAGAAATTCGCCTGCTGTCTTTTCCTTTGCTCCTTGGTTCTTTGCTTGTTTTAGTATTCCGGTGCCGCGGCCTCCCCACGTCTTCACGGCGCGACGATGACGAGGAGTTCTTGCTTTTTCTCGATGCAGTTCCTGGGGCTTCAACTCCCGAAGTGGACCTACTACGTTCCGCTTTGCCGTTCGAGTAGGGAGCTTTATTTCCGGCGTTCGCTTCATCTTGCAAGATGAAGTCGTCGAGGGAACGCGATTCTTGTCGCCGTTCCTGCGTACTCGACGACCGCCGACCAGATCCAGATTTTCTTCGGCGGCCCGTCTTGCTACTCCGCCGAGACGAAGACGTTGACCGATCCGATCGCTTCCTCGCACGACTGCGGTGCTGCTCCCGTCGTGCCGGGATATCGTCGTACTCGCGGTCGTTAAGGTGGTCATTGACGCTCTTGGTAGCGACATCTTCTCGTTGTTTCCTTGCACCCTTTATTTTGTGTGACGGAGACGAGGCTTCAACATCCTCTCGAGTGCTCCTGGAAGATCCTGTTCTTGATTCACTTCTCCTACTCGAAGATGCTCCCCTGTTCGAGGATTTTTTCTTTCGGGAAGATGAGCCTCCAGAGGCAAGAACTTGCTGACTCTCAAAATCCTGTTCTACTTCAGGGTCTGTTTCATCTACAGCCGCTCGACCTGCTCGTGGTAGTGCTAGGTCCGCACCGTCCGGATGAAGATCCCGCTCCCCCCTCTGCTCGTCCCGTCCCTCCCCTTCCTCCACAACAGATCCCGACCGCGAGCCTCGGGAATAAAACTCCGCTTTTTTCGGATCTTTCTGCGTCGCACAATTCACAAACTCTTCCACGACCAGATCTTCCACGTTGTTCGAAGCTGCCTCGTCTTTACTTCGTTTGTTGCGGCCACTCTTCTTTCTCTTTGAAGAACCGTTTCTAGAAGTAGACGACGACTTGCTGAAACCTCGCTTATTTTTCCTTTGCGGCTTTCTTTGATGTTCTTTATTCCGGTGCGAATTCCGTATGCGGGTTTCGACTAAATCGTGGTAAAAATCGTACGAATCGGTCCGCGGCTTTTTCACATGCTTATTTTTTCCACCTCTTTTCCGATCGTTATTTGGCGGCCGTGGTTCTACTACTTCTTGTTGTCCAGTTTCTTGTTCAAGAACATCCTTGTCAACAATTACATCATCTCTCCGCCTGCGCTTCCGCTGGTATTTGTGAATGTTCGCGTCTATGTAGGCTTTCTGGTACCGCTCCTCGTCCTCCCTGTCCGTCTCCTTTTCGGAACCTGCTCCGGGAAAGCCAAGCAGCTCCCGGCTGGCGCGACGAATGAAGTCGCCGATCGACTCACGCGCCGACCGGCGGGAACGATTTTTGCTCATCCTGAGAAGAATGACTTACGGCAAGAAACCTACGACCACGGGGGCTCGTGGTCCTCGCGGGGCAAAAATGGACCACGAGTGGACTCAAAACAACAAAACATCCTTGTTGTTCTCACGAATTTGTACTTGATTTCGCACGACCAGCATTGTGAAGCATGATGCGAAGTGGACTGCCGGTACGTTTAAACGATAACGTCGAGGAAGTTGTCCTCAAACATAGTAACATGCTCGCTCAACAGTTCGTAAGAGAAAACGCGACAAAGACCAGATGAAACACACATAACTGTCGTGGTGAGAAAGTTGTAAGTCAAAGCGAAGAAATTGAAGGAAGCAAGTGTTGAAAAAGAAAATTTTTTCGCATCAAGCCATTTCAGGTATGATCAAAATGTGGGCCTTTTTATTTTCATCAAACTGAGTTTCCCGCGTCAAAGGCGCTCGCCAGTGCGAGAAATCTCTCTTCGGCATGCTCCAAACGTTCCAACTTTTTGTAGAAAACCCTAGCCCGCCGCTTCTCGGCGAGGTACTCCCGCCAACAGGCCATGCGGTCTGCTTGTTCCACTCCTTGCTGCTCACGGCGCCGACGACTGGAGTGGGACAAATCTTGGTCGGAGGTCGTGTCACAAGAACTACTCGAGGGCATGTGACGACGAGGCCGACATGCTATGGAAAGATGAGAAGTAGAAGACCTAACGGAGCTGTTGTGGTCATTCATCTGCACAGCATCTGGACAAGCTCTTCTTCCAAAAGAATTTTCTCGGCCGAAGCTGCTCCTGCCTACTTCACTCCTGCAGTAGAAATCCACCCTGCCCGGATGTTTTTCCCCGGACCGGAGGGAACAATCTGAGCGCTTGCTTTCCTCTCTTCCACCGTGGTCGTGAGAAAAGCGCCGAGTATGTGCATCATCCACGATTCTTGCGTCCGCCTCATCGTCGCTGTTAGTACTTATTTCTCGCCCCGGTGTTGACGCATCTTTTTGTTCATCCCGAGGGGTGGAGCACGATGTTCTTCTGCTCGACGCACTACACGACGGGGACGAGAGCGGCCAGGTAAATTTTCCGCTCATGGCAGACACGTCGAACTCATTTTCCTCGTCGTCCGTCTCTATCAAGCGAGTGGATTCATAATCCGTCTGTTTCGACAGGGTTGGCGCTAGTTTTGATGCGCGCCGCGATTTTTGAATTATCGACTGGGCGACTACAGGTGATGTGGCACAACTTTTTCCAACTGCGACAGCTTTTGTACTAGCAGACGATATTCTTGTAGTCTCAGAGAGCCCCCGCCGTGGTAAAAATCGTCTTGCATATGCATCGTCCTCCAAACTCGGATTTTGCCCCGGCGAGACGTCATCTTGCAGCTCCCGTGGTAGTTGTCCACCGTAGTTCCCGTTTTCTTCCAACTTGACGTCGAAAGAAGTTGCCACTTGTGGTCGTCCCCCCGCACAATCTCCATCAAAGGGCCGTGGCGGAGATTCCTTGTGCGCGATGGGGCTCAGGTCGTCCAGGCTCCGCAAAAAGTCCTCCTCGACTTCGGCTTCCCACCTGGCAGAGAAAATTGTTTCGGACTTTGACAGCAGAACATCTTCGAGCCTGGTGGCAGAGTTCTCGGTGGTGTTGTTTTCCTTTTCGTTTTCCGCATCGACATAAATGCTTCTCTCTGCTGGCTCCTCTGGTAGTTCATCGTGATCCAACGGCTCCTGTGCTCCTGCAACTACACTACCGCTATGAAAGCCTCCAACGCGATGATCCTGGTTACTAGACTTAGATGTAGATGTCGATAGTCTATCTACCGGATCTATTTGTTCCAAGGAAGTAATAGCACCGGCTAGATTTTTGTCCTTACTATCCATGGACTCCGGCGCAAGGACCAAGTCACGCAGCGTGTGCCGGCTTTCATCCCGGTAGAAGCTGTGCAGCCGGCGGTTGTGCAGCTGTGCGTTGCTCGCAATCTGCTGCACAATGTTCTTTTCGAAGGACGGCAGACTTCTCTTTGTGTCGGAGGCTCTAAAGACGCTTGCGCCGCTGTTTCTCCCCGAGCTCTTCTCATCGTGCTCGTCGGTGTCAACAGCTGGAGGGTACAAATCCTTGCTCTGACTCATAGTACCAAATATAGCCGCCGGGGCGGAGGTAGTGAGGCCGTGGGCGTTTTCTTGCCGGCCATCGCCTTGGCCGCGGCTTTGCTTTTTCTGGGATCGCCATACCGCCGCGAGTAACGTTAGGCCGCACGGTATGGCGGCCGCTTGATAAACATCGCAAATTTTGGGAAATTCCCGAAATTCCATTCCGAAAGCGAGGCCCCATGCTATGGGGCCGATCCGGGCGCCACGGGGGGCGCCCAAAAAGCGAAGGGAAACCGGACCCATAGCATGCGGATTGGCTTTGCGCGTCTGGCGCGCTTTTTCTCTTTTGCGTTTTTATTTTTCCCGCCGGCGCTTTTTGCAAAGCTTCCCAGGCTCTGAAGCCGGCGGAAAGGCGGCCGCCTTCGCGGCTGCCCAAAATGCTCCGAAATCGCGGCCGTGCCATGCTGTTTCGCTGTTCTGATTTCGGGCGCGTGTTTTGCGCGCCTCTTTTTGGGCGCCCCAAATCGCCAGAAACCAAGGCGGTGGGCGCCTCAGAAGGGCGCCCCTTTTGCCGGCTCTCCTGCGTCGTTTTATCAAGTGCGAATCGATAGTTTTCGACCGGGCTTGTTTGATGGCAAAGCCCCGGCCGCTTGGTAATTGAAAATCTTTTATGTCAGAAAACGCTTCCGGCCGCTTGAAAACTGACGGCCGTTTTGCTGTCTGGGTGGCAAAAAAACTCCCCGGTTAGAACCGTTCGGTGACCTCACTACATACTAGCCATATCATTGCTAGTAAGGCGTTCTACACTGGAAGTATGCTGTCGTCCCCCGATCATTCCAAACACCTCAGGAAGGTGAGAAATCGCCACTCTGCTACTGTGCTGGTCAAGCCGAGAGACCACATCCCCGGTCTCCTCTGTCTGAACGCCGGCCGTGGAACTCGGTCGGGAAGAAGTCGTGTGCTGGCCAGTATCAACGTATGGTGCCTCCTCTTCTCCTTCTGCCGAGGTCCTTGCGGCCTTGGCGTCACTTCTTGTACTACACGACCTAGAATGGCGATGCTGCCCTTTTTCGTCAGTGCAAGTGATCCTCTCTCGCCTTCCTTCAGCAAGTTTCTGCTCCATTTCTTCCGCGTTCATCTGGAAATCCTGCCAATACTGGCGCAGCAGCGCTTCGACCTGTCGTTCATACTCTCGGCTCGCGAGTAGGTGCCTCGCAGACCGGAGCCGGGGGGGCAGAGATGGTCTTCTTCGTCTGCCGTTGCTTGAAATTGAATGAAGATCTTCTCCCGCTTGTCTTCCTGAAGATTTATTCATCTCATGATCTTCGTCCACGATCCCGTGTTTGTTGATGCCACGCGAGGACGTAGCGGTATTGAAACCTCCCGGACGTCGAGACGAGGCTTCTTTTATTCCTCCATCAGCTCGCTCGTGGTTTTTGGATTTGCTTCTCCCGAGCTCCAACAGCGGCAGAACAACATTCTTCACAATTTTCCGCAACAGTCCTACGCGTTTCGCTTTCGATGCATCCGGGTTGTTTGTTCGTGTCGGGTGATAATTACCCGTCGTCCCCGAGGAAAACCCACTGACAGCAGTAGCACTGCTCGCAAAAGAGGACACCGACGATGATGTCTGGAGATCATTTTTTCCCTTTCCAAGTATATTGCTGCGGCTTTTTTTTCTTCTGAGCCGTGCAATATTACCGTGTTTCTCGCTACTTGACTTGGAAGCTGCTCCTGCGTTACTACTTCCACTCGACTGGTAGGTCCCACTCATAATTTCACTGTCCGGATCGAGGTGGTCCTCATTTCGTGCCCCGAGCAAGGATGAACCGGCCGACCTTCTTCCACCGCCTGAAGAGGAAACTTCTCCTGAGAGCGTGGAATTATAACTCCGGCTACTCCGCTGAGACCCCCACCGCTTGTAGAAGCACGGAGTTTCCGGAGTGGAAGCCACTTCCTCGTTGCTGGATGAAGGGCTTCTACTACTTCCATCGTGAGACAACTCTATGTACTTGTCCTCTACACTGCTCGCTAAGCCCTCCTCATTCTCGTGGACAAACGGAAGAGCTACGGGCGAGATGACGGCAGGTGTGCCTGCAAAGGATGATGTTGAAAGGCTCGTCGTTCTTTTCGTGCTTGCTCCACGCACTTTGTTGTTGTTCCCTAGCGCAGCAGCACCACTTCCCGTGATCCCTTCTTTATCACCTTCCGACGTCGGCGATCCGCGACGCAGCGACGCTACCAACTCTTCCGTGTCCCCCCGGAAGTACAGGTCCACATCCGTCTGCAAAGTCGCTTCTATCCTCTGCGGACTGGAGTGATAGCCCAGAATGTCGGTCGGTTCCCGGCTTGCGTACAGAGACATGATTCTGTTCTACTTCGGTTTTTGCAGAGCAGGCTTTTAGGTTTAGGTTTAGGTAAATGTAATTACAGGTAGGAAGGCAGCATGCAGGCGAGAAACGTTCACGTCCAGAAGAAATATTTCCACATATTCATTTGCAGCCGTCTCTAAGTACTTACTTATTTGTGAACCGGGAGCGAATTCCTCCTTTGAGGGAGACCAGGTCGTTTTTGTGGAAACAAAGTGCAAGAAGTATGTAAGCAGTCCCGGAGGGGGAAGTAAGTGAGTAGAAACGAAAGTTCTGGAACCGAACGCGAAGGTCAAAGGTCCAGGTCATGGAACCCTTTGAGCCTTCACATCGAGTCACGACTGTCCGGCTGTACCAGAAAAACGAAACGACAGGACACACTACTAGCATCGGCAAATCGCAAAAGGATCGTTCTTCGCTTCGCGAACGGTGTGGCGTTGACCATGCACCAGGATCATCTTCATCATAAACTCCTAAGATCGACTTCGACACGGCCACGCGTATTTTTACCGCTACTTAATATTCCTGAACAAGTGCAAAACCGCACAAAACACCTACTTATATGCATTTCCTGGTGCGCGACGGACCCAGGAGGCTTTGTTTCTCGTGCACATGGTTCAGTTTCAAACACTGATGAATGCATCAAGCAAAATGGAAACCGAAACATCGTCATTTCATTTGTATCGTCGCAAAATCAACAACAAGCGGTGTGCTTAGTTGAGTTCAGATAGGCATACATGTACATCACAAATTTGTAATCCATTTTACAGGGGCAAAGTGAAGAACTATCACTATGTACAACATTCTTCCAGCCAGTGCAAGCCCGCCCGCCAAAGAAATATTAAACTAGCCGTCCTCATCCGGAAGTAGAAGCCCCCTTCTTTATTCTCGGAGCGACGAACAGCATTTCGCGCTGGTTCGTGGCCGGATCGAGGCCGTAGACAAAAGCGAAACTGTCGTGATGTCCAGTCTCCACTTCCACTGACTCCTCTGGGACGTCGGGCCGGGTCTTCGCGACCTGTGATAGAAGCAACAACGCTAGTGATAGTGAAACAAAAACTCTACACGAATCGAGGAGCAGTGACTACAGGTACAGTGCGTTGAAACAATAAATGAAACATACTCATCATGGAAAGAATCAGTTCAAGAAAAGTACCTTTTTCTTTATCCTGGCGACGAAATGCGCTTCGCTGCGGGAGGTGTGTTTGTCGGTGCTCGAGTTTGAAGGCAAGGGGTTGTGCTCTTGTTGTGGATCCGCAGTAGCAAAAGTGCTTATTTCAGCTTTTTTGCCACTCATGATATTCTCAAGAACAACCGCAGTAGGTTCTTCGCGCTGCCCCCTGTTGCCGTCGTCCTCGTCGTGCAGCTCTACCTGATCTTCAGTGCCAGAACTTGTCTTTTGTTCTTGGTAAAAATAGAGCCGGCTCGCGCCGTCGTGTTGAACAATGTGGTGGAGATGTTGTTGACGCTCTACTTTCGCAGATGAAGCTGCCGAGGTGGACAAAGGTGGCGCTGCTGCACCAGTTCTTGTTTCATCTTCTACCTCCGTTTCCAACGTGCTGCTTCCCCCTGCTTCAGCGTCATCTTCTCGAAGTAGTTCTAGATCAAGATGATCGCCGGTACTAGTTTTCTCTACTACACTCGTTGGAACGACTGTCACGGAACCCGCAGCACCGACCGAGAACCTCTTTTTTGTTCTTGCTGAGACATTGTCCAAGTTCTGTCCCAATTGAAGATGAAAGTCATCCCCAGCTTTGTTGATCTCGGGCGTCATTCCACCTTCGTTTTTTTCCTGCTGAAGTTCTACTGCGCCGTCGGGTTTGATGCTAGAACTTTGTTCGGCTGGAGGAAAAGAGTTCTTGGTTGCCGGGATTTTTCCTGTTGTAATGTCTTCCTGCTTCAATTTTTCATCCACCGAAGGAAGTGTCGACGTCGCAGCTGGACTGCTGGCGAGAATCTGCTCGATTCGGGAAACTTCTGCTGCTACTGATGTGGTTCTTCTACTACTCTCTGTCTTTGCTTCGTTCGCCCCTGCAGCACTCCCCGGCGTTTTTTGCGCGAAAGTTTCAATTTCCGGGTGTGCGAAAAATATGTCGTGATTTTTTTCGTTGTTTGCGGTTGTACCATTCGCAGCAAGGTCTTCTTCTTCTTCTTGTTCTCCAACTTGCTTCGTCAATGTGAAGGTGTTCCGACTCGATGTTTCATCTTTTTTCTCCTCTTCCTCGAGCCTTTTCTGGTACTCCAGTTGCGTGGGGCTCCGCACGGAGAGATCCGCGCCGTGGAACAGAGACTCCGACCCGTAGAAAATGTTCGTGAACTTATTATGAGATGCAAATATGCCTGGGTCTGGAAATTTGTGATGCATGCCAGTGAATAGAAAGCGCACTGTAATGCACCGCCAAGCATGACAGATTTTTTGCGCGGCTCTGTGTTGCCTATTCCGCATGAGAAACAGTGTTTCTGCATGACAGACAAGAGGGGCTATTCCTGGGCACGCAATACAGAGTTAAGAGTCATGCCAAACTAGCATGACAAATCTCGCAATCTTCCAGACCCAGACATATTTGCAATGCATACTTTTTGCTCGCCCGCAACTCTTCCTGCCGCTTCCGCTTTGCGGCCCGCTGCTGGAGCACGGTCGCTTCGTCCTGCCCCACGAAGCTCTTATCAAATGCAAAAATGTCTGGCGGGTCTGGAAGAATGCATGTTTGTCATGCTTGTCTGGCATGACTCTTAAATCTGTCATGCACGTTACCCAAGAGCCCCACTTTTCTGTGATGCAGAAACGCAGTTTGTCATGCAGAATAGGCAACACCTAGAAGCTCAGAAACTTGTCATGCTGAGCCAGCACTTGTGGCCTCATCATGAGACGCCACCCAGCGTCACAAGTTTCCAGACCCAGACATTTTCACATTTGATAGCTCTGGTGACTGAACAGTGCCGGTGAAGAGGCACCCGCCGACCCTCGCCCGCTCCTCGCCCCCGGGCTAGTTGTACTCCACCGTGAAGTAGACTTCTTCGCTGCACTCGAAGCTGCGGAGGCCCCCGCGCGCATCGACGGCGAGCGCAACGTGGGCTGCAGCAATATCAAATGTAAAAATGTCTGGGTCTGGATGTCATGCAGATTTTACATGACGCATAACTAATGCATAGCCTGGCATCACAGATTTTCAGCGGGCTTTCTGATGCCTATCCCGCATGAGAAATACCCCCTCCATGTAGCACAAACTGGAGCCCTCTTGCTGGTCATGCAATACAGATTTTTGTATAATGCAGAGACAGCATCACAAGTTGCATTCTTCCCGACCCAGACATTTTTACATTTGATAAGCAAGGCCGGTTTGCCATACGTCACCATCGCACCATCCGCACCAAACACCGAGGTCACGACCGGTTTATTACCGTGCCGAATGCGCTCCAAAGAACTACTTCTAGAACCCGCGCGGAGCGGCCGCGGACTGCTGTGGCACGGCATGAGCTGCGGAATTTTTCCGGTTGGGTCATCCACGGTCAAGAACGTCGCGCGCGGCCGCGAAATTGGGCTCGCCGGAATTGGGCTTTGCCGGCTAGTATTAACTAGAGGTCGCGCCGTGTGTCCCGTTTTTATCGGTACGGAGACGGTTACATGGTCTCCCGTTCGTATAACCTGCTCAGGTGTTACAATCTCAAACGTTACAATAGAATATCGAGATCTGTGATGCAATGGATGCATTATGTAGCCAACTCTCATAGGTTTGCGCATGACAAGTTCCGCAGTCCCAAACCGCACTACAATCTGGCGAAATTTGTACTGCAGAAAGTGGAATGCTGTCCGAGTCTGTCATGCTCGTCATGCAAGGCAAAATCCAAACTCTATTGTAACGTTTGAGATTGTAACGTTTGAGCAGGTCATAGTTCGGTCATGTACCGTCTGGATCTGGACGGCGTGAGAAGGTGGACTGGCGCCGTCACGGAAGGATGTAAGATGAACCGGGCTGGCTCTACTACTACGAGGAGAGGTTCTTCTACTAGTTGTACTTCCCGCGGTTACTTGGTTCTGCTCGTTCAGGTGAATATGTAGCGTGGAAGGGATAGCCGGAGCGAGAGACGGAAAAAAAGTCTTCACCGGGGCAGACGGCATTGTCGTGTAGAAGTCCGTGCTGCTCGGATTTTTACTATCTTCTGGGAGATTATTGTCATTATTTTCTTTCGCCGTCTGGTCGTACTTTTTATCATTATCATGTTGCTCTACGAGGATTTTAGTGGGTAGCAACTCCCTGTTGCGAGCCAGCACTTCGTGGATACGGTCGCTGAACCTGCTGGTCGAAGGAGCTGCAGGCGGAGCGGCCATGATCGTGTTCTTGCGTACTACGTTTGTTGTAGTTCCTGTCCCCAGCTGTGATTTTATTTCGTCGACCTCCTTTGGAGCAGGAGGTGTCGGGATGTTGTTCACTTGCTGCCCATGTTGTTGATGTCCACCCAGAACTACACTCGAAGACCCCCGCGGGGGCCACGCGTAGTTCTCCTCTCCGAACCGCTGCCGCACCAGGTCCAGGGCGTGCTGGTTTCCCGGTCCGGCGGTGCTGAAGCCCCGGGAAGCGCGCTCGGTTTGTAGCTGCCGCTCCTGGGCCTCCTCGACGTGCTGCGCACCATCCCCAGACAGCACCGTCGCGACTTGCACCTCCGGGGAGTCCGGCCGGAGCGAACCCTGCCCGAAGGCCACGTAGTTGAAGATGTCGGCCGGGCAGAGGAGGTTCTGCTCCGGTTGCAGTCCCTGGGCAGCTCCGCGGGTGCTGTATTGCCGTTTGACGGAAGTAGACGAGGGCATTGTGTTTATTTTGGTGGACGACAGGGCGGCACTACTTCTTGCCCGGAATTGCGAAGTAGATAATGAAAAATCCAGTGCTGGGCTGGGATTGTTCGGCGAAGCAGCTGCCACTGCGGCAACTGTCTCGCGCAGCCCAGCTCCTCCAACTCCGGCAGGAAGGCCCTTTCCAGCTCGTCCCGTATTAAGTCCCCGCGAAGATAGGAGTTTGTTACTAGCGTCCAAATCCTCCGTGCCCCCGGAGATGCGCCGCTTCACTTGCTTCGCTGCTTGGGACCACCGCGCGCTGGCCTGGTGGTGCAGTTCCGCGGAAGGAGAAGAAGGCGAACAAGTAGAAGACAGTTCTCCTGGCTTCACCATGTCAGACGTTGTATTCGGTTGACGGCCCGCCAGCAACATCATGCGCCCCTGATGAAGAGAAATGCCTTCGATGATACTGCTCATGCGCTGCGCCCGCTTTTCGTCTAGCTCGCCCGCCTTCCGTATTGTGAGGAAAAATAAGCCCCCCCTGCTCTGAAATACAGCCATATGCTCCTAAAATAAATTTGCAACGCTGATTTGTGACCTCAGATGATCGCGTCTGTCTTGCAAGACCAAGAGCAGGGCCACTCCAGCCAGCCCGGTGCATTTTTACGGAAGCGATTTGTGCTGACGCTGTTAGACCTACAACTCGACAGAGAGCGGCCTGCGTAGTGCCTACCTCAAAACACCCCTGCCCAGGCCTTGCATCCACCTGCAGTGGTCCGCCTCTACATCAATACACAAGTCCTGGATCATCACCGATTTCCATTTCAATTAATATCATTGGAAGGGGGGATTTTTCCTCACGGTATTGCGCTCGAGCAAGGACTGGATTAAGCGCTCCGCGGCAGGAGCGGTCCGCTCCTGCAGGCTCGCCATTTCCAAATTATGTCTCCTGGTCCTCTCCTGCAAGTTGCACTTCGCTGCGGTAGTACTGATAGGAATGGAACAATTGCGGGTCAAATAAAAGATGAAAAAACTTTACAAGCACGACAGCGAATGTGCTGGGCGAAAGACGACCAAAGAACAAGCGGCAAAAAAAGAAGGTCGTAGAAGCACAAGACTGCCCGGCTGGTGCGCTTCATTATCTCTTCTACGAACGATGGATATACCGAGTGGCTTCGTGTATGGAGTACAGTTGGAAATCCTTAGGTCAGCACTGCTTCATCACTCTCGAGCACCTCGCAATTCGAAAGTGAAAGCCAAAGCTTGACAAGACACAAATCGTGCGCCAGTAAAGACGAAATGGAATTACGATTACGATCCAACAAAAAGAAGCGCATGTAATCTTCCGATCGAGCGACAAATTTCCTCTTACACCACGACCGGTCGGATTAGCCATCGGAAGGCACGAAAAATTGATGTTAAGACGATCCAGGGCGACTGTGTCTCGACTTTCTGAAGTTTCAGAACATCGAAAGCCGTTTACTTATATCGGCTCCTAGCAAACGCAACGCTGCATGCCCGCGTGGGAGCAGCTATCTATGATCGCCAAGCAGATCATCGTCGAGCACGTAAAATGAATCGGCGCTACTGAAGACGAGACATTATCCCGTGGTGGAGATCCTCCGAGCAAGCTCCTAGTGGTACATGCAGTCTGTCAAGAACTGAAAGAAATATTCATCTGCTACTTTTTCGTCTTCTTGGGTGACTTATTTTGGTTGACCCACCGAACGAGGAGATTGGAAGATATTTGCAGTTCTTGCCCCGGTGATACAATGTCTTTGCGTGGTAAATTACGTATAAGAATTCCATATCAATCTATCCAATGTCGTCCGGGTAGGGCGTGTAGGCCTTGCGGAAGAAGTTGTTCGCGACCGTGGTCAGGTAGGTCATGTCCGTCTCTGGTAACCTATTCGGATAACTCTTCCACAAGCACAAAGCCTCCTTCAGCCGGTCCGTGCTCCGACTCGCGACGCGGTATCCAATGAGCAAAATATTCACCGTGACTGTACAAGTACCCATATTTGTCATGATCTTCATGCATGGGATGAAAAGCACGATGAGATCTGTAGTATTAATGCGACAGTATTATACTAGCTGTCGCCAGCACGACTTCGACTGCACTAAAGTGACCCAAAGTTGATGTCACGTGCAACAGAAGTCGCCAATCACTGTTCTTGGTTTGTGTACAACAATGTCAACGACCGCAAAACTCTACAACTGGCACATCACGTGCTGGCTAGCCCCACTTATGCGGCAAAAATATGGGTTGTTCCCTTCTTGTTGTACTATCGGTTTATTTTCCTCAGGATACGAGGACGATTCCGTTCAAGTGGTCAACGATCCACTTTACCAGCATCGCGTACCGGTCGATCTCGTTCCGCTTTGCGATCTGATCCACATTATGAATTGCAAAAGTATCGCACTCGTATAAATGCATTACAAATTTCCTCAGCACAAGAGATAAAATTTGTAAAAGTGCTGATTTACCTTAAGTGAAAGATTTGTAATGCATGATTGCAATACGAGTACGATACTTTTGCACAGGATACACATGCTTCAGGTTCAGCTGCCCTCGGTTGTTGCCCCCAATCAGACCGTAGGCCATAATGACGCACTTATTCCAGGGCTGGTTGATCGAGCTGTAGTACTGGTTTTGCACCGCGTGGGTTTCCACCACGGGCAGATCCACGTACGCTGGGTTCTATCGACGTCGCAAAACTATCTTCGACGGTGCGCTCGTACAAATTGCAACAGAATACTTCTGCATCACAGATTTCTTTTTACAATTTTTGCCCGATTCATTGTACTACTTGACAAGCTTCGTTTTTCGTTTTCCTTTGCTGGAGCATAAGATTTATTGCCACGCAATTTATTCGGTAGTTGTACTGTCGTACGACATAATTTTGCGACTTCCGTAGGTTCATTTCCATCTGGTGCATCTGGGGTGGGTGGTCTGGAAACTTCATTGCAAACTCGTTTACGTGGTGAATCCCGAAGTTGCTATACCCAATTTTCTTCACTTTCCCACGGTTCTGCCACTCGATCATCGTCGCGTACGTTTCCTCCCGGCATTTCCGCCAGGAATCCGGCCGCAGCGACCGCTTCGCGCTTGTCCCTGTACTACCCGGAAAGAAGTCTTCTGCACCTTCTTCCTCCGGCCCCTTGATGCCACCGTACATGAGCGGCGGGTTTCGTGCCGGCGTTCCGCCACCACTACTGCCCTCGTCCGGAAGTGCCGTGTTCGCGCCGGCAAACTCCTGCGAGTTAGTACTCCTATTTTCAGATTCCTCCGCCGTCATGGCGCAGTCCGCAGGCACCCGGATGGGCAGCTTGCGGTCCTTGTTATTCCCTGGCCAGTGCACCAGCACGTAGTCGAGCGGGAAGGTCTTTTTGTACAGAAAATTTTCCTCCGTGCCGAGCGTTTCGAACGCGTTGCTCAGTGCCTTCTCCGTTTCCCGGCGGCCGAGCGGCATCACCTTGGTGACGATGACGATCTCCTCCCGGGGGATTTGCGAGTGCTTGATACAGGTTTTGATCTGCTCATTGTTGTCGTACAAGTGCGCCGTGTCCAGCACGCGCCCACCCGCGCGCAGAAAGGCCACGCAGGTATCCAGGAAATACCGGTCGTCCATGGTGCCCGTGCCAAATGCGATCTTGTGCACCGCCGTGCGCTCCAGGATGTGCCCGCCGAAGTCAACCAGGGTGGCGCGCGACGACGACGCGTCCGACTGCGGGGCCACAGACTCGGCGTTTTCTACGTCTGCTTGCTCCACCTCATCTCTCTCTTCACTCTGTATTTTCGGCGAACCTTTTGACGCGTCGTCGAAACTGGCCAGCATTTTGTCGGCAACCATCTCGGGCTCGGGTTTGGAGTTGCGGCCGGCGAGCAGTTCGCGCGATATGGAGGTAATTCCTTCGGGGATGTTTTCTTCCCGCTCGGTCAACTCCTGCAGGGCAGATTTTTCGTATTTCGTCACGATTTCGACCACCGGCACCGGGCAGCTGGGGGGGTATGCATTGCAAATATGTCTGGGTCTGGAAATTTGTGATGCAAGGAAGGGAATACTAAGCTCACTGCAATGCGCTCCCCAGCATGACAAACTTTTCCGTGGTTCAGAGTTGCATACTCAGCATGGGAAGCTGCGTTTTTGCATGACAGACAAGGGCGTCTCTTCGTTGGCACGCAATACAGAGTTTAGAGTTAGACTCATGCCAGACTAGCATCACAAATCTCGCAATCTCCCAGACCCAGACAAAGTTGCAGTTCATAGGGGGTAATCGATCACCATGCGGGTGGAGTGGTCACTACTTGTTGATCGGTCTATTTCTTCCGCGGAGGTGGAGGGCAGCGCATCTTCTACAACTTCCGTCTGCGCAAGAACAGAATCCTCGTTCTTGTTCCCCACCACCAATCGCGCTCGAAGCAAGATTTTCATGACATTTTTGTGGTCCCGCACCCGCGCTTTCTCTTCGGGATTCGGGTCGGGAAAGCTGGAGTCAAACACCTGCTGCAGCACCGCGTCCCGAACCAACCCCAGGTGAGCGGTGGTGATTTCCGGTACATCAACTTCGACGCCGGCCGCTGGGTTTATTTGTTCCCTGCTCAAGCTCATCTGTATGCGTTGCAAATATGTTTGGGTGTCATGCAGGTTTTCCATGACCCATGAGGTCTGGTATGTAGGACGTAGCATGACAGATTCTGTGAGAATTCTATCATGCAAATCCTGCATGAGAAACTGCCTCTGGATTGGCATTAGGTCAAAAGCGGACAGCTTTTGGCAATCATGCAACACAAGTTTTTTACATGATTCAGATTTAGCATGACAAGTTGCTTTGTTCCAGACCCAGACACATTTGCATTTGATACTCTGGCGATCCCGATCGGCGATGCTCTTCACCTGCTGGAAGATCGCAATCACGGTGTTCGCGACGCGTTGGAGAATCTCGTCGCGCAAGCGCAGGCCGTTGTTCAGTTCCTCATCGTTCCGCACGTCGACCACCGACATACGCCCGTCAAACAGAACTGCCAAGTACTGCTTCAGCTCCTGCAGCCCGTCCTCTTGCAACATCCGCGCCGTCGCGTCCAAAATCACGCTTTTCAATATCTTGCTCTCCAGGCTTATTTCAAGCTCATGCAGGTGTTCTTCCTTATCCTCGTCGAAAACGCTTTGTCTCGACCCCCCGGCGTCGTGCACCATCCACTCGGCGGCGAGGTACCCTAAGGCCATCGTCGGCGCCGCCAGGTGGCTCGACGGAATCTCCGCCCACGCGCTGGCGTCGGCCACACGCAGATTTTTCACGCCCATTACCCTGAGATCCTGGTCGAGCACGCGGGTCACCCCGGCCGAGCAGCAGGGGTGCTGGTAGAGGCGCGCGGTCGCCCGCGCGGACTCGAGCGCGCCGGGGGAGAACGCCTGTTCGGTGATGGGCTCCGGCTGCGTACTGCCCGTGGACGCGAATTGGTCCCCCATCCACTTGCCCATCTGCGCCAGGTAGTCGTAGTCTTCGGGAAAGATGCGCGGGTACTCGAAGGTTGGCGGCACTTCGGGCCGATTCGATTTCACGAAGACCCGGCCCGTGGTCTTCGGCCGCATCTGCACAAACTCCACGGTGTAATGCAGCGCGGTCGTCGAGTCTTTGTCTTTCTTCTCCTCATCCTGGTTACTACTATTTTCCGCCACGACCTGCGCACTTGGCGTGCCGGGTTTCTGCAGCTCGCTCTCCTCATAGCAGGTAGAAAACAGCCGCAATTCTCCCTCGACGGCGAACTGGTCAGCGGCGTCGGTAAAGCGGGAAAGATCTTCAACAACTGTGGAAGGATTTCTTTCTGTTTGCAATGATACATCGCTCGTTTCTATTTCCTTGCCACTACTTCCATTCGGTTGTTCGGCATTATTTCTAGATGGCACGATGACGCCGTGCTCCTCGTAGGTCAGCGTGCTGGCGTCGTCCTTCGAAGCCTCCGCTTCGTACCGCAGTACGTTCTCCCACATGGCCTGCTTTCGCTTCTCGGCTTTCTCCGCTTTTTGCTCTTCGGTTTCGGGCTCGTCGGGATTCTGTCCTGACTCTACCTGCGATAAACTACCACTGGAACTACTTGTCCTCGCATTACTACTACCTTCATCTTCCCCACTAGAAGTACCAGCCGCAAAGCCCCCGACGTCTACGTCTTCCTCTTTCGTTATGTTGAGAAAAATTCCCAAGCGCTCACTGCCCATGATGCCGGTGTCACAGTCGTCGCGGTTCCCGAAGTGTTTTTCCATCATCACATACCCCACCCAGCATAAGTGGTCCTTCAAATATTTCCCCACCGCGTAACTTGCCTGCGTGACCGGGATCTATCAGAGTGCACAACTCCCCCTCCCCCTCATTTGTATAGCATGAACGGCAATACAAGCATCAGCAAGAAAGCCGGTTTTGCATGACAAATCTGCACTGGATTGTAGTGCTATTTGGGCTACCAGACGAGCTTGTCATGCAAACAGTGCCAAGAGGCAAAGGGTTGGCTTGCCATTTTGCACGACAAATAAGGGGGCAGGGGAGTTGTGCACTGTCATAGGATCCCGAGGCGTCCCAAATCATAGGGATCGGCAATTCCGGACAGTATGGCCTGCTCAAACCCTACAATCTCAAACGTTACAATAGAATCTGCAATTTGTATTGCATGAAGAGCATGAGGAACGCAGAGAGAATTGAGCTTTTCGCAATACAAATTTTGCCGGATTTCAGGTGGGTTTGGGACTCCGAAACTTCTCATGCGCAATCCTATGGGAGTAGGCTAGATCATTCAGTTCTTGCATCACAGATTTCCAGATTCTATTGTAACAGTTGAGATTGTAAGGTCTGAGCGGGTCATAGACAGCGTCAAGATTTTCGGCGTCCCGAGCGCCCCAGCGGACAACACGATCTCCCGCGACGCGTACACGCGCAGCTTGTTCAGCCCGTGGGGCCCGACCTGCACCTCGATGCCCGTGGCGCGCTTCTATTGCAAGGAAAAATCCCCCCCCATATCAAAACGGAATTTCTGACGCTTGATTTGTGTACACGAATCAGCTTCGCATTGCAGGAAGGCACTGCGGCCAGATCCCCAGGCTAGGTAGGGGCCTATGGGTCTAGTTGTTCAGCATGGCAAACGGCTCCCCTTTAGCTTTAGGCCCAACAGCTGCATGAAAAATCGCTTCCATAATGGGCCGGAAGCTTCTGCCCTTGTCTTCTTGCAAGACAAATGTGATTTGTGACCTCAAATCAGCAACGCAAATTTTCGGAAGCATACCTGTTCAATATGGGGAGGGGGGATTTTTCCTTCTGATAGCTTCTCGCTGTTGTTCTCACGACCTCCGTCGGGGGCGAAGAGGACCCTGGTCACGGTGGCGTTCAGCCACACGTCCAGATTCGGCAGCGCCTTCTGGGTGACCAGCGAGTCGTAGCTGGTTCGTCGGGTGTAGTCCTCATCGGTGGTGAGCCACCAGCCGCGCCGGTAGCCGGAGTGGTCGAGGAGGTGTGTGGCGCGAGACTTGATGCTGCCTGAGGTAAGCTTGGTGCGCTTTTGCCGCGTTTCCTGTTCAGAGTCAGTTGAGAATGATTTTTATTTCATACATGATGAAGATCTTCTTGGTGGGCACAGTAGAAGTTGCACCTCCTGCGGAATACTTACATTTCATAGTCCAAGAGATGAAATGTTAACGGAATAGCAACACCACCAGGGTGAAAATTATCAAAGCATCAAATTCAAGTTATACATGATCCACGACCGACGACTCGTCTGCCGTCCCGTCGTCTTCTTCCCACCCCGCCATGGAAAACAACCCCCGCTCGATCAGCTTCAACAGAATCACCTCGGTGTAAATGCCGCTCCGGAACTTTTTGTGGACCACCGGGAGGTGTTTCTGCAGGTACTGATACGCAGTCGCGAAGGCCGTGCTGTTCCACTTGGGGCCGAGGTGCTCGAACTCCCGCAGTCCCGCGGGCGTGAAGAGACAGGAATTCAACATAGAGCTCCCACCTGCCACCTTTCCGTGCACCAGGACTTGGCGCCACTCCTATCCACTGCAAAAGTAGAAGCACTAGGGTACTCGTATTATAGAAAGTGCCAGTCTTGCATGACAGATCTTCTCCTTTACCACAAACTGCATGACAAGTTTCAACTTTCTTGAGGAAATAATTTGTCATGCGATTATTTATACTAGAACTAGTACAAGACTTTTGCATTGCATAACTCCTTCGGGTTGTTGATGAAGGTCCGCTTGTCGTGGAATTCCGTCGGGTACTGCCACGCCTGAAACTGATGCGCGTGGTTGCTGAAGTGCTCGCACTTTTCCAGCGGCTCCGCGGCACTCCCGGCCTCGATGAGCAGGGTGTGAAACCCGTGCTGCGCGAGCCGGGAGGCGACCACGGACCCCGCGCTGCCCGACCCGACCACGACATACTCGTAAGAGTTGCCGAGAACGAGTGGCAGGGTAGTCGCGTAGACGAAAAGAAGCAGAAACGAACTCACCTGAAGGCGCCAACATCTTGTGAAAGAAAACTTGTCGATCGTCGCAGAGGAACGAAAAAAGTTAGAGCGAGAGGACAAGAGTGAAGATAAAAGTAAAACGAGAAAAGAACGCAGAGTAAAATCTTTAGATGTTGTTGTAAAAATCCTCATGATATTTAACACAGGCGAAAAAGTTGCTGTAGAAGCTTGTTGTCCTATTCTAACGCGAACTGGTAATGCAAGTACACTACATTATACATGAAACGAATTTTACGAAGAACTCTAACCTAATAGAAGATTTGGGTCGATATCTACTTCTCGCCTTGATCAGGTGTATCAAGCGTGTGCGTTTTCTCAAAAAAAACAGATCAATGGGGTAAGATGGAGCCCTGGAGTTTCATTCTGCTAGTAAGTAGATCTTGTAAAAAAAAAAACAAGAACATGAGAAGCAGATCGAGGAAAATAGAGTTTGCCGCGAAACCGTCAGAAGTGATGAAAAAACGCAGTCCAGTACGTCGTAACCCGAACACACCTACCACTCCTGTGAGATAAGTCGCCATTGGCGTTACTAGGTCCTGTGTCCCAGTATCTATCGTCGTGTGAGATACTCAACATATCAGTTGAGATCGTAGAAAACGGGTCGTGGTGCGACGCAATAAATCAAAATTCGGGTCTCTGTTCTGGTATTTTTCATCCATTTTGAACTACTCCCTTGACGAGGACCTATGCCACACGCCGCTGACACTCAACGGACCTTCTTCGGCTCTTCTGGAACTTTTGGCTTACTAGTTTCGGACACCACGTTGGGTTTTTTCGCATCTTTATCGGAGGTCCCTGGTGCGGCTGGCGCGGCGCTGCTAGTCACCGTGTTTTTCCACCGCATCAGCGCCTGCACACGCCAGCAGACCAGCCACAGTATCAAATGTAAAAATGTCTGGGTCTGGAGGATTCTGAGACTTGTCATGCACATTTTGCACCTAGAATACCAAGCCATGCACATTTTGCATGAGTCGTGATGTCTGTGATGCATACCCTGGCATCATAATTTTTTTTTGGGCTTCTTGATGCCTAGTCCGCATGACAAATGCCCTCTCTCTGAAGCAAAAAATAGATTGATTTTTCTGCTCATGCAATACAGATTTCTTTGAAATCCAAATGCAGCATCACAAGTTGCATTTTTCCAGACCCAGACATTTTATTTACATTTGATACACAGAATGAGGTTGCAACCGGAAATCCACCAATTGCGCTGGTCGCGGAAAAGCTGCAGCTTGTACCTGTTTTTGTGCGTTATTTTGCCTTGCATAGCATTACTCGTGCCTACTTGAGTGACTCCACTTCTTCAATGCAGGTGTAGTTCTTGCCTCCCAACACGCTTGCGATTTTCTCTGAAAACAGGCGCAAAGAAATCCATCACGTCAAAAGGAATGCTTCGACTCTACTGCTGCTGTACCTGTCATCCAAAGACACATGATCGGTCCCTTCTTTCCGGAGTCGCTCGTATTTTTCTATCACACGGAAGAGAAATGCATGTTGTGGCTACCAGGTTCTTCGGCAACATGCCGCGATGAGGATGACAAAACCTTTTTCTCCTCGCTCCTCTATCATAGCATTACACTGCAAATAAATCTGTTGCACAGCACGCTTGCCAAGCGTAAAAAAAAAATCATGCCAACTTCCAGCACCTAAGTATGTGAGCACAGGCGCACGAACAATTCATTTCCCTGTGATAATCTCAACTCCGTACAGAGACGTGAGAAACCCGACGCAGCTGAGGAGGACAAAGAAAACGAGAACGTTGCACTTCATCGTGCCCTTTGCACTGCAAACGTGTCTGGGTCTGCAAGGATGCGAACTTGTCATGCAGATTTTACATGACCCGTGACGTTAGTGATGTATTCCCTAGAATCACAGACTCTCTGAGTGCTCGTGCTTGGCTTCTTGATGCCCATTCCGCATGACAACTGCCCTCCCCGCATAGCACAAACTGGACTCCTCTACTTGCTGGTCATGCAATACAAACTTTTTTAGAATCCAAACTTAGCATCACAAGTTCCACTTTTCCAGACCCAGACATATTTGCAATACATATGCCCACCTTGACGTCCGCACAGCAGATGCTGCACCCGAGCCGCTCCAGCGGTCCGAAGCCGGAGAGCATGAGAAATAAAGCGACGCAGGCCGTCGGAAACATGACGTAAGCGCAAAAAGTCCAGAAAATCGACATCATGGAGGCGAGGGTGGGGGGGTGGTCTGTCGTGTGATCGTCTTACTATTAATATCCAAGGGAAATGCTATCAATAATACGTGGACCATGGGCTACTTATTCACTGAAAGGAGTTGTAAATCGCAGTACTGTGTCGGAGCGAAGGGGCGGCAAAAATGTTTTGGACAGGCTTAACAAATGCTGGCAGCTCTCCATAAAATCTTAAATGCTGTAGTTGCGAAAGTCGCTGTGTAGTAGTTCGACGTTGTACAAGTGGAGGTGGCGAAGACGAGTGACCTAATCAGGATCAAGCGAAGCAATCAGATGATCACGACAATCAAATCTCAACTTGGCATGATCACACCTGACTGTGGTCACAACAAATACGGAACCAGCCATATCTGACAGACGTGGATCCTCTCATGAGGTCATTCTTCGTGTTTGAGATAAAAGGATCTCTATCTCCTCGAGATGAAACGACCTATGAGGACCGTCGTCATGATCTTCTTGCTTGGTAGCATCATCTCACCGGGGTCGTCAACCAGAGCTATGATCCAGTTTCACTGTTTCCTTTCACCAAGCACTGTGAGTAGTGCAGCTGCTGCACCGATAGTACTTAGAGGGGAACAAGATTTGGTGTGTAAGGCGATAATATTGACATAACTTGTGTCACGGAAATCGCGATCGGTCCCCGTCGCGTAAACAATGTGATCCTCCCGTCAAAGTCGATAGTTTTCCTTCCCATTCGATAGTGTTTCAGTGTGCATTTGTGCGTCGCCTGTTGCCAAATGAGGTTTCAGATTGGAATAAATTCCAAGTAGGAACTAAAGTGGGGGATACCCCGCGGGGTTCGGGTGATTTATGATTTTGTGGACACAATACAACAAGCAAGGATCGAACTGAGTTCTTCCCATTGTTTGTTGAAAAAATGCAAAACATGTTGATCAGACTATATTGATTTCCCAGGGTTCGAAAGTTGTTCGGGGAAGAAACAGAAATCGGGGTATAACATTGGACTATGGATGCACAAACAGAATGACATTCTGGGTGCAAGCAGGAGTGCTAGCTTGAGTAGCTTGTATAATTTGCTGGTGAAGAGAACTTCGTCTTCCCCAGCAGAGGTCCACTACTTATGGGGGCGTAGTACTGAACATAAAAAGCCTGTGCTGTGCTGTGCAACTGTAAAAACTTCTGATAATCTGATTTGCATTTGTTCTTGCTTTCGTGTAACCTAGTAACCCTCGTTGAAAAATATAAATCTGCTGAAATCCTATCATGTGACTGTGAGATGTTGTATGACTGAAAAATATCGAAATCGCGTTCGTTTACTTAGCTGTGCATGATACAGAATCGAAAATTTAGCTCGTGATACAGAATCGAAAAAGTTTTGATACAGTACTTGTTGAAATATCGAAAAAGTTAAGCTTTCGGAAGTCTCCCTGTGTTCCTCTGCAGCCGTCGCGTTGGACAAAAGGTGTGCCGCTCCTGACAACACCTTTAGTTCTACATGACTGGATAAAGAAGTGAGTCTTGAGTTCTTGTGTTGTGTGCTCTTTTGCTTCTTGTTCCAAAAACGCCTCGTGTACCTGTTATATATTTCATCGTGGTAATCTATTTTTCAGATGTTGGAAAATCGAAAGAGTCTATCTTCGTGTCCTTACGCTGGGAAGATGAGTGAGTGGTGGTTTCGTTCGTCTCATTGTTCATGTTCTTGCGAATTTTTCGAAATGGAACAACGACTAGCTGCAGCTGCGTCCACGTGTAGAACAAGAAAACATCAACTTCAGCTACACGACGAAGATATTTATTGAAAAGAAAATTTCACATCAATACCTTAACCTTTCCTTCCTCTACGCCTTCTTCCCGGTAGTGTAGGCGCGGAAGTGCGGACGCTGGTGGTGGGGGTGCGGGATCCGGCGGTTTTTCTTCTTGTTCTTGATCATTTCCGGGCTGTCCAGCGCGGAAATCGGTTCTTCCGCCAGCATCTCCTGCATTTGCGCCGCAGACAACTATCCTGAGTAAAAGCGTACCCATACCAGAGTCAGGATGGGGATTTTGCAACACAAACCTAGGAGTTTTGTGCGTCACGCATTATAAGTTGCGCTATGCAGTGTAGTGCAGGTTAGCAAGTGCAGCCGCGTCACAGATTCATCTGCTCATCCTGTTCACAGCATCACAACTTCCAAAACACGACTGGAAATGGCTATCATGGGGATGCGCATGATTACAAGTCTTCCTGTCTTTGCAAATCTGCATTACAACTCTGGTGTGGGTACGTTTTTACTCAGGATAACAACGGCACGTTGTTCTCCTCGGCGCTCATGGCCTTCTTCACCTTGCTGGCGTATCAAGTGAAAATATCCCTGGACGTCGGGAAACTTGTGATGCTAATACATGCGTCACAAACAACTGATTCCAATAGTACGCAGCCACGCATGAGAAATTTCTGAGCGGCTCAGTCGCGCGTTACCCGCATGAGAGGCTGCATTTTCGCATGACCGCAGAGGGTTGGCGCCATTCCACAACATGCATCACAAAGTTCAGGGGTATGTGACTTCAGCAATACAAATCTCACATTCTTTCCAGACGACCCAGACATGTCTGCAGTGCATATGGCAACCTGCTCGTCCAGGGCGGAGACCGCGGTTTTGATTTTCTGCTTCTTCGCGGAGGGCTCCGGAGCCTTGCTTGCGGGTTGGGCCGAAGATTCTTCCCCCGCTGCAGGCGCGGGATACGCGACCACATCCTGGTCAACGAACTCGCTCGTAGTAGACTTCAACTCCTCCAGTGCGCGCTTTTTCGAGGTGGCCTGCTTTTCCTCGATGGCGGCGTTCTTTGCGATCTGTTCGGCGGTCAACTCCACGGGCGCCGGCACCGCGGCGGGTTCGGGGGTCTCGACCTCAACCTTCACGTCCTCGACGTCTGCCGTGCCGGATTGGGGCACTTCTGCGCTTCCGTCCGCCGCCGGCATCTGGGACTGCGGAATGGTCTCCGCGGTGGCCTCCATGCCGAGATTGGCGCCGAAGTACTCCTTTTTCTCCGTGATGCTGGTGTTCACGAGCTTCCAGGAGGGGCTGCCCGGGTTCGATTTAGACGATGTTTTGGACGGAGCCTCCTCGTCCTTCTTTGCCGGCGCTTCCGCGGTCTCCGGCTTGGGAGCCTCGTCAGCGGCCGCGGGCGCAGCGTCCGCGGCGGCGTTTTTCGGGGAGGCGGGCTTCGTGTTCGTCGCGGAGGCGCTGGGCAGGAAGTTCTGGGGCTTCGGCGGCTCGCGGTAAAAGGTGCGATCCTGCATCGCTTCGGCGGCCGACTCCCGCGCCTCGCCCTCGCCCGCGGGGCCCTTCTTGCCGGCGGCCGCGTACGAACCCTCGACGGAGGATTCGAACACGTTGTCGGCTGCGGCCTGCTTCAGGCTCGCCCGGAACATGGCCAAAGACTTGTCTACCTCAGAGGACTTCTTGTTACCAGCGGCGGCGGGCTTCGCCGCGCTGCTCTTTCCACCCATGCAACAAGCCATTTTTTTTTCGTGTTTCTATCTACTGGGGATAAAAATTGTTACTTCAAGCTAAGTATCGAATGTCTGTGTGACACTAGAGGACTATGCCACGAAAAACAAGTTCTTTCTACGGGATGTCTAAGTGATTCGCGACGACGCGAGAGGAGAGTTGTGAGGCTGTTGGGATTTTTTGTGCGCCAAACTATTAGAAAAGCTAGCTGCAATTCGAATTCCATTTCAGAACTATACGAAATCTGCCAAAACGTACGAAAGTAGCACCGAGCACGTAGTGGGATTGGACGATCCTTTTACGCACATACGTTGTTTTTTCAGGGCTAAACCACCGGATTTTTTTCTTGTACGAAAGGCAACTACAACGATACTCGTGACGACGAGTAAGTACTGCGGGGTACGATCACGAAGAGCCCAGAAGACGAATTGCTTGTGCTTTTGAGCACCTCATAAAATTGCTTCGAGGACAATTGGAATCATAACGTAGCGCAGCAAGGCATCACCAGTTAAAACCGATGCTCGAAAACGTTTAAACCGATGCTCCAAAACGTACGAAGTATACATAGTGTTCCATGAATGCCTTCTTTGTTTCATGGCCAGAGTTGCCACAGGCAATCTTTAATTTCTCGACAACTTTACAAAAACCCGCACGTAGTATCAACGAAATGCAGCTTCTTCTTCGAAGTGAGGTCATTGTTTCTGCGATCATGCGCGTTCTCATGGTGAAAAGCACGTCGATAATATTCTCTACTTCCTGCACAACCGTTTCTTGCCCCACGAGAACCTCCAAGCGGTCCAGTTCTTACAGGACACGAATAAATCGCCCGACCTGCGTCGGCCAAGAAACCGGCCAAAACCAAGCCGAGCTCCCCACCAACGACCCGTGCCTCTGCGATGTCATCCCCGCCTTCCGCCGTTTCAATGAGCTCCACGTCTGTATCCTCGCCCTCCTCCGGCTCAAGCTCGTCATCGGGGTCCAGTATCCAAGAAAAAAACTGTGTGAGTGTAACTAAGTATGAACGAAGAGTAGCATCACAAATTCGCTTTACACTACAGAAAATTTGTCATGCACAGCCAGTAAGTGAAATAAACACGTATGAAACAGTAAGTAGCCTATGATGCACATGCAGCATGAAAAGAGTGACAGTCATGCATCGTCCGCATCACAAACTTACACTTACACAGTCTCTTTATTGCATATCCAGGCTCGTGTGTCTAGTGTCTTCTTCCTCCGCAATACCGTTCTCATCTCCCGGCTCCAGCTTGAACGTCGCCGCGGCGATGGGCTTCGGGTCTACCACGCCCGCAGCCTCGTGGTGCACGGTAAGTTTGTACCAGTGAGTCTTGTCCTGTACCTTCAACCGTCCCGGCGCTTTCAAACAGAACTCGTAGAAGTCGGGTTGCGCGGACTCCGGTAGGTGTTGGTCCTGTCGTAGTAGAACATTCTGGAAAGGGTACTTCGCGCTCCACAGGACCCGGCCAATCGGATACGTCGTGTCGGAAAGGTGTACTAAAACGTTCCCGGCAGCCTCCTTTTCCATTTCGTCGGACTTCTGCCGTTGAAAAAAACTCGCTTCTTCCTTGTTTTCCTCATTCGCCTCTGTCAGTTCCGGGTGCTGCTGTTTCGCCTTGGCGAGGATCTCCGCGTAGAACTTTTCGCCGAAAATGAGTCGTGGATGCGCACCGGGCTTTTTGTGGTAGGGAAACCCCGGTTTGCACCGCCACATTTGGTCCACAAAATCTGTCACGTCAAGCGACGGCGGAAATTGCTGCGTGATTGAAAGGACAGCTGCAGCGGGGGACGGCATTTTTGGGTTGATCAACTTGTTGTGTTCCGATCAAAAATCTTATCAACGAAGTCGGTAAAAAACCACCGCATCGCAGCCGAGTCGATTTCTATCCCATTGTAGGTGCAGCTGCACTAGCAGTACGATCACACGATCGCATTAATGGGCTCGATGATGTTGCGACTTGTTTGCTTCCACCTATAATTCACGTAGCTGCAGCTCGCGTTATTGATTTCTATCTCGTCCACGAGCGGCAACCAAAACTACTGCCGAGAAAATCTTGGCAACAACTACTCGAGCATGCCGATGTGCGAAAGCGAAATCGTCTCACCTCAAGACCGACTTGTGGACTGCTCGATTGGTACGAGCGAAGATCTCGAATGTAGTGGTCACAGCGCTCTTTTCTTGGACGACGACGATGACATACTGCGACAGCGTTTTGAGGATCAGTGACAGATCTGTTCACCCGGATTTTTCCACAGAGAGAAGGCAGTCATCATCAACCGGAACCACGTCCAGAAATCCGTGTCCCGCGCAAATGCCACCCTCGTCGCTGGAAGCGCGCTTCACCCGCTGGAACGCCCCGCCACAGCAATTTTGCACGACCTGGTTTTCCGCATCTGCGACGAATACCGTGAAGAGACCGAGCTCGGAGATCGCCCGCTCCGTGCTGACCTCGACAACGGTTTGAGAGGAGTTATGTTGGTCCACGACCTGCTGCGCAAAACACACAGACTCCTCCACCACGGCATTAATCCGCTCCATGAGCACGTAGTACTCCCCCTGAGTTTCATCTTCGTCTCGGGACTCCTCCCGCGGCATTTTTTTGTCCAGCGGCAGTACTTCATCTGCGGTCCTGCCGGATTCTCGTAGAAGTGGCCCCGCCTGCTCTACTCCTTTATCTTCTTCTAGTATTTCCACCAATCTCGTAAGCTCCGCCTTTACTGCTTCTCCAAACAGGTTGTTGCCCCCGCCCTCTCGCTGCGGTTTCAGGATATCAAATGTAAAAATGTCTGGGTCTGGAAGAATGCAGACTTGTCATGCAGGTTTTCCATGACCCATGAGGTCTGGTATGTAGGACATAGCATGACAGATTCTGTCAGAGTTCTATCATGCCTATCCTGCATGAGAAACTGCCTCTCGATTGGGTCAAAAGTGGCCAGCTTTTGGTAATCATGCAACACAGATTTTTGAATGCTTCAGCTTAAGCATGACCACAAGTTAGATTCTTCCAGACCCAGACATTTTTGCATTTGATACAGGACCCAGTTGTCGTAATTCGGAAGGTACTTAGTTTTCAGCAAATCTAGAACTTGGGTTTTCCTCTTCTCGTGGGAGGAAATTGTTGAAACCAGCTCCTGCAAATCGACGGTCTCCACTTGGGTTTGCTGGATTCGCGACAAAACGCCATCGCTTTTGGTCGTATTGCTGTCCCCTACTACTTCTTCCAAGTATTTCCGCAAAAACGCCTCGTCCCCGAAGCGCTCCTGGATTTTTTTCGTGCCCGCCAGCTGGGTCAACACCGTCGGGACTTTAATCGCATTTGTCCGCTCGACCGCCTCCCGGATCGGAAACCAACCAGCACTGTTTTCCGGGCCGTAGCCAGTGTATCGCACGAAATAACTGCTTCACTGTTGTAAGGATCTTATTGCAAGTTCTGCATCAACACAAGTTTGTTCTACATCACAGAGAAGATTTGTCATGCGAGATCATTCCTAAGGGAAAACACAGCTAACAATCCACTGTCTTGCATGTGCAGCAATACAAACACTTCTCAGATACATTCTCTGCATTACAAGTTTACAGTGAAACAGTTTTTTGTTGCGATACGGTGTGCCACACCACGACCGAGACTGGCTTGTTGTCCACCACAAGGATACTGTCGTTCAACTCTGCGGAGAGTCGGTGCAACCAAGAGGTTATTTTATCGTCTGCAGATGTAGTACCAATAGTAGAACCTCCACCCGGCACTTCATCTACAGTCGTGCGTTCCACTTTTTCAACATCAACATCGGTGGACGACTTATAATCGCGTGGTGTTGTAGTTGGTCCTGTAGTAAGTGTTCCAGTCTTGATGTGCAAGAACCGTTTTTTATTTCTCCTGGTGACGGGGTCTGGGTCACTTTTCTTGATATTAGCCTCCGGTGGAACTTCCTCCTTCTCTTGTTCCACGACCGTCACAACACACCCCTCGTGCATCACCGCCGCAAAGCTCTTCAAATTTTCTCTTTCCCGCAGGCTTCTCTGCACCCGCTGCTGGTCGTGATCCAGATGGTCGCTTGGGAAGCAAAAAAAGCAGATGTGGTAATCGTCTGGTTGATAGATGTTCTTGGCCGCAGAACCAGATGAAGCCCTCGTGGAAGTTGAACTTTTTGTCACGATCTCTCCTCCTCGGGGAGAGTGGTTGTTCTTCGTGTCATCTCTTTGTTCATCTGTGTGACCATCTGCGTGGTCCACCACCACCTGCCATTTGGCGAGAAAGGCGCGGTGCGCTGCGGCAATCCCAGCCGCGTACGCGTCGGCGGAGCCCGCCGGGTGGGAGAGAGACGCGGTGACGGCGGGCGCTTCGTCGCTTTGTTGCTGCACTGACGTCTTAGTGGCTCTCGCAGCCACTTCAGCAGTCGGCGGCTCGACATCATTTTCCTTGTCAGCACCGCTTCGGAGTTGTAAAAGTGCCCGCCCCTCCTTGTGGATCTCCAGCAAGTCTTGTGCCATGCCGGCGAAAGCCACAGCGATCGTGTTGATTTCCACTAATTTGCACTGTAGATGATGATTCTGGTTGACGCTAGAACTATCACCTGTTAGTACCCCACCAGCCTGCGCCGCTCCTCCAAGCGATTTTTCCATCTTTTCTTCTTGACGTTGAAACAAATAATCGTGTCTCATTAAGTGAAGCCGCGGCTCTTTCCGTGGATCCTTTATTCGCTCGTGGTCCACCTTTGATGCGCCTTTAGAAGCAGTACCCGCGTGATGAACTCCATCTTCTGTCCCTGTCCCACCACCGTAGACGCGGTGAGCGATCCCGAGCAATTGGCGCGTAAACGGATCCACCTCACTTGCCGCGCTGAGCTCGGCTTGCAGCGTGGCGACATCGCAGCTGATGCCATCGATTAAACGGTTGTAGACGGGGACAAGCGCCTTCACGAACTGCACTGCCTTTGCTCGTTGTTCTAGAAGTAGTTGCAGCTCGTCTTGATGTGGTGTCGTGATAATTCCTGCTTTTTCATCTTCTTCACGATGTTGTAGCTCCTGCGCCCTAGGATCTGCCACCGTGGACGTCGACCTCTGGCTCTGATGTGCTTGTGCTGCAGGTGGTGGTGTTACAATCAAGGGGATGAATTCGCCGATTCGCGAGAAACGGGCAGCACCTCCTGATGAAGCGCCAGCTTCTTCTACATGTCGGTCTGCGACTTTTTCAACATCCACCAACTCGCTGGCTTTCTTGCGCAGCTGTAGACCCGCAGCACGGACCAGCTGCCTCTTCCGCGCTCCCTCGAGCAGGTACAGGGCCCACAAGGGCAACTGGACGTCTTGCTCATCATAATGGTCTTGACCCGCGTCGGCCTTTCTCTTCGACCGCAGCAGCAACGGCGCAGGTTTGATCTTGTCCTTTGCTTGTTCTGACGATGCGGAAATCTCGTCTCCGATGTGCTTCCACAAAGCCCGCTGAGACGGTGTTCGTAAGCTTTTTTGAAGTTGCTCGACGTCCCGCGAGTCGACGTCCTCGAAAAGTTCTGGCTTTATTGCCCTCGTCCCGTTATCAGATTCATGTTCAACCACCGAGGACATGATGACCGGACAATTTTCCAGTACCGAGACAAGTGATAAGACGAGACGAGCACAGTGGTAAACAAATCGAGAAGTAGACGGACGCATTTCCTACACCTAGTACCGAAAGAAAAGAAACCCAAACCTTAACCTCACTGTGATTCCCAGAGAAAAAAACTTTAGAACAGCACAGCCTTGATTAATCGTTACTGATTCTTCTACCGGCACCAGTGGCGAAGGAAATTAAAGAAGAATCATCGTTCTGAAGCACATCCTCTTTCTTTCATTTTCGTCCGTTTCTGACTCTTGTCGCCTGGAGAGGATACATACCTCGTGCGTATACAATTCGGAGTTATCCTGGGGCGACCAGCGATCGGCCTTTGGGTTCAACAGGATCGGCACCAAGAACAACACACAAGCAATAGCTGCTATTTCGAAAAAATCTTATTATGATGAATTGTAATTATTACATTTGAAAATGGAAAAATTCGCATCACGTTACATTTTGAAATGTAAATTCATGCTGTGCTGCTGTTGGAGGTGTTTAGTTGTACTTAAGTCGTTCTTCGAAGATTTTTTCGTTCAGTATCTTCAACAAACGAAGTCGCAGCCACAACAAGGACAAACTGTGCAAGAATGTGATAGAGCCGCAATTTTCTCTTCGCATAGGGGTGGTGCTGGTGGTCGGTATTGATACGAATCTGAATGACGTCCAACCGAAACTATGATCATCATATTCGACGAGTGTGGTCTTCGACGTGCTCGCCGTCGCTGCTGTCGCTGTGCATAATAGAGTAGAAGAACAAACTATTAACTGACCCTCCATATTAGCCAAACTATCTATCTAAACTCATCGAAAAAGAGTTCCCCGACCTCCGGAGTCTTGGACGTGACCACAGAAACCACGACGGTGGTGTCGTCCGGCTTCCCTTGTCCAGTCCCGCCGCGCTCGAGGCCGGGGAAGGGATACCCGCACTCCTCAAACCATTCCTCGGCCCAGGGGGTTGCCGCCGTGGAATCCGGATTCGCATTTTTCAGTGCTTCCTGCAGCAGCCGGTCGCACAGCTCCTCGCGCTTCGCCTGCGAAATTGTACTAGCGGAGGATGAACCAGGATGCGTCGTCGAGTCCTCGCCCGAGGGTGCTGTTGTTGAAAAAACAAGCTCCGACGTCGACGAGAATCTTTCCGCTGTGCCAGGCGACACGGGACTACACCTCCCAAGTCTACTATTTCCGTCCAGCAAGATCTCGCCGGCGAGCGCGGCCATCCGGGACTCGAACACGTTGTCAAACAACCCGTCGGTGCCACTGATAATCACGTCCCCGGGCTGCAACAGGACCGGGTGCAGGTTGCGGATGTTCCGAATCTGCCGCCACAGAGACGGGGCGTCCTGGTAGGGCTTGTTCTGGTACGTCGGCATCCGGGAGAGCTGGTAGGGACAATTGAAGCAGTGCGTCTGGGAAATGGACCGGGAGACAACCGTGTAGCGCGGCGGCCTGGAAGATGAAGAGCTAGGATTTATTTTATTGTTCCGGTCCTGTTGATCCTTGTGTAGTTGAACATGGTTGATCTCCTCTCCGTCTTTATCTTTCTGTATCTTATTTTCCGGAAACTTTTCAGCCCGCAGCAGTTCGTCGGCCTCTTCCTGCAAATCCGCTGCGGATTTTATCGTGCGCGGGCTGATCTGAATGTTCGTGCCTGGAGGTAGCGTATTAATATCGGAGCTGGTGTCGCCATCTATGTCATTCCTTATCATTTCCGCTTCGAGAAGAACACTTTCACCTTCTCTGCTTCCTTTGCTCACTACGGCAGCAACTTTCTGTGCCGCTAGGCTCGCCCGCTTCATGGCCTTCACCTCCTCGCTCTCCGGGGGCAACCCGCTGCGCACGCGCCGCTGCTGGAGCGCGGACTTGGGGGGTTTGGGCGGCACGGTGATCGTGCAGATGGTTTCCGCGATTTCGGGGTCGCAATTCGGCCGCAGCACCACGTAGGCGCAGTCCCCCATGTTGCAGGGATGCAGAATGTCCTTCTCGATTAAAAACAACATGGCGGTCGTGGAGCCCTGCTGCGTGCACCGCCAAAACGCCTCCTGCAACACCCGGCGCGCGTCGCCGTAGTTGCCCAGTGCCGCGTGCTCGATCATGGACCCAAGTTTGCGGTGAAACTCCTCCTGCACGTGGTTCAGCATGTGCGACTCCACGTTTCGCGGTGACGACGAGGCGGAGGAAGACGCGGAGTCGTGCTGCAATTGCACGAAGGGAAGAAAATCCAGAAACATTTGCGTCGCATTTTGCACCTCGGGTAGCTGCTGTGTCGTTGGACGAGCAGGCGTCGGATCACGACGTTCTTGCGCCTCTAAGTCCTGACCTGCTATTTTGATGTCCGTTCTGCCGTTCTCCTCTAAACTCGAGGAACTCGTTTCCCTTTCCGCAAGCTGGTTGGTCCCGCCGTTGTGCGAGGATGGCGCGTCCTTGCTGGGCCGACCGGACGAGGACGTTGTGCTCGCGCTCTCATTGTTCTGATCATATCAAAAGGAAAAATCCCCCCACCCCATATCAAAAAGAAGCTTCTGATGCTGGATTTCAGTACACAAATCAGATTTGTCTTGCAGTAGAGTACTGCAGGCCCATATCATGCCAATGTAGAGAGGTTTTAGCCTAGGCACTTAGCATGAGGAACGTCTCTGGTGTAGGCCCTGCAGCATTACAAACCGCCTGCATAATGGGGCGGAGCCTCTGCCGTTGCTTTCTTGCAAGACAGACAATATTTGTGGTCACAAATCAGTATCACAAATTCTCTGAGGCGTTCCTTTTCGATATGGGGAGGGGGGATTTTTCCCTTTGATAGATCAGATCCTTTGTCAACAGAAGTTGCTGCTGCTGCTCCCACCGCCCCGGGAGTTGTGCCGATGTTGTCAAAAAAGGTCGCCACAGACCCGCCGGTGGTGTTCAGTACACTTAAGGGGTCTACAATTTCCGCTGCTCCTCCGGATGCGCCGCTAGTGGGGGCTGCGTGTTTATGCCTTGCCGAGGGTCCTCCAGCTGCTTCGTCCTCCTCAGCGAGTTCATTTTTACCTGGATCCGCAACCAGTTGTTCCCCCTGATGCAGCAGCCTAAACTGCTCCATCAATTTCAAGCAGTGCTCAAGCAGAATCCGCAGCAGCACCGGCGGCTCGGTCTCCGGAAAGTGTTCCGGCGCTACCAGCCGGATGTCGTCGTACCAACTCTGAACCATCTCATCCGTCGGGTGGTGCACAGGTTTGTCCACGGAGACGTGGTAGGCCTCCTGGAAGAACCGGCTCAAGGACGCAGCTAGGGATCCCCTTGCCGGCGCCGACTCCCGCAGGGCGCAGTGAAACAGGTCCGCTTGCAGCGCGTCGACGTCGCGGCTTGATGGGGTGGTCGCGGGCACGCCAAAAAGAACGTCAAACGCCTTCTGCATCCAGCCGGCAGCGGTACTAGCAGTACTACCGGTAGGCTGTTCCACGGGAACGGATTTCTCAATCTCCAGGAGCAGACGTTTGTATTCTGCGCTCCACCTGAGTTTTGTATCGTATCCATCGAACTACAACTACTGAAGGTGACTGTAATAATTCCTTTTGCAAGAATCTTCAAAAGGGATTGACTGTCCCTTTTGTGCAGACGGGAAGTGGTTGTGCACATGCACTTAAAGCTGCACGGCCTTCAAACAAAAACAAAAAACACTTAAATTTGTCTGAAGTACCCTCGCTTGTTGGCCCGCCTTTCCCTTAGCAGTGCCCCGCAGTGGGTCAAGAGCTCGTTTGGCAAGAGGCTGCTGTCCACGCCGGATTCCTCAACTGCGCTGACGCCGTCCGCAATACCGATGGCGTTGTCCATCAGCAGGTAGGCATCGGCATTCCGCGCCGCCTTCCGGTCCTGTTTATTTCCTTGCACGTGCATCTGTGCCTTGGCGGGGTGCTGCTGCGACCGCGCGGTAGACTGCAGGGTCAGTCCCCGAGGCCCGCTGCTCGGCGCGCAGCAACTCAACCAGGAACTCTCCATAGCAGGCGAAGGAGTCGTTCGGCGCAGCCAACCGTGCTAGAAGTTGGCTTGTCAAATAAAGCAAGCACGCGTTTTCATTTTTTCGTTCGAAACACCAGTAGGAGTACCATGGTGCGCTTCAATAGTTGTACTCTTCTGAGGAATACAATTCTTCTGTCTAACAGATCGACATCAACTACTCGTGTTGTATACTACGGATGCTGAAAGCAATAGCATTAACCAACGCCCCTGCGATTCTCTAGAATCGCAAACGCAATCGTGAGGCGCAGCTGCTGCTTTCTTCTCTAGCCCCCAATACGTACTGATGCCTTTTAACATTGCCCATACTTAGATGAAGTCGCGTGTTCGGGCTAAGCCCACAACGTCGGCCTGTCTAGTCATCTGTTTATCATGTGATTTGACGTGTTTCGAGCAAAAAAGTCGCAACATAATCCGAGTACCTTGCTGCGCTTTTTATAAAATCCTATCCGCGAACGCCAAAGATGAGAACATGCATCTTTGAGTTTGTGCGAAAGTTCATATAGAAACTAACTTGGGTGTGGGTCGTGTGTACAATAAGTAAAGCAACACTTGAGTGTGCAATGGGTAGTGTGTAAGAATATCGGGATCCTGTTCCGTCATCCAAAGTAGAAATGTAGAGTTGCGGGACGAGTATTAAATGAGATCTTTCGGTTCTATCGTCGGTGTTCCAACGCTCAAAAATAATCAAGCAAGTTTGCCGACGCACGCTCCCACGCGGCACGGGGCCATTTGCTATTTGGTTTCGCCTTTGCACTCCAGATTGCCTACTCATCGTTGAAGTACTTTTAGATTGTCTACTCATCTTATTCATCCACAGGCCTCTACTTCTCAATACTGCGGTGACACAACATTTTTCTCGAAGATCTGTTGCAATGGACGTTTTTTAGCCTCTCAGAAATCTTCTCACTCACTGTACTGTTGACTTGTTTGAAAAGAACCGAATCTTCGCAGCATTCTTGTTTCCCACAAGATTCATCCTCGTCCCAAGTCCGTGCGAAAGCTGAGGACTGTTGAAGCCGCCGCTGTAAAACTGAAACGCAGTAAATTTTATCAAAGAAAGCTCGCCAAAATTCTTTTGTTACACAGAATTTCTTCAATTTCATTCGTAGATGAATGCCAAACGCATCGTCCCCCAAGAGATTTTTTATACTTTTCTTGAAACTTTTTCTTCGCTTTCTCATCAGCTTCAGCACAGAGAAACAAGATCATACATGTAGAACCATCAAGTCCCAACAAGAAGCATGCGATGGTCATAGAAACCATAACTTACAGATTGATCAGACCTATCTGATATTTTTCTCCGCATCAACAGGCCCACAGGACTAGTAACCAACAAACTTAGGTGGTTCTTCTTCTCCGAAAATAAACGTATCACCAGCCGTCTTGCAAATAAGTAGTGCCCGCGCGTCTTCACAACTTCCCCCCGGACCTAACAACCCCGGAAGATGTCCCGACGGCGACTTGCGCTGGCCGCACCACCTGCAGCATACTTTTCATGGAAGTTGTAGATGAGCCATTTTCCCCCTCGCCTGCCTTTTCCTCCAAATCGTCGGCTACAACTCCCTGCAACTTCCCCTCGTCGCTCCGACCAGCATTCTTCATATCTTTTCCACCTGTCACCACACAGTAGTACCCGTGCCGATACACGGCTGCCACTTTATTCGCCTCCACGTCACTCCGCTCTGCCAAAGCCTCGTGGATTTCCGGGTCGAACGAGGTCACCTTTGGCACCGCGTGAATCCGGTGGATGTTCTGCTTGCGGAGCGCGCGCAGCAGCGACTCGTGCGTCAGCTCCACCCCTTCGAGCAGCATCTCCACGGTGTGCCGCTGCATCTTCAGCTTCGCATCTTCCATAATTTGGCCCTGCCGTACAACTACTGGTTCTGCGAGATGAGCAGATGTTGACCGTCTCGACACGATAGCGCGTTCTGTTCCTGGTCGTGGTGTGATCTTCAAGGTGTTAGGCGCCGCCGCGGTGCTGGAAGTGAATCCGCTGTTCTTTCTGCCCTGGATTGCAGCTCCATCTCCACCGCTTGCACTACCTATTGAAGCTGTCGTCCCTTGTCCCTGCAGAAATGTCACCGCGCGCTTGTTCGCCGCAGGGGACACAACTCGGCCAAGATTCATTTCCTCGCGCGAAGTAGATGTCGACCTTCCAAATGGTTCCACCCTGCCTCTATTTCCAGCACGGGCAGGCTCGGAAAGTGCTACGCTTGAATGAAAATCGCTGTACGCACGTAATTCCGTTTGGGAAGGAGGGAACTGGTAATGGTTTTTATAGGAAAAGGTACTTGCTGCACCAGGCGATGAACTATTTTTCCCCGAAAACAGACCTGCAGCACTGCTGTTCGTTGCCCGTAGAAAGTCCAGGTGCTTCTTGATGTTTTTCTGGCAAATTTCCAAATTGTCCGCAACGCCGAAGACCACCTCGCGGTTAAATTTCAAAATCGCGTTCTTCTCCGCTTTCGCAATCTCGGCTTTCGCCTCGTGCTGCAGATTCTTTTTCACCGTATTCAAGGCCTTCCGAAAGGCCTGTTCCTGACTGCCCAGCCGGTGCCGCAGGTAAAAATTCGCGGCGAAAAGGCCCGCAGCGGCAGTGGTTGTGACCGCCGTTATCAGGTGTAAAAATGTCTGGGTCTGGAAAGTCATGCAGATTCTACATGACATATGACGTCTGTAATGCATAACCTGGCATCACAGATTTTTAGCGGGCTTTCTGATGACTATCCCGCATGAGAAATACCCTCTCCATGTACCACAAACTGGACCCTTCTTGCTGGTCATGCAATACAGATTTTTTTAGGATGCAGAGACAGCATCACAAGTTGCATCCTTCCAGACCCAGACATTTTTACAATCCATAGCCGTGCACTGGAGTTGAAACCGGCAGTCCTTCTCCTGCTCGGTATAACCCGCTCAAACGTTACAATCTCAAACGTTACAATAGAGTCTGGGATTTGTCTTGCATCGTGAGCATTACAGACTCGTAGACCGTTCCACTTTCTGCAATACAAATTTCGCCAGATTGCAGTGCGGTTTGGGACTCCGGAACTTATCATGCGCAGTCCTCTGAGAGTTGGCTAGATCATGCATTTCTTGCATCACAGATTTCCAGGTTCTATTGCAACGTTTGAGATTGTAACGTTTGAGCAGGTCATATTCGGTAAGTGACTTTTCCAACTTACGCACGCGCCGCTCCGCCTGTTCAGCGCGAGCGATTGGCGACGAGGTTGAGGAAAAATTGCCACCCATTTTTCCCTTGAGAATTGCTTCTGATCTTCGTCCCCGCACGGCTGCTATAGCACTCACGAACCGATCTGCTCCTGCTCAATAACGGCAGTGAAAGTCTGACTTTGCTGTGTGAACCAAAGACGACAAAGACTAGAGGAATTTAGGTTGTGCGTGCTGGGATGCTGCCTATACAACTAGGGGGTTCGTTCTTTCCATAAGAACAGTGTCGTGGTAGGTCCTGCTGTTTCATTTCTGAAACTCTGAAAAAGAACTGCGTTTGCCCTTCTCAAGGTGAGCGGAACTCTGAAAAAGAGAAAGAAAAATTGGAAATAGAATTCTTGTGTCAGTTTTGCAAAACTCGACGAGTAAAATTTACCCGCTCTCGGCCTCTTTGAGATAAATGGGTGATCAAAATGACCGAAACATGGTGCAGCTCGGATGCTGTTTTGTGTTGTCAACACCAAAAGCAACAACTCTGAAAAATAATCGATGAGCCAGCATTGAATTTCAGAACACGATTCACAACAGCGTGATTGTGAGGCAGAGGGCTGCACTAGCACAGACTCGCTGTACTAGTCGTTGCCCGATGATGATGAATGACATCGGCTACAACATTGAGTTGTATTTATTTTCGTTAGTCGTCGCACGGTAGCTTTGGATTTGGAACATCAATGCCGTTCATCGTCGTCGTTAGTTCGCTATTTACAAGTACTGGTTGTCGAAAAAAGTCGTACAACCAGGTGTCACGTTTTTGTCGCTGAGGAAATAGAATTTCATCACAATGGCAGTTCTAGCCGGCAATTATCCGTTGGGTAGTTCTTGGATGGTGCCTTTGCCACCCCACAACGTAAAAAGCCCCGCCGCTGCGCACTAGATGAAAGTTGCTTTGTTCGTGGTTGCCCAAAGAAAAGTTATAGTAAACTACAATCAAATTTAATGTAATTTCTATTTCATGAAGAATTTTGGCAGGAGAAACCTCGGTAGCAATCAGGACGAGAACCACGCTTGTCTTATATCCCTGCTGGCTCCTACCAAAACTATGATCATTGGCCGCCGAGTATCCCACCTATCTAGTACATCAACGTCAACCTTACCTACTTCGATATTTAACCCGTAGCTTTCATTGAGTACATTATTCGATATTTTTTCTTCGAAGTTAGTAGTCGATTATATCAGACTAAATTTCAGAATAGAAGTATCAAACAAGGTAGCGTCGTAAAAGGTTAGTTTTCCTTTCCGATAGAACAAGTACCGGTCAAAATTATTAACGTAGCACACAGCTCTACTAGAATGAGTTCTTCGCCAGCACGTGATCGCAAGCCTTTGCAGTCGTGGCTTGCAGGAGTACTAGCCACGACACGACGGAGCGCCGTCTGCAGTGAATTCTTAAGGGCGTCTGCCAAAAAAAAATTCGCCGCGACCACCTGCCTTGGGTATCATCAAGGAATGTGACCTACACGACCTCCTAAGTAGTGGCGGACTAGAAGTTCTAGTAGTTGCGAGGTGGCGTAATGAGTAGTAAACCATATAAGTGTGGAGTACTATCGCTCGATGAGGCAGGGCTGCGCTCCGACGGATCAACGTGTATCGGGAAAAGCATTCTGTAGCTGTACCTACTAAAGACCGGTGAGGTCGTGTCTACTTCTAAATAAACCAAGGACGACCAGATGACGGCCACTCGCCTCCAACTTTTGCAGAAGGTCTAAGAGGAGGTAGTACTTCTGACAAAAGGCTGCTACGGCTCGGGGTCTCGCGGTATGTATGATGAAAATGGGATATAGTATTTTTTTGTAGTAGGCACCTGGAAGTTTTTTAATCCTTGCGGCCGTCCTGCTCTCGTCCACTGTGCTGCCTCCAGCGGATAGAATTAATTTATTCTTTACAAAAGCACAGCTGCAAAAGAAGGACGCTTTCGCTTCCACAGTTGAAAATTTCTTGGTCCTAGAGAAAACCAAGAATAGTCGTCTTGAAAAGTTCTGAGTTCACGCTTTATTATTTTTGCTGAGAATGTTCACTAAAAATTACAAGGTTTGTCGAATTTGTCAGTACTGACAACTTGTACGAAAATCATATTGAATCACAAACAGACAGAACAAGGGGCGAGTTTTACTTTATTTACTTTCCCTGTCGCGATAGAAAGTAGTTCATCGAGAAGTTCTAAAATAATGACTAGATTCTTTCCAAAATCGAAAACTGGAGCATTGTCGGTCGCTCGAATATAAATATAATTGGGGTTCCCCTCGTCACGCCCGCGCCATTCCGTTGCGCTTTGGCGCACTGAGCAGGCGTATCGACTCTTCCACGCATTCCCGCGCCCAGGCCTCCAGAGATTGGTTTTTCGCAGCCAAATGCCCCGCGAACCGGTTCCAGTCCTGATGTGACACGCGCTGGTACTGTTGGTGGTTCGGGTTGCCGGTCATCCTGTTTCGTTTTTTATTGCATAGGTATGGTATGACTTTTTGCATGACAAATACAGCTTCAGAATTTGTCAAAATCGACAAAATCGAAACCCAAAACCTCACAATCGACAAACAACACATACGCAACCATCATCTTCACGGATAAATAAGTACTTAATCATGGGCTACCAAATGAAAATTCATTGATCAGCTGTATACTTTGGTGTTGGCTTCTGCACGATGCCGAGTTCGATGAATTTGGCTTCCAGGTTGCTCAGTACCTCGAAGCACAGTAGTCGGTCGTTGGGGTTGCTACTTGCCGAGTTTACGTTGATATTTGTTCGCAGCACGTCATTACCTGATATTGCGGATAATTTTAATTGTTGACGGTTCTTCGTTGTATAATAATCATTCGGATTTTTACAACTCTTATGCTTGTTGACATTGTGTTGAAAACCAGCACTATCTATGCAGATGAATCATGCAGAGAGCACGAACAGAAGCAAGCAAAACCCTTGTACAGATTTTTGAGCAGAGCGCCTTTGGGTGGAGTCCGTCGAAGATAAGGGAGTTGTAATTTGGTGAGAAGCATTCTTCCCAGAACTTTTTCAGTTCGTCACTGTCCCACTTAAACGCCGGCCCCTTCGGAATGCCCGATACCTGGTGCAATTTTATTTTCGGTCGTAGTAAGATTTGTCGTGTAAAAAACCAACTGCAACTTCTATTTCATCCTCACTACTCGTACATGCAAAAAAAACAAAGAAATCAATTTCAGTTGTGAGTTACTAAACTCATACACAATCTTCAGAACAGCTCGAAGCCTAATTATTCTTATCGTTCCTGTACCTCCTCTCCCGTTGAGGTTGTTGGCTCTTCAACGACAGACGAGGGTTTTGAATTCGTTGTTGGCGTGCTCCCGCTCGCCTTCTTTTCTAAATCTGACCCAGCTTCTGCCAGCGACTCGCCCCGCACCTGGATTTTTATTTTTTTTCATTTATACTAATTCTTCGCCTGCTTGTTTCTTTCGGGAACTGCAGTGAAGAAGAAAATCAACTCGGGATATTTGTAAAATAGTAAGTGGAATTATGTTGACAACTACGTCCGTTGGAATGTTGCCCATGGACACTATCCTTCATGTTCATATTAATTAGCGCGTTGGTAAAAAAATCAATGAAACTATCGTTCGTCTGAAAAATTTCTATACCTCCCCCTTTGTGGTAACGTTGGGGTCCTTGCTTTCTTCTCGCACCACCATCTTGTTTGTAGAACTTTTTGAAGAATTTTTCCGTGTTCTCAATTCAAAAAAACCCGCACGTTATTGTCGTTCTTCGTCCGCAGCACACGTTGCAAACAGTGTGCCTCTTCTACCGTAATTTTTGAAATTCGTGTATCGTTCGTTGTCGGGGGCGCCGTTTCGTTTGTCTACTTTTTACTTCTCCTCTCCGAGAACGAGTAGTCGTTCAGCTATCCGTGGTCTCGATATCAAGAAGAAAGCAGGTCGACAGACTTCTTTTTATTGAGCGGCTTTACTATTGCTCCTTCTAATTTGATGGCGAGATAACAAGGCGGCTTCTCCCGGCACGGAAAGGTTCTGCTTTTTTGCGCGTCGTGCCAAGTCCGATGTTGTGCGCACTTGCGACGAGGTTCGAGAGACCGTCGATAAGGTTAAGTAGTGGGGGAGGTAGGGGCGAGGCTATTATTGAATTTCAACTTTCAAGCTTATTTGCGAGTTATCATTTCACAGAACTGTTAATATGATCTCCGCTCTCTGCTCGACGAAGTTCAAGTGTTACTACTACCTCGACGTCGTCTCAACACTCCGCACCTATAGTCGATTGCCTTTGGTGGTCTCAGCGATGCTTCAGAAGAGAGCAGGAGAAGTCTCGCTTTCGGGATTTTTACTTTACGTAGCAGCTGAGGGGAAAAGGAAAAAATGACAAAAGTGAATTTGTAAAAACAATCGATGAATTTAGATGCCGCAGCCGCAATATGTTTCAGAGGCGTGCCTGCTTTATTCCAAAGAAATATGCTAAAGGGGGGATGGTTTCTAATACAAAAGCGAATGAAAGTCAAATTACAATAGAAGGAGGGAATAATCCTACAAGTAGTGCGTGAGGCCGGTTTCTGGCTATATTATCAAAGACACACAGACACGACACATAGAAGAAATGGAAGCTTTTTGCGCTAGAAATCAAGATTCTAGTGCTAATAAATTTTCTGGTTGCATAAGGTGCAGCAAGTGCAGGGATTGTAGGATAATATCGATCAAGCGTCGGAAAAACTCTTCTAGCGCCGCGACTGTCTATTCTTCATGATTTTGTGCGAACAAATTCTTGCACCTTCCCGTTCGCTGTCAAGTTTCAATAATTCAAACGACCAATCATATGAAAAAACGACAAAAGAAAGCCTGTGCTGTTACCTCTGGTAAAATAAAAGCAGGACCTCTGGTAAAATAAAAAACCTCATCGTCACTTTCAGTACGGACATCTACAAGTACAAAGCAGGAGATCGAGCCCAAATAGTGGATAACATTGAGCCGTGTTCCTTGTCCTATCTTGCGGTAGATGGTAGGGAAGTAAACTAATGTAGATCTTTAGCTCGTCCCCGAGCCGGCCGAAGACTCCAACAGCAATGGTTTAATACTAAGCATACTGAAAAGTGAGATCCTCTTCCGCACCAGAACAGACAAGTTATGATCCGATCTAGAAAAGGGAAGATCTTGTGTAGGCTGCTTGCGGCCAGATGTTGAGTTCGAGTTCCTGTTCGTGTTCCTCGCAACAGATTATTATACCAAGTCATTGAGAAGTGTTGAACATCATCAGCAAGGGAGTTCTTGCCATCTGAAGCTCCTGAACCGATTACTTACTAGAAAGGTGGCACATGGATTCTCACCTCGATGTGCCTGCGTTTCGTGATCCGCAAAATGAAAATTCATTATCGACATTTTTCTACAAGTTGGCAAAAAATATTTCGCCGCGAACGTTGACATTTGGTGCCATTCATTATTGATTCTTTTTGACGTTGCTCGAAGGAAGTAATAGATCCGAGTGGGACAAGTTGTACGAAACCAAAATCTTCCCGCGCTTCGAAGCGGAGCGACGCAACTCGCCCTCGCTTGTTCAACTTCAACGAGCCTTAGTTACTACTGTGCGTTCCTTTCATGACAGATTTCCCTCGTCCGCCTGCTCGTCCAGCAGCAGGAGCAATTCCTCCAGAATCGCGGCAAAGTAGTTCTGCTGGATGTGCAGAGGCAGGTCTTGGAAGGTCGGAACGTGCACAAACAGGGTCTGGCCGCTACAGCGCAGACTTTGAAAGTACATATGCTTTGCAAATATGTCTGGGTCTGGGAGGATCCAAACTTGTCATGCTATTTTTAGATTCTAAACAAATATGTGTTGCATGACCAGCAATAGGAGTCCAGTTTTTGCCACTTGCGCAGGGCATTTCTCATGCAGGGAAGGCATCAAGAAGCACTCAGAAAATCTGTGATGCTAGGACATACATCACAGACGTCACGGGACGTGTAAGGCGTGCATGACAAACCTGGCAATCTTCCAGACCCAGACATTTTTGCATTTGATAGTACAGGTAGTTGCACAAATACGTGCCCGCGTGTGTGCTGATATGCACCTGTCGCAGGCCTATCCACTGCAAATATCGATCTGGGTCTGGAATAAACTTGTGAAGATACGGGTTTTCATATAGACACGGCCAAGCATGACAAGTTTTTGAGTCTGTTGCCTGTTCTGCATAGCAAAAAACTCAGTCTGCCATGCGTTATTTCCGAAGAATAACAAAACGAGGTGGTTGGGTAAAAACCATGACAGACTTGAGAATCATGCTGGCCGAGCAGGACATCAAACTTGTATTCTTCCCGATCCAGACCCAGACATATTTGCAATGCGTAAGGTTTCGATCGTGGAGCTTGGAGAGGAGCTGGGTAAGCGGAAGCTGTGTGTAGATCTCGCGCGGCGCAGGGATGGAAGTCGAAGTAGTAGATTTTTGGGTCGCTGCATTTACTAATATCCTTTTCGACTTCCTACTTTCAATATGTCCACCTTTTCGACGTCCTCCTCCTCCGTCAGCATCAACATTTTTTTCAACAATTTTCCCTCGTTTACGAAAGTTCTGCACGTCCGGATTGCTCTGCAGGTCGACGAAATTCAGCCCTCGGCACTCGAGCGAATACTCCTTCGAACTAGCATAAACGCCAAAGTGGATGGCGAGCTCGCTAGTACTATCGCTTTCATCTTCTTCAGTCTGCTCGTTGTCTACAGCATCCAGTTCCCCGCCGTCGTCGCTTTTTCTCGTCGGAGCACCTGCTTCGCGCGGGTGAACTAAATGGGCCGGCGCATCACAGTCACTTACGTCCTCCACGTCCTGCATCACGTCGCTCGCGTTCATCTGCTCAAACGAATCATTGACGCTACCGTGCACGTCCTGCATGACGTCTTCGCTGCCCGCGTTCATCCGTTCAAAAGCATCTTCCGGCTTAAATGAGCCGGTTTGTGTAGGTTTTGCCTCCTCCGGCGGGGGAAACAACTGCAGCAGGCCGATCCGACACGCATTCAAAGGGTCGTCGTAAGGCACAGCGGAGGACGGCGGGCCACCTGCTGCTCCGAGGACCGGAGGTATTCTCACGTGACCCGACTTGTCTCGAATTTTTGCGTCCAGCTCTGCTGTTCTGTGTGCTGCTGAGCCATCAAATAAATCTTCATTATCGGCAGTTATATTCGCTTCTGCTTCTTTGATGTGAAGATCTCCGTCAGGTTTTATTTTCGTCGGCCCAGATGAAAAGAAGATCCTCTGGCCGCTGCTTCTGTGCGTTGCCAGCACGTCGTGCACACTGTTGCAGGACACTTCCACGATCACAGCGGTGAGGTCCATCTTGGACCGGAACCACTTGGTTTTTTCACTCCCCCCGGTGGAAAACACGCGAACGAATTCCCGTAACAGGACCTCAGTGGGGTTCTGACTCACCTCGCCAAACGGCCCGAAAGCCGTCAACAGAACCTTTCGCTTTCTGTTTTTCCCGCCCGGCTTGTCGTAGTTGCCGCAATGATCAGAGGTGGAAGACATCACTCGTGCGTTTTGTAGTACCTGATCTCGGGTCGTCGTGGTGGACTGTGAAGCTAAAGCAGCGCCGTTGTGTTGCATGGTGTGAAGATCCTGGGCGGCAGGCAGGCCATCTGCGCCCTCCGCTGCAGGGAAACCGAGGCTCGCCATGCTGTGTCTTCTCTCAGGTCGGTTTTGTTGTTTTATGCCAGCTGTTCTTGTAGTGGGATTTTCTTGGAAAATAAAAACTGTATTCCATTGGTATGTCTAGAAAGTAGTACTTTCAAATCAAAAAAAAAATGAATTGCAGAAGACTAATTGTGTTTTGGTTCCTTTTCATGATGCATTTTTCATTGCGAAAGAAGAGCTCAGTGGGTGTGACCATTACGATCCTTGATACTATCTAACTATGATACACGGCGTCTGCGCAAAGATAAAGAAATGAAAGCTGCAACGGGTCTTGAGAATCAAAATCAAGGGACGGATAGGAGAAAAAAAACACGGGTAGGATAAAAACGCAAAGTGGACCTGTATCTTTCGGACGCCAATAAAGCACGAAAAGTCTCACGAACTATCGGACAAATTTCCATTCTGGTATCCAACCGATGAAGGCATTATTGCCGCGTCCGCACTTTTACTACTTTCCTGTCCGTTTCTTGACTTTTCAAGTTGTTTTATCCTGGAGTAAAAAAATGTAAAAGTGAACACTTCTTTTGTTTCCCGATTCAACATAACATCAAAACCTGCATAGCAGGCCGAAACTCCGCTACATTTTTTTTTTCCGATCAAGCTCCAAGTCCTGTTCTTGCACATAGAGGTTTTCAATGTCAGCAGCTAATCATACAAACGCGGCGCTGCAGCCTAGCACAGAGGGTATAACAGAGCAGTCGGACTCCGCTCCGCTGTGCGACATAATATTATTAAAAATCGCCCAATCAAGTTGTTCTGACAACGGTTCTTCCAATCAACAAGCTAGAGATTCTGCGCTGGTACAAACGGTGTTGAACGGTCAACATTTCCACGCACGACTCATGGTAGAAAAGTGATGAACCTGCCTCTCCTGCTATGTTCAAACCGGCGTAACAACTTACTTTTGTACTAGCATAAAGATGACAATGATCCTACAACAAGCCAATAGACGCGGCCAACAGCAACGGAACAAGTTCAATCAATATAAGCATAAAATCCGCCACACAATTACTGTTTTAATTTGGTACATTTCATCCAATAGCCGAGGTCACTATTTTTTCTTCCACGTGCCCTGACCGAACGTGGTGTATTGCATGTGTTCCCCGGCCCCGGGACTCTGCATGTAGGCCCGGGTGGCCTTGTTTCGCGTGTAGGTTGCGGTGAAGTGTGGGTAGTTGTGGTTGTTGGCTCTTACTTGCACCTTTTTAACCTCGTACACCGTCTCGCGAAGCTGTTTTTATTGTTTCGTTTGTCACCGCTTTAGCGAAGACACGAACAGGACGATATTTAGCACGACAAAGACAATTTGCATGTTGTACTATCTATAGACAAACTTGGTCATCTTCATGCAAAAATACAACAGCCTTTACTGCCCAGTTGTATCGAAAAACTGTACAAAAAAGCAATATTGAAAAAATGAGTAATATACGTCCTTCGTGAAGCTGAAGTTTGGACCACGCTCGCGTAACTTTTGCCTGTCTATGTCCTCCTTTGCTGGGAAATCACCGGACTTTTTGTACCTGATAGTGATAACGCGGAGAAATAAATTAGAAACTTCAGCATGATCGGAAAGGATAAAACCAAAACACAGAACCAGAAGCACAACACTGCATCAAGTAGACTTGTCATATATAAAAATTAAAATACGCGCCCGGCCCAGGGACCCACTGCGTTGCGCGCATGTGCTTTTGTATCCAGGTGTTTCGCGATTTGATGGTGCCCTGTTCGGCGGAAGGCTTCAGCTCGGAAAACTGGTTGTGCGGCCCACTGCGGTTCATGCCTGCAGTTTATAATTTTTTGCATGCGATTTTTATGTACTATACTTACGACAATAAATCTTCACAAAAAATCCCTTAAGCAGCTGAGAGAATTGAGGAATGCGAACTGCTCATGATCGAGAAGACAATAACAACGAATCCGGAAACGAAAAGGAAAAGAGAAGTTCACCAAAAACATTATACTCGTCTGCAGCTCGTGCTTCCTCCCCAAGGTTGTCCAGCTTGGGGCTTTTCGTAACGTTTGCTCGTTGATTTTCCATCCTTCCCGCCAAGCTGTATCGGCCATCTTGCCTTATGAAACCTCCAAAGCCTTAAAGAAGAAGCACAGTATCCAGGCAGCACGACGACGACGCACAGGTCGTTATTATTTCCTAGTACGCCTATAACAATCGGCTCCTACTGGAATGCTTCTATGCAGTAGAACTACAGCGAAGATGCTTTTGACTTTATGTACTGACTTTACGAATTGTACTCCTGTCTTCTAGGCTGTTAAAGTGATCTTCACGAGGACAACACGCTATCAAGACGATTCGAACCGGAAAGCTGCGCGTGGCCCCTCGTCTTCGCAGCTAGCGCATCCGGTAGTACTTTTCGCTCAAGAAGTAGGAGCGATCTGAACGATCACCAAGCTGTATTGAGAATATCACGTGCGAAGTCGGAAACACAATCAAATACGTCCGATTCCTGCAAAACGAAATTAGGTCGAGGATCTATACGAACGACACGAAGTTGACGCATGAACGGATGTTGAACGATCAAAGGCTGGTGACTTCTAATTAGGCAGTGCCTAATTAGTCTCGAGCGTGCCGCACGCTCGAGAAACACCAAGTGCTGCACCTTGAATATTCATTGGACTCCACTTCCCTTCTCCGATGGTGATTCTTACTTTAATTTTACATGAGCAAGACAACTTGACGCGTACAGGGTTTGACATCGTACAAAGTTACTCTGGAGGGTGGCGGTGGTTCCACAAGAAAAACTAAGGTCGTTTATTTGAGGACAGATCCAATCTTTCAAAAAGTCGATGGGCGCCCGTGCTTGTTCCGCGAACTGCTGCATTTGATGTTCTATTTTTCATCCCGTGCTGTACGTTGGTTTTACTAGTCACGCGGCCCGCCCCGAAGTAGTCGTGATTTTAAGTACTTTCTCCATTTACTAGCCACGCGGCCCAGTTGTACCGCTCGCACCGCGTTCTTCGGGACTGACGGGGGAAGTGGAAAATTTGCTGTTGCGCTGTGCTGCAGTTTTGCGAGGGCCCGACGACGAGGAGCTACCGACATTCTGCAGCGGCGGCAGCTTCCGCCTCCGCACAAAGGGACTCACCTCTTCGCGGGGGTCGAAAATGCCACGGCGCACGGGTGGCGACGAGGACACACTGGTGTAATTCGACAGTAGTCTGCCGCCCGCGGCCGCCGTAGACGAAGATCCCCCCCGGCTGCTGGCGGCGCTGATAATATTTTGGCAGACCAAGATCTTCGCACCTGCTCTCGTACATGCGGGTCCAATTGGAACAACTCCATGCAGGTGGGAGACAAAGACATGGCCATGAGATTGAGTATTGTTGATTATGATTCTCATATCATAACGTAGAAAATAAACTCTTTACCACCGCCGCAAAGCTCGCGTACAGGCTGCGAACGTGCCGGCGTACACCCCGGGACTAGTTTGCAGCGGCCCGTCATCGTCTGATAGTGATAAGATGAATTATGGGTAAAAGTAATTGCATGGACGTCATTCGATGCGCAGGAGCGGGATGATGAACCACCATGAACTAAAACGGCAAAAAGAAAAACAATGGCAAGCTTGTTCGGCACTGTATAAGCAAAAACTAGGTGGTCCTTCTTATGCGCCGCGACTTCTGACAAGCTAAAAATACTTATTACACAGCAAATAAAATTAGACTACAGCGAAAAGGGAGGTAAACAACGCATGTACTGCTCGTTTCACCGCCTTCTTCCTCCAAGACCGCATTCAGCACGCTGGCCTCATCTTCCGAGCAGCTCGGCGGTGGTCCCGACGACGATTTTGTTCCATTCCCAGAAGGACAACCACTACCCACCGCACGCAGCAATGAGGCAGCCGCGCCTTCATCCACTACACTGTGGGATGAATAAACAAGCGGAAAAATAACTCCAGGTGTCGTGCTGCTGACTTCTAAATGGTTTTTCAGCACGACATTGATTCGGTCGAGGAATGTTCTGGTCTCTTTCAGCGCCTGCACCGCCACATCGTGGATGTCATTATTGGTGGTCGCCTCATCAGTATAGCTGGTCTTGGTGCCCTTCGTATTTTTTCCTCGCTCCAGGCCGGTGCTACTACACTCGTCCGCGATCCGGCTGGCCGCCACCCGGTAGTATCCCACAGAAAAAAACAGGCGCCAGGGCATATCATTATTTGTGATGCAAAAATAAACTCACAGAAAAATCTTGTCATGGGCGACCCTATATGTACCAAATATAGCCGCTGGGGCGGGGGTAGTGAGGTCCTGGGCGTTTTTTTGCCGACCGCAGCCTTGGCCGCGGCTTTGCTTTTTATGGGTTCGCCATACCACCGTGAGTAACGTTATGCCGCACGGTATGATGGCCACTTGGGAAACGTTGCAAATTTTGGCACATTTCCAAAATTACTTTCCGAAAGCCAGCCCCGATGCTATGGGGCCGATCCGGGTGCCACGGGGGCCGCCCAGAAAGCGAAGAAAAACCGGGCCCATAGCATGCGGATTGGCTTTGCGCGTCTGGCGCGCTTTTTATTTTTCGCGTATTTATTTTTCACGCCGGCGCTTTTTGCAAAGCTTCCCAGGCTCTAAAACCGGCGAAAAGGCGGCCGCTTTCGCGGCCGCCCAAAATGCTCCGAAATCGCGGCCGTGCCGAGCTGTTTCGCTGTTCTGATTTTGGGCGCGTTTTTTGCGCGCCCTTTTTTGGGCGCCCCAAATCGCCAGGAACTAAGGCGGCGGGCGCCTCAGAAGGGCGCCCCTTTTGCCGGCTCCCCTGCGTCGTTTTATCAAGTGCGAATCGATAGTTTTCGACCGGGCTTGTTTGCCGCAAACGCCCCGGCCGCTTGATAAGTGAAAACTTTTTATGCTCAAAAACACTTCCGGCCGCTTGAAGACTGCCGGTCGTTTTTCACGGGAGGTGTCAAAAAAACTCCCTGGTTAGAACCGTTCGGTGACCTCACTACATATAACATGCTGCTGAAGACACGCATGAGATGAGATTTTGTGTAAGTATATCTATTTTTGCATCACAGGTTGTATGCCCTGCCTGGTTTTTCCTGTGGGATAGATAGATCAGGGCGACCACCCTCTTCCGCCCGGACGGCTGGCGCGGCCCCGAGTGTTGTCTCATGCATAGCCGAATGCGCTAGAGTTGTTAGTTTCAGGTGAAAATTGAGCGCAAATAAATCTCAAATTATATACGTACAGACCCGCGATCTTTATTTTCGCTCGCGCTTACTTCAAGCCGCACGATGGGCATCGCCTCCGAAACAGACAAAAAAAGTCGAATTTTTGAGTTGATGCATAGATGAAAATTTCGCTTTGTGATAATTGTGCACTCCTGAATTTTAGCTGTCCCACATCCTACACCAAGTGCACTAGTAGTGGTCCGCTTCTGAAAACACAACCAGCGAACACGACACCAGCCGTGTTCTCTTTCACACGCTCCCCATCAATAAGTGGTCGCTCTTTTTTCAGTCACTTCTTGCCTCCTACGTTCCCCGCGGTCGTTGGTGAGGCAAGTTACACACATTTGTACACGCTGCAAGAAAACAAATTTTGTTCAGCTGTTAATTCCAGATCAAGATCGCACCAATTGAGGAAACAGTCAACGTCGTTTGTAGATTATACATGCAATAACCAAAAGATACAACATGTAATCTTCGATAGGCTCATCAAGTGCACAATATCGAATTGGTTCTTAGTATCCTATTCATTTTATCGAAACACCAACAACTCCTGTCCTTCCGTTGCCGGTCATTTCTTTTCCCCCCTGGCTTCCGGAAACCGGGGTCTGGGGAAGCGGCGCGCGGTGCCAAAGCCAAATTTGGGCGCGCTGCGCTTCGCCCCGTCCACGTTCAGGTGCTTGGATTGGTCGTAGTGGTTGGGCGCGGGGAACTATCAAAGAAAAAAACTGTGTTAGTGTAGGTGTCTTGGGGCGACGGCATGACAAATCTACTCTGCATGACAGACAAAGCCTGTCATGCGCAGCTAGTAAGTGAAAATACAAATGAAACAAATAGGACTTCATGGTTGGCTAGCATGACAAGTATAACAGTGTTGCATGCTTTGCATCACAGACTTACACTTACAACACAGTTTTTTTCTTGCATAGGAACTTCTTCTGTGCCTGCGTGGTGTAGTCGATCCGAAACTTCAGCGTGTAAGCCGGCGGCTCCAGCGCCCCCCCCTTCTCGTGGAAGTGCCGCAGGTCGCGGACCGGCACGTTGCTGGTGCGGGCCGGGTTCGGGGCCCCCACGATGTACGGTTTACGACTGTTCACGCTCCACTTCGGCGGGGCATTCATGGCGCAGTCCTTGGCGTCCGGCGGGTACCGCCCCGGATCCTGGCCCGGGGGCAGGCTATCCTGTGTAAAAACGTCCCCACCCCATTATAGTCAAGACGGAAAATCTGCTAGACAAATCAACCAGCTTTGGTTGCTTCGCATGACAAATTTGCCCTCAAAGTGTGATCCTGTTTAGCTAGTTCAGCAGCATCACAGATCTAGCATACCATGCTGATTTTTCTAGCATCACAAATTACCAAATATAGCCGCCGGGGCGGAGGTAGTGAGGTCGTGGGCGTTTTCTTGCCGGCCGTCGCCTCGGCCGCGGCTTTGATTTTTCTGGGCCCGCCATACCGCCGTGAGTAACGTTAGGCCCCACGGTATGGCGGCCGCCTGATAAGCGTCGCGAATTTTGACAAATTTTCGAAATTCCTTTCCGAAAGCCAGCCCCCATGCTATGAGGCCGATCCGGGCGCCACGGGGGGCGCCCAAAAAGAGAGGAAAAATCGGGCCCATAGCATGCGGATTGGCTTTGCGCGTCTGGCGCGCTTTTTCTTTTTTGCGTTTTTATATTTCTCGCCAGCGCTTTTTGCAAAGCTTCCCAGGCTCTGAAACCGGCGAAAAGGCGGCCGCTTTCGCGGCCGCCCAAAATGCTCCGAAATCGCGGCCGTGCCATGCTGTTTCGCTGTTCTGATTTTGGGCGCGTTTTTTGCGCGCCCCTTTTTGGACGCCCCAAATCGCCAGAAACCAAGGCGGTGGGCGCCTCAGAAGGGCGCCCCTTTTGCCGGCTCCCCTGCGTCGTTTTATCAAGTGCGAATCGATAGTTTTCGACCGGGCTTGTTTGCCAGCAACGCCGCGGCCGCTTGATAATTGAAAATCTTTTTTGTCAAAAAACACTTTCGGCCGCTTGAAAACTGCCGGTCGTTTTTCACGGTAGGTGGCAAAAAAACTCCCCGGTTAGAACCGTTCGGTGACCTCACTACATACAAAACACGAATGGAAAATGCATATGCTTCTCATGGAGCTCCGCATGAGAAACTTTTTTGGCATGCAGCTTTGCATTGCAAATCTGTCCAAATCTGGGGTGTGGACGTTTTTGCTCAGGATACAGGTTCGCCACAGTTTTGTCGTCCACCCGCGGATTGAAATTGTTCAGCGTCGCGGTGTATCAACCGCAAATCATACCGATCTGGGTCTGGAACTTGCAATGCTTGCAGGGTACAACTGTAAATTCTGTGATGCATATCGTGCAAGAGCACCGCTAGCTTGTGACGTTGCAAAAGAGTAATTCGCTTCATCAAATGCGGAACAATACTAGGAGTAGGATTCGGAATACGCAACACGATGTTCCCAAAATAAAACTCCTCATGCTTCCGAGCTGGGCAATGGAGTCCTCTGCAGCTCATATCGCTGCACCAAGTAGCATGAAAACCTGCTTCCGGACCCAGATGACAACGTATTTGCAGTGCATACGGTCGGCTCGCGGGGAATAATCGGGTGCTTTTGGTCGACAACGCCGATGTCGTTGGGTCCAAGGCCCTGTTGAGGATATGTAATTGTATTTGTCTTCAAGATCGTGCGAGGATTTAATTTTGATCGTCTTACCTTCAATGAGATGATCTTTCGCGCTTTCACAACATACTATAACAAAAAAGCCTCCGAAAAAAAAAATTGAACTTACTACTAGATGCAGCCCAGAACAGCCGAAAATAGAGCTCTTGTACCATCGACTTTTCCCCGACCCCTTTGCGTGGTTTGTTGAACCAGGTTCGCTCCCTATCAAAAGGAAAAATCCCCCCTCCCCATATCGAAACGGTATGATTCCGAAGATTTGCGTTGCTGATTTGAGACCACAAATCACGTCTGTCTTGCAAGAAGACAAGTGCAGAGGCTTCCGCGCCATTGTGGCAGCGATTTGGCATGCTGTTGGGCCTAGGGGACGCCCGTTTGTAATGCTAAACAACTAGACCCAAACGCCCCTACCTAGGCTGAGAATCTGGCTGCGATGCCTTACTGCAAGACAGCGCGCATTTGTGTACGGAAACCCCGCATCACAGATTTCCCTTTTGATATGGGGACGGGGGACTTTTCATTTTGATACTCCCCCCGGTAATGGAAGTACTCCTGCGGCTTCCGCTTGTACACGTTTGTGTCGTAGTTGTAGACCGGCCCGGGCTATCAAATGCAAATATGTCTGGGTCTGGAAGAAGGCACTTGTTTGTCATGCATCTTTTGGATTATGCAAATGGTCTGTAATGCACGCAGAAGCATTACAGGCTTTGCGCAGGCCTTCTGATAAGTACAACCTTTTCTGCGTGAGGAATTCCCGATTTGCTTAGCACTTGCTTAGCACGAAGTGGGCAGCTTTTGGTGATCATGCAATAGAAATTTTTGCCTATTGCACAATCCGCATCACAAGTTCCAACCTTCCAGACTCAGACATGTTTGCAATGCATACGGGACTTCGCGCCGCCGCCATCTTTTTGTCGTACTCGAGTCGCTGCTATCCTGTGCAAAAGTATCGCACTCGTATTGCACTCATGCATTACAAATCTTTTTGTTAAGGTAAATCCGCATTACAAATTTTATTTCTCATACTCATGCTGAGAAAATTTGTAATGCATTTATACGAGTACGATACTTTTGCAGTTCATACCTGCGCGATGCTCCAAATCGGCGCGTTGTGCAGTACCAGTTTCTCGCCAGCCTCGATCTCCTTCAGCGACGGCAATCGGGGGAGATTTGGCGCGTAGATCCATTTCATAGAGTACCGGTCCGGCTCGTTCTCGGGCGACGGCATTTTGGCGACGATGCACCGGGGGGTGGACAAGAACTAGAAAGAATAAGAAAAATTTCGGCACTGGAAATAAAGCGAAATTGTCCGCAGTTTCAGGCAGGGTTTTCACAGCTAAGTAACAACTTTCAACGCCAAATTTTCACTTTCCTTGTTGCTGCACCGGATGAAAATTATTCGTGTTACATAGTCGTTTACTATAGGCTTCGTAGCTGAGTGAAGTTGCTTGCAATAAGAAACTAAGCCGAGAGAACAAGGTGACGCAGACGAGGGCGGTAAAAACGAGAACGAGATGACGATCAACGACGAAGATGACCAGTGCCATTTATGTTTATTATACAGCTTCTCTTGACCACACTTGATATTTTCTTCACCCGCAACTCTCACAACTACTTCTCAACGAACGTACTATTCTAATACCACCCGAAAAGTACTCTTGCGAAAGCTATCTACTCCGTCACTCGATTTGCTACTGTGTTGCTAGGCTGTGGTCCGCTGCCTGCTGGACAACAAAATTCATTCGTTCCAAAGAAGTAAAAATGGCTTCTCCACTGCTGTGTCCTTCTTCCGCTCTGATGTGGTCACAGCTGGCGTTGTATCATCTTCGTCCTTCTCTTACCTTTCACTTTCTCTTAACTCTTATCCCAATGCAGAAAGCAAAAAATATCTTTATTGTACACAGGATTTTCATCTTCAGCAGGCCAAAATATTGTACTTGTTTTTAACTCGTCTGCATAGTGCTGTTCTGATTTCCATTTACCTCTTTTTTCGCTTCATTCTGTACTTGTTGCTCCTTCCTCAAGCAGCTAGCGTTTCATTCGTTTGGTTTTTGTTCCATTTCCTCCTGTCGCCATACTAGCGATAACCACCACGTGTCAAATGTTCATGTTGAACCAGGTCTGCAGAAGCAGGTTCATCAATCGTACAAGAAACCACGCCAGTGAAAACTCTAACTCGCTATCGATCAACCGAGTTGAATTATGATTCTGTTTCTGATTGTTGACACGACGCGGAGGTGGCATCATAAGTACTTATGATGCATTGCATTTTCAATTGTTCATCCGAAACAAAAGCTCTCAAAGACAAGGAGGAAGAAGTAAACTGAGAAGCAATGAACTTTTCATGAAACAAGCGCCCTCATCTTCTATAGGACTGGTTCTGGTAGATCGTTGTCGTAGTTCATCACAACTACTTGAAGCGTAGTTCATTATCATTGCTGCTGCGTTAGAAACGTTTTATCTTTCACATTGGTCGTTGTACTAGCAGTCGTGCCCTTCTGATCCTCGAGTTGCAGCTGCTTTTTTGCGTCCTCCAGTGCCTTTTTTCTCGCCTCGACGGCAAGCGACTTCCATTCCGTATCCTTCAACGTTTGGTAGTACCGGGCGGAATCCTGAAGAAAATTCTGAAAGTTCATTTGGTGCATGATATCCTTCAGCTCGTGCTCACGCTCGACCATATCAAAGCAAAAGAGTTCGTCACGATCACTCATGTTGCCCATAATTTTTGCAATACACAATAACAATATTCTGGCATGACATGCGTAATAACAATGCATCACAGTCCTGAAATAACTTTTTAGGCGATTATTGCCCTTGTGTAGTTCTGGTTTCTTTATCTCCTGCAAGGCAAGAAATAAAACCAGAGATGCCAGAAAAAGTTTCTGATGCAAAAGAGCCTGCAACGGTTAGTGACTGTGACGAACTTTTTTCTTTTCATAGAGCAGTTTCGAAGTGTACTCTTGGGTAACCTGGACCAGCTCCTCGTCTGCCTTCTTACCTGTGGAGGAGGTGCATGTGATTTTTTTTGTATCAGTACAACATGGAACAATGACAATGTCAGGGTAGTGAGTACGGTTCATCTTTATCATTGAAAAGAAAAAGTTCAAACGAATTGCTCGCATGAAATAAAAAAAGCCCGCCTGGTCAATGTTGTACATGCAAGCTGCTCGTCCCGGGCCTTCCTCTCTGCCCGCTCTATTTTGATGTCGGTGTCCTTTATGAAGCCCTCGTTGCTGAGCACCACGTTTTTCAATTCCAGCTGGCGTTTGTCGAAGGACTCTGCGAATGGTGTTTTGGTTTTTGTTTTTATAACTTGATCTGTCGGAGACAACAACGGGCCGAGCTAGCGAACGCGGGTCGCCAGACCGAAAAAGCTGACAACCCCGATGGCGGAGAAAGAGAGGCCCGTTGGTACGAGGTTGCGAAGTATGAAAACGAAAAGCGCTTGTCAGCGCGGGTTCGTTGTGCACACGCACGTGAGCCGACTCATTTTGTTTTCATACGGAGCAACAGAAGTACAAAAAAAAGAAGAGAAGAGACAACGAAAAAGCCTGAGCATCCTGACATGTGCTTGACGGCCGTGGCGAGAAACGGAAAGCAATTCCACATGTAGCACAGGCGTGAAGAGAAAGACACGCCAACCCAGGTTGCTGAAGACAAATGATCCTGAGAGCGAGGCCCAACCAATTTAGAGACATGAAGACGCGAGCAATGTTTGTATGCTTGCGCACGAAACCCAACAAAGGCTTAGTTGCCCGATGAGCTACCACTTGCGTTAACCATAGAAGCACAAACAACGCACCGAAGATGACGCGGCTTCACATGCAGCAACGCCTCGTGTGCCCCATCTTACAGACGCCGCAGCACCAATAAGAGGCGTCGACACGAAGGCTGCATGGTTACAGATGAAGAAAGACAAGTGAGAGGCGGCCGCTTATAGCTAGCCTAGCACTAGAACTAGATGAAAAAGTTGGAACAACAGACACTCACCGCACAGCATGCGTTGCCAAGGACGCGCATAGGTGCGTAGGAAGTAGCCAGAAACTGAATGCGTCCCCTGACGCCGCGAGCCAATGCCGGTCGCCGCATTCGTGCCGCAACAACAAATGGGAACCCGCGCAACGGTCGGCGCTGCGTCGTATAGCCGGCACTTGAATGAAAGTAGTGGCCACATAGCATGCAGCCTGTGAGTGATGGGAATATAGGCGGCGCAGGCCAAAACCAGCTGCAGAGCTGAGTAGAAATAAGTAGAAGGCGCCGGAGATCATGCAGGAAAGAAAACTTGAACGCTGAGGGAGTAGAACCTTGCGAGCCAAGGAGAAGAGGCAACACTAGATAAGACAAGCTGGCGGTTTGTCGAAGGACTCTAGATAAGTTTTTCAATTCCAGCTGGCGTTTGTCGAAGGACTCTGCGAATGGTATTTTGGTTTTTGTTTTGTTTTCATCAGAACATTAGAGGGTCTTTAAACTTTGAAAAAAGACTTTTCTCCTTTGATATCACGTGATATCACGTGATATCAAAGAAAAAAAGGAGAAAAGTCGATTGTGCTGTTGATATCACAGCACGCGTGATATGTAGAAAAATGCAAAAACACAAGGAATTGATGCAAAAACAGAAGGGATCGATGCTAAGACAGAAGGAATTGATGCAAAAACAGAAGGAATCGATGCTAAGACAGAAGAAATTGATGCTAAAACAGAAGGACCGAATGCTAAAGCAGAAGGATATGATGCTAAAACAGAAGGATTTGATGCTAAAGCAGAAGGATGTGAAGCAAAAACAGAAGGACTTGGACCAGGAGCTGCTCGCTCTGGTATCAATCCAGCGGACTTTTCTCCTTTGCAAGGAGAAAAGTCCGGACTTTTCTCCTTTGATCAAAGGAGAAAAGTCGTCTGATCCATATCAAAGGAGAAAAGTCCGACATCGCGGACCCTCTGATCCATATCGAAGGAGAAACCCCGATACTTATCACAGACCCTATCCCACCCAAACCTTAGCCACCGAGCTCGTCTCCGCTCTGTTTCGCAGTGAAGATCAGAAGGAGCTTGCCTCCACTACGTGTTAACGCGGAGATCAGCGGCCGGCTCCTAAGGAAGAGATTTCCTATAAAGAAACGCGGAAAGCCCAGGGGCGAGCGATTTCCTAAAAGAAATCATGCGGAAAACCCGGACGAAGCGATTTCCCAAAGGAAATAATGCGGAAAGCCCAGGAAAAGGGATGTCCCAAAGAAAATCACGCGGAAAGCCCAGGAGAAGGGATTTCCCAAAAGAAATCACGCGGAAAGCCCAGCAAAGGGGATTGCCCAAAGGAAATCACGTGGAAAGCCCAGGAGATGGAGAAGGGATTTCGCAAAGGAAGTCATGCGAAAAACCCAGGAGAAGGGAATTCCCAAAGGAAATCACGCGGAAAGCCCAGAAGAAGGGATGTCCCCTTCTGAAGGAAATCTCGAGAAGCCCCGACTTCCTGAATAAGATGTTTGGAAAAGGGGGCTTCTTCTAGAGAAAACGAGGGGCGAATTGCTGAGCACCACGTTTTTCAATTCCAGCTGGCGTTTGTCGAAGGACTCTGCGAATGGTGTTTTGGTTTTTGTTTTAATCAGAACGTCGAAAGCTGCCCAAAGTTAAATTAAATCAAAGAACCATTGGTAAAAAATAGAAGTACCCGCACGAGTGCATCGAGCTTTTTTTCCTTAGCCGACAAGAAAAGCAGGCTTCCTTCGAAAAAAAAATCCACTCTACAACAGGAACCTCGAGAGGAACAACTACAACAACAATCAATAGACTTCTAGCATAAAAAACTGTCAAGGAACCTGCTTTCTGACTGCATATGGCCAGCCTTTCCCGGGTCGCGACCCGCGTCGCGTCGAGTTCTCGTCCGACGTCCCAGTTCTCCCGCTCTTTTATGCAATACAAATTTCCCGTACATGTACTAGATGCACCGTCGCAACCAATTTCACCAATTTGGAGTGTACTAACACTTGTCATGCTACACTAGGATCGTAGCCAAGTTTTGTCATGCAGCGACCGCACTTGTACGTGTACGGGAATGAATTTCCTGTGGATATCTTTCTTCAAAAGGCGACACCTTTGCGGCTCTTCTTTCATCTGGTCCAGCATCTTCCTCTGCTTCCGAATCTCGCGGTCAAGGATCTTGGGGTCCACAGGGACCGCCCGCGTGGTCCGTACCACCGGTGGATTCTTTTTGTTCGCGTTAAAACCCTCCATGTGGGCGGTGGTCCAAAAGGAATCGACGTGCTGGCCTTGGCGTTCTTGCGTAGACAGGAGTAGTAGACCGGAAAAGAGTACACGTGACTACGAGGGTGGAGGTTCTTTGCAACTTTTACTCGTCGTAGTACTCCATGATCTTCAGCACGGAATGTCGTTCACGGCGTGGAAAGACGGCGGAACGAGGCAAACCAAGTACTTACTAATTCTTGTGCGGGAACTGCGAAGGAACTACCGGATGTCGAAAAAATATCGCCCGGTAAAAGCTGCGTCGGCTGGTGGAAGCGGCAGGTTGGGACAGGCACAAGGAGGTGGAGGCGGGGGCAACAAGGGTATAATGTATCTTTTGAGCAAACTAATATTCTTCCGGGCCGTGGTTCTCTGTCTGCTATACGTGGTTCCTGGACTTTTCAAAAACTATGTCCCTTTTCTACTCAATGCCGCGGCTCTTGCTGCTCGAAAGAGGAAAGACGAGTCATCTTTCGAACTACATCTGCTCGTGTGTAGTACAACGGAAACCGACAGCTACATCGCTGCCAACCGGTGTGCAGCACGAACCTGAGTCACAACTCAGCAGAGACGTATGATATCTTAACGCTCTTGCACGGCGCTCGACGGTCCCTCCCAAAGCGAAACCAACTCTTTCTCTCAGAGTAGTAGAAACCATGACACGACTACGACCACGAACTAACAAGTCGGCTCCTGCGACAAAATCTGTCAATGTGCTCTGTGCGAGCCGAAAGAAGCTGAACCTGTTGTGCTGATGCTCTATTTCAAAAATAACAGATTTTCTATTCGATTCGACTTGCTGGAAAAATGTTGGCAAATAGTGTTTCATGTTATGAGAGAGAATAAATTAGCATGAGAATCGCGGAAAAAAGCACTGTGCATCAAAGATACATACTAACAGAAGCGAGAGTTATTTTTGTGAAAAGTAGCTTTTTCCTTTGCTTTAGGGGTTGAAGTAGAAAAATATCAAAAGAACAAAACGACTGTGATCTTTGGGTCGTGTGGGTCAGGGTATGATATGGAAGTGAATCAACCAAAAGATCAAAGGGGGACCAGAGAAACTATATCTATACTGTGCGTGCACTATAAAAGTGAAACGCTCCTTTTGAAGAAGCTAAAAATCATACTACGACACAACAATAGTGAAATATGAACATGTTGTGTACTATTTCAAAATCGAAGATACGTATTTCTTTTCACAGCAGCTGCCCTCCTCGCATCAGGAGGTGACAGCGATAATTTTTTCCTTAGAATCGATTAATTTTGGTCGTCAACATGGTCGACGGCGTGCAGGTGAATAATTTCCTCGAGTACTGTGCAGCGAACTACTGAAATTTCTATCCTCTTCTCCCTTTTTGGTCGAGGACCGCTTCTGGGTTGAAGAGCTCTTCGGGGATCATGCCCTCCCAGCACGCTGTGACGACGCCCGACATGAGGACCTGGTCCTTCGCGTCGTTAAACTCGTCGTCCGGGTCCCCCGCCACCTTGCCCTGGTTCGGCCCAATCTCCGCGACGATGTGCGCTTTCCGCGGGGACAGCTGCCAGTTAAAAAGCTTCGGCTCCTGCAGCTTCTCGTTCCAAAACGGCATCAGCGTGCTCATCACCGACCCGGTGGCCTCCTGCTCCTCGCCCGTGCTCCCGTCGAACACCCGGGTGACGAAGGTACAGTCCTCGCCCTCGTCCGTTTTCCCCGATTTCGACGGGGCAGTCGCGACGATGTAGCCCACGTTCAGCTTTGTACTTGGATTGGCCTCCACTTCCTTCACATACCTGGAGGATCATGTCGTGGGGATTGTATAATTTTTCAGGACGATATTATTTGATTGTTCAGGTAATTTTCATACCATAGGCCGCACAAAAGTATAGAATAGTATCCAAAAGTCTCTGACGATGCTCGAAAATAAAGGAAAGACCGCTGGTAGTACGGATAAATCGTAAATAAAAGCAGCAAGAACGGTTCTTGTACCAAAGAACAATAGGTGCTGCGCGCTCAACATCAATAAAGTCAACATTTCATCAGCATAGTCTCTGTACCTGTCGCAATCGAATTTCATTTTCCGTATTGCTTCCTCTGATGCGTAGAGCAGGACCAAGGCGTGGTTACTTTTTGACCCTTCCGTGGGCAAGAACGGTATTTCCACGGGGCCGTCGTCTCTGTCGTCTGTTTTATTTCCGCTGTTTGCCTCGACAACTTTCGAGGCGGCCTTGTTGGCCAATCCCTTGAACGCTAACGTGTTTTCCGCCCTAATCTCTGACCTGGCAGCGAACCTATTGGTCTTCTTTGGCCCAGGGTATCCTGAGGAAAATAAACGTCCGCCTGTACTTTTTAGTTGTACTTACCCCATGTTTGATGTCATCTACTCCATGCGAACCTGCATACCACAGGCTCTTCGCGCGCAGCCCCAACATTATGTGACGCATTTATTTCAAGTCGTGTTTCGTGAAACTTATGTGTCAAGAACATCAAATGCGTAGATCAGCCTATAAAAGGCAATTGGATCTGTGACGTCCTCGTCCTCCTCGCGTCTACTGGGCTACTACTAGCTAGGCACTCGACTACTTACAGTGCATAGCGAAAACAAACTTGTGACGCGGAAGTAGACCACCCAACAGTATTAGCTCTCGATTTGTCTTTTTATGCACATTTCCTATGATCTTGACTACGGGGTAAGCACTGACTTCTACGGGCGCCGTTTTTAGTACTCAGGATACCGCGTCATCTTTCGCCACTACCGGCGGATTAAACTTTCCCACGGAGTAGAGGCACTCGAACAGGTAGGCGCCCAGCGGCGACTCGGGGTTGGTCACGGGCTCGAGGATTTTCCTACCGCGCAAACAGGGAAGTTTAATCTCGTAGCGGTGGAGCATGCGGCTGCCGAGGTCGACGGCGACGCGCTTTACCACCATCGTGGCCGGGCCGGCGGTCGTGTCAAAGATCATCACGGGTTTTGGTTTGCTCCCCGGCGCAGCGGCGTTAGGCCCCACGCCACGGTAGATCCTGATGTTCATCGTAGTACCAGATAACGAGAACTAAAATCATTTTATTTTTTGACAAGCAACTTTAATACCGTATCAAACTACACTGAACACGCACGACAGCTCATGGCAAAACCTGAACAACCATGGAGGAACAGCATGCATAATTTCTTGTGGGAGAAAAGATGCTGAGTACAACTAGGGCTGTGGCGGAAGAACAATGTTTATCATTTTTGTTGTCGTGGCGTGGTGCATGAAAAGGCAATAAAATCAAAAATCATTTATACGTGTGCGCCGCGGCGATGATGCTCCTTTCGTGCAGGGGCATCTTTAGCTCCCCCGTCGCGTCGAACACCTGGAAATGGAAGTTTTTCCCGGCCCGCAGCGTGATGAAGGCCACTTCCTTGCACCCGCCCGCCCCTCCAGCGAGGTACTCCTGCGCCATCTGCAGCTTCTGCGCATCCGTTACGTTGTGGTGCACCGCCTGCTCCAGGTGCATGCACACCGCCGGGCAGCCACTTATGGATCGCAAATATTTGCTATTTCTGGGCCCTGAAAGTTGTACTAGAGCTGGTCATATATGCTAACATTGCGGCTGCCATGACATACCAGACTCTCTGATGCATGTTGTTGCACAGGAATCAACGAGTGAACGGATCGAATGAGCAATGGCGCCTCCTGAGAAGTACGAAGAAATTTTTCTCTTGGTTGGGCCATGCAAGAACATGCTTTGCCTGCAACAACATGCGGAATGATTCATAGACACAGCCTATTTATAGCAGCTCCCAAGTTGGTCATGCTTGTTGGATCATGCGTATTTTTGCAAGAGCGCGCCTATCATTGCTCACAGTCCCGCATTGCAACTTTCTAGACCCAGATCGATATTTGCAGTGGATACCCTTGCCCCACGGGCTGCTGCCGTATGAGTTGACCTGCAAAAACCGGATGGGATTCATGTCGCTAGAAGAAGTACTTAATACTACAACCGCCTACAGTGTGATGTACAGGTAGAAATAAAAGGCAGTCAGCTTACAAAAGCCGGCTCATGGATTTTTACTTGATTTGTTCTTCTTCTTCTTCTTTTATTTGGCAAAGCACAACAACTTCTGGCTCTGAATGCCGTACTGTAACAAGACAAGAATATCTCGCTTCGTGAGAGTGCTTGAAATAAGGGAAAAAATGAGGGACGTCGAGGGAGAGCTTGTACTAAATGTAGTTGCATGCAGCTAAAACATCATGATATCAAACTCTATTCCTGGGGGGGAATCAGACTATGGGGGGGTGATAGGTGGTTTTGGCAGAGGTCCTAGATGTGGTGTTGGAAACAAGAAAACGTAAACCATCCACGGCTCGCTTTCGCTGGTAAGCCTTACTTCATTTTTCCACAACGATAAGTACCGATCGTAATCGTATTCACAATACCGATTTTTATATATAACAGTGTGCATACAGCAAAACTCATGGCACAATAGTTCTTGTTGCACATGGTTCTGTATTATCAATTTCGCACGATAATATTTCGTTTCTGCACGATGACTTTTTTGCACGATATTTCCTTTCTACTGTGTGATATTTCTCGCACGATGATGAATTAGATCATCTACTTTGGATACGAGTACGACAACTACGAAATTAAATATTTTTTACCTCCGATGTAGTACATCTATTATGCACCTCGACGACAGGATGACGACGGACCGAAGCTTGTTACGAACGTTATAAAAAAGTGCCTCTGGAGGACACGTAACCTATCGTGCCTACTTCGGCGTCCACCTTGCCGAAAAATCTTCAGGGAAGCGACATCATAGAGTGATTTTTGAACCGAATAGTACTGGAGAGATTCAAACCTGGTCCGGTGTTCTCGTCTCTGCAAAATGAAAATCCTGGCCACATCACAACAGCATACTACAGAAAAAGTTGCTTGCGTAGCAGCAACGCTACTACTATACTCTAGGTTAAGGGAGTCTGTGGTATGGTTTCCAGCGGTCCTGTCGCAAACCCCAGGCGCTTCCCCAGTGGCCGCCCCAGGATCACCGGCATGGGACCTGACTTCGCGGGGGCCGGGGGGGTGCGTAGCCGCAACACGTCTGTCGCAATTACATAATTCTATGTGCATGTCAGAAGAAAAAGAATTGAATCGGTACAAAGACAAACAGAACAAACAATAAACGCAAAAATATTAGAAGCTCGTGAAAGGCTGCAAGTGGATGAGAGAAAGTCGGTGTGGCGTGAAGTCTGTCGGTGCACGTAGACGCCATACTACTTGTTACTTTCACTACTTAACTACACTGACAATAAATACAAATGAAGCAACATAAAACGGATGCTGCAAGACTTTTTACTTGTGAATGCGAATGGGATAGATCGTGAGATAAAAAAGTCAGATCATGTATTTCGCACTTTTTCGAAAACAACACTAGTGCTCATCGCCTGCAAGTGCCAACAAGATCATCGGTAGTATTACAGATGTACGTTGCTTAGGTTTATCAAAATAACTCAATGACTACTACCCTCTTCTTCGTTGTCCCATGTGCATGTCCCAATTTTAGCAGAAAATATTACTTTTATTTTCGTTTCCATTTTCACATTCACAGGTCGAAATTTGATAAAAAAAAAAGGTCACACCCGAGAAGAGGCCCCCTGCTTGCGAGGCTTTTCCTTTTTCTGCCCCCGCGCGGACGGCATTTTCTCCCTCGGCGTCCTACCAGAAGCGCCACGAATGGTTTTCGAAGCGACGTAGGTCCCCGGCGAAAGGTGTCCCAAGCAAAAAGAAAAACGTTCCTACCTCCCCCTTACTTGTCATGCAAATCTGCAGACCTAGTAAGACGCTTCTCAGGCGCAGCTCCATAAGGAGCACTTTTTTCAAATGCTATGATCTGGGAGGTTCTTGTCATGCTGAAATCACTGGGAAATCAAAGGTGATCGCTTTGTTCTGATGCGGCTGCACTTCTACCTGAATACGAGTAAATTTGCTCCTCCTCGCCGCAAAAATTTATTGTTATGCGCAACGGCCAAACCTTGTTGATTTAAGTAAAGCAAGGTCACCATCGTGACTATGCGCGGAAGAAGTGGAGACGTTTTTACTCAGGATAAGGGGCCTCCCCTATCACAATGAAAAATGCCCCCACCCCCGAAGTTGGGAACATTTGTATTGCAAACCTTTCCAAATGAAACATTCGCCCTCTTGCATCTATCAGCATGACAGGTTTCCCATCGTGAATTGCAAAAATTTGTATTGCAAAAGACCCCAGCAAGAGCGGCGCTTGTCATGCAAGCGATGCGATATACGCCTAGACTCTGCATCAGAAAGATTCATACTCCTTTCATGCATGACAAAAGAATTTCATTTGGAAACTTCGCATCACAAATTTCTACAATTTCAGGGGTGGGGGGCATTTTTCACTATAATATCCCCAACCCTCCACCTCGTCTCCCCAGTCCTGGTACTGGGAGTCCGTGTATCCATTGCAAAGAAGTCTGGGCCTGGAAACTTGTGATGCGGGTTGGCGAATCACGAGGATCATACGGCAATTGGCGACCCAACATGACCAAAACATCTCTGAGTTGCTGGGTGTTGGCTGTTCTGCATGACAGGAAAATGCGGCCTTGAGGTAAGTAATGCGCATGACTGATCGCTGAGTTGAGAGTCAAGCTAGCCGAGCATGACATCGACCTTGCACTTTATTTCCGGGAGACTTTATTTTCGACAATATTTGCACTGCATAATGTGGCCCCGCTTACTTCTGCAGCGGCCCAATAGAAGTCTTCCTGCTCGTCCCCATGATATGTCGCTGCGGCGTGCTCCCGAGACTGTGCTTTAAGAGCGGAGCCCCGGCGGCCTTTGTTTTTCTTCGTCCGACTGCTTTTCCTCCCGCCCCGCGGCTCGGTCGTCCGGCCCGGCCGAGAAACGCCGTAGTCCTCTCCCGCATCCTCCTCCCAGAAAGCGGCCTCCCCCTCCGCGTGCGGGCCCGCCCCTGCGCCCACCATGGCGAGTTGTATTACAATGAAAAGCGCCCCCACGCACCATCCACGGAAGGTCCAGTAGTTCTTCCTGATGCATATAGGGTTTTCATCAAACGGAGAACTCTTTATTCAGGCACCATCATCTGCATTATTATTATACCCAAACAGGCATGAACAATGCGAATGCCGCCAAGCTCTTTCTGCAAGACAGAGCAGATTTGCGTACAACGCAAATCCAGCATCAGAAACTTCCTTTTGATATGTGGAGGGGGCGGAATCTTTCCTTTTGATAAGCTCCAACTCCTCCTCCCGTGGCGAGGCCGCCCACTGCACAGCCCGCATCTCCTCCTCGAGTGCTTATCCGGAAAAAAAACGGAGCCCACACCCACCTCCCAGAGCTGCAATGCAGATTCGCAATTGCAAGAGCGCTTGTCGTTGTCCTCATGAGAGGCATGATTTTCAGTTGTACTTTGGCATTCGTAATGCTGTTGTACATCACACGATATTAAGGAGACAGATTTGTGACGGTCGTGCTAGGCCTACTTACCCTTGTTCAGTTGCACGCACTATGCAGTAGAGCGGAACTTGTCATGCGAGATGCCCAAAACTTCTGAATTTATTGTGTTGCAGATTTCTAAACTTCTTGATTATGGGGTCGTCGTGGGGACGTAGTTTTTACCGGGGATAGAGCTTTGCGGCTAACCACAAACTTCTTCTTGTTCCCCATTGTCAAACCGGGCGCCGGAACGACGCTGGGTGCCGAGGGAGGTTTCGACAAGTCGAGGGTAACCACCTGGCTCGCTCGTTCTGCCGCGCCGATGTAGGCTTCCGGCCGGTGGTGTGCCATCACGGTCTGAACCCCGAAAGCGACACCGCCGAGAACACAAAAACCGCCGACGCAGGCGGCAACGACGATCAGAATCGTCGTCCCATCGTCCTCGGAGTCATCCTCCGGAGCAGGCGAACTTTATGACAATGGAAAAAGAACCCCCCTCCCCGTAGTGAAGCGGTGATTTTTTGTGAAGCATGATGCGTGAAGATCACGAATGGCGTTGCCATCGCAAAAGGCAAGTATATACTAAAGATGTGCACTGTAGTAGTGCTGGCTGGCGTGGGAAGGCTTTGCGCTTTCAGCATGACAGGAAGCTGCAACTGGAAGCAGAAAACAGCATGAAAATTAGCCTCCAAACGAGGCCGCAACTGCGTCCCTTGGCTTGCTAGGAATACAAGTTGATTTGCTTTACGGAAATCGAAATCCCACGTCACAAATCTCGTTATTTCAATCTTGTGGGGAGAGTGGATTTTTTCTCATGATAAAATTTTCTTTTTGTACAGAAGCCGCCAGCCCGACTTGTGGGCTCTCCTGTGTAAAGAGCCCCATAGTTGTCATACAAATTATAATCTGCATGCTTAAAATGCCTCTCATGCGGAGCCCCATGCGCACAGGAACGGCCAAAGCCTGCTGATTTGTGTTGCAGCTTTCCCAACTTGACTATGCGGCATGGGAACGTTTTTACATATGATATGGGTCTCGGCGCCGGTAGACCACTCCAGGCGCGGAGAGGCGCCAGACAGAGGCCAGACGAGACCTTGGCCCTCAGAGAGGACTAAAGAACGAAGATCCCACGACACAGGTTCAGGTTCACCGAATCGCAGGATCAACGTGTCGTTAGGTGGCTCAAGATCCACTTTGGACAATACCAGCTCAAAAGCAGGGTCACCGCCAGTTAGATAAATGGTAGCTGCTATCAACTGCAAAAATGTCTGGGTGTGGAAGATCGCCAGGCTTGTTTTCATGCATGTTTTGCATGACGACCACCCGTGATGCCTGTAGTTCATGGCGTAGCATCTTCTTCACAGATTTATTTTACAATTACAGGGCTTTCTAATTATGCCTATTGTTTCGCATAGGAGATGAAACAATCAATGCCCTCAACAAGCTGGACTCATCTAGTACAACAAGCTGGACTCATCTAGTACTCGCTGGTCATCATGCAAAAATACAGATTTTGTTAGAATCCCAAGACATCACAGCATGACAAGTTGCACTCTTCCAGACCTAGATCTTCGATATTTGCAATGCATAGCCGCTTCGTTTGCCCCGGAGTTGCCGCGCTCCAAAAACCAACCATTGCCCCCGGTATACTGGGGCCTGATGATCACAAGTGGGCAGGATACACCCACGCAAACCGGACGTGGTGTGGGATTATCTGTCACCAACACCATGGTCGTCGTAGTCGTGGTCCTCGTAACTGTGATCATAGCGGTGGTAGTGGTCGCAGTCGTGGCGGCGGTGGTGGTCGTGGTCGTAGTTGTGGTGCTCAGAGAACAAGCCAGTTCGGCCCTCGATGGCGTCGGTGGAACAACAGAACCAGGATAGAAGTGAATCTTCCACCTGCCCTGTAGGGTAGAGGCCGACTCACGCCAATGCAGGCGCGGCGCACGATCGGGCAGTTTGCAATCACTTTGCAATCCGTCGCATTTTACACCGAACTTGAAAGCGCAGTACTGGTCACCATTATACTGAGCCAGGTCAACGTACGAAGATGATGAGCTGTTAGTGAACAAGCGAAGAAATTCGTTAGCTCCTCGACGCACATCTTCAATAAACTCAATTTCCACAGTGCCTTGTTCAAAAAAACAAATCGCGATCCTGTGTAAAAACGTACCCACATGCTGTCTCCCAGGTTGTCCAGCATATGGCATGCATCTACTCATCATCTTTTTCTATATTTATACGGCTTCCCGTGGCCGTGGCAGGCTTCTGTCATCTGGCAAATAATTCAATATTTCCATGTTTTTTACATACTTAAATCAGACTAAGTGCTTTGATTCGGGCTGACGCAGCTTTCACAGCCAAGGACGATGGCACACTGCGTCTCCAACTTTCTCATACTGGTTTCGAAAAAAACCTTTCGAGGACCAGCTGCCTAGCAAATAACTGTATGATGAAAATCATCTTGGTGACTACGCCGCGGTCATGGTCGTGGGTATGCTTTTACACGACGGCATAAATGTTTCTTCTTCCGGAATTGTAGGATAGTAAACTGCGGCCCCACGCGAGATGGTCCACCCTTGATTACCCGACAGCTTGGTAACAGTCGCCAGCTGGTACGTGAACGTCGACGCCGACATGGAACCGAAACCGCTGCACGATGTGAACCCGGCGCAGTGCACGCTTTCGTAGGAATTCCGGACCGTCGCGCTCAAGTCGCCACACCGTTGATGAATTGCCCCTGCAAGCCGCAGTTGTGAACCTGCAAGGAGAAGGGCCACGAAGCAGGAGGTCATCGTCGGTATAGAAACCCAACCCCCAAGCGACTGGCTCGCGGCGAAGAGGGGGCCCGTTCTTCCAACCCACGTATAGAAACCCAACCCAGGGCGTCCCCTCTTGCAAAGCGGCGGGGGCAGTTTCCCGCCCCGGGAACATACTTCTTTCTCTATTTTTCCTCTTCTAATACATGGCATATTTTATTCGGGAATCTGCGCGAGAAATCCAGTGGAGTTGCAAGTTTGGTCTTGTTGAAAATGCAATTGTTTCTAATTGAATCGCATCTTCCGTTCAGACAGGCGTGGCCTCCGAGAGTACTTAGTTTAACGAAATGAGGTTTTGATGTTCAATAGTGGGAAAAGAAACGGAGCGGCAGTACCAGCTCTTGCCGCGGCACAATAGTTGACAAAGTAGTAGTTCCTGACACGGAAGTTTAAAAAGTAAGCACAATCATATTTATAATAGGTGGTGATATCGCTGCACCGAGACCGTGACCGACCTGAAGTTTATTCGAGTACTCTCGTGGAACAGTCAAAATCATTTACGAGTACGTCAACGGAGGGTTCTATGTTATGTTGCGACACCAGTGGACCGACTTTATTCCAGCCGATGTTTCAGCACCGAAGACTCGCAGATAGAAATTTTTGCAGCGGGCGCGCGAGATATAAGCACCCAAGCCAGCCACAAACCGACACTTCGAAGCTTGTAAGACCTCAATCGAAAGCGAGCAGCGTTGCACCAGATTAAACCGATTTGGATTTTTTCATCATTTTCTAGAAAAAATAAGAAAAATAAGTAGCCAGGCGCGACCGAAAATGAATTTCGAGGCGTTCTTCGCCCCGATGCAAACATACTACGTTTTGTTCTTGCCAAAACCAGCCGACCACGACTTTGTTTTTAAAATGCGACGAACAGCGACAGTGATAGTGAAGCGAAAACTTCTAAAAGGCCACAGCATAGGCCGTTGCGAGATGGTGCATGTGAGTTCGCTGGTTTCTGGAGCATGTGATAGATGATCCTGATCGTGATAATGATTTTTGTGATCATCTCACTACAACACTGGGGGCAAGCGTGCTGCAGGTTGTCGTCGCAATCAAATGACGTAAAAAAAAAATGGCTGTCGTGTGTTGTTTCATACAATAGGACCTTTTCCTTGTTTTTGTGCGAGTTCTACTTTCTTTGTCGCCGATTGCGCCGTTGTTCCTATCTTTCGGGTTGTAGTGGGAATCGTCAAACTAGAAGAAATCGGTGATCATCAGCATGTTTGTAGTACGTACAGAACGGACCATCGCCTTACGAACTTCGCTGTCTCTTCGAAGCAGGTTCTTCTTTTTGAAGGCCATTCATCCTTTTGTCCTCCTCGGCACTACCCGTCGGCTGCTCAAGTCTCGCCTGCGACTTCTTCTTGTATGCATTGCAAATATTCATTGCAGACCCTGGGTCTGGAAAAATCTCGTGATGTTCTGCAGATTTTTGTCAAAGTCATCAAAAATAGGGGTGTTCGTGCGATAGCATGCTATAAACGTCTACACCTCGTGCAGAAGTAGCTCACTTCCACTCGTCCCAGGAAGCAATAAAATTTATTTTTTGTGTGGTCATTCCATCGCATGTTCGAGCTTTGTTCTTAAACACTAACACAAGTAGTGCAGATACAAGTGGCGTCACAAATAAAGGTGGACTCAATCACGCATGATCAGATTCTGAAGAGTATCCTCAGACCCAGGTGCTACAACGTCGACCTTCTATTTGCAACGCATACACGACAGCGGAGAATTTCGACCGGCAAGTCTCCGACGACGCAATACATGTTTTTCTTCGGCGCAATGTTCCGCACCTCCCGGATTTGCATCTTGGTGTCGACAAAATCATCAACAGACTCCTTCGGCGCGGCACTCAAAACTTTGCGGACCCGTTGCTTGATCTCCTCCGCGTAATTTTCTTTCGAGGCAAAGCAGTGGCAGTTGATGTTCACGCGCTTGATATTACTCTTCGTCCTATCACGCTGAAAAGAAGTGCCCTATCATACCCGCTCCAGAAATGGAAGATATGTCTTTCTGATGCAAAGTTTCCAAATGGAAAGCTACTACCTCAGTGAAAGTACTACGAGTATGCCCGATCCACGCTCTACTCGTGTAGTAGAGCGTCGGTGTTGGCATGAAAAGCGGCACTGTGATTGCTGGGCCGTTTTGCAACACAAATTTTGACTTTCGCTATTCATCCCCATTGAAAATTTATACTGCTGATACGTGGATGAAGATGCGAAGTGCAAGTGTTTCTAATAGCATTATCAACATAAAGTTTAGTTTTGCAGTAGTACAACAAACGCTTCCAAGTAGAAGTTCTGGGACGGTAGGGGCACGACCACTTTTCAATGTGGTACGTCTGCTCGATTAATTCCGCATGCTCTTGCTCTTCTCCCTCACAGGAAGATGCTGATCCCGTACTCTCCCACAGCACGCCCACGAAAACATCGAGAAAGTCCAGAGCAAGTTCGGGGAGGTTCATCACCACAAACAAAGTGTCGACAGTGTCAAGCACCGACCGCCAAGAAGCTGAACTACCACTCCCACCTGCGTCACGACCGCTGCTGGTGCTTGTGCTAAGATTGTTTTTACTAGTACCAGAGGCTTGATGTAGTTGTTGACCTTGCCCGACGGTGCTGGAACGGACCATTCGGACCTCGTGGCCTCGTGGATGATCTTCGGAGGCCCCTCTAGTTTCTTCAACTCGCTCAGAAGATTCTGGTCGCTTGTCGTTATCAGCAGTAGAAGCCTTCCGACTTCCACTTCCACTCCCTTTGCTGGATGTTGTTGTTGAGAACAGCGTGCTGACAAAGTCCCGGGCGTCCAAATTCGCGATCGCGAAGTTTGTTTGGAAGTTCGCCCCGACGAGATTTTGTTCCACATTCACCTCCATCCACTTGGTGGACTCAGGATTCAGGTCGTTCGCGAAGACGGGAATCTTCTTCCGCGCCGCCATGAGCGCGAACCCACCGATCCCCGCAAACAGGTCGAGCAGGGCGACCTTGTTCATCTTGGAGCAGGTACTAGAAGTATTTGATCCTGCTGTACGAACCTTACCACTTCCGGCCGCTTCAGGGGAGGCAGAAGTTCTTGTGGTAGCAGCAGAAGCAGGACCAGTCTGTGTAGTTGTACTAGTAGCCTCTTTCATCGCGTGCAAGTCTATCAAATTCTTCAGCAAGACGTGCCTTTCCTGGCTGAGGCGGCTATTCCAGTACACCTTTTTGAAATCCAGCGAGAGCTTCAACCCATCCTCTTTCAAAAGGCAGTGGCTGTCGTCCTCCCCGGCCATCTATCCAATGCAAATATCGATGTGGGTCTGCTGGGAGATTGCAAGACTTGTCATGCAGATTTTCCATCTTGATCCTTGAGGTGTGGCATACAGGAGGACCTGACAACATGACAGGTTCGCGTTCGGCGATTTTTTTTTATCTATCATGATAATAACCCTGCATGAGATGAAACTCCCTCTCAACTTGGTCAAAATGAAGTGGACAACTTTTGGTAAGTAGTTACTTTATGCAATACAGATTTTTGCACATTTTTCCCGACTTAGCATGACAAGTTGCAGCAGCGTTCCAAACTACTACTCAGACCACATATTTGCCATGCATAGCAGCAACTCCATCTCGAAGGTACGGAACTCGTTCTTCAGCGTGCCGACCTTGGTGTACACGGACCGCAGACTGGGGTTTTTGTCCAGCAGAATTTTCCCGATCAGGAACTTCCACGGCAGCTGCTCGTCGCGCAGGTTCAGGTGCGCCAAATGCCCCACGGTCTCGAACGACGACGGCGCGGTCACGTCGGTGGGGAGGACCATCCTGAGTGCCTCCTCCGCGGTGAGACGGGCGTAGGGCACACTGTACACCACGCTGTGCAGTGTGCTGACGGATGAGGCAGGAGGTAAAAGTGTTGACGCGTTCTGCTCAGAAGGACGACCAGAACTCTCCACCAGTTTCTGGTCCTCGAAAAGGCACAGCTGCGCACCGACTTGGAGCTCCTGCCCGGCCTCTGAAGCACCACCAACTGGCTCTTCTGGATCGCCGGGCGTTGTGGAGGACGGCGGGGCTACACCTTGTTGGCGTTCCAGCTGTTCCAGTAAAACTTCCCGTCGCTTCACGGTCCCGCTCTTCTTCGCGTCTTTCAGGGTGTGTTATCCACTGCAAATAATTATGTGTCTGGGTCATCTCGAAAGATGCAATATTAACTTGTGATGCGCAATGCGCCTCGCAAAAAAATCTGTCTTGCATGACTTGCGAAAGATCATGCCAAGAACTGCTGACAATGCAAAGAGACGGCTTCTCATGCAGAATCGGCATCGCGCCAGGGGCAGTAAATCAGCAGCCTGTGATGCAGCTAAGCCCTGTATTTCAGATGACTTGCGCTTGCGGAGCTTCGAAAAACTGCTAACAAGCCAATATTGCGCTCTTCCAGAGGACGCAAAGCACATTATTTGCACTCCTGCATATGTCGACGAATTCTCCCACGTGCGAGAAGTTCAAAAGCAACAGTTTCACGTCTTGCTTGCCCGGGTAGTCCATTACCGGGTTTACCTTTCCGTACTTGAGGACAAACGGCTTCAGCGTCGTCTTCCACAGTTGCACCCGACTCTTCGCCACCGCCACGCCCAACAAACGCAAGCTCTTCTGCAGCGTACCCAGCCGCTGCTCCACGTCTCCGCGCGCGGCCGCCACGGGGGCTTGCTCTACTACGCATTCCTGTGCAGCGGGGGCTGCTGCTGCACCGGGTAGTTGATGTACTGGAGCAGATACAGTTGTCTTAGATGAAGTAGGATTTGCATTCAAGTTGCTCCTACTGGACATGACTGCTTGCTCCGAAGAACCATTGCTGCCTGCTGACGCGGCGCTCATTTTCGCCTGTTCCTGGACCTCCTCGCACTGCTGCTCCTGCCGGGCGGGCAACATAATTTTTGTAATTCTCGAAGTTTTCCTACAGTGCGTGTCTGTGATTTCTCAATTGCGTCTTCACGAGTTAATACGATTTTTACAACTGATCTTTGTTTTGAGTTCGACATAAAAAATTCTCATGATCCGGGCGCCATTTCTCCCCTGTGCTCAAATGTTGTCATACGGTCAGAGTAAGTATCCAAGCTGGTTGCAAAATGAAAATGTCTTGATCTCCTCTGAACAAGAACTTTTTCGTGATCCCAAACAAATCTTCGATCGTCACAAAGCTTGGATCACAATTTCGCGAGATCTAGTACTGGTCGTGGCGGGATCTGCGACTTGTTCAAATTTTTCTTACTTCAGGTTAATGTTTTTTTGCAGCTGCTTCTCGATCGAATTTCTGATTGTGGTCACATTGTTCTTCGTCACAAAGCGATCTCGATAAGAACGAGAAAGTGGTTCCGGATCTGAATATAGTACTCTCTTGCCTGCGGGAGCGACCGTTTCGCCACAACTGGTGGATACGGGCTCTTTTCTTCGCTGCGATCATTGTCGTATTCCAACGCGTTAAAAAATCTTGAGTTTATTTTAGTCACAATACTGTAACTGCCCCAAAAAAGATGTAAGCATCCACTAGTATTAGAATCATCTGCGTACTAGTTTGCCCTTCATCTTTCAGTGTTCAGCAACATGAACCTTCGCTTCATCATATTTTGGTGAACATCGTAAATTTCTTTATAGAGTTCACCTGTGAAGAATCAATTTACGATGCTGCTGTTGGAATTCGATCCTTCAACTGTTGCAATTCCGATGCGGCTGTCGCCACAGCACCGCTGTCACGGGGCCTCAGGGCACTATCCCGCGCAGCGAGCGCGGCCTTGGCATCACCTGCTTGTTGCTCGGCCGGCTTTCCATTCACGCCGGTGTCCACACAGTAATCCCAGGTGAAGCCGTTCCGGATGTTGCAGGTGTGGCGATTCACGGGACAGGCCGCCCAGCTGGCGCCCCCGTCGCGGGCCAGGGGCACGCAGAGGTTTTCGCGCGAAAAATCCAAACTTGTGTCCCCGCCGTGGGAAGTCCCACTATACTGGTCTCGATTCCCCCTCAGTCCGTACCGCGGCGGCGCCATCAGTTGCAGCGTGACGCGGTCGCGCAGGGGCACTTTCGAAAGCTGCAGGAGTGGTCCCTTCGAACTTCTACCGTTGTGTCCTCGTGTGTATCCTGTGTAAAAACGTCCCCATCCCAGAGTTGTCCTGCAAATGTGCAATGACAGGAAGATTTGTAATGCGCACTTCCATGAGAGGCATTTCCAGTCGTGTTTTGGAATTTGTAATGCTGTAAACAGGACGAGAAAATGGCTTTGTCATGCGGCTTTCCTTGCCAGCCAGTACTACACTGCAGATGGGAACTTGTCAACATGCAGAACCCCCAAAACATGGGGAGTTGTGTTGCAGACTTCCCATCTTGACTATGGTGTGGGGACGTTTTTACATAGGATAGTGTGCCCTCGACGTCATTGGCGCCGTCGAAAAGGTCGGGGCGCGCCACCGCGTTGTACTTCTCCAAGATTTCCGGGGAGTACGCGCACTCGCACCCGTGCTATGAAAGTGAAAAAAGCCCCCACGACCCCATACTCAAAAGCCAACTTGTGTTGCTGGAATTGTGTACACCAATGAACTTTGTATCGCAGCAAGAGCTTGTCGGCATAAGTTGTATTCTGAGTAGACCATTTCGGTACGCATCCGGCTAGTACCTAGCGGCTGCGCATGAGAAACAAGCCTGACATAGGCAAAAACGCATGACAGAATGGCTGTAGAATGCGCCAGATGGGTGCAGTTTGCCTTGTACACAAGACAAAGCTGGTTTGTGGTCACAAATCAGCATCACAAATTTCCTTTTCGTTATGGGGAGGGGAGATTTTTCCTCACAATACGTGCGTCGTCTTCACCACGCCCGGTTTTCTCAGCGGGTCCAAGGGCGGCACGCAGTAGTCCCAGGTGAACCTCTTGTCTTTCTTATCCGCGGGCATTGCCAAAAAGTGGTCCCGCAGCGTCACGTCCAGTGCCGTGTTGCCCTTTATCGTGTGTAAAAACGTCACCAACTCCCCAGAAGTACTTATCAGGCAAATCTACATGCTTGCGATGTAGTTTCTCATGCGGAGCCCCATGAGAAGCATTTATTTCTACGTTGTGATCATTCGGAATTTGTGACACTCTCATCAGCATAAGACGCTAGATCTGTGACGCTGCCGAACTAGCTAAAGAACACTACTACACTGCGAGGCGAAATAAACTTGTCATGCGCAACAACCAAAGTTTGTAGATTCGTCGACGCAGATTTTCCATCTTGACTCTGGGCGGGTCGTGGGGACGGTTTTACTCAGAATACCCTTCAGCGCCTGGTCACACGTGGATTCCGGCTCCACCACGCACCAGTTGAAAGGCGCGCCCTGGTGCTGGCCGCAGGGCCCCGCGCACTTGCACGCGTGCCCGTTGGCATGCAACGTGGTTTTTGGCATTAGGGTAGTTCCACTTGTCGCGCCGCCCTTGCTTTCTCCGTCAAGAAGACTTTGTTCGAAAGAAAACCCCGTGTATGGATTGCAAATATGCTGTCTGGGTCTTGAATAAACTTGTAATGCAGCTGAGTCGTGAATTATAGTGAATGCTCCGTAATACACGGTCTCGCATGACAAATTTTTGCGCGGGTTACTGTTGCGCTTTCTGCATAACAGCCAGCGTTTTTGCATGACAAGAGAAAGGGTCTGTTTTTGGACACGAATCACAAACTCTGCAGTCATTTCAGACAAGCATGCCAAACGTTGCAGCCTTCCAGACCCAGACATATTTGCACTTGATACCGTGCCGTGCGAACTGCTGGTGGCCCCGTACAAAGACTCTTGCGCGAGCCGCAGAAACCCGCGCTGCAGACTGCCCAGATGCTGCAAGGTGCGCGATAACACCTGTCCGAGGGTGGTCGACCCCGTCACAACGTCCTCGAAACCCCGGTTCCTCCGCAGCTTTGCCACTATTGCGAGGAATAATCCCCCCTCCCCATATTGAAAGCGCACCCTTCTGAAAATTTGCGGCGCAGATTTGTGGCCACGAATCGGGTCTGTCTTGCAAGGCGGCACGCTCAGCCTGTTCGCCACGTTATGCAGGCGATTTGTAATGCTGTAAGGCCTCCAGAGTAGCCGTCTACCATTCCAGGCGCCTACACCAAAAGGCCCCAGCCTAGGCTCAGGAGCTGCGTGCATTCCTCTACTGCAACACAAATTTGATATGTGTATCCAAATCCAGCATCAGAAGTTGCGTTTTGATATGGGAAGGGGGGATTTTTCCTTTTGATAGCCACGTGTTTGTCCTTCACTTTCGCGGCGTGATACACCGAGTTCGTGCCGCTTTTGATACTGCTGAACGCTGCTTCTGCCTGGGAGGACAGATCCTGCTTCGTTTTCTGGTACTCGTTGAGCCAGGTCCGCAGGCCCTTTTGAAAGTCGACGTTGCGCCCCGTGATGCCCGCGTCCTCCGCCATCACGGAGAAGGTTATCAAATGTAAAAATGTCTGGGTCTGGAAGATTGCGAGATTTGTCATGCATATTTCGGATCACGCAAATGGCGTCTGATGCAGGCAAAAGCATCACAGGCTTTGAGCACGCCTCATGATGCGTCTCCCGCATGAGAAACTTCCTACTTGCGTGCCAAGAAGTGGACAGCTTTTGGCGCTCATGCAACACAAATTTGTGTGTGTTCCAGAGTTTGCATCACAAGTTCCAACCCTTCCAGACCCAGACATTTTTACATTTGATAAACGTACCGAGCCGACGATAAAAGTCACCCAACGCGACGGGGTCTACCATTCTTGTGTGGTCAACAAGTTTCTTGGGAAGAGGACATAGTACAAACTGAAACTATACTATATGCTCGGTTCTGCTCAGAAGTCCTCAACATATATAGATACTGTAACTGAAACTGTGTGAACGTGACGATGTACCGTGCATAAGATATCCACATCAATGCGATCCCAATCCAGAAGCGAGTCGAGAAGTTCTTTTCTTACGAGTGCCAGAAAACGACTTTGCCTCCGAGAACGACCTTTCCGCGAAATTCGAAAAACGACCAGCGACCAGTTTTTCCCTTTGCTTCGACAGGAGCGCGGATTATATCGACCATTTTCAGTACCAACAACAAAAGAAGAGCGACCACGAAATAACACGAGGATGCTAAGCGAAGAAAAACCTATTTTCTCTGTAGTTCCAGCTGCAATATGTCAACAAGAATCGAACACGGAGCCGAGAGCAAAATTCCGGCCGCCTAGTTATCTGGGAGCTCGAAGTCCAAAAGCCGAGGAGGCGACGACATCGGTACTTAAATTAATAGAAGGAATTTCTTCATTTCTGGCATGCAGTAAGAAACCGTGACCGGGTAGTTGTTTTTCATCTGAGGGTCTTCACATCGCTTTACTTTCGCAGACAAGGTGGATGGGCTAGGGAATGTTCATTTTGCTGCCATCTGCAAGATAGAAGTCATCTTCAATACATGAAAACAGATCGGACATCGGCACTGATTAGCGATAGCGCCGTCCGGGAAAATAAACAAATTCGGTGGGCAGCTCTGTTAAAACTGGTGTTTTTTTCCGAAGGAAATTTCTTCCCATACGCGCAGGTAAACGTTCAAGAGTGAGTCTACATTTTCAAAGACGAGCTCGAGTTATAAAGTAAAAAAACGACGAAACCTCGTGCTCAAGGTCCGCTCCGTCGCAACGCAAAATCCACGACGGCCGAAGAAAGTGCGGGGCCTCCGCGGCCCCGCGGGATCCCCGGCTTCCGAATTGCGTTCGCCTCTTTCGTATCAGATGCAAAAGTGTCTGGGTCTGGAAGACTGCGAGATTTGTCATGCTTGTCTGGGATGACCAAAACGTTTGTGATGCGTGTCCAAGAAGAGACCCTTTTGCCTGTCATGCAATCATGTGAAAAACGCAACACAAAAAAGCGCAGATGTTTCCCGCCATGCTTGGCTGTGCATTACAGAGCATTCACTATTCCCAACGCAGCATCACAAGTTTCCAGACCCAGACATTTTTACAATCCATACTTCGAAAAGGCCGGAAGCGGCGGCGTTGTTACCGGCGCCGCGTTGGAGTTTTTCAGGGCAGGCAGCTCGGGCTGTGCCTGGTTAGTAATCGCGCCATGATGCCGCGCACCGTGGTGGAACATCTTGGAAAACATCGTTGCAAGCAAGGCCCTCCGCGACCACTTGCGCACCCCGTCCCGGAAATTCTCGCGGTCCGCGCGATTTTTCAAGGGGTTGTGGTGTCTGTCCTCCGGACCGGGGATTTTCAATGCCGGAGGCACCACGATGGGTTTGGTCAACACTGATTCAGTTTCCCGTCTTCAGACGTGTCCCATCATGCCCACGACCCCCTCAGGGTTGGTTCCTCTGGGCGCACCGCAGCCGCGGGTCGACAAGAACGCGTCAAAATTCAGTGCGCAGCTAGCCTGGGCATCTTTCGTTATGTC